CATCCTAGAGACAAGGTCGAATAGACTTGACCCAATTTGGCAGGATCCTTTCGAGCCAACGTGGGCTAATGCGATATTTGGAATTTGTGTTTGGGTACGGAGTATATGTTTTGGTACTCGAGTCATTTGGACGAAGAACTAAGTTCTTCACTGACATGTCGCAGCTGTCTGCGATCGCCGGAAGTAGGACAAACGGGCAGTCTCAGTCCGGGTGTAATATCTGAACATACTCGGCGGTAGGCATGAAAGGGTTGTGACGGCAACCAACGCGTATTAGACCAAGATATTTAGTCTAGTGAGTTCTGACAATTTCGAGACACTCGCGCCATAAGCGAAAAGGCGGGGAGCGAAATAGGAATAAGCATCAGCGTGCACCTCCAGGGCTAGGTGCTCACGCAGTACGGAGTACTCCGTACTCTATACTTCGTCAGACAGGCAGAACTTAGCGAGTCGGTGCGACTTTCGATCAATCAGCGGGGACCATGGGGACCATTAAACTATGACTTCGCCGACCACTCTACAGAGTACAGAGCACGGAATACCAACCACCAACTCAACGAGAGTAGCATTGGGAGGAGAAAAACTATGTGTGATATATTTAGCCAGAATCTCTGTATTTAATTTCCATGCAGTGTACCTGCACAATCCAGGATCCCCAGCCCGGAATAGGTTCGATCTAACTCTACAGAGCAGAGAGCAATGAGTCCCGGGGAGAGACGTGCAGAGGGCTCCGTATGTAGTACTATGATCACCATAACAAGGTCGATCACCTCCTGCCCAGGTGTGGACGTTTCACCCTGGTTTGTTTCAATTCTGTTTTTAGAAACACCACGCGGGTGACAGGGATTAGACCTTGATTTCCCCTCCTTTGATTCCCTTTTCGTCTCCTTTCCATCTCTGTAGGGCTTAGAGCCGCCTTTGGTATCGCCATGAATAGAAAAAGAGGCTCAAGGGCTGGATCTGCAGTTCCCATGTTTATCTGGCGGCTAGAGAGACATTTTTAGCAAAACATTGCGGTCGCTCGTTGGATTAGCAACTTCCACCCATTTCGGGTTATTCGGGTTATTCTTAGATTTAGCTCTACCGCAACCTGGGGAAGCAAGCTCTACGGCTTTGCCACTCTGGAGACTCTCTCTGGCCCCAAAGTGATCTGAGCACGCTATCAAGGCCGAGAAAGGAAAACAGTCAAAATAGAGTCTCCCGTGGTTCCGACCGAAGGATCCTTGGATCAAACATTCTTAATTTGGCAATATGTTTTGTTTTCAATCTTGCTGGACGGAGTAATTCTAATTCCCAAGCGGAAGCGCCGATGCATATCCTGCCTCCACAGATTACACATTTAGACCTATTTTGACAATTTATTAAGCCTCTACTCCGTACTGTTGCATTTGTAATATCGTTATCGTGGGCCTGAGAAACATGGCCTCGGGGTCGCCGGACCCGCTTAATTTTTTGTCATTTACCGGTCGCAGAGCCAATGTACCTCTTCACCACCCTGAATGGCCAATACCCCAACCCGGGGCCGTGGTGACGGCCGAGGTGGAGAGTTCTTGGCTACGTTGATCATGTTTTTGTTTGGTAAGACAGAGTCTCGTCAGCATTGCTTACATGGTTTTTACGGGGTATAGGATTGTTTTCATGCTAGGGGCCAGAAGTGGGCCAGTGATGCGAGCCATTGGGCACATTTGACTTCAAATTACACGTGTGAGAACCTCTCGCTAGCTACAGGTCCTCACTGGCCAATCTGAGCAGTAAACGGGGAGTCTCAAACATTGGGTTTAAGTTTGACACGTTGAGGATCATGCAACGACCCAGAAGGTTAGATGCTGTACATTATACTCCGTGTCCTGTGGTAGCAAATCAAGAAGGCAGTAATTATGGTTAACGGGAAGACTGCCAAATCCTAAACCCTGGCATTAATTATTCTACCCGACTTGAGCTTGTATCAAATACCTTTTTTTCCGTATGCAGGAAAAACAAGTCCCGACATTAAAACCCGGGCGCAAAGGGGAGCCGCTCGACCGCCAGTTTAACCAGGCCATCACCCTAGAGCAGGGTAAAAGGATCGGTCAACACAAATACGAGACGCGGGAGGTGACTTCATTGCCCCGGTTTTGGTAAGATCTGGAATTTAGACTGTACATAAGTGTCGACTAGTGTGGTACGCGACCGGGAGCGCCGACAGATACGAACGATTCTCCCAGTCGGTGTAATCCACTCGGCTGCGCCTCTCTTCCAGGGTAGAGACCCGCTTTTTGACTGCTCAAGCCCCAATAATGGAGGAGTGAGGACTTGGAATCACGCCCTGTGCCGGTTCTCATTGGATCATACTGCAGCCATGCTGTGGCTCATGTTCAAAAGTGTGGCGCTAGTCATCTTCTGGCGCGTTGGTGCTCACCGACCCCGGGCGCTTCGAGTGACAGCTCGCCCTGTTACTCCCCTGCACCGGCTAGGGCTGTATGGAGCCAATAACACACCTGGTATGGCGCACTATCGTCGATGTGGAATATGAAGGTGAAACGAGGTCTGCGCTCAAGCTCCAGGGTTTCGAAGGGTGACAAGACCTGTGGACTGTTATCCCGCTTACATACTCCGTACACAGTGATGACTCTAGGGCTAGTGATGGGGAAAAAAAAAAAAAAAAAAAACTAGTAGCCACATCAGGATCACATAGGGAAAACACGATCCATGGATCCAGATCTCGGGCTCAAAAAAGGGAAATGTCAGTCTGCGCGGCACATCCGAAAAACTGGGTTGGCATTTTTCTGCATCACTTCGAGACCCATCGACCATTTTTGTTTTTTTCTCTAGCGGATTTGTACTTCCGAAGTCTCCCAATCTAGGGAGCCGACAATATGATCCATAAAGATCTCCATCCATGGATCGTGTCAAGATCCGCGGGTCGAGAGGTTCATAGCGAGCAGGGGGTGAGAAGTGCTACTTCCATTTCCAACGAAATGCATTGGCATTAAAAATCAAAGAACAAGGCAACCGAGCAGTCGAGATTGAAATGTCTCTCAGTACGGAGTATGCGGCTCTTGAAAATGACCGAATACCAGAGTCGAAAACGATGCAAACACTGTAATGATCGCCCGTCACGATCACCAGGAAGGGGTAGTAGTACGAGCATAGTGGTGCGAGGACAAGGCACGAACCCACCGAGCCGACGGCCCTAAGGAACGCCCATCGAGTCTTCGGAAGGCAATTCGACAATCTCATTGGAGATGAGTAGGGGCCCATCATTTCGTGTCTCAATGGGTTGGGACAGATGGACCAATCACTTTCCCATTCACACGGTGGGTGCTAAGTCCTGACTGTGGGGAGAGACGGTCGATGATTCCGTCACAGATCGACCAAACTCGTGGCTTTGCTGGTATTTTGTGCCCCATACGAGTATTTTTATTGGTATCTTTCCCTTCCCCCCCTTTCCCATTCCCATTTCCCATTTCTCTGGCCCATTCGCTACCAGACTGGTAAAAAGGCATATCGACAGGCCCATGTTTATCATTGTCTCTCTGGGCTTAGTTGATGGTCAACCCCCCACTATTGTCATTCCGAAGATTTGGTTGAGCATAGTCCACCGGTATAGTATGTCGGGACTAGCGGGATGGGCTTCTGACCAGTACAGCTTTCTCCCTTCTCCCTACAGCGGCATTGTTGGATCTGTAATGGCCTGAATATGTAGTTTACCGCGATAGACTCATTAATAGCATGCATGGGTAACCGTATGCTGACTCTACTTATACCTAAAGCGGGAGATGACAGGCCCAATTGGGAATTTCTGGGGGAGGCCATTGCGGCTATGCAGGACGGACTTGCCGATGACGACAAATAACTGATTTCCAACACATGGAGAACTAGGAAGTAAATGAATCATGTACCTATGATCAAGGGCGCTATCACTTATTCAATCTCCATACGTTCCATACTCCGTACCTTGGGTTTGATGCGTAGATGAGATCCCTCGCAGCACAAGTACATTATCGGTATAGTGTGGATAATTGCTTTTTCCCCCGAACATATGCTCTCAATAGAATGCCCACGAGCATGATTCAGGAAAATATTCCTCACAGATCCAGTACAAACCTTGGGAGTGGAAGATATTCCCGGAGAAATGCCGGAGAGACCGTGGAGCGGTACCTTGTAGGGCATTGTGGATATCGTGTCGAGCTGTCAGAACCCAGAAGATAGACTATTGACCGTCACAGGGGGCCTGACAGTGGCTAAGCTGAAATATGACACTAAGATTACTTATCCATGTTTTGGGTTTACTAATCTCGAATAAGTCCAATCCCATGTGTTTCTCATGTTATACTCAGATAATAATAGCCCGAATGAGGCCGAACGCTAACTTCCTGCCCACAGCCCCGCCACTGTGGTTCATGCCAAAAAAAAAATACGGTAATCGTCATTTACTTTGCTTGTGTTGGAATTTCTAATTCAAACTATTTCTCCCCCCTGTTTTTCGATTTTTCGATTTTATTTGATTCCATTTTTTTTTAAACAAAAAATTTAAAAATCCAAAAACTTCTTTTTTTTTTTTTGATTCCATAAAAATGTTTATTTTATTTTATTCTTTTTTACCATTTATCTCCCTGTTTTTTTTTGGAAATAATATAAATCTAGACTATAACTAAAGACTGTATGGCCCATCGTCACCATTCGAGATACTTCTTCTACATCTATAACACTCGTCCTCTTCCCCCCAACCTGTCATGACCTTGAATTGACTCACCCAAGCTCTTTGATCCATTGTCTTCCCGGTCACCTCAGCGTACTTGCATTAGAGTCTTGAATGCGACCCTCCCTTGCGACGTCGAGCATTTCACCTCCTTACCTCCTCGGGGTTTCAATTGCGCACGTTGCCTTTCGTGGTTGGTATCTTTGGTTAGCCGAGCGGGCCGCGATCTCATTCAGAAACCTTATTACCGGTATGTTCGATATATCTGAGAGACTAAAGCAAACAATATTGACTAGTCAGCTAGATCAATATCTCCGACATGACGACCTTCGAATCCCACGATTTCACCCTCTTCCCTCAATCCAGGAAGATGGCCGAAGCTAGAGTTAAACAATCTTACTACGACCCCATGACCTTGGACCCGGGCATGTTCTCCTTCCCCGTGGATACTCTAGCCCAGTACGGACAAACCGATCTGTCCCGTCTCCACCATTCCTACTACGATAACCAGTCCCTTTTCGATTCCACACAGCTCCAAAAGACCGCCCATTTCTCTTCTTTGCCCACTACACCTCCTTCAGTTTCCGCTTCCCATTCCGCCGAACACCATATCCCCACTGGCTCTGCCGCCTCGGGCCCTTCCATTGCCAGTGCTTCTTCATCGGCGATGGGCTCGCCATACTCTGGTACTGCTCAAAATTTCCACGAGAACTGGGTGAACACCAATCACGGATTGGGTTTACCAGCCGCCGTCATGGGTGATATATTCCCAAATGAGTACATGGGAAGCGCGATGGATATGGACATACTCTACCAGGAAAAGTTTCCGGACCCATACGTCGGTATGTTTGGAGCCCAATTGCAGCCAGTGGAAGTATACTGACTCGATTTAGATCCCTCATTGATCCAGCCAGTGCACCAAGGACATGGTGTGCCTGCTACTATGCCATACCCCGAACAGCCTACCTCTTCTTTCAACGTGCCACCAATCTATCTCCCAAACTCTCCCGCCCATTCTCCTGTATCCTATAATGATATCCCAGAGCGCTCACCGCGCTCACACCCAGTGCAACACGCTGATCACTCCCCTCTTATGGTTCCCCAACCCTCAAACTCACGACCCGTCTCGGTCCATGACCGACGATCTTCTGTTTCATCCATCCAATCGCAGCACTCACAGCCCAGCCCAGCGCTGAGCAGTGTGGAAGCGGACGAAGACATTAAAGAAAAAGGGCGATGCCCACACCCTGAATGTGGCCGAGTCTTCAAGGACTTGAAGGCGCACATGTTGACACATATGTCGGAGCGTCCCGAGAAGTGCCCCATCATGACTTGCGAGTATCACATCAAGGGCTTCGCCCGCAAATACGACAAGAACCGTCACACCCTGACCCACTACAAGGGGACCATGGTGTGTGGCTTCTGCCCAGGCTCCGGATCCCCCGCCGAGAAGAGCTTCAACCGCGCCGATGTCTTCAAGCGTCACTTGACCGCCGTCCACGGTGTCGAGCAAACACCTCCCAACTGCCGCAAGCGCAGCCCTGGCGCTCCCAAGAAGGGCACAAACTACAGTCCCGATGCAACTGGAAAGTGTTCGACTTGCTCAGTCACCTTCAGCAACGCCCAGGACTTCTACGAGCACTTGGACGACTGTGTTCTCCGCGTGGTTCAGCAGGAAGAGCCGTCGGAAGCAATCAACCAGCAGCATTTAGCAGAAGTCGCATCTGACGAAGAAGTCAAGAAGACCATGGAAAAGCACCAGCTTCTCGACACCCCCGAATACGACGATTACGAAGACCTCGATGAAGACGAGTTGGACGCCGCAAGTTGGCGCGGCGTCAAGAAGTCCAGGAGTGGTATTCCAGCCTCACGTCCAATCATTGGCACCGGCAACGCGATCTCGAAGAATAAGGCGCCCCGACCTGTCGCTACCCGTCGGCGCAACAACCGCGGCAACTACCCCAACTCCTGGGGCTGCCCCAGCAGCAGCATGAAGACCAAAAAGCGTGTTCTCTGCGTCTTCGATGGCCCGCGCCGCCTTTGGAAAGACGAAATGATGCTCAACAACGAGTTCGAAGTCCGTCTGCCCCTACCCGCTGGCCCCGACAGCGCCAACCGCGATGCCTACATCACCGACCTGGACGTCGAAACCCTCAAGCGTGCCGAAGGTGTTCTAAATGCATCTGACGAGGAGCGCGGGCCTTGGCTGAGCGGTCCTCTTCCTCACATCATGGGTCAACCGGCCATGTTGTTGCCGGAATTGACCCACCATGATGATGAAGTTTCAATCAACGAATTAATGGCCTGAACGAAACTCCTTTGTGTTTTCCTTTTGTCTTGCTTTGCTTCCTTTTCTCCCCTTGGGGAGTTTTGTGTTTTTCTTTCCGTGTCTTTCGTATTGCAGCGTCTTTACGAGCGATTTGTCTGAATACGGATTATGGATGATACCTTGGGATATGAGATGATTCTACTTTGTTTACTTTTTTCTGATTCTGACATCCTGCTGGACGGGATGTGAATGAAATTGGGCTCTAATGAATACAAAATTAACTACCACACTTCTATTCGAGTTCATTAGCATTAATCCTATAATTCCAAGGTTGTAGGTGTAGATCGCCGCTTCAAAAGAAAGGCGGAAGAACCGCCTTACGTAGCCAAGTCCGAGCGTGCCCCCGACTTCCCCTCTCACGTCACTCACCTCACAATGCAATTAGGTCTATCAGAGTCATTGCCGGCCTTGGTTGCCAGGCGCTTTACAGCTGCTCGAGATGCTGGCCATCTCGTGTTCTCCAAAACTCATTTATCCATCATCAATGCTGCAGGAATCTCCGTGAGTGAGCGAATGACCTCATGACCTTCCGACCACAGAGCTAACAACAAACAGTACCAACTACGTTATTGTCCTGCCCTCGCAAAGAAACCTTCCAACCTCAAACCCGAACCTGGCCCAAAACCGAAGCCTGATCCCTTCGAAAATCCCTCTCCAGATCTCCTGATCGCTCAGTTCCCGCCCGAGAAGCCCGTTTACAACCTCATTCTCAACAAGTTCCCCGTGATCCCCAATCACTTCCTGCTCGTGACGAAGGACTGGCAGGCCCAGACCGATCTACTTGACAAGGCCGATCTAGAAGCGACATATGAGTGCCTCAAAGCATGGAACGCCGAGGATGACTCCAAGAGTCTCTTCGCTTTCTTCAACTCTGGCGACGACAGCGGAGCCAGTCAACCCCATCGCCATCTTCAATTCCTCCCCGTTGAGGCTATGCGCCAACCCGGCTCCGAGGCCTGGCACCCCTTGATTGACCTCCTGCAACCCACCTCGCCTTCCCCATCAACCAAATTCCAGCACCTGTCCGGCCTTCCTTTTGCTCATTTCGCCCTCCCGCTACCGCCAAATCCCTCTGCAGATACCCTTCACTCCATCTACATTACCCTCTACAAGGCTGCGGCAGCCGCCACCCGAGGGCACTCCCCAGGGCAAGACACCGAAACCCTCTCTTCACAGGGACCGTCCTCCATCAGTTACAATTTGGCCATGACCCGCTCGACGATGTTGATCTGCCCGCGCAAACAAGAGACAGCACTCATGCCTATTGACCCTGCCGCGGCAAGAGACATTGCAGACCCCGGTGTTCTCTCGCTGAACGGCACCATCCTCGCAGCGACGTTGATGGTTAAGGCCGAAGGTGAGTGGGACTCGTTGCGCGAGAATCCCGAGCACCTGACGCAGGTGCTCGCTACAGTAGGATACCCTCGCACTGATTCTCGGGGCCCTTCTCTATGATTCGTGTATAATTACAGGGTAGACTTGCATACTAGAATCAGATACCCCAGATTCGCATTCCATGAAGTCAACACGACTTTCATGGTCCCTGCATATTCACGAACTGCGCCCCCTTCGTATTATATTGGCTTTGTTGCAATGCCCTCGTAAACAGCCGGACCGTTCTCGAGGCCAAGCCTACACCAAACCTTTTAGTCTGCAACCCGGGGGCCAATACTCGAACCTAGCCACTCCGATAGCCGAGTTCTGCTAGCTTTGGTTGGTCAAATGACTCATCCCATTTGCCTGTCTGCCTCGACGTCGTTCATTGGATTGAAGTTTTTGCCTTGACCCGCTTGCACTGCTTTAAGCCTCAATTGTCCCTTGATCCACCCAAGCGCGGCCCCCGTTTAGTTAGCACTATACATTTAAAGAGCATAGCGTGCCACTCGGTCGCTCTTAGTTTTCAGTTTGTCCTTTTTTTCCTGCGCAGAGATTTTCAAATTACCTTTTTCTGTCTACATCTGTCTACACAAATTCAATCATGGGTAACAGCGACAAAGAGACAGTGGCAGAGATGCCTGTTCCCGCCGTGGAACCAGTTCAAAACAATGAGACTGCGCCAACAGGATCAACTCCAGCGGTAGCGGACGAAATCTCTGCGCCGACAGAGACAACTGCAGCAGAAGCAACTAGATCCCTCGAAGGCCCATCCGCCATGCCCTCTGCGCTACCCCCAACATACGAAGAGTACGTTACTCACATCCCCAGGAAAACACTTGACATACTGACCTTGACAGTATTCAAAAAGAATCCATCACCGCGCCCCCAGCGGCAGCCATCAATAGCGGAGATCCGATAGAAGCAGCGCGTGTCCAGCCAACATATCCAAGCTACGACGAGAAGGTCGCCATGAACGCACAGGTCCCACCAGCAGACCCGCGCCTCACACCTCTCGAGCGGCTCTACGATGAATCCAAATTAATCAGCTGTCCCTTCTGCTATCAGCAGGCTATGACAAAAGTTACGAAGGAGAGCACAGGGTCTACTTCGTGAGTTCAAGCGCGGATCGACGCAATTCCCTCCTTCGGACATGAATCAGTGCTAACGAATCACAGTATGGCAGCTGTTGCCTGTTGTCTTTTTGGAGGTATCTGCTGTGCCATATTGCCATATTGTATGGAGATGTGTCATGATGCTCATCATTTCTGCTCGCAATGTGGGAAGAGGGTTGCTCTTGTGCCGCATGATGCGCCTGTTCAGGTGTTCTCGCCGAGTAATCCGGGGATCGTTGCTGTGGAGCCTAGGCCTATTCAGGCTCCTGAGGCTGTTATGAAGAACTGATGGGGATGGGTATTTGGGGATTGATTTCTATCTTATGGTTTGTTCTTTTGGTTTATATCCGTGTATTGGAGTTTGTTTGGTTGATGTGCTGCTGATTTGGGAGGCATCAAGTCTTAGGGCTTATTTTAATGTTTACTATGATCTTTTTCTCGCAGTCTGAAGATACTATTTTCTTATCTTTTTCGATACTTGACTTTGTCGAGAATCCTTCGAAATATCCAACAGCGAAATTCGTAGCTCCGTTAAAAGATCTACTGCTGATGTGCATAGTGCTTCCAAGATTGCATATTTGTAGTATGATATTGACATGAGGTATCTAGTTTTGATTAAAGCTTGGAGCCAGCCGCCTTAGCCACCAGCTGAGCATTGACAGGCGTCACAGCCTTGCCAGTCCTGTGGAAAGAGAAGACGTTCTCCATACCCAGCCTTTCAAATCCAATATGAGAGTCGACCGAGGCACCCGCATTGTGAGCCAACATCTCCACATTCTTCATGCTGGCAAGCTCTGGGCTCACACGAGGCTCATCATAGTGTACATCCAGGCCAGCAGCAGCAAGCTTTCCACTCTTAAGCGCATCAACCAAAGCACTCTCATCAAGCAATTTTCCACGTGCGATATTGATCAGACGCGCACCAGTCTTCATCTTGGCCAACAACGAGGCATTGAGAAGTGTCTCGCCACTGAATGGCGTAGCAACCATGACACAGTCTGACACGGCAAGCAAACTATCCATATCCTTGTGATACGTCGCCTTTGACACAGCCTCGAGGTGAGCAGGCATTTGCACAATGTCATGATAGTGGATCTTCATGTTCATCGCGAGATAGGCCTTCTCCGCAGTGCGTCGTCCAATCTGCCCAAAGCCGATGATTCCTAATGTGTGGCCATTGGGATTATGCGAGACCATTGCAAGATTGCGGTTTGCGTCAACGAATGCATCGGCATCAACGGCGCGCGCAGCAACGTGTGACCAGGAGAAAAGTCGGAAAGTAGAGATGATCAACCAAATCGCTGCATCAGCGACAGACTCTGTGCAAGCAGCAGCAGCATTGCAGTAGGTGACTCCTAAATATTTTACTCGGATCAGCGACTTCTCAATGTTTCAATTGATATCTATACATACCACGCTTTGCTAGGGCTGCGGTGTCAACCCAATCGAAACCAGCGCCCGCGCTGGCAAAGACTTTACAAGAACTAGGAAGCAATGAGGCCAGCTCCTCGTCCCAGTTCCCCATCTCACCACCGGTGTTCCAGAATGGACGGTAGATAGCGAAGAAGTCTCCGAATTGACGCTCCTTTAACGCGCGAATGAACTCCGGTCGCGACATGCTGTATGAGCGACGAACATCAAATGTGTCCTGAAACTGGCTGTAAAGCTCATGACCCCAGCGAATATCATCGCCAAGGTGAAGGACAATTGGTTTTCCCATTTTCGTTTTGTTTTGGGGATTGTTTTAATCCTGGATGGGGTATCTAGTCAACACAAGAAAAATCGAAGACACTGAACAATTGGAGAATCGGAACTTTCAACGAAAAAGGCAATGCATTCTACTTAAATGTTCATGGATGATCAGATCTGCACCACACGATGTTCAAAACGGCTATTGCTGCGCGGCTATTGGTGAGCGGGTATTGTGTATCACGGCTAATGAAATCCGAGCTCAACGTAATGTGGGATTGATCTTCACCCCGCAAATTGGTTGTATCGGCAATGGATCAGTCTTATTCCAGTGTTCTCCGTGCACCGAGACTTGGACGTCGGATTGGATCACAGGGGTTTTGAGGTAGCGGGTTGGTAACAAGGAATTGGGCCCATGCTCGTTCGGCTCAGCTCCCGTCGATGCCCTGGCATGTAGTGTATGATGCCAGATGGGGTGATAACACTGTTTTTAAATAGCGTGAAGCTCCAGCTTTGTGAGCTGGAGTGCATATAAAGATTGGGTGGGCGCTGGCCAGGCTTAAACACACTTGATGTCTCCCTATCCTCGATATCGGTAATTGAAAGAGCCATTCAAGGCGCCTGAAGTAAATCACAAACCCATGGATCAAGCATTGAAATAGGAGAGAACCTTGGAAGGAATCAAACAAACTTTGGATTAAAAAGGAAATCAGATTTAGGGCAAATCCAAAAAGCTTGAGCGTGAAGGTATCAGTCAAAAATAAACATAAAAGTTCCCATCCCAAATACCCAACGCAACCGAACCGACAAAGGCAGACCAGCTGGACCATGAAAGAAAACAGATTCAGGAGAATGAGGGCAGTTAAAATATTATATCGCACATTAAAAGGAGATGGTCGAAGAAAGAAAGAAAAAAGCCGCCCAATAGATTACTGCCAATTATGCCTTCAAATCCGAATGTTATGGATCTCGCACCACTTCTTTTTGCAAGTCGCATTCCCAAATTGATAAGAGCCCCCTGGGCCCAGATATGCTCAGCAACCTTCTTCCATGAAACCTTTGGTGGTTCATTCATCGTCATGCCCAAGTGGGTCAGAGAGCTATAGGTGTCTGGCGTCTCCGCGTAGATGCTAACAGCTTCGCAAAGTAGTCTGACCTGCCGATTGAAACTTATATTAGTTTGATGATCTCTCAAAAGCGAGAATATCACATTCTGCCAAAGGAAGCACATACATCTTTGCTTTGCCACTTTGGCTTTCGCACACGTTGATCCTTGGTCTTGGTGAGGGTGCGGTATCGTCCACGAAGCGTAGACTCCGCCTCTTTGAAGCCACCGACTCGCTTGATATCTTTGTATGAGAGACCGCGACGCTTGCAGTCAATGAGGAACGCGTTCCGTTCGTCACTGTAGTGCATATTGGCTTCGACTCCTGTCTGCTCGTCGCCACTTTGTCGTGGGGAAGGTCCCCCTTCAGTGGGAGAAGAGCGAGCGAAGGAGGATGGACTCAGACTCCCTGCTGATTTCTGAAGTGGTGAGCCAGCGTCGGCGTCAGAATAGACATTGTGATGGCTTGGAAGGTAGGCTTGTGGCATTGGGAAAAAATTCCTTGGATAGGCTTCCCTGGCTCCAGCCTGGAGTGTTGAGTTTGGGGTGCATGATTGACTGATCACCGGTGAAGGCAATGTCCCAGAGTGAGATGGCTGACTTGGTAGCATCATGGAAAGCTCAGTGCTTGGTCCAGTATGTTGAGCCGAGTGGTCATAAATGTCTTCTGGTCGGTGAAGATGGCCGGATTCCACCCAGGACATATTTTGATGGACTGAACTGTGCCAGCTGCTCCCATAAGAGGCATCGCCGATATTACTGCTCGGGTACCAAGCATAACTGGGCATAGTGGTATTCCAGGCAGACCATGCCAGGGTATCATCATAGGGTGAAGTCTTGGTCTCCATGAGACCAAGAGATGTCGCGGGTTGTATATGATGCGTGTGGTCCGAAGGCCCACTCATCTTGAAGTGGGAGTTGTTTGACACTCGGATTGGGTGACTTGAGAAGAATGAGTCTTCAAGAGGAGTGTCTTGGCTTTCGTTGGAGGGCAGAGAGGATGCCTCATCGTTGCTCGAAAGGAAGGATATGTTATTTCCTGCGGCATAGGGGCTGGTCTTCGGGATCGGGTGGACGAGACAGCAGTGAGTACCCTCCAAGGAAGGACCGAAGGAATCATCAAAGAGTTCAAGAGATTCAAGATCAGAGTCGCAGTATGTGCTTCCATTGCTGGAGAGCGCGACTTTGAAGTCAGGCTGAGGCATAATGGAAGGCATAGTTTGGCAATAGACAGCGGGATGCTGGCTCTCTACCTTGACGGGCATGTCAAGAATGTTTTCACCAGAAGCACTAGTCTCTTGCTTTGCTGAACCTTTGAAGCTCATCATGTTTTCAGAAACCCGTTGGAGCTGTGCTGGGGTTTGGGATCGTGGGGTAGGATAGTGCAGGAAGGTATGAGAAGCAACGGTTTGAGGAGAGTCAAAGGAGGAGTAGCAATCACTTGGTGAGATCGAAGCTTGCTTTTCAAGACTTTCCAGGTCCCCGTAGAAGTGGGCAGAAGTAGAAATATAACTTGGGGAAATAGAGAGTTGCTTCGGACAATCCACCCATAACTTCGGGCCCCCAATAGTCAGCACGTCAACCATTTCGGCTTCCGGGGCAAAATAAATCATCAAAATGAGGGAAAAAATAATAAAAGAATGAGAGTGGGCTGGTATCTTCCACGCCTCACCGCAACTGCGTGCCAGTGTTGTACGCGGGTTGTCGCTGTGTGTGGACGACCGCTCTTCTCTCTTTGTCGGCTACTATACAACGGATAGAGTGTGGATAATTCGAGGAGACCTGCAGGCCTGACCGTTGTGGTTGATTAGTATTTTGTTTTAGATGGAGAGGTTTCACTAGAATTAGCACTCATTGGGCGTTCACTCACCCTATGCACGCGATCCCCAGTAGCAAACTATCACAAGAGGAAATATCAGGGCCAGAGCACACTTGTAACGCTCCTTGTCTCTGGTGACTTCCGAACCACTTTTTTTATATCACAAATCGAGGTCTTTTTGCGGATGCACGCTTGCGTTAAACCCCGAGCAAAAGATCGGATTCGGTAGATATTGGGCTGAAAGTTGAGCCGTTGAATGTGATGTGGTCTCAGATGTTTCCGCAATACAACCGATGAGTGAAATCGAGCGCCGAGATAGGTGGATGGTTGATCAGGACGTCACGGCGAAGATTGTTTGAGAGACAGGTAGATGAAGTCGAGTATACGGGATGGAGGCGTATGAAGGTTATATCATCACACTGACTGATACTGCAGGGCTAAAGAGGCATTTTCTAGATCTTTTAATAGAATAGCAAGTTGACCAAACCAGGGACGAATGAACCATGTCTATCATTCCGCCAGTTCATTTCCAAGATTTTGGCCTGGGCGATCTCAATCGAGGTCTGTGCTATTGCTGGGTGAGCACGAAAACATCTCGAATTTCTCTAGGAGCTCAAGGCGGCGCTAGAAACAAAGAATAAAAGTAAAGAGACATGGGTTGGGTTGGTACTCAAGGATATCTGAACCCCAGTCAGCCCAGGATCTGGTCTGGAGATCATTTGAACCCCCCGTACGTCTACGATCCACTTCCCGGGCGTTTCAGATCTCTTCTCTATTGTCTAGCGTCATGTCTCGGTCTAGCCTCGGTACTGTAAGATAATCACGTCTTCCAAATATCGAGGGCATGGGGTGGGAGTGGGACCCATCTCAGGGAAGCCGTTGCGGTAGGGTTCTGAAGAAGATATTCTCTCCGCCCGTTGGGCCTAGCTCGATATATCTCCGTTCCCTTGCTGATTTGCTGTTTGGTATTCAATTGTCATTCTGCTACACGGTGAGGATCTAATGGGTGGATTCAATTCGGAGCTGCATCCCCGTTGACAACGGTCCCACTACAGTATCCCGCGGATATCGCTGTGTACAACCCAAACTAACTATGCATCCGCCTGCACGTCTACCTGATCGACAAACTGCCTGGACAACTTTCTCTTGGCAGTGGCTCAGATCATTTTGGAATGTTCCATCCTGAACGGGTGGCCGCAGGGAGCTTCTGGGGGAGGCTAAGTGGCCCCCGGACCAATCAAATGAGGCGAGCTGATCCATACTGCTGGGGGAAAAAGCAAAATGCCCGGATAGCGCTAGGAATGGTCAGCTGTTTGAAGCCTTGTTGGGGCCAAATTTGCCGACGAACATGGTTGGCTTCATTTCCAAGACCGTAGCGTCCAACATATGGGCTTTTAGTGCGATGGTGGGTGCTTATCGAGAATTCTATGACGCTGAGTGCTCAAGATCGACAACATCCTGGCGCAAATCTATTTTTGAGGTCATGCTAAGCTCAGAAGATACGTTGTAACAACACGGCAAATACCGACGACACGAACTACACGAGTTCCGTAATGAACAGGCCAGGGACGGATGGAAGATATGTCCATCTGCCGGGGTAAACCGCAGAAATACAAACCAACCCTCAGAAAAACCCCCGGTTTCCGTATTCCCCGGATCTACAACGTCCCAGTACCGGACATTTTCAAAAGAAGCTTCTTTGGCGACCGCTGGGATGGTCTGGGTGGCGTTGAAACCGGAAATATCATGAATGAGTCTGCAGCCGCACGAACGCGCAAAGATCCCGTTGAATTTCGTGGCCAGGGATACGATCCCATCCTGGCCAGGAGAGCCTACGGAAAACTCCCGAGAAAATGCCGTTTCTTTGAGGCCTCTGTTGGTGTTACAGCGTTTTTTGGTGCCCCCCTGGGATTTGGACTTTAATTTCCCCGTCACGATCGATCGGCCGATGTATACTGCACACATGCATACCATATCCGCAGGTACTGTTTTGACTCCTACGGCTGATCGGTTGGAAATTAAATACGTCAAATCTCAAGGCCCAAATGAAACCCGGAATCGAATCCGGGGAAGGGAGGGTCAGAATGGCAACTGTCAACGGATGACTTGGTTGTGTTGGCGTTAGTTGGGAAGCTTAGGATGATCAGTGGAGCACTGGGCAGGGTATCCGAAAGCGTTGACGGAAAAAGCAAAGGGAGGGTGGTGGTGTTTAGTTTCAAAGTCCACCCCTGACAAGCCATTAGCTGTTGGTTAGCTGTTGGCTATCTGCTGGGTATCCATTGGACGAGGGCTGAATGGGAATCGGGGACACCAGCCCTGGAAGTTTGCGGGTAGGCACTCCGGCCAAGGCTCGATATAGCCCTGGAGAGTATAGAGGATCGACCTCTTGCAGTAGTCTACACCTTCCATCTCATAAACTTCCAAGGTTGGAAACTGCGCACCTGAAACGAATCTCCACGAAACGGTCATGGAGATCAGATATGCTAAGTTTACGAAGTCCACACTAAATATACTCGACTCCTTCCCAACATAGTTACAATCATATGTCTCATATCAGTTTCCTAGTCTCTAGGTTATGAGACTGGACAAATTTTGCGAGGGCAAAACATCTAGCCCACTGCGTTCTGGGGCGTGGCTTGCTGCAGGTTTAGCATCATGTTGCAACACTGGAGAATACCGATGCACTGTCGCGCCTAGTGCGCTAATAACTTCCAATAAGACCATTTATTTTCAAGTTCAAAGTTGATTGAGGTCTCACGGCATTCTATATTTCACTGGTTTCGGGTATTCTGCGGCATTTTGGGGGCAGAGATCTCAGACCGCCAGTGTTAGAGGGTATAACATTGTAAAACAAGAGAAACTGTATAGAATTCCCGTGGAAAGATCAGAGAACAGGATTCTAGATCCATCATCTTCTTTGTCTTGCCTGCAGCGTCTAAAAATAGTGTCTGAACAACAACAAGCACTGCCCAGGTGTTCTCTTGTTTTTTGCCCAGAACCGAGCCTAGTAGCCCTCATTGCATTAGCTCGGGTAAGGTTGGTGATAGCCGTGAAGAGTGGGAAATTGAAAATTGCCATAGTCATAATGACATATCCACTATACTGAGGGTTGCAGAAGACAACAACTTGCGAATAGCCATCCCCGGTGCAAAGGCTAGGCATTCGAACTCCCTGTCGCGTTCCCGCTTCCGTCGGACATCTGCGTTGTCCCGGGATGCTAGCCAGTTCAAGAGTCGGTCAACAAGGAATACTGTGGACCAATGAACTTGATTATCTTGCCAGGGATTGTATGCACCGGCCAATGAAAATTGTCAACGTTGGGGCGTAAAGTATTACCAGAGACGTCATCCAAGGAATAGGTAAGAGGGAGATTTTTTGGCAAAGGCGACCAAAACAGCAGGGAAAGTGTAATGATAATGTGACTTAGATTGACAGGATTGGATATCGTGAACATCTGCCCAGGTCTGGTGGCACACCAGGCCCATAAAGACCGCAAGAAGGAGCACGGTGAACCTTGTAAGCTGGAAATAGCAAGGAAGCATAAATTAACAAAACTCAGTAGTTTCATGTACATTTGAACAGCTTTCAAAGCATTTTGAGGCCCGGGAGACTATTCTCCCCTGTAAATTTCGGGGAGGTCCCCATGATTGAGATTCCCCGAGCAGGTCTGCTGTGACGTTTCCCATCAAATAATAGATCAGTCGACTAGTATGCAGGCGTGTTGAGACTCAAATTGCGAGAGTTGGGGGCTGTTCTGCCAGGTCCACCTAGAGCCCAAGGTCTTCAAGGAGGTCCGTCCACTTCTGAGTCTCTCTCCCCGACTGGAAAATACCATCATATCAGAAATGGCTTCGATGGGCTGAGCCGCCTGGTCTATCTTAGCCTTAGAGCCCTGGACTCCACGGCTCCTCGCATACGAGCAGAGACGTTCCAATATTTCTGAGAGATAGTCTCGTTTCAAGATCACTTCGAGCCTGAGCGCAAACGTGTGGTCCTTCTGAGAGCAGGCTGAAGCAGACCTGAAACGCAAGCGGAGTTGGGTTCCTCAGAGCAGGGCTATCTCTCCTGCTTTTTCTTTGACACATACATCAAAGTATGCCTGCCATGGCGTAGCATATACTGCAGTTGGCTAGTGTGACCGTTGGTGGGGAGCGCCCAGGTACGTATCACATTCGCCATGACCCCCAGATTGTGAACAAACGACCACCTGGTCCGCCCGCCCGGCAGCACCGTCTTGTTGACAATCCGAGTGACCTAAATGACACAGAACCTCTCCAGTTCCCAGGCAATGGTGAGCCTAAGGGGGCCTGGGCCCATGCAGATGTTAGACTCAGTGTCTTGGAATCCTGTTGCTGGAAATGCAGGAAACCCCCATAGCCGTCTATATCTCGACCACGGAATGCAGCGCATTTCATTGGTTTTGCTGAAGGCGAACTAAGACTAACGGTCAGATCGCGCCAGTGCCCAACCAGATTGGCATTGGTGATCTCATTTCCACGGGTGTGCCAACGAGGGATGTCGTTTTAGGGAGCTCCGAAGGCCACCTGAGCCTGAAAAACAGAAACAAAAACAAACATCAACATATATTTTATACAGAGTCCCACCCCGAGGTCGGATGAACAGCGTTTGAGAAAGGTAGATGAACGGGCGTGTTGAATAAGAAGCACATGGTTGTAAAAGTAATTCATTGGGTATCAAAAAAAAAGACAAGGGCTCCAAGAAGATGCGAGTATGTCAACTGAGCACGAGAGGTGAAGTCAGGCGGAATCCAACAGACAGAAGGGCGGCAATCAAGACTCATCATCATCTTCAAAGCTGGAGTCTGATGAGCCGGAGTCGGAGGAGTTTGATCTGGCAACAGGCGCGTCGATATTGTCCAAGCCGGTCGATTTTTCCAGGGCTCCACTGGTAGCATCATCCGCATTTTGTTTGGCGACGGCTTCTTTTTTGAGCCGCTCATAGTTCTCACCGGCTTCCTTGATCATTGCCTGCACCTCGACCTCCCGAACAGCGATATCGGCCTTCTCTTTCCTCAGTTCCTCCATGCGACTGATCATCTGTGTTTTAGAAACTTCCATAGTTGCCAGAGACATGCGCAACCGCTCAAAGCTGTGGGAAAGACGGGGAAGAGCAGTCATCTTGACAGGCACCTCTGGTCGATCGGATCTGTCTGATTTGCCATGACCCATTGCGGCTTTGGTTTGCGCGGCCTCGTAGGCAGCCTTCTCTTCGAGGTCTGAGTCCTCTTCGTCAGACAACCCCTCTGCATCATCAATGAGCTCGCGCATGGCTTCGCGATCCTTCCGTTTCTTCTCGCGCTCGGCTTTACGCCCAAGCGAGATCTTCCCATCGTCGACGTATTCCTCGAAGCCCTCCGCGAAATCCTCATCGTCTCGAATAAGCCGCGTATCTTTGACTTCCTTCTCGCCACGCGCAACTGCATCCCAGTCATCCACATGCGCGGCGTCGTTGTCGTCCAGTGCGATGTATCCATCGTCCTCTGCGCCGTGTTCCAAAGCCAGTCGGGCACGTCGAGCTTTCTTTTCGCGGATCTCAGATTCACTGGGAATATGTGACTGTCCGGAGACTGTCATGATTTCTCCAAACTTGGCAGCAACATCAACGGCTTTGGTGGTTTCGTCATCGGTGTTTGTCTTTGGGGTCGACGGGGTCGAATCGCGAAGCTCTTTCAAGTAGTCATTGCTGTAAGTTGGTCGATCTGGGTCTTGACCAAGTCGAGAAGAGACGCTCTCAGATAATCCTGGTAGCCGATGACCGGCGCTATTCTCAACGGCCTTCCGCCCTAGACCGTGTCGTTTGGGGATAATGACTTCACTGTCCTCCTCACCACCGTCAGTCATTGATGTCTCCCCCGGACCAAACGACATGTTCAATTTGGACTTCGGCTTTGCTTTGGTCTTGGAGCCGCCTGGGCGCTTAACAACGGGCTCTGTAAATATTGTTAGCTGGGGTTCTTGTAGAAAGCTACCAGTTCAAAAAAAGTTGAATAGGACACGTACCAGGCACACCGGGCTCATCCTCCTCATCATCTCCCCCAATCTTACGGGGCTTTCTGCGATTGGCAAACTTGGAACTCATGATTTCGCAAACGAAGAGAGTAAAGCACAGAACAAGAGTAGAGCAGAGTGGGTTGAAAGCATGAGCTCTTATCGCGCCGCATATCGGGAACAACATTCTTCCGGCCCAGCTTTCACGAAACTCCAAACCATCACTCGAAACTTGACCGACACCCAGATACCCAACAAAACCACCCAATATGCCTCAAGCCCAGCCTGAATTGAAGAAGGTTAGTGCTTGCTCCGAACCTTGGGTGAATTTTCCTGGAACAAACTGCTGACGTGCTGAACTGCAGTACATGGAGAAGCGGGTCTTCTGCCAACTCAACGGCAACCGCAAAGTCATTGGTGTTCTTCGCGGCTACGATGTACGTCCTACCCTTGCGCCGAGCATGCTTCGGTGTTGACGGTCGTCATATCAGTGGATATGAGGCCGGACTGGAGCTATTTGGGCCATTCAGGATGAGCGCAACTTGACTAACACTGTTGCGCAGGTCTTCATGAACATTGTGCTCGATGAGGCATTCGAAGAGAAGGCTGGTGGAGAGAAGGTTGCTATTGGCATGATCGTAAGTTCTCCAGAATGTACGGAACTCCCGGAATTTTGGCTAACCAGGATATTCTACAGGTCATTCGCGGTAACTCGGTCGTGATGCTTGAGGCCCTGGAGCGCATTTCTGATAAATAAGCGACGAATCTACGATGACGATGTTCTATTCGAAGGGAACGCACATAGGCACCACTCTACCCCCGAGTGCTGGAAAAGATCATAATGCTGTTTGGAGTTATTGGGTCGGTTTCTCATATGGGAACAATCAAAACCTTTTCTGTTTTCAACCTCTTTCCTCGCCAGCCAGAACGCATTCTTTAGACTATGCAGGCTATTCAGATCACTCTCTGGTACCGACTACGCTCATACATGGAGAAAACAGGGTCAGGTTGAATTATTGTGATAAAGGTATCACAGAAAACTGATTCGATTTCGCGCTTGGAAGAGCTAAATTAGAAAGTTCTCCGTGCCAAGTTAGAAGGAAGGTGTGCAATAATAAAAGGGGTTAATAGGTAAAATACATGCGTCATCGAGAGAACGAAGATTCAGAACAATCATGCAGGTCTTCCACCAAACTTCAGTTTGAGTTTAGGTGTGCCTGTGGCCGGGGTTTTGGGCGTGGAGCTCATCGAAGGGGACGGCCGGGGAATTTGTATCTTGGGAAGGGGAGTACCAGCAGGAGTGCCCCCACTCGAGCTCGTCTTGGCCTGCTTGAACGTAATGCGGGTTGAGGAGGGGGGCTGCATGCCATTCTCATCGCGCTTTCGCTTGGTAGCAGGACCCATGCGTGTCTTGGTAGATTTGAAGAAGCGTACTTTGCCGTGCCCAAGGTTCTGGACGCTCCAGTATCGGGGAAGTTTCAACCGCACGAATTTACTCGTGCTGACATCATAGAGAACGCGACAGAGATCAGTGAGTTCTGAGAGCTCTAGTAGGCCCATGGCGGGCGAATTGCATGCCGCCCACATGTACTCCCTGAAAGCTGTGTCACTGGAGAGTTCTCGCTTGAGTGCTTCAATGGCTCCCGGTATCGTCTTGCGTCGTGCAATGTCGTCTCGGCGGATGTCCGTCGTGGACTCTTGCTCGATAATCAAACCATCATTCAGCGAAGCTTCCTGCTGCTGGGGTCGCCCGAAAGCGATCTGCGCCAATGTTTGGCCGAATAGGCGTAACCCCTGATGACGGATCCAAGCAGAGGAATCAGCCGAAAAGGTGAACATCAGCCAGCGAAGAAGGTCAGGGCTTTGAGAGATATCAAGGTCGACAAGGCATTGGAATGCGTCCATACGGAGAAGATCGTAGGTCCCCGCTCGTGTGTATGGGATGAACCGCATGAGATCCATGTCCAGCATCTTCGCTTGCATCAACTGCGCCTGGCATTGAAGTGCAGCTCTTGAGTACAGATTTTGGAATGAGCTGGACCATTCATCCATTCGCCGATACCTATCAAACTCGGCGATGGCGTCTTTGTCGAGCTGTTCTTCGGCCTGTGTCTCCAGAACACGCTCCATGTCGAAGTGGTCGAGCTCTTCGTCTGTCCTTGACTCACTCCTGCCAAGCATCGCGTGACAAAGCGATTTCATCAACGAGGCAACGTAGAAATTGTCTGAATATTCATTGTTGGAGTTGTCATTGAACTTCAGCTTGTCAAACAAGAATCGCTTCACCCTCAGGGGGTTTTGCCGCTGTTGTCGCGCACTTTCGAGATGGCTTCAGGAATGACTTGTTGCAAAATGTACGCAGCCCGATCAGAAAAATCATTTGAACGAGTCATCGGAGATCCAGGAAGACAGAACAGCTCCTGGAATGCTGTTTCGAGGTGGTGAAGTCCAATCCAGTCAACCTCATCTTTGGCATGTTTGATCAAGGCGCGCGCAGCCGTCGTACGTATGCCGTGGAAATACCGACTATCCATGAGCGTGCGAACGAAGATTGTGGAAATCAAAGGATGTTCTCGCTGAGCGGCCATATATTGCAAAGACTGAGTCTGTTAGCATGCCGGATCACCATCAACCAAGTACAATCACGACTCACCTCAAGTTGCGCTACAACGTCTCGGTCTTGCTGGAGCTGGGAAAGATACATATAGCCTGGCATTCCGAGAGACAGTTTGCAGACCCATTCGAAGTCTGCATCCATTCGAATCCACTCATATGACTCTTGTCCCATTCGCTCTTCGTCCTCTTTTGTCCAATCAGCCAGGCGCCAGGCTTGGGTTTCTTCCTCGGTTTGCAACACATCTCCCAAGCAATAGAGTAGGACCTCCTCCTGAACTTCTGTATCACCGGAAGCCACGGCTCGTTCTCTCTGCTTTTTGTTGCGCTTCAATCGTTTGTACTTGGTATTGTATGGAATGTCGAACTTCGTTGTGCCTTCTTTGATTTCAACGATATGCTCATATGGTGTTCCATCTGCTTCGTGGATGCGAAGAGTCATGGAGCCTGTGAAAACCGGCTGAACTGCGCCAGCGTAGACATGCCGGACCTCTTCTTTCACGTCTCGCAGGAATGCATCCTTTCCTAGGTCTCGAGGAGGTTGAGGTTCAGCCTGGACTTGTCGGATCATCATTTCGACGACAAGCTTCTTCTTGTTGAATCGCTGGGTGGCTTGGAATCTCGGACACCCCGCACCATAAACCCATTGTTGGAAGAAAACGTCCAATTTCGCGTGCCCGAGTCGTTCACAGGTCTTTTGGAAGAGACTGGATGTGACCGCACCGTTCGGAATGTCGCCCATCCGAGAATTGAGGAAAAGTCGTGAAATGATACGGGACATGGTAGCCTTACCACTTGCCTTCGTCAGGCGACGGTCTAGTATGAACAGTACCAGAGGGGCCTTGAGCGCAACGAATCGATATTCCGAAGGATCGACCTTGAGGATGTTGCCCATGTCATATATCGAAGGTCGTTCATAATCCAAGTCACATACTTGATCGGACATTTGCTTGAGCCGGAAGCGATATTCGTTGTTTCCGCAAAGCTTTCTCATGAATGTATCCGTGATGTACCATGCCACGCCGACAGTGACCCAGGTATCAGAAGGGTCATGGGGAATGATGTTGATTCCGGTCCATTGACACGCCAAACCATGCACCAAAGCCCGAGTGGAATCGTACATGGGATCGATCATTTCAGCCGGGAATAACAGATGACTGCTGCAGATGGACATGCACGCAGTGGGAAGACTGTCGGTGGGGAGATCATCGACAAAACAGATTTTGTAACTGCCGAATGGATAGGATCCGTACGATAGTGAGAAGAAGTCGATGGCCTGAGCCATTGGAAAACTGGTGTTTTGGACTTCGTCGGCTCTGCCGGGCAGACAGAAGGCGTGGAGAGGGATGGCGTTCTGGCCCAGTTGCTCATCCTGATCGCTTTCACGGAAGTCGGCGAGATTGACATATTCGAATGGGCCGATTGCGAACCCAATCTGCAAAGCTCCCAGTGGGGAATATGACGCGAATGAAACTGTTTTCCTCGTGGGGTCTTTGGGGTCCACGATATCATCCGTTAAATCCCCAGAACACACCACTGACATATCGAGACCCTCATCATCAGCAGAAAGTTGGCGATTTTGTGTTTTCGAACGAGATGATGTAGAGCCGGGCAAATCCTTCGATTTCCGATCGAAGACATCCCCAAGCGAGCTGGGACATGTGATTGAAATCTCCCAAGTGCACCGCGAAGCAGTGTCATCAACGCATGGGAACAAGGGACAACCGATACCCGACTCCAGGGAATTTGTGGTGTAGGCATGGGGATACCGCCGGTCACCATTTTCGACACCAACAAACTGGAGACCGTCGCGAATCTTGGTTATCGCAAACTCGATGTTCACCGTTAAAGACGTGAATCGCGGAAGATTCGCTTCTGGCGCTCTGATCCCGGAATTGCCATCGACTTCGTCGCCGGTAGATTGAAGCGCAATCTGGTCTTGTGCCTCTGCGGAGGACGGATCTAGTTCCTCGATGCGAACGTTTTTGGGAATCGTGATTGGGAGAGTAGGTGTGGGGGGTGTCAGCAGTAGACCGTCGATCTGCTGTGTTAGACGCTCGTGGTATTGTACGCCGTAGAGTTGCAGCGATTCGTAAGGGTCTGCATATTTCGAAGTCGCAGCTTTTCCGTTCACGCTAACGCGCTTGATGTCTCCTTGTCGAAAATTCAACCAGATGGTTGATAGGTCTTTGCGGCGAGGGTGGATGGTAATTTCGGTGTTTCCTTTCAAGCTCTTCGTGGCTAGGTCGATCTCCAGTTCGACCTTCTGATGTCCCACGCTAAACCCCAGATTTGGGCGTGCCAAAGCACCGGAGTCAACAACACCCGGCATCGTTAAGATTCCTCAGTGACGGAATGCGCCTGGAGCGCTGTGTAGACCATCCACCGTCATGTCCAAGCAGCCTCGGAGTTCAGTTATTGTGCCAGCGGTCGCACAAGGGTTTCGAGTATGGCGATGAAGGAGAGGGAGAGAGGAAGAAATAGTGACCGCGATCCAAGCTTCGAAGTGACGGAAGTGTCAAATTGGGACCGAGAACAATCCAAACAGAACCCACCAATCAGGGAATCTGTGAATGAGTGTCAATAGACTATAGGGTGAATGGAGGAGGTCCGAATGAAGAAGCAACTGTCAAGGACAGTTGAATGGGAACAATGAGTACAATCTCAAACAAGCAAGTCGCCCGTGTGAGCTTCCCTTCGCGTTTCCCGATGCGGAGGCACGTGATTGCCGACCCGAAAACCCCATCTTGAGACATTGTCCCTCCCCTTTTCTCCACGTATTCGGAACATTTCTGCGCTTTCGTTCGGATGATTTGATTTGCGTTGCATTTGTTCACTTTGTCTTGCTCTACGGCAATTTGCTCTGAGGCCGATTTATACCGACGATAACCCTTGTCCACTCCGCGCGTGACACGGCGCAACCCCGAAAATGAGCGCAATCTACCGCATGGTCCAAGGTCAGTCAGATGAGAGTCGTTCTATGCGATTTGACCCTTTGCTCACTCAAGTGTACCTCACAGAGACCCAAGACTCCCTCTCCGACGATGCCCTCCTGCCCCTTAAGTCCTACAAGTACTCGAGTGTCGACAAGTCATTTATTTCCAACTATATTCTGAGGCACTATGTATGAAGCATACAATGGAGCGAGACCGGAACAATTCGCTAACTGGTGTTAGTGGAATGCATTCGTCGAGTTGGTGCCGATGTGGATGGCCCCCAACATGGTGACCCTCCTCGGATTCGTGTGGATCGTGGCCAATGTGTTCTTGATTGAACTGGCAGTGCCGGACATGGTGGGACCTGTAAGTTTGCAGTGAAATCCTTTATTGTCAATCTTTACGTTGGAGTGGCGAATTAACAAGACCCTTAAAAAGGGCCCCGCTTGGATTTACTTCAGCTTCGCTCTTGGCATGTGGATGTAAGTGTACCACAATGCATTGTTGCAATTGAATCTAACAAAATACCAGGTATTCTACCCTCGACAATGTCGATGGAAAGCAGGCTCGTCGCACCGGAACATCCAGCGGACTCGGAGAACTTTTTGAGTTTGTACCACCCGTTGACCTGCCATGGAAGTCCCACTAATCAGGTACACAGTCACGGAATCGATTCTCTGAACTGCACCATGGCTAGTTTGCTTTCCACTGCTGCTATGGGCTTCGGATCTACTCAGCTCGGTGCCTGGACTGCGCTCGTTCCCTGCTTGGCCATGTACTTCTCGACATGGGAGACTTTCCACACCCACACCTTGTACCTCGGGTACTTCAACGGCCCAACCGAGGGTCTTCTGATCGCCATCAGCATTATGATCGCGTCTGGAATCTGGGGTCCTGGCATCTGGTCGCAACCCATCACCGACCTCATCAACTGGCCCCAAGTCTTCGGTAGCAGCTCTATCAAGGATTTGTGGGTGCCTATTTTGCTGGTTGGCTTCTTCCTCGGTCACCTTCCCGGATGTGTTATGAACGTGGCTGCTGCCCGCAAGAAGCAGGGCCTGCCTTTCACACCCCTTCTCAAGGAATGGATCCCCATGGTCGTCTTCACTGGCTGCAACATGGCTTGGCTCTTTTCCCCTTACTCGACTATCTTGTCCGGCAACCACCTCGTTCTGTTCTGCTGGGTCCTCGCCTTCGTCTTTGGTCGTATGACCACTATGATTATCCTGGCCCACCTGATCAGACAGCCCTTCCCCCTGCTGGACCATTTTGTTGGCCCCGCTGGTCGTCGGCTCCGTTCTCATCAACCTTCCCATCCTTGGATTCCCCGTCATTGCTCCGTGGTTGGAGCTCCTTTACGTTTGGGTTTACCTTGGATTCGCATTTGTTATCTATATGCACTGGGCCGTGCTCGTGATCAACCGCATTACTACCTTCTTGGGTATCAACTGTCTCACCATTCGCAAGGACCGCGGCCCCGCTCGCGACAGAGCTTACCGCAACCTTGCTGGTGAAACTCAGCTTGATGACCCTCGTGCCTCAACCGACACCTCCAAGACCCACTAAAGTGAACTTTGCCACGCCACTGTCTGAGAAATGATCGTTCATTGTCTCGACCTGTGTGTGGGTCGTTTGAGGGTCGCCACAAAAGTGCCGCGAGCGGCACATTCCCCTCTATAAATGTTTAAAATCCCGTTGTAATTATGAGCTTTTTCCACTTCTCACCATGATGTCTTACTGTTTTGCAAATCTGAAAAAGCAAAAAATGCGATGAGATACTCTACAGGACGAGAAGAATCCCTGATGATATATGCATGGAGATCCCTGCATATCTGTACTTACGAGACTAATATTTTGTGAATAGAGCATAGAAAGAACATCCCAGTTCATTAAGTTTCTCATATCGAGAGAAAAAAACATCCAGAAACTTGTCAAAGAAACATAGTACATACAGTGGAATTAAAGCCACACAAAAACATCAAATGAACCAACGCTGACAGAAACAGAAGAAGAATAGACAGGCACATAAAAACAACTCCGACCAGAACCTCCAACCGAAGCCGACTCAGTAATTTTTATTTCTTACCCCCAAGACCAAGGGCGTCGGTCAAGCTGCCGAGCCCAAGTCCATCAATCAGCTTGTTCAAGCCCAAACTGCCGAGCAGGCCGTTCAACAAACCACCAAGACCAAGACCATCAAGGAGACGACCGACAAGTCCAAGCACACCGTTGAGCAACAAGCCAACGGCAGCAATGATCTGGAACAGAGGCTCAGAAAGCAGACCCCAAAGGGGGTTCAGCTTCTTCTTAGCGTGAGGCATATCGGCGATACGCTTCTTGCCATTGTCGATACACTTGACAACAGTCTCAGTGAGCTCCTTGATCATGTCTGCAAGCTGGTACTCCTCGGGAGTGGCATCGCGAGAAGCTGCGCGTGCCTTGGCAGTCGCAGCGATGCGTCCATCGGGGTCGAGGGCACGAATCGAGCCATTGCATTCCTGGAGAATGCGGCCGCCTTCCTCGAGAAGAGGCTTGACTTGCTGCACCAGCTTTTCTTCATCAAGCTCCTCCTTGGGAGTGCGATCAGCCTTTTCAACAGCCTGGAACGATGTTAATCTCAAACAGTTGGAGCTAGCGGGTGGAAACTTACTTCTGTGATCTGCTTGCAAACAGGCTTGACACGCTCGAGAGTCGAGTTGAGGATGTAGATCATCTTCTCAGCCAGCTGGCGATCGGACTCAGCCTTAGCAGCAGCCTCTTGCTCTTCAGGCGTGGGACCCTCTTCCTCAACCTCGGGCTCGGGCTCGGGCTCGGGGATGTTCTCGAGCAATGTGCATTCGCCAATCTTGTTACCATCGTTGTCAACAACGTATCCGTTGTCGTCGACGACCTTGCCGACAAGGGTGGCCAAGTTGCCATCAGTCAGCTTTCCAATTAGGTTTCCGTCCGCATCGCGAACTTCGCCCTCCTTGGTGATCTTGCGACCAGACATGGGGTTGACTTCGCGCTTCTTCTCCTCTGGCTCCCAGCGCTCGGCCTTGCCGATGGTGTTGCCATTCTTGTCGACGACATCACCGTCTTCATCAACCTTGCGGCCGAGAAGACGCTTTGCATCGCCTTCGATCAAACGGCCGATGATCTTCTCGCCGTCCTGAACGACGCCATCCTTGCCGACGGTTGCGTTGTCGAAGCCGTAGAAGGGTCCTTCGGCCTTGTTTTCTTCGGCACCAGGGATCAGCTCGGCGCGACCGACAATCTTGCCATTGTCGCCCCAGATCTGGCCCTTGCCGTCGACCTTGCGGCCAGCAAGGCGCTTGTCTCCTTCCACAATGCGTCCAACGACGGCGCCAGTGGCAGGGTCAACAACGTTGCCAGACTTGTTGACAACCTTGCCGTCAAGGATGGAAAGGTCAATCTCTTCGGGGACTTCTTCCTCCTCCTCAGGGACCTCGTAAGGCTCAGCACGACCCTTCACGTTGCCGTACTTGTCAGTGATCTCGCCATCCTCATCAACGGCACGACCACGCAGCTTCTTGGCATCACCTTCAATAAGCTTGCCAACGATGGTACCTTCGTCATCCTCGACAAATCCATCCTTGGTGACGAACAGGCTTTCCATGCCAGCGAAGGGGCCTTCAGGTCTGCTCTCGAGTTCATCCTCAGGAATAAGCTCAACGCGACCAACGACATTTTTGCCGTCGTAGATCTCGCCATCTTGGATCTTCTTTCCGGTGAGTTCCTTGGGGTTGCCCTCGATCACGCGGGCAATGGGGAACCCATCAGGACCGATGACATAGCCGGCCTTGTTGCAAGAAAGACCATTGACAGCCGAGAAATCGGGGCCAGCCTCCTCAGGCTCTTCCTCCTCAGGCTCAAGGCGTTCAGCCCGACCGATGACGTTACCCTTGCGGTCAAGGATCTCGCCATCTTCATCGACACCGCGGCCGCTGAGCTTCTTGGCGTCTCCTTCAACGAGACGGCCAACACGGGTGGAGTTCTCGTCTTCAATGAAGCCGTCTTCGCCGACAACGAGTCCCTCGAGGCCGGAGAATGGACCTTCATCGTCCTCATCATCTTCGACGGGGAGGGTCTTTGCTTTGCCGATCACGTTGCCGCGGTTGTCCCAGAATTGACCCTTGTTGTCCAGGGTTGCGCCCAGCTTGGAGATCTTCTTGGGGTCACCCTCAGTCAGTTCACCGACGGGCTTACCGGTTGCCTGGTTGATGATGTAGCCGCGCTTGTTGCAAATGAGACCTTCAAGGGTTGAGAGGTCGGGAAGCTCTTGCTGCGCTTCGTCGACTGCATCTTCGGCATCTTCGACGGCGCCATCGGCGGTTTCCTGGGCCTCATCGAGGGTATCTTGAGCGCCATCTGCAGCATCCTCGGCACCATCCTTGGTGTCCTCGATGGTGCCTTCTGCGTCTTCTTTGACACCTTCGGCTGCGTCCTTAACATCTTCGGTGGTGTCTTCGGCGGCATCTTCGGCGGTCTTCTTGGCGTCGTCCAGAGTGTCTTCGGCACCGTCGGCGGTGTCCTTGACACCATCAGCATTGTCTTCGAGGTTGATCTTGTTGTCATCAACAGTGCCTTCGGCAGTGTCCTTGGCATCATCGAGATCAGGGGCGTCGTTTTCGACATCAGAGGCCGCATCTTCGACCTCATCGACGGCATCGTTGGCAGTCGACTTGGCTTTGTTGACAGTGCCTTCGACATTGGAAGTGGCATCCTTAGCTTCATCGACGGAAAGATTATCTTGAGCATCTTCGTATTGGTCCTCAACATCGTCCTTGGCGCCGTCAACCTTGTCGGTCACATCGCCAGCGGCCTCTTCAATGGCCTTCTTCTGCTCCTCGACGGGGATTAGATCGACACGGCCGATGGCATCGCCCTCCTCATCGACAATCTCGCCATCATCATTGAGAGTGTATCCAATCAAATCTTCCGGGTCTCCCTCAACAATGCGGCCGACAATCTGACCAGCGGCGTTCTTGATGACACCGCCATCAGAAACGGGAAGACCGTCAAGCTGAGCGAGGTCTGTGATGACATTCTCCAAATCAACCTCCCCAAGCTTTGACTGTGCTTCTTCGGGGACAGCATCCTTGGCCTGCTCCGCGACATCGTGCAAGATATCAACGCGACCAATGAGATCGCCTTCCTCGTCAACAATCTCACCGTCATCACCGACAGTCTGTCCGACAAGGTCCTCAGGGTCACCCTCAACGACCTTGCCAATGGGGTTTCCATCCTGACCAAGGATCTCTCCACCCTCAGCAATCTCAAGACCCTTCAGCGCAGACAAGTCCAGTGGTACAGGGAGCTTCTCAGTGACATCCTTCGCTCCATTCTGGGCGGTCTCGGCGCCTTGCTTAACAGTCTCGGTGCCTTGTTCAGCAGTATCCTTGGCCTTGCCAGCAAGACCCTTAGCATTACCAGTGAGGCCAGATGCAGCCCGGCCAAGTGGAGCAGCGGAGCCGGAGGCAGAGGGAGCTTCGGAGGTGTCGTCGGGAGGAGAGACAGGGCGGCGTTGTTCGGATCTCTTCTTCGACTTGGGGGAGGGAGTCTCGGGGATCGACTGCTCGTCTAGATCATCGGCCTCGATGGGCTCGGGGGCCTTTTGGGAGAGCTTGCGGGGTGTGGCTTTCTTTGTGGACTTTGGGCTTTCGGGGACCGCAGTGCTGGGCTTGGAGGCTGCGCTAGAGCCTGAGCCTTTGCGGAGTTTGGCGGGGGTGCCGGCCTTGGAGCCCAGTTTGGGTGGAGCTTTGCTCACAGCGGGAGACGACATGGTTCTTGGGCTTTCTTTGAACTAGTTGTTGGTTGTTGAGATGTTTTGTTTGTCTCAGTTGATGTTTGATGAGCAAATATCAGATTGATTTGGACTTTGGGTTCGTAAAAGGTGTTCTTCGTTCCTCGGCGTAACGTATACTTCGTGAAGGCGTAGGGACGGGTGATATTATACAAAGATCCCGAGATGGTATTTGTTCGGGAAGTAATAAGAGGTGAGTTTCTAGATGAATAGAAAGATGATAAAAAAGAATTCAGGTACACTGAAGGGGTTCGAGGGTTTTGATTTTATATGAAGAATCTAATATCAAGCCGACTCAGTATTGAAGCTCTCTATATATGCGCTCGTCGGACAAAATACTTGTATAGCACACTACGTCATGGGCCATTGATATCATAGCTCTGAATTATAGTTATTTTTTTGTTTCGAATCCCTGTTCAAGCCATGATCAGCACTCAATTAATCTGTAGGGTGCACGGTGCAGTGGCTGTAGATTGGTAGGGCGGTTAGCAGCATCATCGGCATCATGGCGTGGGTCAGTGAGACAACCCGCCTAGGTGATTGTGTGGCTAGACAGTGATGATCCTTGGAATACTGCATGACGGGTGCACGAATGAGAAGCACGGGACGGGATACTGGGGAAGTGTGGCTGAATCGAAGTATGGCAACAGGGTGGAGTGCTAGACTAGGATAGCTTGATTGTAGTACTCGTAGGCATCTCAAATCTCCTGGACACGATCTTTTTCCTGCTTGATGTTTGCCTCCGTTGTACGAGTGATGCAACTCAGAGTTTAGCGGCCCTGAACCATGGAATATACGGAGTACTGTATACTTGATATTGTCCATTTCTTGTTCCTGATCTGAATACACGCGTCTGAGGGTCTAGGCACAGTCTAAAGGAAGAGCCCTCTAAAGCAATGTGACTGGTTCAAATGTCAGAAGGTTGCGATCCATGGATCCTCCCCGGCGCCACGCTACAACAAACGTGGAAAAGTACTGGCGGGCGAATCAGCGATCTATAAGACCACGTTGGAGCCCACTGCGAATTTGCCCCCCCGCGCTGTCACTTGTCACTTGATGGATTTTCCAGTCCAGAAAGCTATCAAACCCTGCAATTCGAATCATCATTACATCACATTGCAATATCAAAACCGTTGTGAAACTATACTAAACTCAATTTTTCTCGGGAGATTTTACCGCATTTCTCTACACGCATTAGTATCGTATCAATGACACTTCTTAGCTCAAGAGCTCGTACTTTCTAGCTGTATTTGTTCTCGTCATTAGTTTAGAAATCCCTTTTGAAACCATCGAAACCGGATCATGATCGTGGTCGGGGTACATGTCAGATCGAGAGGTATGAGCGCGGTCTCGGCCGGATGAGATCATTTTAATCTATTTCGGTGGAGCATTCAGCCACACAAGTCATTGGCTGATATTGTCCAACAATGCCAGAATTCAAGGCAGAAGAGATTGTCATATTTCGGTTTTCGCTTCTAAATCCACTGCTAACCTTTTACGGTTAATGGCCATCGGAGGAAATATCGAAAAAGACACAGTGAGCCTACCACAGTAGCACAGCACTCGATTGGCCCACATCTGGCTGTATATCTCCGGTTAACGACTGCCGAAATCAAGATTTGCCCCTAGCGCCGTCCGTGCGCATTGTCAACGGTCAAGGTGGAAACCTTTTCAACGTGAGCATACAATACTTATGGTAGAGACATCGCTCACTACCTAGGTATACGATCTATTCTACTGCACTTGAATGCGCAAGGACGAAGCATGAGGATTCCGTTGCACTCTGTACTTGAATACGTAGATAAAAGGTTGCAAGTTGGACCCGAGCTACCCCATAGTCAACTGGCCTGTTTTCGCTTCAATAATGGAATTGCCCACCGCAACTAGACTACCTGCTAGGTGGGACTCCCGAGGTTCTATTTGTTTGGACATGAGCCACAATGGACCTACAGAAATCCAGCCTTAGAACCTTAACCTTTCCCTTGGGTGTGTATCAAGTAGCGAGCCGCCCAGTCGAACTCCGAGAACTCGTCCACGGGTACGGAGTACTCCTTACTCGTTACATTTCGCCTGCTTCAGAAGAGATCGGAGCAGATCGAGTTCGATCACTCAGGTACATTTTACTCGTCAATCTCTTCACTTGTACCGGTGATATGCTTTGGGGTCTATCGTCATCGCAATATATCGCTACCCGAACGGGCCACGATCGCCGGACTCGATCTTCGTGTCGAGGTCAATTAGATTAACTGGAACTGATCGAACACGTCGGCTGTAACCAAGTGGCTTCAAACCAGCCACTTCTTCGCAGTAAGCCGCCGCGGCGTTTGTCGCTTAATCTTCAAGATTGGGATGTCGATAGATTTTAGATATGGGGACGGCCACGTATCTGTCCCTTGCATTTAAATTTTCTTTGCTGCCCAGGTACGGACCCACATGAATAACATTTGCACGTACGTACGGAGTACTCCCAAGGTAGTACTTTGGTGGTATTTGCCTTTGAATCTTTTCGGAGAGCTATCCCACGTGGAACTTACTGTGGAGGGTGTGCGCACCGGTGCGTAAGCTCATCTGGCATCGAGTGACAAGGAAACAGGTAAATAAGATGTTGAATGACTCAGTGGGGTTGGATTTCGCTGCTCATGTAAAGTTCTTCACCTCTCGGTCGCACCATGTCAGTAATTGTGTGGCCTTCCCAGACCCACCCTCTTCCTGTGACCGCAGGGAGTCTTCAATGTCTGGACGTAGATACCCAACATGTCCCCATGGCCATATGAACGCGCCAACATGTTTCTCAATTGTCAATTCTGGAGAGAGACCCGCGTAAAGCTCTGTATACGCTCCGTATCTGGCTGGCCACATCACGAGGCTCATAAGACGAGGGACGATTGACCCCAAGATGGGCATTGTCATGTACCGCGTCAATCCTGTGTTTAGATTCCCTGGGTTGAATGCCTGCGACGGGTTAGCATAAATCTGAAATGAGATCATGTGATGATCCAGATGGACAGGGGTCTTTGATTGCCACGTACGATACTGAGTACGTTTCCTCGTCGACATTTCTTGCCGAACTCGGATGCCAGCAAGTTGTTGGCAGCTTTCGAAGCGCAGTAATTAGTTAGTCTATCGTTCGTGAATACCGGCGAGCCGGAATCGTCTATCTTCACTCCGCCATGAGGAGCCAGCTCTATTGTAATCGAGCTGGCCCAACAAATTCTCACTGAATTGAGAGGTGAGATTCGTGCCGTTTTTTCTATGATGGGGTATAGCAATTTGGTGAGAAGATAAGGTCCAAGCACGTTTGTACCCAATTGTAGATCATAACCCTATCAAACGTAAATCAATGTTTGTGAGATGGGGACCAATCAAGAAGGCTAAGCCTCCTTTCAAATGAACCGAATCAGGGGGGTTTACCTGCTCTGATTTGTCCGTTGTGGGAGTGCACATGACCCCTGCATTATTCCAAAGAATATCGAGTCTCTCTTCCTTGCTCAAGAACTCCTCGGCTGCCATTTTCACAGAAGCCAGGTCGGACAGGTCCAATGGTAGCCATACCAAATCCCCCTGGGAAAGGGGGGTCTCATCTCGAATCAGTCGAATCGCCTCCAACACGCGCTTCTCGGATCTGCCAGCCAGGTAGATCTTGGCATTTGCAGCATATAGGATTTTTGCCAGCTCAAACCCCACTCCTGAATTGGCTCCTGTTATCACGAACACCTGGATGAATGTAAGCGCCATGCACATGAGCATCGTGGTCCGTGCTTACCTTTCCACCCTGACTGCCAACATTTTTCTCGGTAATTTGGGGGCTTGGAATCCAGACACTTTGACTCCAGGATTTCCCCATAGCTGTTTGGGTACTCCGTACTTGAGGCAAGACACGAAGTGGAGGTTGTGGGGGAAGCGCGTTGGAGTTGCGAAGCTAGTCCTGTTTGGGCCTAGCATCAAGACCTGCTTAAAATGTACGGAGTAGAGAGTACGGAGTATGTCGAAGGGACTTTCCTAGCACTCTGTGCTCCCTATAGTCGTCTGCATTGTGCTATTTGTGTGAGTGGCAGAGAAGTGACAGGGAGGGAAAGGTTGTATCCGGACGAGGTCAACGAAAGCAACCTATATAAGCCGTCTTGGAGCATAACCATCTGACACCACTGGAGTAGTCCAGTGGTCAAGACGGGTCACCATCAAATGACCTTACCTGAAGCCACTGGTGGTAAAACATGCATGCAACGGGTATGGTTCGATTCACGGGCCTGGCTTCTTTTTTGTTTTTCTTTCTATTCTTTTTGAGCATACTCTTGGCTCTCTCCAGAGCTCACCCACAAATGACGATCTTGCTGACATGCTCTCTTGACTTCCACACCAGTTTGAAGAGTCCGATCTGATCTCGCATCAAGCGGTATTAGGACTAAACATTTCGTGTTTTGATCTCTCTACAATGAAAACGCAGTACCAACGCAGTAAAATGTGAATAGAAATGAATTTACGGAGTTAGTCCACCGGTCATTCCTGCATGTGAGAAGTCCGGAAAGCCTCCAGGGCTCTATTTGACATTGCTACTCCTTACGGAGTACATTCCCCAACTTTACAAAGCACGCATGAGCAAGCTTGGAAATATACTCCGTACACGCGTCATCTTTTGGCGTACTCCGTATCTCGCGCATCTCCACGCTAGAAACAACCCTGCATAAACTAGCATCACGTACATGGTGGCGCCCAATTACTAATTTTATAGGCACATGGAATTGTGTGATAACGCACTTGCATATGACTTATACTAGTCTAGGCAGGACTCACAACAAAATGGGCTTCACCTACTCAACCTTGGCTTGGTATCTCTTCGATGATGCACACCATTTCAGATGGGTGTCTGCAAACGCCAAAATTGCCGTTTCATGGACGGGCTCCTGTACTTCCCCATTCAATCGAGCGATCTCGTTGTACTTCTCCACAGCAGCCGACAAACATAGATTGTGGATACCACATACATCTTCGATGGTGCTAGGTAATAGAAACTCCTGGTGATCCCTGTTGGCCCCTTCTTTCTCCTGCAACGACACCAGTACAGCGTTCATGTGTTCGCCATTTTGACGATCCTTCTCCAGCCCCACAAGATCGTTCTGTAGCCCAAGTACTAGACTGACCCGACTTTGCAAATTTCGCAGTGCAGCCATATACTCACTGCGGATTGGTCGGCGCATGGTGCGGATAAGCGTAAAGAACGGATGGATACCCATGGTTCGACCACGGAACTGTAGATAGTTTTCCAGTGTTTTTGGCACTGACCCTTGGCGATACAAGAGCTCGTCTAATAGTCCTTGGCACATGTCACAGATATCACCTTCGAGCTCGCGGGAGACATTCTCAGAGATCTCGAGATGCTGAATGCAAAAGTCCAGGAAGAGGGAGTGAATTCTCGCGATCTTATTGGTAGGGGAAACTTCAGTGGCAGTTAGCTGAGTGGCCTACGAAAACCAAGTATACAAACTCACTGTGTTCGTTGCTTCTCTGCAGCATCACAATTGTTTCTTCCAAGGCCAGAATGCCCATTTCCAAAGGCATACTCTCAAGGATATCATCTGCAACGCAGTTCGCGGCCAACCAAGCAGCCATGCAAATTTGAATGGCTTCTGATTGAACATCTGGGAAGAAAAGTTTGACTGCAGCCACCTCTGCGTTGCATCTTTCGTAAAACTCCTTGGTGTTACCCGCTTTCTCGGGCTGGATCGATGCCTTGAAATCAGCTTGAGCATGAATTGCAGCCCAAGGGAGTCCAGAATTAATCGGAGCTATGTCATAGTGCGGTATCTTGAGCTGAACACATTTATTGGTCAATGCTCCCGGGTAGTGAGATTATCAGTGCCCAATTTACCTGAAGAGAAACACCAAGGCTTCCTAGATGAATTTGACATGATTTGATCACAGGTATCTTGTTGAGTCGCTTGTAGCTGGTAATGTTTCCCAACGCGCTCAATGAACTATTCTCTGAATAGCATGGGGAGGGCACATGGTGGTGCTGGGAGAGTAGCAAGCTGGAGCTAGACATGTTGAGATTGAGAATGAAACGAGATATTGTATATTCAAGTCAGACTCGAGAAATCCTCATGACTTTTATAGTCACTGGCTCTCAGCACGGACACATGGACCATTTATTGTCCATTTACAATTCCAAACTCTTTTCGTGTATATTGAGATTAACTCTTGATGTCTTTTTGCCAATGATGAAGCTAGACTAGCATATCTTGGCTCACAGAAATCCCCTCACTCCCTTATCACCGCAGTGTTGACTATGTCATATGCTGGCCCAATTCTTCCGGCTAATTGTCAGCTGTTTCTCGGCTTTCATGCCTTCTCATTGGCGTTGGTTTACATTTACGCCATGCAGATCATCAACGTTACCTAGTCCTGCATGGCCCCACTCGAGCTAATTCATGTTGCATGAGCACAAAGAAATTGGATGCACGGGGAACTTGGCTCAAGCTCATGTCTTACTCTTTACGGTAAGATATACTTCGGGTTAGGCGATTTTCTCAACCTATCACGAGTGCACACCTGAGGAGGGCCTCAGTGAAGTAATAATCTAATCTGCTTTTTGGACTTTCGATGGTGACGATTGAGAAGCTGATCCTTGATAATGTATTTTGAGATACTGAGGGCCCAGACCATACTATCTGAATTCACAGAGTCGACTGCGTATATGCTGCTTTAGCGGTGCTAGAGTCTTGGAAGCATCTGCAGGCGCTCGGCCTTTGAACTCCTTGCGGGGCCCGGGGCGGGAGCGATCGCCCTTTCTCGGGAGGACGTGCATTTTCACCTGATAAGTTTCTGGGGGATTTCTATGAAGCTTTTGGGGTGTATACGGAGTAAATGGTATTGAGTGTCGGGTAATAGCGATGTTAATCGGGAGCTGTGTAGTAGGGCAGAAGGTACTGGGAATCGGAATTATTATTGACACAAAATTAAACTTAGTAAACAAATATACCCCATGGGGAGGCCATGGTGATCGTGGAAAGCGACTTAAAAACAACTATGTTTTACTTACATATAGGATCATGTGTGTCCAGCCCTTCTGGGCCTGCCCATCAGTTGGAGCCGGAAAGCTAATCGATGAGATGAGACTTTCAAGCAGAACACAAGCAAGGATGTGGACATAGACGATTATGCTACGGAGATCTTGTTTTAAATCGATGATCACGAATCGAAGATTGTCTCAGTAAACTCTATTGGGACGAAATGTTGAGAGTGAACACGTCAGATATTTAGTCATATTGAATTCTGTCTTTTTCAACGGAGCAGCCGAAGCCGGCTCGTAGAGAAAGGAAAGGGGGTGGCAAAGCAATCTTACAGGTGGTACTCCGTAGACCGTAGATTTTCGGTCTGCATGATAGACTCAATATCGTAGACCTCGGGAAGTCTTTTGCTTTGGTGTCAGCAAGACCTTTTACTTTCATCTAGCAAATGTAACCACAGGCCCGAAGGCTTCGGTATGTCATTTCACTCAGTCATTTTGTGCTGATTGTGTGGGATTGAAGATCTAATAATAAACAAACACACAAGAGACACCGGTCAGATACTCTCACTAGCGTCATGCGTGGATTAGAATTTACCTTGGATAGGAGTGTCGTGCGTTTACTTTGGACTCTCGGCTTCGGCACGGGATCACACTGCAAGCAAGAACTCTAACACCGTCAGTTCCTAAGGGGAGATGCTTGTACCCCGTAACTCTACCCGTGGATCCTGTGTTATTATTATGATGTTCTCTTCAGATTGTAGTCTTCGATAAATGTGGTGGTTTTCTAGGAGTCTACTGAAATATTCCCGAGGTTCCCGGGGGGTTGATTCGACCCCATGTCAAAACGGCGTTTGCCCAAAGTGTCCCTCACAGGATCTATGCGGATCTACTCCGTATGTAGAAGAAATCTGACTATTCTCCGTACTCCGTACCCCGAAGGGAGTACGGAGTACTGGCCAAGAAGTCCCAAGGCTGTCACTTTTGTCGTGAGATCGCAGGCCCCCCATCTTGGCTGCTTACCTAGCGGAAACCCTTTCTTGGAAGACGTTTGCTGGCAAAATAGCATGCCTGTTTCCGCAGAAATGCCTCGTCCCGAGGTCTCTTGCGGGGATCTTTTTTCCGTCAGTTCGCTTTTCGTTTGTATGGAGTACGTCCGATCCGCTCTAGAATTATCCAGAAGGAGATTCTTGTGTCTCACTGGTCTTGTCTAACAAGAGATGTGTCAGAAATAACATCGAAAATGGGGTCCAATGTAGAAAATTGCTCTTCCGGTTGCCTTAAAACTGTGCTTTTCAATTTGAGGGTGTGTGAACTATGTTAAACACAATTCAATCTCAATGAAACTACTCCGTACAATTTACTCCTTACACATCATTTATACACAGTCCTCGGGCAGGTAATGATATTTGGAAGAATATGATGAGTCGTCCATGGGGTCTTACTCCCAGGGTGCGGTCATCTGATACCTCATCTGGATAGGACCTCTCAACCAGACAGCAGATACGGAGTACATAGTACGACTTTTGAAGCTCAGAGACATATCTTATCATTTACAGGATGCGCATGTTTTATCTTGAGACTCTGTACTATAATGAAATGAAAATCGATGAAAGCAGTGCTAGAAAGAGAGGAGAAATAATACAGTAAGTTATTTGTTGAGACTTCTTGGGATAGGTGCTCCAATATTTTGTATACAAGCATCTTCCGAGAGCAGGCGAGGCACACCACAACCTTGGAAGACTGCCAAGGATCATTGGGACATAATAATTTATATCACATCGCATCAAACCCATAGGCCTCCCAGTTCCTTTTCACTTTCTCTTGTACATCCACGTGATATGATCCTTTGAAGGATCCGACCTTCCAAGGAAGCTCCTCGTCAACGAATTCACACGGGAGCATACAGCATTTCACCACTTTCTTGTTGTTGCGAGCCGGCTTTGTACCGTGGGCAAGGAATCAGGGGGATATTGCCGTACTCGTCGAAGAGGAACTCGCTAGTCCCGGGCTCACAGCGAGTGGCTTCTGCCCAAAGGAGGTCCCGGAGGTCAGTGGGGTCAATGTCCTCACCAACCAGGAACACCTTCGGTATGTACCACCCAGGCTTTGAGCCGAATACAATGTGGCCCAACTTGACACAGAACTCATTCATATCAGTTTTCAGCTTCAGCAATTCCTTGCGGTCGACTTGAATGGCAAGCCAGTGAGCATGTGACTCGAAGGGACACCAGACCATCTGGATCGGCAGGCCAGCATTCTGGCAAATATTCAGCACTTCAGCTGCAATCATCACCGCCCACACAGTGTGACTCTCTTCGGTGGCCCTTCCAGTGATGCAGATTGGCAAGATTGGATCTTCACGGTAGGTGATGGCGTTGACTTTGAAAATAGGACACTCCTTGGCGCGTCCCGGATACACCAGGCCATGATACTCCATCATCGGGCCTTCAGGTGCGGTCTCGGATATCGAAGCGAAGCCCTCCATCACAATCTCCGCATTGGCAGGAACGAGAAGATTGTTGGTTTCGCATTTAACCACGTCAATGGGCTTGCCAATCAGAGCGCCGATGTATCCAGCCTCATCCTCCCCCTTGGGGATCGGCATACCACCCACCATGATCGCCGCAGGTGGGACACCAAAACAAAGTGCCCATGGCATATCCTTTCCGAGATCTTTCCACTCCTGGAAGATCACACCGATATCTTGCTTTGGAATGATAGGTCCAACCAGGGTTTGCTTGCCATGAACCATAGCTCGAGTGATTGACCAGTTGGTCCAGGTTCCATCGGGCTTCTGCACAATATGCATGCCGAAGGTCTCGATAAACTTCCCGCCATCATGTTGGTGCAGCAATGGTGTTGGGAGGGTGGTCAGATCAATCTCATCGCCAAACAGCTTGTACTCTTTCACTGGTCCAGATGCGACTTCGTTGGGAGGCAAAGGCTGGAGATTCTTGGCTTCATTGATCTTGTCGATGATGCCTTTGCCTGTCGCAGAGGAAGACAGCCCTAAGCTTTTGGCAATCCGGCCAAGTCTTTGGCCAGGGACCCGGCTTAATCCAACGGGTGCACCGAGGACACGGAACAGCCCCTTTCCTATCCGGCCAGTGATGTTCTCGAATAAGGGAGCTTTCTCCTCTATTTCACTGAATTTGAGGGGTTGTACAATGGGTCAAGGCTCTGGAGCAGTTGACGGTTAATAATTGTGCTGCATGATCTATGGTGGGATAAATATCAAAATAAAGAGAACTTCGGACTTCCAATCAGTCTTTGGGATGTTCATCCGCTAGACTTCCTTGATTGATCCCCAATCCCTTATTCTCGGTTCACGGCTTAGCCAAGACTTCCATTTCTCGACCATTCATGATGACTTGACAATTAGCTGGAACCTTGGATGGACAGCTAAAAAGACAGTAAAAAAAGGTCCCGAAGTTGATGATAGTTCTCTTTCTTCGCCAATCGAAACATGAGATTAAGCTAATACATAACTACACCTGTTTATAAGCAACTATCGTCGTCTTTTGGCCGCGCGTGATCGCGGCACTGAGGCTTGTCCCAATAATCTACTTAATCCTACATGGTGAACTAGGAGACCAACACTAAATTCTGTATTTTTTCTCTAACTCATATCTCCAATGTAGTCTCTTTCTCAGGTCATTCCAAAGTTTTCCACAAGTGGCAATAAAGCCTTTCTCAACAAGGCGAACCAGTGGTCAAGATATGCTTAGCCTGCTGAGCATAAGTGCAGCCGTTGTTGACGTTAGTGTCCGACCACCCAGCAGACCATATCATCACGCCTTCAAAAGCATAATTGTCCCTGTGTTGATTCACAAGCGAAGCCAAAGCGTTAGGGTCGAGATAGTAACGTGCGCCAGACATGGTACCAGTAGAGGCGAGGGGTGCGGCTGGAACCCCGAGGAAGATTTTGGCGTTTGCAGACGGCGTTCCAGCGATGTTGTTAACCCACGCGTCAAAGTTGATGTACCCTCCATTCGAACAGTATGGGTTGTTGTAAAACTGAACCCAGAGGTAGTCGAAGACTGAGTTCTGGATGATCACTTGCATGAAGGGCTCAGGGATGGGACATTGCGGAGCGCCAGTGATGTAGTACCGGTTGGAGGAATCAGAGGCAAAGTTGGAGCGCAGCTTGGCAATGAGGTATGGGTAGTAGTTGTTTCCCGTCCAGGCCTCGATATCGAAGTCCCATCCGTTGACAAATGTTGAGCCGAAAGGCCTCGGGGTGTTGGAGCCGCCTGTGTTGCCGTATGCCTCCCACAAATGTTGACCAATAGCCTCTGCCTCTGCTTGAGAAGATAAAGCGTATGCCCCGGAAGCACCACCAAGTGACAAAATGACTTTGATTCCATTTCGTTTGCAGGTTTCGATGGCGGAGGCTAGACCTCCACAGTTTTGAGGGTCGCCACTGGGGGAGATGTAGCATTGGGTACCGATGGTGCCGGAAGCAATGGTCTTTCCGTTACCATACTCGTACAGGAAGGATAGAACAATGATATCAAGTCCAGAGTTGGAGTTGCAGTAACTGGCCAGGTCGCGGACGTGGCCATCCTGGCCCCAGTAAGCCACATTCTGTGGGCCATTTCCCCAGGCTCCTGGCTCCTGGGGCATAGCAGTAACTCCCAAGTGGAGGAATAGCAGATGCACAAGAAATACAATGAAGTTCATGTTGACTGATCACTTGGTGGTCTTGTAAAGATAGGAACTGAAAGATATTCAGCGCGGAAAGGTTGGAGAGGTGGAGGAAGAAGAAGAGAGAGAGATAAAGAGAGATGAAGTGAAGAAGTGAGATAACAAATAGTAAAAGGAAGCGAGAGGAGAGAATGCGGCTCAATGGGGAGGGAGGTGAGCGAAGGGGGACACCATTCGGTAGACATCGAGCTTCACTTGTATTCCAAGCCCTGAAGCCCCCATTGACTCGGGGTTTGAGGTTCCAGTATGCTACCCTAACTGGGATATCCACCAGATAGGACTCCCAGCACCCAATCAACAGATTGAAAATCATTGGTAGCAACCTTACTTCCTAAGAATATGGAGCGCTGTAGTACTGGGTGGGATTCAAGACTTGCTCGCAAGTTGAGAAATTGCAGGAGGGTGACAACGTCGAGTGACATGGCCACGATGATTCGAAAGGGGTCCAACTCAATGACTACCAGAAAGGCTGAATCACTATCAATCCTCAGGAAATTGGACTGTCTAAGAGCTTCCCATGCCTTGGTGGGTGTGTACTGATCATATGGGGAAATGGTTCAGGTACTCTCAACAACGAGCGATCAATTGAGAAATCAAGGTGGGCACTTGGGCATACACATGATATCATCAACCTCCAAAGCAGAGACTGGCGCGATATTCCAACTACTATCGGCTATCTCGGGCACACGACTACAACGTCAAATTCTCGGAGGGACTCACAAACTCAAGTTTTCGCCGTGCACGAGGTTACTTAGACTGGAAAGTATGGCGCGTGAGAGCCGCCTCAAGAGCAAAGGTACTGTGGACTCGCTCCGACATTGAGAGCCTAAATTACATCACAGCCAGCCAGGTTATTATACCATCTCATCGATGCCACGAAATAAAGCCGGCGTTTCCAATACTGCATTGGAATCAAGCTATACCTGCAATTTACGCCGCTCTTCCTTTTATTGCCGAGCAAAATGGCTGTGTGAATGTTGGCAAGTACTGGTTAGCTTGGCATGCTTCTTTCTCGGCTCGCAAGTACGTCTCATCTCATCCCCCGCATAAAGGCGTCGGCTATTAACGAAGCTCAAAAGTGACGAAGGCTTGGCTTGTTTCCTGTGTACAAATGCTAAACCCAAAGACATCCGCTAAGAGCCGGGGTTTGTGTCCATCTAAAACAAGGCATTGATCAACGAGACTATCAGAGTAACCACACTTGATCGATGGATGGTACTATACAATGGGAACTGATTGTTCTGTGAAGAGAGAAGAAGAACGCTTGGAAGTCAATCCCGATTAGAGTATGATTTTGGAACAAAAGATTTCAAGTAAGAAGGCAATGTCACCTCACGCGTCACGGTTCTTCTGGTCTTCCTAATAGGAATTCCGAATTTGAGATCGCAGCTCTCCTCCTTAGGGTTTCTATACAGTTTCCATCCAGCTCAAAGTGCAGAGCAAAAAGAAAAAAAGAACCCAAGCCTCCCCAGGGGACCTGTCGCCGGAATCGAACCAGGGGTCTCCTAGTAGGCAGACCAGCGATGTCAACTCAGGCCCGGCGCCTACCGAAGTAGCGCAAGACCCAACTCGACCAGGCAGGCTTGGATTGATAGTACTGCCCCCGGGGGGGCTATTTTATAGTTGCTTTTGAGCTCGAAATATAGGACAAAAAGAGAAAAAAAAAGACCCAAGCCCACCTGGGGGACGACCGCCGGAATTGAACTAGGGATATAGTTGATATGACCAGGGTGTCAGCTCAGGCATTCTACGCATAGCGCAGGGCCCAACCTGGCCAGGCAGGCAAGAGTTAATAGCTTTGCTCCCCGGGGCTAACATATAGCCACCTTTTAGCTCAAAGTATCAAAGGGGAGGAAAGAACCCAATCTTACCCAGGTGGTGACCACCAGGATTACCAGAGGGCTCATTCAAGCTTTACCGGAAGTGTCATCGCAAGCCCTAGGTCCAGCGCAAAGCCCAACTCAACCAAATAAACAAAGTCTCGTCTGAATCAAGGACGCTTTTCCGGTACTGTCTCTGACTTAGTTGGATATTCTCAGAAGAAACGGGTTTCAATTCAATGAGAACAATGGATGACATTCGTCCCAAATTGGGATCTGCTGACGTCTTGTAAAACGTGTGCGATCAAACCAGATCTCAAAACTCGATGCTTTTTACGTCTCTTTGGGGGATAATGAAGCCGGTCAACATTACGATAAGGATGGAGTATACGATGTATCAAGAATTTGAAAAAGCCGAAATCCATCATTCATTAAACGCTATCATCAACTCGTGAAGCTAGTGTACAAAGAGAAATTTAAATGCGCTGGGTCTGGGTGTGGCCAACAGTGTTAGATCCATCGAGGTCAGAGTCGACACGAGGGTCAGCCTTGTTGGCGACATTGCTGTCATGGGGACCGGCAGTGGAGTGGCTGGTGCGGCCGTGGTTGTAGCTGCTTCCAGCGCCAGTGCCAGCAGCGCCAGTTTCATGGGCCTCCTCGAAGGTACGGGTGGTGGTGTCGGGGCCAGAGCTGTGGGAGAGGTGCATCATATCAGCCTCACCAGCGAGGCTGCCCTTGTGAACATCGTTGTTGAAATCGTATCCCTTGCTGCGGTCACTGTCGACGCGTGGGTCAGCCTTGTTGGCAAGGTTGCTGCTGTGGGGACCGTGGTTGGAGGAACGGAGGTTCTCCTGATCGTTGGCGCTGTTGTGGCCGCCACTGAGAGGAGCGGCGGAGCCGTAGCTGGCGGAACCGCTGTGGGAGCCAGTGTTCAGGCCAGTGGAGCCGTGGCGGCTGTCAAGGTCGGAGTCAACACGGGGGTCGGCCTTGTTGCCAAGGCTGCTGTCGTGAGGACCGAAGTTGGAGGATCGGCTGGTGTCGTGGGTGTTGTGGCCAGTGCCGGAGAGAGGGGCAGCGGAGCCGTATCCAGTGGATCCGGTGCGAGCACCGTCAAGGCCGGTAGAACCGACAGAGCCAGAGTTCAGACCAGTAGAGCCGGTGTGCGAGGTGTTGTTAAGTCCAGTGGATCCGGTGCGAGCACCATCGAGGCCGGTGGAGCCGACCGAGCCGCTGTGTAGACCGGTGGAGCCAGCGTGGGAGCCGGAGTTCAGGCCAGTAGAGCCAGAGTGAGAGGTGGTGTTAAGTCCAGTGGATCCGGTGCCGTAGGCATTGCGGTCACTGTCGACTCGGGGGTCAGCAGTGTTAGCAATGTTGCTATCGTGAGGACCGTGGTTAGAAGAGCGGCCAGACTCGTAGGCATTGGCACCAGCACCAGCACCAACACCAGCACCGAGGCCTCCAGTAGAAGAGTGGGAGGTGGTGTTGTGGGCAGAACGGTCACTGTCGACACGAGGGTCGGCAGCGTTAGCGACGTTGCTGTCGTGGGGGCCGTGGTTGGATGAGCGGCCAGACTCGTAGGCGTTGCTGCCCACACCAGTGCCAAGAGGACCGGTGGAGGAGTGAGAGGTGGTGTTGTGGGCAGAGCGGTCACTGTCGACGCGAGGATCGGCAGCGTTGGCTACATTGCTGTCGTGGGGACCGTGGTTGGAGGACAGGCCAGACTCATTGTGGCTAGCACCGGTGCTCAGAGGCTGGGAGGTATGGCTAGTAGATGTAGTGTTGTGGGCAGAGCGATCGCTGTCAACGCGGGGGTCCGCGGTGTTGGCAACGTTGCTGTCATGAGGACCGTGGTTTGAGGACTGAGTAGACTCATAGTTGGTGTTGTCGTGGTGGTCGGTGTGATCGCCAGACTTCTTGTGAGTGACAGCGTCCTTGACCTTGTGGATAATGCTAGACATGATGGGTGTAGGTATTTAGCTTTTGTGTTGGAGAATAGAAATAGAAATTGAAGGAGGTTGAAGATATGAAGGCTGTAGATTGCAGATTTGTTTGGTTGTAATGTAGTACAACAGGTGGGATCTATAGGTATATTTATACACGAACTGCCAGGAGTATCTAGAGAATGACGCTTGTTTACCTCTCTGGTTGTACAAACGTCTGAAACAAAGGAAATGACGTTGTCTCCCCGCGCTGGTTGACGATGACATCAACCCGTCGAAACAAGGTTATCGTAGATATCACTCAGCGCCTTCTGATTGGCCACCCGCCGCCGGCTGTGGGAACCGACAGAGCGTGGCAAGGAAGAAGCCGAGAGCAGCGTCACGTCAAGTCGCCACTGAAACTTGCCGATCCTTGACAGCCCTAGAGAAATTAAAATAGAATCAGAATACAGCCATTGGAAGTGCGATCGACAGAGAATATAGATTAAGGGCTCGTGCGCCCCGCGTCATTGGCCTAAAACCGGTTCGGTCTTCCCGAAGTTTCTAGTCTCTATCCATGGCTCTACGTACTCCGTACTCAGTGCTTACTCTATAGCTAAGCAGGGATCCATGGATATAGCTGGGTACCCGAAGCAGTAAATTACGTAGAAGGAATGCGCCCTGAAGCTATGACATAGTTTCAATCCCCGGAAAATCGAACGATTGCGCTATCCTGTAGACATCGTAGCTTATCACACCAAAGCGTGCAGGGTACGACATACTAATCTCATCCAGCCGATTCACCTGCACCACTGTCTTGATCTACAAGTCTAGATCATCTCAATGTGAACTGTAGACTTTACGTTGGGTCGCCTTGCAGCGCGAAAATCCAGATGCCTATACCCATCTCCAATGGGGAGGCGGACAACTCCCTCGTGGAGGGCGGGCTTTGGGTCATAAAGTTTCAACCTTTTTTTGGAAGGACTCCAAAGAAATCAAAAACAAGTTCAAGTCAGGTTTCTTGAATTCGCTGCTTGGTTCCAAGGTTGGCGACCCCAAAGCGGGAAAGAAGACGTGGTTCACTTCACATGATAGCGGCGATCCTTTGTGCAGACCAGTGCGAACAGAACAACCTTGGAAGGATAGAGGATGCGGCTGACATCAAGCTTGTTCACTAGATCTAGTAGAGGTCCGAGAACATCCAAGGAGGATGGTTCTTGGTCTTTCTCATACACAAGTTTGCCCAAGGAGGTCCTCGAGCATTTAATGAACCGCTTCAGAGTGGTGTTCTATACAACCAGATCCCATAATCTCACTGCTGAGATAAGATACACAACAAGGATCTGCCCGAAAATATTTCCGATAATCTCCACCATTTGTCATGCTCATCTCGGGTTATTGTATAGGGGTTGGAGTCGTTGCAAGTGTGATGTGCGCAGCTGGGGTTTGAATAGATGAGGGGCTGAACCGACGACGAAGACAACAAGAACGTTAAAAGTACAAAGTAAATCAAAACTGTTTGACACCGCAGGAGCCAGGAGTCTTGGAAGCCATAGTAGAACCTTGGAGTTTGCTGACTGTATGTTGTTGATATCGCATTATAGTTTAGCACAGTGACAATGTACAACCTTGGAGGCTTCTGGCGAGCAGCCACGGTCCACAGTCTGTAAAAGCACTTGACCTTGGAACTCATCAATGGGACAAGGCTCCAAGTACAAAGGGAGAAAGAAAATATCGACATCCCCAGCACCAACTTCATATCTCTTCACATACATTGTTCCATCTTTCATGTGCCCACATTCAGAAACCGCATGCCCCACATGGCGCATTTAAACCTCAATTTGCGGCTGTCGTTTTTCTCTTGCTCATAGCCCAGATGCGGTAACATATGATATTTCTCAAGCTAACTAATTATGCGATGGCGTATTCACATTGCCTTCGTCTCTACTGTGGGTGTTTGTCACGTCATGGTGACCGCAATTGCTTCAATCTTCAGCCTATGCCCCGAGGCCGATACGGGAAATAATCTCGAGTCACAGCTGTGTATGTCTAAAAAATAGCTACATGTATGTATCATATAGTAGACAGAATCAGTGAATTTGCAAGCGAAAAGAACAAGAGAAATGGAACAATTCGTGAGCCAAATATCACTGTAAATTGTGTTTTGAGAGGCACATGCGAATAGGAACTAGACAAGAACAACAAGCATATTGTAGGTCAAGAATCAAGAGGGCAGAGTCTCAAAATACTCTAGCAGTGCATAGGTTCCAGTACAAGCCAGCCCTGGAGCCAGAGACCTGCTTCTCTGATTCCTTCATAAGAGTTTCGCCGTCAGATGCAAGCCTTCGCAAGGATTCAATGTCATATTTCTCTATTTTCCTCCAGGTCGGCCTCTCTCGATCTGCCTCGAAAGTTCGTGCAACACCACCCGTGAACGCTCACAATCGCCGATCCCAAGATCCAACCGACCAAAAAGAGAACAACCACAATGAAAAGCATAGCAAAAAAAGAGATGACCTGTGCCTGTGTTTTGGAGGCTGTCTGCAGCAGGCTCATGATGGAGGTTTGATCAATTTGACTTGGTGAAATAATTTTTAGTTTGGACAAGATGTGAAAAGCTCGAAGCACCTTGAGATTTCACTTCCATTTGCCGGGGATTAAGTTGCGCCATGGGGATTGTCTCTCGTTGATTTTCTGGGTTGGCGCCGACGTTTAATCGGGACATCGACTCGCAAACCAAGCCGAAGTGGTATTCAGTGAGAAGGCAGAGCTTGGAATAGCGAGTGTTTGTCAGGTAAACATTCACGTGTATTGGACAGTGAGAGTTGTGTGGTTTATGGAGCATTTGATGTAGTTAGCTAGCTTACAGGCTACCAGAGCAGGAGGAAGAGGTCGAGCAAAAGAAACCATTTCATTCAAACTTGAAGATCCATCACAAACAGGATCTGAAACAATAGGCTGCTTCCTTGTAGAGCAAACGATTTGAATATATGAAACAAGAAGCTTGACAAATAAGCAAAACCACAGAGTTGCACACAGTTGAGTAGCTTCACAGAAGAAGCCCACAAAGCAAGCAGGGAGTCCCGAGATGGACGCATAGATCTCATTTCTAGGTCATTTCCTCATCCTCATTCTGTCCATTCTGTATCAGAGCCACTAGTATTGCCATCGGTGGATGTACGAGTTCGCAAGGTCTCAAGGTCGTACGTCTCCGTAGTGTTGACTTTCTTCGATTTGCCTTGGGGAAGTGCTCGACACCCATCATACACTTTCAAAGCCACCCATGCCAGACCAGCTACCAGACACCAAAGGACAAATAAGATGATAGCTGCCATGAAAAGAATAGAATATCCAAAGAAACCGATCATACACAGGTAGCCGGCCGCACCCCACAGGTAGCCGGCCGCACCCCTGAGACTAGACGCGATCTCCTTCAAGCCCATGGTGATGATTTGGTCTGAGTGAGATCACAGGCAATAAATTTTGAGTCTCGGTGGAAATCGAAAGGTCTGGGTACTTCGTGGTTTTTGAATAGAATCGCCACGGGTGTCAAGTTTGGTTGCTGGCGGTCACGGCTGCTTCAATATCTGGATCGGGCTCCGACACCGAAACAGGAAATCAACCTTCGAGGGAAGCCACCAAGGATGCATTGAGCTAAAAAATGCCAATGACATGGCTAATGAAATCGCCGTGCTCTTGTTTCTGACTGGTAATAAGATAGATGTAATATGATGTGCAGTCCTGTGTAGAAGTGATAGAAACACTTGGCGTCAATCGGGGACGAATCACTCATTGGGCCTGAGACGAAAGGCTTTGATACATTCTTTCTCAACCCGACATGTCGGCAATTTCTCCCACTTTCATCCCACACCATTGCTTCCCTCTCATGGTCCACAGGCGCTGGACAAGACGGGCTATGGGCTCTCCACTGCACCAGCCCCAGCCTGATGCGGCTTTTTGGGCCTAGTGGTCACTCTCAGCCTGCTCAATTTGTGCCTGTCGATAGCCTTCTAGTTCCTGTCGGGAGCTTTTAGCGATCGTTGACCTGATGAAAACGAGCGACATGATGAGTTAGGTAGAGATGATTCCTAAGAGAGGAGGGGGAAAGGATTCCGAGAATTTGGCGGACCATGACACACGAGGCGGCGAGAGGGACGGAGAAGAAAGGCTCGGATTCGGATGTAACTCATAGCGAGAATGCAGCTATGCGTTCAGGTCTGATATAAGGATGAGCGCTGGATGCAAGCCGAGTGCGGGTCTTTGCTTGTATTTCGACTTTATACGAGCTGACGGCTGAGGCTTCCAAGGTTGTATCCGCCTCATTGAGAAGGCAGAGTAAACAAGCATCACGAATAGGGCACGATGGGGCGGAAGGGTGCCAATGGAGTCCGGCAGATTGCTGAGTCTGAGGATGGCTGTACGAAAGACCATAGTAAGACCGCCAGCTAGTAACATCGGCAATTGCAGTCCAGAGAAGGTAACATGGCTCAGGTCAAATGGTGCGATGAAAGATAGACTTGAGATGTTTATGTCTATGACTACCAGGAAGAGTGTAGGCTAAGGAACTACCAGTAAGACTCGTAAGAAGGCATAAATAAAGCAATATACACACGACTAGGAACATAAACAAAGAGATCAATGGGTGCAACCAAGTCAGTAGACAACGTCAAATAAAAGGTGTATCTACCACAGGAGTGTCAAAAAAATTTAAATAGAAACCAAGAAGGGAAAAAGGGCCCTAGGTCCGTAGACCAAAGAAGCCAGAGAAAGGTAAAACTCCTAGTCCTCCTGTACAAGTTGTGCATTTGCATAACTAACGCGAAATCAAAATCCCATCAGTGGGTGGCTTAGGGTGCAAGGCGCTTAGAAGACGGAAGCACAACCCCAGTGCTGCTCAACGTTGAAGTCACCAGGGGCCTTCCAGTCGTCGTTGGCGAAGGAGAAGAAGATGGACTTGGAGCCGACGGCCTTGGCGATAGCCTTGACAGCGGTGATCTGCTCAGCGGTACCGGGGATAGCGGCACCGTTGGCGTCACCGGCGTTGGGCCAGCCGGTCTCGAGGTTGATGACGTCCTTGCCGCCACAGATCTTCTCGAGGACAGCGAACTCGGACTTGGCGAACTCACCGGCCTTCTCGGCGGTGACATCGGCGTTGAAGAAGGGGTGGATGTTGGCACCGACGATGTCAACAGCGCTGCAGAGGGAGGCAGCACCGGACTTCTCCCAGATGTTGATGGGCTCAGTGGTGGTGACCTTGCCGCTGTAGCCGGCGGACTGGAAGCTGGACTTGGCGGACTTGATGAAGGAGCCGAGGGTAGAGGCATCGACGTAGCCGGAGGAGATGGCCTCGTTACCGACGACAATCAGCTCGACCATGTCCCACTGGGCCCACTTGGTGATGGCAGTGACCTGCTCCTGGGCGCCAGAGACACCGGAGCCCTCGATGTAGACACCGAGGATCATGTTGAGGCCGAGCTCCTTGCAGGCGTCACCGATGAACTCGAGACCGCTGCAGTCAGTGGAGTAGACACGGACGAGGTTGAAGCCCTTGCCCTTGATATCCTTGATGTCCTTGAGAACCTCCTGCTTGGTCTTGCAGTTGCCAGACTCAGTGTAAGGAGAGTAGGTCATACCGTACTGGCCCTCACCGGTGATGCCGGAGCCAGAGGTAGGGGTGGAAGTGGCAACGGCGCTGCTGGTGGAGCTGCTGGTGGCAACGGGAGCAGGGGTGGTGGTGGTAGCGGCAGCGGTGGTAGCAGGAACAGCGGGAGCAGTGGTGGTGGAAGCCAGGGTGCTCTGGGTGGCGGCGGGGCAGACGTAGGTGTAGTCAGTGTTGGTCACAGTGACGGTGGTGCCGGTCTGGGTGTAGGTACCGGGGGTGATGGTGTGGGGGGTAGGGTAGACCAGAACGGTGCTGGTGGGCACAGTGGTGGTGGTAGGAGGAACAACGGTGTAGGTACCGGCAGCGGGGCAAGTGTAAGTGGTGGTCTCAATGACGCTGGTAACGGTGGTACCAGTGGGCTTGACAGTGGCGTAGGGGCAAGTGATCACGGTGTCGGTGGTGACAACAGTGGTAACACCGCCGTAGGTGTGGGTGCCGCTGGGGACGTCAGTGGAGGTAGCACCGCACACGGTGGTGCTGTCGGTCACGGTGAGAGTGGTGGCCGGGATGGTGTAGACACCGGTGGTGGAGAAGGTGCTGACACCGGGGGTGGGCAGCTCCACGGTGCTGGTGCTAGCAGGGGCGGTGCTCGAGGGAGCAGGAGCGGGGGTGGAGCTCGAGCTGGAGGGGACCGGAGCCGCGGAGGAAGAGGGCGACATAGTCACGGTCAGAGTGCTGGTGCTGGTGCTGGTGGCGTGCACAGTGCTGGTGAGAGTGCTAGTCGACTCCGGGATGGGAGAGGGAGTAGACGACGACGAGCTGGCGGGGGCCACGGGGACCAGAGTAGGCTCGCCGTAGTAGGTGATGACCTTGGTGGTGCAGCCGCAGGTCTCATCGGGGTTCAAAGGCGCAGAGGCGCTAGGAGTCACGCTGGACGAGGCCCAGACGGAAGAGGTATCGCGACGGTGGAAAGCGTCGTGACGACGGTGGACACCGTCGGCCATGGCAGAGCCCACCATGGCGGCGGCGGCGAAAAGTGTTCCCTTCATGGTGAGAAAGATAATATTTCCCACGTAAAAGAATGAATGCCCGCTGAACGAGTGAAGCGGTGGTCAGTGATTTCAAGGAACGTGGGTTGAAAAGGTAGAAGGAGAGGTGGGCACGCAAGGCCTTTTGTTCGAGGACTCGTTACCGGGGGAAGTTAGGGGGAAAGAATAAAAAAAGGAGAAAAAAAGACCATATAAGGGCAGTGCACTAGACTATATCCAGGTCCACCGATCGTGAATTTTCATTTAAAATTACCCTAAGATTACCCCTGGAGTCTAGATGTGTTTTCAGGGACAATGTACTCCTTATTGGTCCAGCGCTATAGACCCGATTGTTGGCTGCTTATGGTTGGCCCGCACGGCTCGGGCAGGAGTGGATTGTTTTCATTTTCAACCATACAATTTTGTACTGGGCCTGCAGGGTCATTTTGTGTGGTATGGAGCACAATGGTGGCATTGGCGAGTATATTCAAATAACGCAGGTACAATATGTACTCCGTACACCGCTGGGGATTGTACTTTGGCCCAACGGTCACTTCGATCCGTACCACAATACGACTCTCTCGTATTCAAAGATCTTTATTGAATACCGCACGGATACCTTATCCTCCCACCTGCCCTCCGGACTAAGTCGGAAATAGTGATCCTGTCTCACATCTGGTCTACGGAGTACTAATCTACGAGAATAGCCTCCTCCCCCTTACGGCGGTGAGGGTCGCGCTGGGCTTTCCAGCTCCAACTCCTAACCGCGCGAGCACAATCTCCCCAGTCCAGGGCCAAGGTTTCATGCGTCCTGTCAGACAATGTAAGGCAACACTACAGCCCCATTGTGGCTTACTCGGTGGCAACCCGCCCCCGTGCAACTTCAACGCCTCAAGGTACTCCGGAGAGTGCAATGTCTCTCATGAAATGATGGTGAGGGTAGTTTGCGGGGCAGGCAGGACTCTGTCTCAGTGTTGCATTGGTATTCCGGCGTCTTCCAGCCTGAAGGAGAGACAAAAAGAAAGAAAAACAGGAAATGCTCATCCCGCACTAAGTGGGTCCGATATCATAGCGTCCTCGGCCAGCCCCAAAATGGTAAGGTGTCAACCCAAACTTATCCTATCCTCTCTTCTGATTGGCTCCTCCAAGACCTCTAATTTCCGCCATGCCGATCCGCATTATTAAAGACAATACGGAGTACGGCAATACCGGTATCTAATTTTATACGATATTTCGCCATTTGTTTGTTGTTCTTGGATTTCCACGGAGTTGTGCATCCCCAGCCTGAACCTCATCTGAGACCTCTGCGAAGACAACGTGCAACGTGCTTAATATCAATTTTGAGAGCCACTTCCACTTTCTTCACTACTTGTATGCGTGGTTTTATCCCCCTGACGATCTCCGGCTCGCAATGAACTAGCCGATCACCCGAACAAAGTTATCAGAAACCTGCACTCAACCGCCATCGGTTTACACTACAAGTCACTAACAGGCAGGACCGCGTGTCTCCTCGTAGTCCTCCGTATGGCGCCTTGAGGTCCTCGTTACCAGAATGAAAAAAAAATTTGAAAAGCCAAAAAAACGGTGTAGCCTACTCCGTACACATCCGATGCAAGCGATACCCCCACTGGAGTACGAATCCTGCAAAGCGATAGTAATATCAACTCGCCTACTCCGTATATATCTGCTGTCGCGCAGGTGTGAACATGAATTTAAACAGCAAGCGCACGGCGCGGAGATCTTCACAGCACCCGGACCTGGCTGCTGATCTCAATCAGTGTCGAAGTCTGGATCTCGTCGAATGGCGATCACAACTCATCCACGGGGTAGATCCCGGATGTTGGGGAGCCGGAGCGTTGTGCTTGTATTTGTGGAGAACGCTATGAATGTGCGCACACTAGTGCCTGACTCCTGAGTCGGCAGAGTCGAACCTACTCCGTATGGGTTCTTGGGTTACTCCGTATCTCCTGGGCTCTTGCGGGATAAAATGCGATAGCTCTGGCGTTGGCATGTAATATTGGGAGACAGAGTTTCGATTAAATGGTTTGATTTGAGGATACAGGGGTACGCTCCAAATAATTCCAAGGATTCAGGGCTTGGATAACAAACCATTTCTCTCGGCGATTGTATCTTTCACTCACGCCCATACGGAGTACGCCAACGATACCACAAAGGAATCGGTTAGGTCAAAGACAACTCGACAGTCCAGACCGCCGACTCGCTCTTGGCCTTGTATTTAAATTCCAATCAATGGATCTCCAAGGATGATAGCGGATCTGGGCGTTGGGCGAATGGAGTTGCCAAGCATTACGGAGTAGCCTTGGCTTCCTTTTGTTCTTCAGGGGGTTCGTCGATTGGAACCTCGAAATTTAGTTCCCATGCATAGGTCAGGGTGGCGACTTTCTGTCAGATTTGCACATGGATGTGAATGTTTCCAATAAATCGTTCCATGGGTCCGTTATGAGTTCTGGGGAAATTTCGGTTGGGTCATCTTCGGGCGGCGTTCTGCTATTTTCCCTGCATATGATGTTGGCTCTCCAGGGCTTCTGACATGTCAGATTGATAATTAGGGGACATTCCAAACGTCGAATATTCTGGATAAATTACCCCGTCCGGTGAGCCACATGGAACTGTCGTGTGCAACGCGTGGTTTCAGCATTCCAACCTAATCCGCAGTTGGCTTAAGAGTCTATTTTGGGGCTCCGGAATGCTGCCGCTTAAGTTTTGATAAGTGAAGATAGTCTCAGTATTCATCAATGCTGGCAGCATCGGTTTCCGTTCGATTATGGAGCATATATATATTCAGTATCACAATATACCCAAATTCAAGGTTTTTTATCCATCACCTGGGCAGTTGATCGACCTTTTGGGGAATCCGGAGAAAGTGAGTGTGTTTCTGATATTCTGCAAATATATTTCTTCGACTCGGCAGGATTTGGATAGCCGCCAAGGTCAGTTTACCTGTATCTAGATCCAAGCCCAGACCAGAGCTCAAAAATCTCAAGACTAGATATAGAAACTTAAAAGGCTACATTGACAACCCTCATATCTTGCACATTGTGTGATTTTTTTTTTGTAAGCTCCGTTGATTTGAAATCGCCATCTATGGCTGTGCGGGCGGGCATTGAAGTCTACAAATCACTTACGCCTCGGCTAGGTGCCCATCAAGCAGGAAATTCGAGATACGACCTGGACGGTAGGCACTGGCATCCAAGCTTACATATAATTGAGAATGGCTACCAGCGCTCACTTATCTCTGCGAACTTGACACGGATGGAAGCACCGAGCGCGGAGCAGGAACAGAAGATCTCTTGCACTCGAACCCTGCATGAATAAGAAGCACCCTTGCATGCAGATCCTGCACCTCGAGCATTAATGTAGAGTCTATTCTCTTGATATCGTACGGAGTATTCCGTCCAAGAAAAATGGACTAGTGGGTTTATTAGACTCGATAATTGTTCCGGGCAACGAGTCGGTCAGCACATCATATGATCCTTAACCTTCTGGATTTTCATACACACTCATCGAAGAAGAGGCTCATATGTGTATTCTGCATATTGGAATTTGCTCCATGTTCATACTCGTGCTTCGACAGTCGAAGTGATATGAACCCGAGAGAGTCGAGTACTTCCGACAGTACGGAGTATCACGCCCTCTGTGCTAAATAGGCTGTCACGTTGGCTTTGATTCATATCCCAATTAATTGCTTCCAATCACTGCTAATTGTGGCCTTGAGATATCGCGAATCTGTAAAATCAGTACCAGGTGATTGCATACTCAACTCCACGAATGTCGCCCGGTTCGTGAAAATCCACAATAATCTTGGAATTTCAAAGTCAAAGATAGTTTCGAGGTTGTGGAAGAAGATCAATTCGTATCTCTTAAGACAGCAAATCTCACCTCAGCGATTGTGGTTGCTGCGAACTCGAAATTCCGATTTCCGTAGAGGTGCTCCGTATAGATGGGACCACCCACCATGCCACCCATCATCCCACATAGCACATGACCTCTTCGCCACAACACCGGCCAATTATCGTCTTTCTAATTATTTCCCCTCGGCAACATCCGCTATGAGCAGAGAATATCAGAACATGTCATTCAATAAGAATAAAGGAAGATTCGCGCTAACCCCCGGAGAGCCGCACCGTACCACCCCAACGTCATGACTTTCACCAACCACAGACCCGACCGTTAATCTCTATCGTACGAGCCAGGAGTCACACTATCCAACACATGGACCGAAATTTCTATTACCGAACTCTGGATGATCCCAACACCCAGCCTCTCGGAACCGACAGGGTACTCCAGAGTTCGGGCTGGTGTCAGGCCACACTGCTGCTCGAACCCATGGAGGTGTTGTAGGGTTCATACATGATGGGGCTCTGCTGGATGTATAAAAGGCTTGCATCGTTACACAGTCTTTTATTCTCCACGCAAAGAAACAAAGATACATTCTACTACAACCTTGGAGAATATCACATTCTCCTACACAAGACTACCAGTCTACCACACCTACATCAAACCATCAAAATGACCAACCCTACCAAAGCCGCCGCGAGCGAACACACCCGTTTGCAAAATGAATTCGGCGCCGACCACTGGGTCCGCAACCCTGCAGCAGAGTATCGTGTACGTAGCACATGGCTCCGATCTTGAATCCATCGACTGACATAATCTAGCGCCCTACCCTTGGACGAGGCCTGTTCGCTGGCCTGCAGGATACAAAGCACTATAATGTTGAGAATGGCTGGGCACGACGCAAGTCTGATCCCCAGCCTGGGCTTTTGGTTCGCTATGGAGTCGGTATGTTTATTCGATTTCCATTTGGGTGTATGTGGATTTAAGCTGACTTTATTATCTTCGAATAGCCTTACTGGCGCTTGAGGATTCTTCGCCTTTGGGGTAGAGATTTCTTCTGTGCATGATAAAGATTGAGATGATTCTGTGTTTTTGGAGTTGTTCGGTGTCGAAATTTCGAGCATTTATTTGTTATTATACCTTTTTGAATACATCGTGCCTGGTGTCTTGCTGGACACTTCTTATACAGTTTTTGTGCATTTCTCCTCTATTCATTTCTGCTGATAGTATACGAACTTAGAGTAATTCATGTTGGATCTAGGTGATCATTTCAAAGTCGAGATTAAGTTCACAGGTTACTTTCTAGCCCTGGAGACTTTTTGGTGCTCCAAGGTTTATGACAGTTGAGGGTCTCATGCGCCCCTCTTACTCAAATTTACTCCAGAAGAACATAACAATCCACAAAATGAGGTATGTGTATATTTTGGATATAATATTGACAAAGAACGCTAATTAGATATACCAACGCCAGCCTAAGGCTCAAAGCCGAATCCAGAATGAAGGAAATGAAGAGCCTTGGAAAATTTACTCCCAAGAGTCAATCTTCATAGTACCCTTCTCCTGCAAGTTCTTGTGCATCTTGAAAGCCTGGAAAAGCATGTGAGGCTCATGACCCATACCCTTACGCAGACACTCGAACTCCGCACGGTCAAGGTAATCCGTGAGAATAGGGTAGTAGTCAGGGTGAGAGCACTTCTTAATGATGACACGGGCACGCTCTCTAGGCGACAAACCACGAACATCAGCCAGACCCTGCTCGGTAACGATGACATCGAGATCATGCTCTGTCTGATCGATATGGGTGGCGAAAGGAACGATGCAGCTAACACCAGTAGGATCGGTCTTGGAAGGACGAACACTGGGGGTGTGCATGATACTGTACTTGGAGTTACGGAGGAAGTCGGCGGAACCGCCGAGTCCGTTCAGCATGCGAGAGCCCATGACGCAGGTTGAGTTTGCGTGGGCGTAGATGTCGACTTCGACGGGGGTGTTCATGCCGATGCAGCCGAGACGACGGATAATCTCCGGGGAGTTGGAGACCTGCTGGGAACGGAGGAGCAGCTTGCCTGCATATTGCTCCCAGTTATCGTAGAAGCGCTTGAAGCCGTCGGGGGAGAAACGGATGGAGGTTGCGGTGGCGAAGTCGAGGTTACCGCTGTCGAAAAGGTCAAGGAATGAATCCTGCAGGACCTCGGTCCAGACCTTCAGGTTCTTGAAGTCTGCGCCGCCCTTGCTGAGACCGCCGACGACTGCGTTGGCGATGTTGCCGATACCGGATTGGATGGGGAGGAGGTTTGGTGGGAGACGACCGTGCTTAACCTCGTGCTTGAGGAACTCAATCAGGTTGGTTGCGATTGCTTGGGAGCCTTCGTCCTCCGGGGCGTTGGGCTGAGTCTGGTCCGGGTAGTTGGACTCGACAATGGCAACGACCTTCTCGGGGTCAACGGGGATGTAGGAAGTTCCGATGCGGTCCTCGGGAGCCATGATGAGGTATGGCTTGCGGCCAGGGGGCAAGTCCGAACCCACGATATCGTGCAGACCCTCGAAAGAAGGGCTGGAGGTGTTGACCTCGATGATGACCTTGTCGGCCATCTGGACGAGCTCGGGCGAAGCGCCCACGGAGGCACCGGGAATGATACCTCCGTTCTCAGTAATTGCCGACGCTTCGATAACAGCCACATCGATTCTTGGCTCCGGCTTGTTCAGCGTGTACCAGCCCTAAGGGAAAAAGGTTAGACTTTGTGATTCTCCTCGGCGGAAACACCCGAGAAGGACTTACATAGACCAAATCCGAGGGAAACATGCTCAGATGCTTATCGAAGAATTTAATCTGACCATTGTTGATTCCCTTGGCAATTTCCTTTCCGACCTGATGGGGACTGCGTCGCTCAATCATGTTCAGGCGGGCCCAGCGGTTCTCCGTCTCCGCGCCAGAGGAGGCACCGACGAACAGGTTATACTTCAACTGTCCCTCGAGGCCATTCTTCTCAACGTGATCCGCCATGGCAACTGGAACCATTCTGGAAATTTCGTTAGAAATGGGGAAGAATTGTCTTCAATTCGCTGGGTAACGCACTTGGGGTATCCAACGCCCGTAAATCCGGACCAGCCGATGTAGGCGCCATTGGGGAAGTGATGAAGGAGATCCTCAGCTTTAGCAAGCTTCTTCAAGTACGAAGGCCGCCGCACACGGCTCTTCAATAGTGCTGAGGCACTCATAATTACAGAATCAAGGGAAGAGGGGAGAGGTTCCAGATGTGAAGAAAAGGAAGGAGTTGGGAAGCTGGGGGATTAAATATGATTTCAATCCACAACCCCACGGGCAATAACCGGGTATCCACAGGAAATCGAGACCGGGATCCCGGAAGAATGGAAGTGAGCTTGACTTGGGTATTTAAGTCCGGCCTGGACGAGATGGTGGCAGCCTTCTCTTATGGCGACTTAGACGACATGATGCTCCATTGCAGCTTCTCAATGGTTTATCTATGCAGATTCCCACCAGCTTGCCCCGTGAAATCCAAGTATTCCCGGGGCCAGAAAGCGCAAAGTACTCAATTACCCAAAGCAGCGCCATATTTCATGCTGACGTCAACTACGGCATTCCCTCGGTCTATCTCGGCATTGACTCGCTGGTCCGCATTCGGCTTCTCCCCTTTCTATACAGCCGACTACAGCTGATACCTTCTGTTTTTAAGTGTTTTTTTACACGGCTTTATCGTTTCTGGCGAGTCTAACAAATTCAATCACAGCCAGAGAGAAAAAAAGAAGTAGTTGGAGGCAAAAGCTGGAGAAAGGAGATCATGGATCCCCCGAGTTTCAGCCGACTCCACATCTCGGCCTAGTCGGTTATCCTCTTCGGCCACACGGAACTCTGAGAATGGGGTTTGCAGTGTGGCATCCAGTGTACCATTATTGGGTCGATTGGTACTCCATATTCAATATCGGAAGATCCTGATATAAATCATCCGAGATCTACAGGGGTTGATCAAACCTCTCACCCCTCTCACAGAATCGATGTGAAACAAGTCTCAGGCAGAAGCTAGGAGCCTACAGCTCTACAGTATGGAGTACGGAGGACGTGGAACGGAATCAACCTTGGAAGTCTCCTGAGTATTGTGACCAAGCTATCGTATGCACGGTAGCATAAGAAATTCTCACATTATGTACGGAGTACCCCGTGTCATCTATCCCCTAAAGATTTTCAAGGTTCGAAGAGTGTCGAACAATAACAACAGACTACGTGAAAAATAAAAGAAGCAAAAAAGTTGGAAAAAAAAAATCAAAGATATCAGATATCATTCAAAGACTAGCAAGCAAGGCCCGATCTCACGATGGGCAAATTCATTGACAGAGAACCGTTAAGAATAAAATAAAAAAAATACAAATACAGCACCGTGGAATTTCATCTCGCAATTTCCTCGTGTACGCCGACAAAAAATGCATATCAGTCCTCCGAAGAAAGACCGGCCCGTCGTAATAGTTACACTTCACTCCGCTCAAGCCTCAGTGGGCTCAGCATCAGTCATCTCAGTATCTTCATCCACGCCCTTACCCTGACCCTCACCCTCCGCCTGGGCCTCACCCTCGCCATTAGGCTGGGAAATAGGTTCAGCGGGAGCAGGGGATGAGATAGTACCATCGACCCAGGAGCGGAAACGCTGATTCGATTCGTCGACTTGGTCCTTACTGAGACCACGAGCCCAGATAGGGTTGTTGACGAACTTCTCGCGGAAACGGTCGTGGCGCTTTTCCTTAAGAGCGGCCTTCTCCTTCTCGGCGTCTTCGGCTTGGGCTTTGATGGTCTCGGCGTCGGCGTCCTTCTCTGGGACAGGGGCGGTGGAGCGCCAGAACCAGTCTGAGCTGGCGGGTTGGTAGAGCATGGTGTAGTTGTTTGCGCAGACGCGGATGATTAGGCCGTCGTTGTGTTGCAGGGTGCGGTAGTAGCGCTCGTACTCCTCGTCTTCTTCGAGCTTGGGTGGGAGATTGCGCTTGAGAAGGGGCATGTTCATCTTGGAGAATTGCACGCCTTCAGTTGGGTCGCGCATGGAGTAGGCTGTCACGTAGTAGGACCAGCGTTCCTCGGCGGTGAGCTCGTCGGAGGAGAAGGTTGGTTCTTCGGAGGTCATCACCTGGACGGTGACGCGACGGTCGGTTGGGTTCTGGTGTTTGTTAGTTGAGAAAGGGAACTAGGGTTAGGCGGGTGAACTTACAAAGGTAATGCGGTAGATATCACCATCCTTGACGAGACGCTCAACCTGCTTGCGGTATTGGATCTCCTGGTGGTGGGTGGTTTCTTCCTTCTCGCGTTCCTTGAAGAACAGGTTGGCGATGTCGGAGCTGCGGTCGCGGGAGTCGCCAGTGAAGATGGAAGCGACGAATTTAGCGACAGAGGAGAAGATGCGCTCCAGGTTGTAAAGGAGGAATCCAGATTGCATGTAGAAGCGGCGCAGGGTCTCCTCGAGGTGGATCTGGTCAATATCACCCTTGATCACCTCCTCGCACATGCGCACGACTTGCTTGTAGAGGTTGGCGTTTGGCTCCACGTCGTAAAAGAAGTCACCAGGGAATCGATCGATCAGACACAAGTCGTGAGCAGGCTTAGGAAGGAGGCCACGTCGAACTTGCTCGCGAGCTTCGGCTTCGTTCTCCTTGATGCGCAGCAGGCGAGAGTAGAGAATCTCAAAGGTGCGCAGGAAGCAGAGGATGTTCAGGTTTGAGTACATGTGGTGCTCCTTCTTCTTGTACTTTTCGTTCAAGGTGTATTCGCGCTCCAGGTTGAAGTTGCCCTGGCCGGGGTGCTCCATCCATCGCAGTTCAGCGACGTCAAAGGACTCCTCATTCTCAGAGGCAGTGGAGGTAGCACGGACGACGGGGGTTTCGTCGTTGAGAGAATGGCCGTCCTTGCCGGACTTCTCGCTCTGGTTTCCGTTGTCGAGGGCCTCACGCAAGAGATCCAGCTTCTGCGTGTCAACTACCTTGCGGCTGCTGTTGGAGGCATCTTCGTTGGCGTAAGCATCTTCGTCATCATTAATGGAAATAGAAACTTCATCGATGTACTGATTGAAGATTTCACGGTCGAGTCCGAAGAAGGTGGGAATGAAATCCTTGACGAAATTGATGAGGCGCTGAGGCTCGGCACCGAAGCCATTGGTGCTGCGATCAAAGTAGAGGAGAATCAAGAAGACAGCATCCAGGAGAACCTCCATATCGTGGAATCGGAACTCAGCCTGCCACTTGGGAGGGTTCCATCCGTTCTTGCGGTTGTTCTGTGAATCCTCGAACTTGCTTGTCAGCTCCTGCTGAATGTTCTTGGCAACGAAGAGCTTCTTGTCAGTCTGCTTGGTAGCGATAGCCTGGTGATCGAGACTGCGCCAGTAGGCACGTTGCATCTGCTCACGCCACACCTTGTCCCATTCGCGCTGGCAAGCCTTCCACTCTTCGAGCTTCTGCTTCAAGCGGAAGAGCACAATGGGGAGAACATGGCAAGGGCGGCCGAACATGTCGTTGATGACCTTCTCACCGCGCTGGCGGTCGTAAATCTTCTTAATGACACGCTGGTAGATTGCCTCGCTTTGGCCACCAAGACCCAATGGCAGCTTGAACGCGGTTCGCTCCGCATCAGACATGTGCAAGAATTGTTGGCAGATGGGCTCAATGAGCTGGATAGTGCGCACACAAGCCTCAATGTGGTGATCGTAGTCATGACGATCTTCTTCAATGCGGTGCAAAGCGTCTTCATATTGGTTCTTGCGGTGCGCAACGAAACCAGAGTCTTCCGAAGCCCAAGTGGGATGTGAAGCCCAGTCATTGTTGAGGACGCTAGTGCACAGCGGATCACGCCCGCTGCACGGCTTTTGGCGCTCGCGTCTGGGGAGGAGACGGTAGCTGGGTCCAAGAGACCGACAGTGAGCCAGGTTGACGACACCATAATCCATGTGAGCCTTAGGGTCGATGGTCTTGTCTTCGGGTTCTTCGGCGCTCATGAAACGACGGAACCAGTTCATAAGCTCGGCATTGGATCCAATGAATCCCTCAGCCCGCTTGACGAGAACATGTCGGTCGAGAAGGTCGGTGGTGTACAAGTTGCAAAGCTTCAAGAAGTCGCTGAAGACCTGCTTATTGGCGATGAACTTCTTGACACGGTCGAAGAAAGCAATCTCTTCCTGGCTGGGAGTCATCGAGACCGAGGGAGGTAGAGGCTCGGGGAGAGCGGGAATCAGCGTAGGAGAGACGTTTGCCATGTCGATTGAAGGCTTGCCGTGGTGATACTTGGGTCTCTTGCTGGTGCTGCCAAACTGCCCCTGTCCTCCGCGACCTGCCTCGGACAAACGAGCAGCTTCGGAGCCCGCTGGACCTGAGATAGATCCGATGCCGCCAGGGCCGCCACGACGCTTCTTGTTTTCCTTGGGGTCCTTCACGTTGAACTGACCGAGAGGGGGCATCTTGACGTCACGGTTGGGGGTCTGAGAAGCAAAGCCAGAAGGTTCACCTCGAAGGTTGCTGAGGGGAGCTTGCTCTTCAGCTTGACGCTGGGCTGCAACTTGTTTGGCATGGGCGGCAGACTCCGGCAAAAATTGTTTGAAGTCCTCCAAAAGATCAGGCGCAGTGTTGAAAAGCTGAGTTACTTGGCCATACACGTCTTGGATGGGCTTGGACTCGCGCTGGTAAGTCTGGAGTATTTCCAAGAACTGCTTGTAGATTTCAGGAGCGCTTGAGAAGCGGTTCTTGATCTTGTTGACATAGCTGATTGCATGGTTGAACTCGACCGGTCCACGCTTGTTCAGATCCTGGGCACCTTGAAGCATGCCGGTACCGACACCAGCCAAGCTGTTCATGGGTTGAGTGAGACTGGCATTCGGGCCAGCCCCCGTAGCTCCCAGAAGACCTCTGCTAATGCCAGCGGAGGCTGCCGAGGCAGCACCTTGCAGCTGTGCCACTCCACGGTGGTCCTGCTGGTGGGTCATAGCCGCAGCGGCTTGTTGCTCCTGTGTGGTAGGGTAACCGTAGTGATGATCTTGGGCTGAGCTGGGTCCATCCTGGGGGTACATGCCAGCCATCATTCGCGAACCAGGAGAGTATGATCCAGAGGCACCACCTTGCGGCTGCTCTTGTTGACCTTGTTGCCAGCCGGGGCGAGACTGGTCGCGGTAGAAATCAGAGCGGCCGTGGGGGTCACTGGCAGGCGGGACATTCGAGATGGTCTCAAAGGGACGTCCAGCACGGGGCATGCTCAATGTGTTCGTTCCCGAGGGAGTGGTCACACGAATGGCATCCGGGTTGTCCTCAGTACCACACTCAATGCGATATCCAGGAGGCAAGAAGGTGTTGAAGCCTTGAATTAAGGCCGGGTGACCATTGAAAAGAGTGGAAACCCGTTGAATCACACCAGGGGTATCGATTGCCTGACTCTTGAAGTCCTTCATGATGTCCAAAAAGCGGTTGTAGACGTCAGGCTGGTCGACGAAGCGAACCTTCACCTGATCGAGATAACTAAGGGCATCATTCAGAATGGGCTGCTGGCCCTGAGCCAGAGCAGCAACGTTTCCAGGGATCTGCTGTCCGGGGGTATTGTAGCCCATCATGGGTTGTCCCGGGGGTCCACCGGGGTGCTGCATGTAGGAGCGGGGAGTTCCTTCGCCGTGTGGCATCTGACCGAAGAGGCTTGCCGCAGACTGAGGTCCGCCCTGGTGGCCATTCTGGGGAGTTCCGCCCAGAGTCGAGAGGAGGCCGCCGGGCCCATGAATGGAGTTGGGGACTTTGTTGGCGACAGGTTGGTGGAGGGGAATGGAGCCGGTATGGCTTTGAACGGGGTGGTGAGGCTGATCACGGCGCTCAAGTTGGCGCTCGATCTGCTCGCGATGCTCGCGCTCGCGCTCGCGGTGAGCCATCTCTTCCTGGCGCTGGCGCTCAATGATTTCGCGCTCTCGAGAGTCCCGCTCGCGCTCGCGGTTGAGCTGGGGAGACGGGTGCGACATGGCCTGCCCGATGCCCGGGAGAGAGTGGCCGGTGTTGTGGGATGGGCCTGCGGGGTGTTGGCCGTAGGCTGGAGGCTGGTGCTGACCACCGTGGGTCTGGCTCAATTCTGCCAGTCCGGGGAGGGAGTGACCGCCGGATTGGCTTGAGTGATAGGAACCTTTTTCAAGAAGAATATGTCAGTCCGAATACTCTCTCAATCACACATAATCGTGGGAACATGGGGTGGAAGGGAGGGACGAAGGGATCTCACCAGCTGGAGGAGGGAGGACTGGGCCCGAGGGCTGGGAAGCCTGGCCTTGTTGGGAAGGATTTTGACTGTTGAAGCGCAAGAAGATATGATTAGTCTCTGAAGCCAAGACGCAAGTGCAGGGCATTATGCATACTTGAAAGACCCCAGGGGCCGAGGCTGTTGATTCATCTGATCCATTGCAGGATGCGACGGTGGCCCACCGGAGGAGTGCCAGTTATCGTTTCCAGGGTTCATGATCTATGCATGAACCACAGTACAAAAATGAAGGAGGTATGACGGAGGAGAAGAGGTGAGGGGGAAATGGCGGTTTGAAGCTCGAGCTCACTGTCTCTGTTTCGCAGGGTTCGACGGCAACGCTGAGGTTGCACTAGGGTCACAGCATGACCTAGACTCTCGCAGGAAGGAAAACTGTAAGCTGACTCCACACAGAACTGCAAGAAAGAACCGGTAGAGAAGAAAGTGAGGTTGAGCAGGAGACGCAAAGGTGATGGAATTGCGCGCGACCGATCGCGGGCTCCAGTGGAGGCTTTCCCGGGGCCGACCAATTAGGGCTTAGCGTGTGAATTTTCGGAATTTTGATTGTCCGCGGTGTATTCATCATTCATAAGATACAGTATTTTAGTATTTTCTACCAATGAGATACTCAATTATAATCTCTACATTGTCAGCATCTGTATTGTGCGATAGCTAAATTACTGTCCGCCTTCGTCATCGTCTCTCATTGCCGGCAGAAAAACATGACAGCGTTGGAGTCGCCAAGGTGATTTGGTTCAATAGGCCAATCAATCAATAGGGAAATAGTTAAACCAGAATCGCTTCCTATTGTCTATTGAGATACCATTCTGTGTCTTCAATCGACAGTTCTTACCACTCGTACAGGCTGGACACTCGCTTGTCCACGTTGCCTCGGAAAGGGGCGGAGGGTCAGGGCTGGGCGGCTTTGTACGGTAGTATATGGGCTTACTACATGTACTCTGTATGAGTTTAGATTTTAGAAAAATCAACAAATGTAAATGATTCTCCTGCTTACTCGAGCTCGATCTATATGTCAATCAACACACCGAACTACAGAATCAATGTAAAGCTCCAAAGACAAGCAAATATGGAAAAGGGCCTGATTCAGGCATGACATTCTCTATCATGAACTCGCCTCCAGAAAGCCTTTCACGACCTTACCACATGTGCAAGAGGGAAAGAAGCAAAGAAGGCAGAGGTAAACAAAACTGAGGTCTCCATCTCAGACAGAATGGGATCTCCAAGAGCAACTCTCGTGGAGCAGGGATAGGGGGGTGGGGAAGGGAAAGTCATGAGATTATGGAACCTGAGGCTTGCTACTATCATTATTTTCTGTGATTTTTTCGTGTCTTGCGTGGTCCACCAAGGCCCTCCATCTTCCACCCATACCCCGAATGCGCCTGTCCATGAATAAGAGAGAGAAAAATGATATTGACCGTGTCGGTACTTCGTGCGATTAAAGAGCGGAGAAAACAAAGAGCTGATTCGATCAATTAGTGTCAAATGGATTAACGATGGTAGAAGGGGAGGAAACTCACGTTGTTTGTCGCCGCAATGGCAATGCTGTCTTCAAACGGATGCCAGCTCATGTGCAGGATCTTCTTGTTGAAGTCAATCTGGTCGGCATCGGTCTCCTTCTTCATGCGACTGCCGGGGCCAGCAGGGCTACCGGATCGCGAACCGGCCTTCTTTCCGTTACTCTTGCTCATAGGCGTCGGTACACCAACCTTCTTTGCCTTGAAAGCCGACTTGTCGGCCTGTAGCACAACCTCGGTATCCTTCTGTTCTTCTGTGGGGTAGATCATGAAATTGTTGTTGTAGCTTCCCGTCATGACGTTATCGGCATCGCCGGAGAACACCACCTCGAACTTGTCGAAGATGCTGTCGTTCTCATAGGTGTCACATAGACGAGGGCGAAGGTGCTCGTGGATGGGAATAGTCTTCACTGGTTGCCTTTCCATGTTGACATCCCAGATCTTCACGGTCAGATAATCCCTAGACACAATGTACCGACCGTCGTTGGAGAATCGCACGTCGGAGATGGAGGAGATGATCTCGGAGAAGAATGAGCGTGAGGATGCATCCTCTTCTTGTTCGAACTCTATGATAATGGTCAGTAATGGATAACACATCAGTTGGAGAAAGATAGCTCATACGCTTAGAGTGCTCGTCACACAAAGCCCGCTGGCGCATATCCGCAAGTTTGATCGTGCCCTTAGAGCTGGCGTACATGAACCAGTTGCAGCTGACCGGGTGGAACTCGGCCGCGGTGATAACCTCGGTGAGCTCTTCCATATTGGCGGGCTTGATATCCACAATGTTGAAGCTCTGGTCCTGGATGTTGAGGTTCCATAAGTTGACGCGGAGGTCGTCACTGCTGATAAAGGTTTCACCATCGCTGTTAACGGAGATGCTGTTTATATGATACGCGTGGGCGTTGGCGTATGTTTTCCGCGGCACGGCGGCCACCACGGTGTCGTGGTGTGTCAGACGAGGCAGTTTGAGAGCAGCGGGGTTTTTGAAGGAGGCGCGGGGAGCACGAAGGCCCCCGCCACCGGCGCCGACGGGGTTTGCCGGTGTGAGCTCATTCGATAGATTGTTCTCTGCGACCACCTTCAGCGATTTGTCGAACACCTTCCAAAGCTTTATCGTCTTGTCGTTCGTAGAGAGGAGGAAATGGGATGCATTTTGTCGTCGGCACCATTTAATCTTGTTGATCTTCTCTTCAATCTCTAACGACTTGAGATAATCGAACTCCGGCTCGTGTGACTGGAACTCGGTGTGAAACTTATATTCGCAGGTTTTTTTCTGTCGCTCGATTGTCAGCCGGGGAATTTCCCAAAGAGGCAACGCTGGGGGAAGATTACCGTCTCATTTCTCTCGAACAGCACCACTCGCCCACCCTTGTCACCAGTGGCCAGATAATTTCCGGTGTGATCGAATTCAACAGTCGAGATGATGTCCGCTGGAGGACGCATGTTAGTCGACTCCATCCAAATCGGCCATCTTTAGCCATGTTGGGAGTGTAAATAGTTACCTTCTGTAATGTCTTCTACATCGCCTTTATCGCCGAAGCATCTGCAGATCGGGTTAGTCGCCTCTCGGCAAGCTTGCGTGGGGGTGGAAGAAAGAGAGGGGAGGGGGGGGTCCTCTGGATCGACCGGGTCGCAGGTCCATCTCAAAGAATTTCTCGACACGTCTCCGATGGGAGGCAGGGGAGGGCTCAACTCACTGTGTGAACTTCCAGGTAGGCGTGCCTGGATCTCTGTCTACCATTTTCTCGTTCTAGCGAGCCCTTGGACGCGACCAGGATTAAGGATCGAGAAAAACAACGGATTTAGGCTTCCGATAGCTCTATTGCCGATGCAAGAGGTGAAATCGAGGTGAGGGGCGCGAAGAGCAGCGAAACCGCAGTGGGAGAGTAAATAATGACGATTGAGGAAGGAGTCGAAAGAACAGGCGGTCGGAGATGGTGTGCGAGGGGTTTGGCGGTAAAGAGAAAAGAGGGGCAGGAGGGGAATAGCACGGTCAAACCAGCTATCACGACGAGATTCTGGGGAACGAGGATGGACAACGTTATGGAAGTTGATGATCCGTGTGGGCAGTGTCCCTCGTTACCCGCACAGCTTTTGAATCGAGGAAAAGTTTCTAATCGAGACGAAGGAGAGTTAGGTCCCCGTGGATCACGAGTATCAAAGAATGGGAGGGTGGGGGGAGATGGGGTTGCGTACAGGGTCCGATGGGAGAAGAAAGACAAGAAAAGAGTTGAGGTGAGGTGAGTTGAGGCGGTGGTGGGGAGAGTTGCGAAGATACCCTCCAGTGACCTGCCCGCGCACCCGCGTTTGCTCTTCCGGCGAGGTACTGACAAGTACCCTCTTTTGATTTTCTTAGGGGACTTCTTTCAGAGGGACACTTCCGACTCTTTCTTTTTGGGATCAATTCTGACATCAAGACTGCCAACTGTAACGTTATGTGCGGCCCGCTACGACGTGGGAGTATTGGGACCGGACAATGTTCTAGTAGATCGGAATGTCTTTCGACCATATAGAACTATGTACGTAGATATGTTCCTAGATATAACTATAACAATTGAGATCTACCCTGTCATTGATGCCTGATTACTCCAGATGGGAGAAGAAAGGCTAATATGACCTCTCAATGAGTATATATGCAGGGCCGCCTCTGTCGTCATCCTAGATCAAGCCTTGAGCTCCATGCATAAATTGCAGAGACACAAGATGTATATGTATATTTTTATTTCTCATCTCATCTCTACCGTGAAGCTCTTCCAAGCTTTCGTCTCGACTACTCGGGTGGCTCACTTTGGTCCTTAATGAGCATTGACAACTATATATTCAGCCCTACCTGCAATCTCTCTGCAATTATGAAGACCTCGCATCCAATTCCTTCCAATGTACTAATATTGACCCCCAAATCCTAATTCTACCTAGGTAATCACAAATAGGTACAATCCCCCCGTACTATCACGATCTTCACATGCCATCCTACTCCGGCTATTGACCCGAACAACCCGAACCCTCCCAGCTGAACTTCCCTCCACAAATAACCTGGACTCTTCAAGATTACATAGACCATCTCTACACCTCCAGGACTACACCTCACTCGACTCCAATCCCAGCCTCCAAACCAACATGTCCGAGAAGCCGAACATGCGGGGGAATCCCAAAACCCAAAGCTCCAAACCCGACCCCGCCCCAGCCCCATCCCCATCCCCAGCTTCAACTCCATCCCTCGCAACACGCATCCAATCCTCCGCCACAGCCCTCGCAAAAAGCACCCTCCAACCAGGCTCCGATCTAAACAACACCCTCACATCAAACAACAAATCCGGACCCTCCGCCTCCGCCTCCACACCAACCCCCAGCGACAATGCCCCCCAACTAAGATCAGGATCAAGATCCTCGGCGTCCACCGGCCCGAGAGAATCATTCCGAACCTCCAATTCCACTATTACCGTACCCGATGGCGATTTCCAACAATTTCAAGACGAGCCCCGGCTCGATTCTGAGATCCTCGGTGATGATTACACCGATGGTGTCGAGCAAGAGAACGGAAAAGGAAAAGGAAAAGGAAAAGCACGCCTTGAACCAGCTTGGCAGGATCCAAACCAAATGAACGGACAATCTGCACCTGCACCCGAATCCGCATTCGCATCCGAATTACAAATCCATCAAAACAATCTCCAAACCCCAGAAGACGGCTCCGCCGTCCTCGCCCTCCTCTCCACCTCATTCGAAGAAGACCCATCCACAATCCCAGACACGGAACTCGATCCAGCCCCGCTACCACTTTCAGCACGCGAGAGGGAAGCGCTCGATTCATACAGAATATCGAGTTCCGGGCCTCGGCTGACGAGTTCGAGTCTGGTTCCTGATATCGATACATTTCTTAGTCAGGGATATAATGAGGGGTTGGGGAGCGGGGTGAGTGGGAGTGCGCTGCGTGATGAGGTTCTCGGGCAGCTTCCTGGGGCTGGGGATTGGATTGGGGTGCAGGAGAGGTATCATGATGAGGTGTGGGGGTTTTTGGAGCCTGTGCTTGAGGCTGCGAGGGTGGAGATTGAACGGGGTCGAGAGGGGGGTGGAGATGGGAGTGGAAATGGGGAGGGGCCGGCTGTTAGGAGGTTGAGGATGATTTTGGGGCATATGGGGGGTTGAGATTAGGTGTAGGCCCCGGGGTATTGGTTGTATGTGTAACGGTAGGTGGATGGGTGGGGGATTTACGGAATACCTAGGTACTACAGGTTGATGACTAGATATGAGACTAATACGTTTCTGAAGCGTAGACTCAAGGCAAATATATGTTATGAGTATAGCATGGGTCCAATTGAAAGACTATTTCAAAAAATGTATATTCCAAGCTTGATATCGTATGATACAAAAAGACAAAAGGGTATGAAAGGCGCTGGCAAGTAGAAGCGAAGGCAAAACTACAGCTCAAGGCTAGGAGTCTCACCCTTGATGCGGCCAATGACAATGTGGCCCGCATACTTGGGGATGACTTCATCATCGTGCAGCATGGCGAATTCCTCAGTAGCGTCACGGCCCATGAAGTTGTACAGAGCGTTAGCACCACCAGGGTGCTCATCGAGCCAGTTCGTCACATCCAAAACGACGCCCTTGACAGCGATCCACAGGTCCTCTTTTTTGTTGTGCTTGGCAACTTCTTCCATGGTGTATTCAGTCTCAGGGATCTTGAAGTTGGCGGGATCCGGCTTGGCGGCTTCCTGGGGTGCGGCGGCGGCGGCAGCAGCCGGGGTAGCAGCGGCAGCCGGGGCAGTGAGAGCGGGCAGAGAGCCGCCGGCGGCGCCCCACTCGACGGAGATCTTGCCGGGAGTGTTCGGGTCGATGTGGAGGGAGATCTGGCCGAGACGGCTGGAAGCCGAGCCGGCGCCGGTGGTCAAGAGTTTCTGGAAGAGGTGCTGGGATGCGGAGTCACCGGCGACACGGCCGTAGACGACACAGCCGAGGAGAGAGGAGCCACCGAGACGGTTGGCACCGTGGACACCACCGGCCAATTCACCGCAGGCGTACAGACCCTCGAAGGGCTTCTGCTCAGCGTTGAGAACCTGGGCGTGCTCGTTGATCTCGATACCGCCCATGGTGAAGTGCAGCACGGGCTCCATGAGAGCGACGTGGAACTCGTCATCCAACTTGAAGGGCATGTTGTGGAAGAAACGCTTGTTCCAGGGGTCCTTCTTCTTGCCATCGGCAATGAGGTTGTACTCGTCGAAGGTCTTCTTGAGGGCAGCTTCGCCGCAACCGATTTCAGCGACCAGCTCGGCACCGGTCATCTTCTTCATCAAGCCACGGCCAGAGTAGTGGCGAGTGTGGAAGTCCAGAACCTTGGAGGCCTTGCTGTTGAGGACGAGACGGATGGGCCACTTGCCCTTCTCCTTCTCCTCCCACATCTTGCCCGAGACGTAGTCACGGTGACCGAGCTCATCAGAGAACCGGTTGCCGTCTGCGTTGAGGAGAAGACCACCCTCACCACGGAGGGCCTCGGCAGCCAAGAACTTGAACTTGGCACCAGGGTCTTTGGGGTCCACCAGACCCGTGGGGTGGACTTGGACCTTGTCCATGTCAATCCCATTTGCGCCGATGGCCATGAGCATCTTTTGGCCATCACCGGTCGCGTGGGTACCGTTGGTGGAAGACAGAGCGAAGGTGTCGGGACGGTGCTGCTTGAGCAAAGAGGTGTCACCAAAGTCAGCGGCGTAACCACCAGTGGCAAGAACCACGATACCGTCAGCGGACTGCTCTTGGCCGTTGACGGAGTAGGTGACACCGGTGACCTGGTTACCAGACTTGTTAATGGAGGTGACGTTGGCCTTCTTGACGATCTGGACACGACCGGGCTCCTTATCGGCGAGGGTCTCCAGACGCTCCATCAGAGCGTAGGTGATGGCCATACCAGGGAACTTGGCATCGTGACCACGGTGTGTGCGGGGGTGGGTGTGACCACCGAGACGAGAGACGAGAGTGAGGTCGAGGTTGAAGACATCCTGGAGCCACTCAACAGCAGCCGCGGACTTGTAGGTGAGGACCTTGATGAGGTCGGGACGGGCCTTGTCACGGGCCGACTTGAGAGTGTCGTCGTAGAACTGCTTGACGCTGTCTTGGATGCCCAGGTCGGTCTGGGTGCGGGTCAGGGCACCGTTGATACCGGAGGTGGCCTTGGTGGAGTTACCACCGAAGAAGGCCTGCTTGTCGAGAACGAGGACGTTCCCGCCGTTCAGGTAGACGGTGTGGGCGGCACTCAGGCCAGACACTGCGAGCGATCCCGGTTAGCTAGAGCGACGATGCGGAGAAGGGATCCACGTACATCCACCGCCGACCACAATTACTTGAGGAGCAGCCATTTTAATATGTAAAGAGTAATAGGTTGAAGAAGAGTGGATGGGGGAGGGCGGGCTCTTAAGAGCAAAAATGGGAGGGGAATCTGGGGGAAGTCATAAGCCGACGTAGTTTATCGGCCGAGGTATGCGAAAGATGGGGGGTACCCGCTTGTAATGCTAATTGCAACACGCTGGTTTGCCATACAATCTGGGGTATATCACATGCGGTCAATTTACAACATAATTCGTATTGGACTACGGAGTATTGACTATTTCTCTTTTCTCTTTTACTTTACTATTTACTACTCTTCACATGCTCGGCGCCACCGGGTCATTGTACAGTTATGGGCAATCACAGTGTCTTCGGTGAAAAGACAAGTATGCCTCATAGTGGAGTGACCCTCAATACCGGTCTGTACGCAGTAATTCATACACTTGTACCAGCCCCCATAGTACCATAGTCCATCATCGAGCCAGACTTGCACAGGTGAACCTCGGAATACCACTCACGGTCCGAAATTTCCGAATCGGTCCGTGTCATGCATGGTCTGATCCTGGCATGCCGCACCTCAAAGCTAAGACACAGACCTCAGAACCTCCTTGAAATACATCAACACCAGGTCAGCCCTCTGTGAGATCAAATACAGAAAGGCATTTCACAGCGGAAACCCAAGAAAAAGGGGCCAAAAGAAGCAAAAGCAGTTGCCGGCTGAAGAACTCGTCGCCTCTGATTGGTGGAAGGACCGAGTGAGTCCAGTCCGGGGATGGGAATTGCCTCAGTGGGGGGTCGGTGACCTCATCTCGCCTGACCCTGGGAATGCTCTTCAAATGCCGACGGAATTCATATGAGTTGCAAAGGGAGCTCCCTCTACCCCTCCCCCTCCCTCTCTTCTTCTTCCACTTTGGATACGTGAGTGCTGAGTACGATGAAGTCCCCAGACTGTGCAAAGACCTCATTGGTCTATCCGGAGAGTGCTCCACTGCGGTCGCTCGGGTCAATACCCACCGAGCATTCAGACGCGTCTCTCGGACGAGAAATAGCTACGGAGAGAAGAGAATCAGTACGGAGTACAGGGAATCTGAATTCATGAAGAACAGACCAACATTTCCCACACAGCTTCAGCTCCATCTATAGCTAAACCCAATCCATCTAGTCCATCCAAGTCACGCTCTTGCTCACCAGGAACTCGTTCAATCCCTCCTCGGTGTTGAACCGACCCCAGCCACTGTTCTTCACTCCACCATGAGGCAGAGCAGGCTCGTCATGGATCGTCATACTGTTAATGTGGACAGCCCTGCAGGGGGATGTTAGCTCAATTCCACCAGCAAGCGGAACCGACACTCACCCAGACTGAATGCGCTTCGCCATCCGCAATCCCTTCCTCAGATCCTCCGTGAAGACCGACGCCGAGAGTCCGTATCCACTGCCATTCGCCAGCCGAATCGCCTCCTCTTCACTGTCAAACGGCATGATCGCCGCAACCGACGCAAACGACTCCTCCTGCCACACCGCCATATCCTCCTTCACTCCCCCCAGCACAGTGGGCGCCAAGCGCACACCCTCACCCGCGGCACCCTTTCCAGACCCGGAGATGAAGTGAGCACCGGCGCTCACCGCGCCAGCGACCAGGGCCTCGACACGAGCCTTGGAAGCAACGTTCACAAGCGTAGGCGGGTCCGCAGCGGCAGCGGCCGCGCCAGACAGTGCACCCTGTAGCGCAGCCGTAAAAGCACCCACGATCGAACTATGCACCAGAATGCGATCGGTCGCCATACAAATCTGACCAGACTATTCGAGAGTTAGCATCTCACTTCGAGCCATTCCTTCCCCTCCCTCCATTCCCCTCAACACCACCTCGATGACACTCACATTCAAGAAAGCACCAGCCAAAACACCCTGCACCGCAACCCCCAAATCCGCATCCTGACAAACAATCGAACTATTCTTCCCCCAAGCTCCATAAGACAAGGTTTCAAATTCGCACCACAAGCACGCGCAATCTTCCTTCCAACAGCCGTACTCCCCGTAAAATTCACCTTCCTAACAGCCTCATGCTCAATCATCGCATTAACAACCCCAGGCGCATCCTCCGCAGCACAATGAATAACATTCAAACACCCATCCGGCAACCCCGCATCCTGGAACGCCTTCCCAATAGCCCAATAGCATCTCGGCGTAAGCTCCGACGACTTCAAAATAGTAGTATTGCCCGCCGCGAGCGCACAAGCCGCCGAACGAATCCCAAAGACATAAGGCGCGTTCCAGGGCACGATGCCCAGAATCACGCCCATGGCTTCTTTATAGATAATGGCGGACTGGCCCTCTGCTTCGACGACAGGGACACTGCCGCAGATGGAGGTGATGCGGCTGGCGATGTCGCGGAGCATGCGGATGGCGAGGGGCACTACGAAGCCTGCGCTTGCGCCTACGTCGGCGCCCATTTCTTGTCGCATGTAGCTGGCATTTTCGTCGAGGGAGGCTTCGAGGTTGTTGGCTGCTTTTAGGAGGATGTCGCGGCGGAGGGTGGGTTTGGTGGTGGACCAGGAGGGGAAGGCGGCGTTGGCTGCTTCGACGGCGCGGAGGGCATCTTCTGGGCTTGCGGAGGAGGAGGACCAGATTTCGGTGTTGGTGTAGGGACTGATTATGGGGAAGGTTTTGGGGGTTGTGATGGATTCGCCATTAATCAGGAGGGGCACTGGGAGGGACATTTTTGTGTGCTTTTTTGAGAAATTGTGTATATAACGTGTAGATAGATGGAGGTTAGAGTAGACAGAGTTAAAAGTTGTATGTACAGAATGAGGTAGGAGGGGTTCAAGGGCTCAGGGTCAGACTAGTCAGTCCGCCGAGGCTTGAGGTCCCACATGGATGATTTCTTGGAAGTGGTTTGTCTTGGAGTGTTGGAGTCCTCCGTACCGTTAACGAACTTATCTGATGCTGACGATCTTCGCCAGACGCTATTGCGCGCTACGGAGACTAGTCGCCTACTTTGTATTGTGCATGGAGTCAGCACTACTCCGTATGGCTGTTTAATGATCCTTTCATCCGGACCAGAATCTGAAGTATTTCTGGGTCAATTGACTTGTTATTGAGAATTATCATTGAAGATTGGGTATTTCTTCCAAGTTCAACCGTATAAACCCACGTATAGCCCACCCACCTTTGGGAGATGACCACTACTGTAGATGCACAATTTTATACCCCCAACCTTGGCAGTCAGGGGCACGAGTACCTTTCGGAAAAGATGAGCAATGATATGCAATGACATCGAGGTTGGAAACGGTTGAAGAATCTGATCCGAATAGTCGGCCCCACTGCCGCGCGCCATGTCGATATTAGGCGAAGAGGGTCTTTGGCGTAATGAATCTGAAACCCCACAGCCCCAGATGGCGTGCATGAGAGATTTAATGTGTACGGAGTAGTACGGAGTACGATGAGGGGTTCTTCAGTCTTGGGACAATATTAATTGCAATCACGGAGTAGGAGGCTGTGTGTGATGAGGCTAGCAATACTTAGTAATGTATGTGTAGTATAGACTCAAGACAAGACTAGTGTGCAATGGCTTGCTGATATTCCACACTATCGGGGATCTACATGTCACGTCGTGCGCTTGGAGTAGCCAAAAGCCGGGAAGTCAATGGCGAACCGTGGGTGGTGCCCTCGTGGCGTTCGGCTTGTCCACACGTCAGGGGCTATTTGCATTTATTCTATGATTTTATTTACTTCATTTACTGTATTTCATATGATGACTGAATTATATGCAGGTCTGGCTCTTGTCATGCAAGAATTTCAAATACTTCCAAGGTTAGGCCCAATTCTACTCCGTACAGAGTCAGCCTTTCAAAGCTTGGTCTGACGCATGATTCAGCCTTTCAGCTCGCAAAGCTGGTTCTTTCACGGCGATCGTAGGGAAGTCTTTCCCGATGCAGTATCGTCAAAATCGCTCACTCCACCCGGTGCTCCACAGTCAAATACATAGTGTCAAGGAAGTACCAAGGTTATTTTGCCTATACACGATGTCCACAAAAAGTAGAAAGAAGCTATTGGGAAGGAACCAAAGAACCCTGCCGCTAAAGGCACAGACTGGCTGGGGCAGGTATATAGCGAAACTAGGGCAATAGAGGAAGTATAGCGTCATCCAAAGCCCTTGACGGGGACCCAGCCCGCCTCTTCACAAATCAGGTTCCCCATTCGGACATCGATCGACCACTAGGCGTGGTGTGAGTGGGTAAAGTATCAAAATGTGTGATTTTGAGCTGGTTTAGGGTACCAAGGCTCTGGAGTGCCCACTGATCTGGAGACTCGCGTGGTTTCTGTCTTATATCGGAGCCGATGTCGATTGATCTCGAGGTTGGACTCCGTACTTCTGTTCCCAAGTCATTCCTTTGTGTATTTGTGTGTGTTTTTGCTTCTTTCACCCCCACATTCCTTTTACATTGTCCATTGTCAGACACAATGGCGCCCAGTCAAAGAGGCTGGGAGATGATCGAGATCGTTACGGTCTTGGTCTTCCTCAGCTTGGTGTCGGTCGTGCTACGCATGTTTGCTCGTCTTCGGAGGAGAGTCGGCTTTGGTGTCGATGACTACCTGAGTTCAGTGTCTATAGTTCTGCTCATTGCGATGTTGATTGAGTTGATTCTTTGTGAGTGACACTGCTTAAGATTGGCCTGTGATCTACTAACCTCCCACAGGGTGTTCGATCGGAGGCAATGGAGCCCATGCTGCGGATCTAGATCCCAAAACATTCATGAACTACTGGAAGGTACGTGAAACTCCATCCTGGCCTAATGTTTAATACTGACAGGCCCAGATCTTCCTCGCCAACCAATTCACCTATTTCTTGCTCTGCCCATGTATCAAGATTTCCATCATCTGCTTCTACCGTCGGGTCTTCGCAACCCCGCGCTTCCAGCAATTCACGTTCGGTCTGAACATCCTGATCGCCGCATGGGGCACAGGAATCTTCCTAGCCTGCGCAGGTCAATGCCGACCTCTGCGCGCCTACTGGGACAAGAACATCGAAGGATCATGCTTCGACGCTCAAGAATTCATCATCGTCAACCAAGCCTTCAACATCCTCATCGACTTCGTCATTCTCGGCCTGCCTATTCCAATGATCTGGAACCTGCACCGCGCCTGGCAAGACAAGCTCGCATTAAACGGCGTCTTCGCCCTCGGCGCCTTCGTCTGCTTCGCCAGTATCTACCGCATCGTAGTCCTATTTTGGATCAGTCCCATGGACCCCACCTACACCGTCTACCAAGCGACATTATGGACGCACATCGAGCCCGCCGTCGGACTCATATGTTCCAACCTACCGATTATCCGCGGTCTGTTCCCGGCGTTGAAATTAAAGGGCTCGCGCAATGGAACCGGTCCCCAGTATATCAATACTGGGTATACGAACTCCATGTTCTTGTCCAAGGGCAGTCCGCGCTCGCCAGATCTGGAGTATATGAAGATGCAGTCAGCGCTATACAATGCTCAGGTCGAGAGCAAGTCGCCTGGGTTCTTGGGTGATGATCTTCATCCTATGGATATCAATGTTCAGACTGATATCTCCATTCGACCCAATGATTCTACGACTACGCTGCACCATGCGAGTGACTCGGTCTAACTTTGCTGATGTGATGTTTTACGATGTTATGATTTACTTTCTTATATCGGGGTGATAGCGCTTTTGGTCGGGCCTTTCTGGTCTTGTATATCCGAAGTGCCAATGCCTTTGAGCATCCCTGTTTGATTATCCATTTCTTTCGTTTCTATGAACAGCTCTTGCTGGGTTTTCATGTCTTCTCAATGCGTTTTTTCGGACTTTACACTGTTATTGGATTTATGCTGATTATCCCGAGCATGTGAACCTTTTTGGGACACAACCTTGGAACGACATTCTTTGGCTTCGCCATACTTCACTGCTGATGTATCTCTATACTGTATATACTATTCTTGGATTTACTGGATCCTGTTTTTACTTGGACCTCCTAAACAATTCCTACTGTCAGAACTGTTGGGCTCTACCAGGCATTTCCCTGCTTAAACCTTGAAAGTGGTTCGACGTGTTTAAATCCACGTTGAGGATGATAAAGTAAAGAGATTGCGTAAATAACCATCAGGCTAGCTCAGTTGTGGGAATTTTTGCTGGCTAAACAGATATGCAACAGGGTGGGTAGACATCAATTCGTAGATAGTTCGTAGATGGTACAGGAGACCTCAATGTACCATCTGGCTGGTAGCGAATTCCTAATTGGCATTAGTCTAGTGATCTCTGGATGGATGATAAGTCGGAACACATACCGGGAACTGGTCAGAGATACTCGCCGCGACGCGTTCCACATCCTCCGCAAGCTCCTGTACACCGAGGTCCCACTGTCTCAGCTTAGTATCACCAGAAGCGTGGGCTACGTCACCAACGGTGCCCGTATCGAAAGTGATTATTCCATCAATTTGATCGATCCGACCTTTGAGCCGACCCTGCTCAACCATGCGCGCTGCATACGCCTCCGCCTTTTCACCAGCCGACAAATTGCCCGAAGGCTCGAGACCCAGAATAGAGCCCAGGTCATCGATATGAATGTTTTCGTAAAGCTTGCTGGCGGCAACGAGATTGTGCTCAATGACCGCCTTAGTGAGCACAGTAGTACCGTCTGATGTAACAGCCAGCTGATGCGGCGCAAGCTTCTTGGCAAACGCGGCGACTTCATTGGCTGTCAAGAGCCGGTCCAGGAACATCTTCTCCAGGATTCCAAACTCCTCAACGGAAGGTGTACGTTCATCTTTGTACAGACGAGAGAGAGATCGAGAGCGCTGAGGACCTGCGGGTGCCAGAACCGCGCATCGGATAGCAGCTGAAAGCGCAACTAGCCTGTCTTCCTCGTCGACACCGATCTCAAGACTGACATTGAAGTATTCCTGCGCGGCGTCGAGGAAGCGACGTCTTGCGTCCAAGATGCGAGCCTGAGAAAGCTTGAAGTACAGCCTGGAGTCATGATCCTCGATCTTAGAAGGCAAGTTTTTGATACGATTCAAAAATCCCTCGGCATTGGTCGTATCGTCATCTTCGAGGTAGTAGCGAACAATGCGAATCCAGAGACGGGCCTTGGCGTCATCGGAGACTAGACGCTGCGAGCTATCGATATGGATACCCTGCAGGGCGCGGGCCGCGGCCGTATATTCTTCTTGCGACTCGTATGCATCTGCGAGGATCTCGCGAATCTGCGAATCTTGTTCTTCGACGGAGGCGGAGCGGGTTTGAAGGAGGGTGACGGCGTGTTGGCCGACTTTGATTTTTGATTCCGACTGGAGGGATTGGAGGACTTTGATAAAAGAGTCTAGGAGTGGGCGGGCGGAGACAATGCTGACTTCTTCGCCCAGGATAGAGTCAAGGTAGTAGACTAGGTCTTGGGCGAGTTCGTGGCCGGTTGAGGATGCCACCATATTATCGAGGAGTTCATTGTATTGTTGTAATTTTGTGGCTTGGTGCGTGTTGGACTCGATACCAGCGAGGGCGTTGGCTATCTTCTGAGAGGCCATGGTGTGTATGAGGAGAAGGGTGGAAGGGGTCGAGAGCTTGATGGTGAGCTCGAGGTGAATGGGGGAAGTTTGGAGCCGAGATACTGTTATCGATAAGAAACAGACGACTCCAACCTGGAGAAATTGACCATGTGCGTCGGTACAAAAGCTTACGTGACAGATTGAGGGAGTTGTACTTTGTGTGATATGCTCAAAATACTCTTTGAAGCATTTGATACTATTGATGTGCTACTGACGAGCATGGGTATAAAGGAGTGTACGGAGTACACGGGCAGATGCTTGACTACTCCCGCCCAACATGTCATTACAGCAAGCGCAGTGCCTACATATGAAACAATAGAAGGAACGCAATGAGATGTAATAAAATACAATCAAAGCCATCTATTCATCTCAGCCATTTTTATACAAGTTGAAGAGGTTGCAAAAGCGCATCGTCATACAAAGACCTGTCCTTCACCGCCTTCTGTTTTGGAGGCTCGATAGCTCCATCCCGCCTTGTGGCGGCTCCGACATCAACGACGAGGCTTCTCACCCCGTTGCCTCCTTCATTTCCGCGACAAACTCTCTACACCCCAGAGGTCGCATCCGATCAAACACCCGCTCGCCTCGTGTTTGAACGTCTTTGGGCTTTTGCGCGCCCAGTATGGCTCACGTCAAGCAGGACCCAGATCGCCCATACGTGAAACAAGAGTACATCAAACAGGATCCCGATAACAAAGAGACTGCACTTGCGGATATTGACGAGGAGGATCTATACGAGGATGCCGGCGACCTTGATTTCACATCTGCCAACCAGAGCGTCTGGCTCTCTCGTTTGCCGAAGCAATTATGGGAGCACTGGGCGCACTTGAATGACGATGACGAGATTGAGATTGGTACGATGCGAGTGGAAGGTCCACCGGAGGACATCAAGCGTGTGAGTCGATATTGCACATGCAGCACGGTCAAGACTAACGTCACTTCCTTTGTCAGGTCAGTTTGCGCCTACACGATCGACCCGATAACAAAGATGTGCCAAAAGACTACGTGCTTTCGAAACAAGTCGCTGATCCTTCGGGAGCTGGATCGCATCATACTCATAATACCTTCCTATTTACCGAGAAAGACATCCCGGGTGTGGAGAATCGCATGGCCTCATTCGGCGAAACACGATCGGTTCTCTACGAATCACAGAAGCGCGAAGCTAAGCGCAGAGAACAGGGCAAGCGATGGGAGCCTTATGTCCGCAAAACGATACCCAGTACGTTCATCTCCCGGGACGAGGGTCTGCATTTGCTTACATGGTTACAGAACATACTGCACTCGCAGGTGCTGTCAGTGAGGAATTCAACTGTCTTCCCGTCGAGAACGCGGAGTTCCAACGCATATCTGAAAAACGAGCATTGGAAACTTTGAAGCCCCGAAAGGAGACTGTCTTCATTGATAAGATTCCTGGAAAGATCATCCAAGCTCGCCACGCTCTTCCCAGCGAGAAGGGTCAATTTGTGGTATGTCTTTGCATCTCTGCCCCTTTCCGAGACTTGAATCACTCACACTTTTCCACAGCAAGCAACCAAAACCGGTGGCAGAGGAAGACCCCAAGAGAACAAGTCCACTCGTATGCCCCAAAACGAGCTCTTGGATCTTATTTTCCAGTGCTTCCGCGAGTTCAGATACTGGCCATTTAAGACGCTCAAGGCCCGCCTGGCGCAGCCTGAAGCCTACCTTAAACAAACCCTGGAGCTGGTCGCGCACTTGGTCAAGTCTGGTGACTTTGCCATGACCTGGGAGCTCAAGCCTGAGGCGACCCATGCCCAATACTCAAATGCTATGGACAACGCCAAGGCAGAGTTACCGCCAGGAGCTGACGATCCATACGATGAGGCGTCTGAGGATGACCCAATGGGATCTGGAATGGCCACGGACCAAGACGACGTGCATTTCGAGAACGTTTAGTGGATATCCGATCATGGGTCTCCATTGTAGCATATGGCTCGGCGTTATGGCTTTTAATCTGCGGGGGTGTGGAATGGACTGGAAAATAGCCATAGAATGGACAAATCGCTCACACACGGAGTACTCCGTATTGTACAATTACTTGAATCATAAAGTCCAACCCCTTCGATCTATCATCAATAGTCATTCTTATTCTTAGTGGTTTCCTTCCGTGGTTTGTTCGATAGTCGATATTAAGTGACGTTTCGGGAGTTCATTAATGTAGATTCATGCTGCTTGCTTCTGGAATTCCATAACTAAAAGAAGCTGGGCATACGTTACTCCGTATCAACTTGAAAATAGTCGAAGATCGTTTGCTCCTGCCGATCAGTTACGCGCCAAGCTAGTGACGGACACGTGACCAAATACGCCACCGGCGGTTGTGGGCGCGTCTCTTGATTCCTCCGCATCATCACTCCAGTCTATTTTAAATTCGCACAACTTTCTGATTTTGGCTTGAAAGTCCCAGATAGCTGTATCTACTCCCTACTAACCCTGTCCAAGCTTCATCATACCACTATGACTGAAAACGAGGATCTGCTGGCCAAGATCGGTCAACTTGCAGGTATGATTATTCACTCTCAACTAATGACTTTCGGGCCTCTAATCCAAACAGGTCAAATCAACCGGCATAGGTCTCAAGATACCCAGCAAACTAACCACCAGTCTCAATATGTATCTCGCCATGCTCCCTCCCACCAAGGATGGTCTCCATACTATCGAGGCCGTGGCCGAGGCCGCGGTCGAGGAGCACCAGCTCCCCACCGACACCTTACCCTTGTCTTGAACAATACAGCATCTGGATCTAATTCCGGTGTCAGTGCTTCGACTACCCCGACAAGCGCCCACGAAGGCCCCACGCCAACGTCGGCGACGTTCACAGGCAATGGCTGGATTGCGAAGCGCGACCGTCACATGCAACTGATTAACTCTTCCGTCTACGAGAAGGAGACACTGGCTCGCTCAAAGGCGATGGAAGAGACACGCAAGATTAGAGAGCAAAGAAAAGCAGAGCGGGAACAGGCCAAGGTATTGCGCTACGCCCAGGGTCCTGGCGGGGTCGCTACGGTCTCTACACCTGCACATCCCACGGCTGGCCATGAAATCATGGTCAATGACGTCGCATTTAGAGTTGCACGTGGTGGCAGCAAACTTATGCGCATCTCGAGTGCGTACCTCCCTTTTGCTTTGTCTTCGCATCGAATCAGCTTACCCTTCGTAGACGACCCCAACACCGCCAACAACACTCCAAAGCGAGTCACAATTGCTGGTGTACCTTTCGTACGCAGCAAGAACGGAAATCTGCACCGTCTAGGTGCCGTGGCTTCAAAGAAGTAAGTTTGTTGATCAGCAATGAGACCCCACGTTGACCCTTCATCCAGACATGTCACCACCAAGAAACGCGACGAGCTCTGCAAAAGATTTACAACGACCGGTATTTTGTTTTCCGACGGGCCACTGCTCTACACCCCCTTTCCGACCTGTATGAAAGGCTAACACCGCTCGTTCCCAGGCACATGTTACAAAGGCCCCACCTGCCTCTTTACCCACGATCCGATCAAGGTTGCTATTTGCAAGGACTTCCTCCAGACCGGTCAGTGTGCCGCAGGTAGTAGTTGTGATCTATCCCATGAGCCTTCTCCCCACCGTTCCCCCGCTTGTATGCATTTCCTCAGAGGGCGGTGTGCCAACCCGGAGTGCCGGTACGCTCACGTCCGAGTCACGCCCGGTGCTCCTGTGTGCCGCGCCTTTGCTACATTAGGATACTGCGACAAGGGCGATGCTTGTGAAGAAAAACACGTCCACGAGTGCCCCGACTATGCCAATACCGGCGCCTGCAACAAGAAGCGTTGCCAACTGCCGCATGTCGACCGCGCAGGTCAAATTCGCAAGGCCGCTGCAGCAGCTGCGGCGGCTGACCAGGGCGATGATGAGTCCGATGCTTCTAGTGAGGAGGAGACGTATGATGCCATCGACTCCGACGATGTTGATTCGGACGCGTTTGACGATTGTCCTGAAGAACTGGTCGAAGGCATGGACAGCGGCGAGATGTCGCAGCAGCAAGATTTCATTGCCCTCTAATCTGATTCAAACGCTGTTTTGTAGTTGATTGGATAGCTTTCTCTTTGTTTTGCACTACATACCCGGAAGATACTTGGACAATTCTCAAGATCAGGAAGATCAGGCCGAAAAACAAAACAAACTTTGGAAGAAGCAGAAGCAGAAGCAGTGAGCGAAATTAGCAAAAATTGAATTGTCGTTCTATTTTGAATCCCACCCAATTTTAGAAGCCTTGTAGACACCGATGTTCTTACTCAAATCTGCGGGTATTACGTGCGGCGGTCCAAGGTGGCCATGTGACAGTCTGCCCAGTGCCATTCAACATTCCAAGGGACCTTGTCCTGCTGACTGGTGACATCGATGTAGAACTGTGTGACTCTGGATAAGCCTCATTGTACGATTCGAAGCTAAACACTTGGAAGGTCGCATGTCTGGTGCTTTATTGAAACCTGCCCCCCGGATACCCATCCAAACCTTACAAGGTTGATCCTTTACCCGCGAAACTTGACAACAAAGTCATAAAAAAAGGACTATGGACCACTAAAGCATATCGGAAAGCGCCCATTCATAAGACCTTGGACTATTGCGATATGTGCATAGATCATTTTGCTGGATGACATTGTACATTCCGGGTATCGGTCATCTGGTAGAGCTAAGGTAAGGGTGTATCTTATATAGGCTAAAACTGGGAACAGCTGATATTGATGTGATGCCCCTAGTCGATTTTGAAAATTCTATTTGGAATTCAGGCCTTGAGAGACTGATGCAGTGGAAAGTTGAGTAGAAAAGATATCACGATACGCATGGGAGAAGACGATGAGATCATAATCACATACAAGACGCAGAAGGAAACTCTCAAGGCTCACCAAATTTTCATAAACTATACACCAAACTATAGAAACAAAGCATAGGCAAGAAACATGTATCAGGCTTGCAGCCATATAGTCAGGGTCCCTTTTTTCCTTTTTAGCATCGCTGTTCGAACTTAGAATATTCAAACACATGTAGCATCGTGATCGACCTAGGCTGTGCTGGTAAACTCATTTACCGACCCGGTATCTCCTTTTCGGAATAGGCAACAGATTTTTAGATCATCCACACGGGCACTGGAAATCTGCCTTGAGAGTTTGCGTAGTCAAACAGACTTCCATGGCTTGCTATCACACTCCCAGGATCTCGTCCTATCATGTTCATAATCTTCAGGACATCGGCAGATTGCGAGCAAAATCAGGCAAAGAAATTAGTACTCTACATGACTACTACTGAGCTGCTAGTTAGTGAGGTAAAATTAGACCTCAGTACAGTCTAGTGTGATATCATACATTGAAAGACCATGAGATGAACATGAAGATATCTACCAAATCAGACCTAGGTCTCAAAATGACGCCAGCATCCAGCAAGACCAAGATAGTGACTCATTCAATGCGAGATAATGAGCAACGCACTTCTCTGCTCTCCAATATTGAGAACATTCACGGCCCACTAATCTAGTCCATCGCAATAGTTCATAGCCGCAAAAAGCGACGCTCGCCGGCTTCCAAATGAGTCATTAAATCGGTGAATGAGACTCCTCATCTCAAAAATCAAGTGCTCATGGGTCCAACGGGGTCATGGACCGACAAGGAAATCACTAAGGTGCAATGGTTGGATCCTCCAAGCCGAAATGTGGACCACAGCGACCCGTTTCAAGCATCCAGTGACAAGAAGCATCCAATCCCAGACCAGACAAAGCTACACGATATGCCCAATGTACCCAATGTGAGGAACGTCAGGCAGGTACCGGGTCAAAGTGAGGCTTTGAGCTCTTGGGGCTAGTCTTGCGGGAAGGTGTTTGAGATTCCTTGGGCACGTACTGTGCAAGGAGGATGTATGGAGCCGCGAAAATTGTGGAATCCTGTCGGCATGAGTAGTATTGGAAGGAGTGGATTGGTGGGCCTGCTAATGGCTTCTAGCTTGGCCGAAGAAGGTAGATCTTCGGTTTCATTTTGAGTCATTTGGATCCCTTGTACTCCGTAGTTTCAGCCTTCACCGCATGAAGGGAAAATCCTGTACGAAGTAATTTGTACGGAGCACTGTTAGTTTTGAATTTGGGGTGGGGCTCGCAACTACAAAGAAAGTATGGTCCGGGCACGGAGTATGTATGATATTGGTCCTTGCTCAGACTAACCTCCGTACTCCGTTCAAGTGGTGAAATTCGATCGTGAACTTCATCGGGTACCTTGTTCTCAAGGGAAATCAGTGTATGCGTATTACTAATGAGGCAGACGGAGTGACCGATGGAGAGACTGGACCTTTATTGGACAGAATCGGTGTTTTCACCGCTAGATTTTATCCGGGTCAAATTTTCCACCCGCGGAACTGCCGCCCAAATGACAGACCTATCATCATCCCGATGGCCTCTGATGTACTATGTATAGACTGCGAACGGACTCAGGGGTGGCTTCCCAGGGGCTTGTGCTCCAGGGAATGGTCCAGCCATAACGGCTGAGATTTGGGCAATAAGGCTGGGGGTTGCGGCGCCTATGGACTGTCGGGACGAGTACCTAGCAAATGAGCAACGAAGCCTGTGTTGAACTTTGTGTTGGCTTTGATTGACTGCCTTGGGTATGTACTGGCTCGAGTTCCCCGGTGCACTCAGCAATAATAGTGGGAGAGTATAGGCTGTTCGCATAAGTACAGTGCAGAGAGAGCATAGGCTGACAGCCCGCACAATACGATGGCATCATGCTCTCTGCATCCCCCACAGTCGATCACGGTTGGTCGATCACGGTTTACATGTGGTCTGTGAGTGAGCCGGTTGCAAAGATGGCTGCTTTGTCCATATGGAAGATGCAGCACTGCAAGTCAATCGGGGAGTTTTGACCTGAGCTGCCTACAGGCCTCATGTCATCTGTATCTTCAGACTTCAAGAATATTTCAAATTGATTTCAACCATACAGATGGAAAGGAAGACGTCGTCATGAGAGGGATGTGCTACAGGACCGTGCTACTCACATTCTCATGGTCGGCCCAACAGTGGATCACAGCGGGCCGAACCCGTACCAGAGATTCATTCTCTACAGAACCTTGGAACCATACGTCGATTTAGTAGATTAATAGATTTAATAGATTTATTAGATAAACACAGTCAAGTAAATAAAGGACGGGGAGATCATAGAACCTGGTAACCGCAGCCCAACATGATCGTCACACTGACTCGGGAATGATTGGCTGTGAAGGGAAGGGGAGGATGACATCTAGACTGAGCATCTGACCACTCACGGGATGGGTTACTACACAAGAACTTCCTAGCACTGACGACAGGGAAGTACTCCCATTACCTTAAACGCCGTAAACATAGTATAGCACAGACCATACTCCACCGGACAGGGATTAAAGCGAGGATCTATAGGCTATCGTTTATCGATAAGCCTAACGTCTCTGACTTTTCCCCCACTTTCCCAAGGTGGGAGGAAGAGGGAAAAAAATAGAATATGATGAAATACAATTAAATATGAGAAATCATGATAAAAAGCAAAAATGTGAGGGGATCGAAATATGCGCTCATAGTTCATACAAACAGTGAAGGATCTCGGACCAATAATAGCACTTCTCATCGAGACTAGAACAAAGCAGAAGGAAATAATACTCAATAATGCTAAATAATAACTAAATCATCGGGAATAAAAGAATAAAATCAAACAGCTGCAGGTCTGCCCAAGCAGAACGATGCAGCCAATAACGGAGATGGTGCCCCGGGGGCCGCACTCGCACTCCCGCGTAGACCGCTGCGTAGGTACCGGGTACTTGATCTCCCAGGCCATTCCCCATCATCTCATTCGGTACTCGGTACCTGTGGAGTACACTGTCAACCGCACGAGGTCTGCATCTTGCTACATAGCCTGTGCCTTTCCCTCCCCTCCCGGGAACTAGAATGTATCCCCCCTCTTCACTGTTTATCACCATCTTCATTTGATTCATTTTTCCCTCTTTGGTTATTCCACTTCTTCACCCATCTTTTTGACTATAAATCCCCTCCGCCCCACCTTCTTTCTCTACACACCGCCACTTTTTCACCATGGCTCGATATTTCCAGACAGATTTCTACCAACCATCACCTTCAACGTTAGATGTGACTGAGGACGACGAGATGAGCGTGTTGGATGAAAAGATCTTGGAACCTGGGTCGGAAGACCTCGCCGACACCCGCCGCACATCCTATGATGCCCCGGCCTACTCACATCGGGATTCCGTCTGGTCCAACTACTCCAATACCAGCTCCAACCAGTCCCGTTCAAATTCCCACGTCGGCCATTCCATGCTGAACTCATCCGGTGCATCGTTCATGCCTGTTGATGGCCCACATTCAACTTCCTTCCCCCAAGCCTCGTGGTCCATGCCGCGCAACGACTCCGGCTCATGCACACCGACCGCCGGTTACGATCAGTACTCGGCCGAAGGGGATCAGATCACGAATGCGCCTTTTTCAGGTGGTGCCGTCGGACCCGTGGGTGCGATCCCGATGAACCCAATGTCGTACCGGGGAAGCATGTTCGGGCAATCGGGGAGTGTCGCGATGTCGCCGCAGTCGAGCCAGGGCTGGATGCCGGCTCCGATGGACCTCGCCGACGCCCCCGCGCATCCCAATAAGAGCCCTTCTTATCGGAATGACTCGCCTTTGAGCATGCGGCGAGACGGGATTCGAAAAAAGAACGCTCGCTTTGAGATCCCCGCTGAGAGGACCTTGAGTAATATCGATCACCTCATCAGCCAGTCTACCAACGAGGAAGAAATTAAGGAACTGAAGCAGCAAAAGCGGCTGTTGCGGAACCGTCAGGCAGCGTAAGTGCAGTTCTCAGGAGCAAAAGAAATTTTCAAAATACTAACATTTTCCTCATAGCTTGGACTCTCGTCAGCGCAAGAAATTGCACACCGAGAAGTTGGAAGAGGAGAAGAAGCACTTCACCGCGACCATCACCGATTTGGAAGAAGCTCTGCAAAGCATGAAAATGCGAGAGGCAGAATTGCTGCACGAGAAGAGTGAATGGATCGGGGCCCACGGGCAAATGACCCAGTATATCGAAGGATTGCACATGGAGAAAGACGAGATCATTCGCGTACACACGCTGGAGACAGCTGAGCTACGTAAGAAGAACAACATTCTCATGGAGACCGTCGACAAGCTGGAGCGGGGTATCAAACCCGTTCAGGAGACTCTCCCCGGCGACTTCGCCGGCTTCGAGAATCTTTCCATGGAAAGCCACTCATGGGACGATTTCTCCATGCAAAACGGTGCACCCATGCAGCCAGAATGCCGTCAACCCATGAACCAGGTCAAAGCCCCGGAGAAATCCACCTCAGACCTACCCTTCAGCTGGAACGCCTTCTACATGTGTCTCCTCTTCGGCGCCTTCATCGCCTCGAACAGCACTTCCATCCCGGGACGCTCTCTCCCTCAACTCTCCGAAGAGTACCGTGCCGAGTCCGCGAATGTTTTGAAAGCCGTGCTTGCCTCGTCACCGAAGCAAGGGGTCGCGCACAGCACCGCGACCGCGGTCCCAGCAACGATCAGCGGCATGGAGATGGCGCAGATGAGCGCCGTGCCATCGACACTCGACCAGCTGCACAACAACCTTGTCATGCCGACAGAGCAGCAAGAGCGCGAGCAGGTCTTCTCCCTCAATGCGAACCAATATAATTCCTTGACGACATTCGAGGACGACGGGTTCAAGCCGCAGCAGCCGTCGTCGCTGCAGCAGGCTCTTGCCGCAATGCGCAACACTGCCGCACAGGCAAGTCGCATTGGAGGCTCGTCGTCAGATGTCTATTCGCGCTCTCTGATGTGGGATCGTGTGCCTGAGAAGGTTATTCGTGATTTCCGACGCATGGTGCAAGACTTTGCTGTTCCCGTTAAGGATGAAGGTGTCTTCCATCCTTGATCCTCCTCCATTTTCTCTCAATACGAACGACAGTTTCGACCTTGATTTACCTTTCTTGCATATCTGTCCTGACGGGCGGGTATGACCTTCTTTCTTCTTTTGGTCTTCTTTCTTTTCAAAAATACGGACTAGCAATGGTCCTTGAAACTAGCGTGCAACGATAGATCACGCAACATTTTTATTCTGAAGTGGTTTTCTTCTTCTTCTTTTTTTTTTGTATTAGCCACTGGCCACTCTTATGGTTGGATTTGGATGAGGGGTTGTTTTTTTAGCGGTCTTGTTTAGCGTGTTTTTAGCGATTGGATTTTTGTTGTTTTCATTGGGAGGGGATTCTACGTACGCTGATGGTGTGGAGACCTGAAATGTACAGAAACATGTTGTTCCAAGCTTCCAGGGTTGGAGGGTTGAAGGGGGTGGATGGGATACGATTATGATAACGAACGAGATGTTCGCATATGGTGACTACATATTTACTGTCCTGACTATGATCTATGATCTCTTATGTTCAATGGCTTATGTTTTATGATATGACTTTTTATTCAACAGTCCGGACGCCAGTGTCTCTGGGAATGGAACGCGCGCGGGATGGCCTCCAGGGCTGTCCCCGACAACATGAAGTGACTCTTTCCAAACTCCGACCAAAGATTTCTTTTCTGATTCACAATCCTCTTGTGGCAATCAAAGTTTGGAATGGTCCGGACTCGCAAGGTTGTCTTGGCCATTGAAGCCCTTTGCTCTTTTGTGCCAATGGCCCGACGAACAGCGACGCCAACGGCGGCGACGAAGGGAATTCGGGCTATAATTCCGACCACTACATATATTATTATTGATTAATTTACTATTGGCTCGGCTCCAATTAGCTGTCATCCTGGTTCCGCGCTTGACGCCGGTAGTCGACCGGGTATCTACACTTCATGGACCACATTGATATCGGATCAGGATGCTAAACCCACTCTCCCCGGTGTGAAGGTGAGTGTCTCATGATATTTGAGTTCATGATAGTCACTCACCTGCCCTTCTCAGTAAGATGGCTCCGACGAAACGCACGTTTTCCAGGGTTGTGGCGTCACTTTAACCGAAGGACCTTGGGGGGTAAATCACCAACTCCACCCAATCAATCCAATCAATGGGCCAAGACTTCATTCCACAGTCAAGACTTTGCTTCAGAGGCTTGGTAGTCTCCAAGCTTTTTCCAAGAAGCCATCCGAGTCTTGGAAGTTGATAGGTGAGGTCGGCCATGCGTATTAGTAGGGGTGTTTGGGTTCAAGGGACACCCGAACCCTAACTCACCAGCAAAACCAACGACCAACGACCAACGACAACCATCAGCATCGCATGTTGCGCTCTACACAACAGGCTAGAACAAACAAATCAAAGCAGGGGATCCAATATCACCATGCAACCGGGGACCGCAGCGTAGACTAACCATTTAGTTCAAAAGAATTGGGGGGCCGAAACTCCCCAAGGTCCCCAAAGCCACGGAGGACCCGATGAGTCCAGATTTTTCGCCGATATAAAACACCCGGACCCGTCCTGGCCATGTGCTCTTAGATCAGGATCGTCGCTTTCATTTACTCTCGGGGCCGTGCAGTATCACTGACGGAGCAAGCTTGGAATAAATAGGTTCACATCTCCCATTCCAGAGAACTACTATACATTCAAGATGTCCTTCGATCCCCACAATGTCGACCTGGACACGGCCGACGCCGCCGACATCGTCTGCTACCTCAATGCAGAGGGCAACGAGTATGACGGCCGGATGGGCGCTCGCATCTCCGCCATCTTCGTGATCATGATCGTCTCATCAGCCGCCACATTCTTCCCTGTTCTCGCGCAGCGCGCCCCTCGCCTCCGCATTCCCCTCTACGTCTACCTCTTCGCCAAGTACTTCGGTGCCGGTGTCATTATCGCAACAGCCTTCATCCATCTCCTCGACCCCGCCTACGGTGAAATCGGCAGCGGATCCTGCGTCGCCCTCACCGGCCACTGGGCCGACTACTCATGGTGTCCCGCCATCGTCCTCACCTCCTTGATGGCCGTCTTCCTGATGGACTTCGGCGCCGAGCGCTATGTCGAGAAGAAGTACGGCGTCTGTCGCGATGACCCTGAGCCCATTATGGCATCTGTCCCTGAAGTCACCCGCGTTTCCTCCCGCGTCTCCGCTCGTCACTCCGACGACAAGCAAGTCAAGGAAGTTGAGTCTCAGACTGAGGAACTTGCTATCGAGCGCTCCGTCAGACAGCAGTTTGCCGCACTCCTGATCCTCGAATTCGGTGTCATCTTCCACTCCGTCATTATCGGTCTCAACCTCGGTGTTGCTGGTGATGAGTTCGCAACCCTCTACCCAGTCCTGGTCTTCCATCAATCCTTCGAGGGTCTCGGTATCGGCGCTAGAATGTCTAGCATTCCTTTCAAGAAGGGTAGCTGGGTTCCTTGGCTTCTGTGTGCCGCCTATGGACTGACCACTCCTATCGCTATCGCTATTGGACTCGGTCTCCGCGAGACTTACAACCCCGGCTCATTCACAGCTAATGTTGTCTCGGGTGTTCTGGATGCCATCTCTGCCGGTATTCTTCTCTACACTGGCCTGGTTGAGCTGCTTGCGCGTGACTTCTTGTTCGACCCTCACCGTACCCAGGATGATCGTCGTCTGACTTTCATGATCGTGACCCTGCTTCTTGGTGCTGGTATTATGGCTCTGCTTGGAAAGTGGGCTTAAATTCAAACACGAATAGGCTTGATTCGATGATCATGACAGATGATGTGTGTCGTGGTTATATTCTGGTGAAAATTGATACGAGATAGTATTAGGATCTGCGAGGCTTGGCCTCGGGAGCAGATAGATATGGAAATAATTTTGGTGAGATTTGTGAGATATGTGAGAGATTACAACAATTTGATACCCACAGGGGATGGTTATGTGTGTGATAGGATTTTCTTCTTCTTTTTAATTTGATATTTGATAATATTTCTTCGAGCATCGAGTTCTACAACGGGCCTGTATATCGTTAGGGAGATCTTTTGGTAGAGCCCCTAAGCCTCTCCATCCTCGACATTGAATCATTCTCGTCCCCAGCATAAGGTGGCGGAAGATCATCCGGTGAAGTATCTTGAGCCCCTGGCTCGCGCCTAAGGCGCCGCGCTTTCCGCCATCTCAGGCCAAAGAAAGCAATCAGAGTCAATAGCGCAACACCCGCTGGAACACCAATGCCAACCCCAATCTTCTCATTCCTATACAAGAAGTGCCTCGGAAGGTCCAGAGAATCCGTAGGCACAGGCACGATGGTAGACTCAGCAGCCTTGAAGCGAATTTGAATAGGCGAAGCCGTGATCCCATAAATAGCTTTCTGAGTCGACAGCGTTGCATCGACATAGGTCATTGTCGACACAGTATTGAACGATATCTTACAGTAGCCTTGGCCTCCACAAGTAAATCCACTTTGAGTCATGATATCAGCAAGCTATAGGGCCTCTGGGAGTGGATGATGGCCAGTGTGTTCTTACTCGGGACAACAATACGCAGTCGTTTCCATGCGCTGCGCGGTAGTAGACAACGTGCACGTCTTGAATGCGTGTGGGCATCTACCGGGACTAAAGTAGGCGTCGTATCGCCAGCCTTCGGGGCAGCATTCGCCTCCGTATGGACCTTCGCACCCTTGAAGCAGTGACGGGTAGCCGTAATTCGCAACTGTGCGCGGTGTAGCGCATGATGCTGGAGGTGTGTAGATAGTGGTCAATGGGCCAGCATTCTTTGCAGATGAATCGATTTGATTAGGGTCGTATCCTATGACAATCGATGCAAAAAGAAATTGGAGCAAGGGGACATGAGATAAAATGCCCGAAGATGTACCGGGAAGCCTCATGGTGAAATTTTCTAGAATTGAGATCTCTTTCCCCACACAAATGCAACTGCGTTTCTGCTCATCTTATTATTGTTTCAATGATCAATGTGGCTACTTATGGTCTTCTTCGTATTTCGGACAGCGCCCGATCACGATACGATCGACCTGCCAAGACCCGGAGTCTCGTATTTGACCTCACTTTCATTGCTTGTTTGGGAATGGCTTCGAGAGGCAATGCATCTTATAGGACGACAATTCGTGTTGAGCGCTTAGCAAGGCGCAGGACCCTTCTGCAGTGCCCCCTTGAGGACCAAATTCTAAGGCTAGTTGTCATCCAAGCGCTATAGAAAAAGCGCCATCGGGGAGTCAGCCTAATCACCTCCACCGGAAAGATCCATTGAGGTTCCATGGGTTGGAAGTGAAATAAGCGAGCCAAAAGAAACCTTGGAACTGAAACAAAATGAACAATACTATTTACCTACCCCAACCTCTTCCAAGGTTTTGTGTATATAGTTAATACCGAGGAATAGAAACCGGGTCTTAGCCCTGGAGGTATAACTACTCCGTCAACGGGTATTAATTTACACAATAGTGACATATTTTCGATTATAGACAGTGTACGGAACCGGAACGCCTCTTGATACTTCTTATAAAGCAAAAAACCACCGATTTTTTTACATGATCGCTTCTTCGGATGACCCTGACGCAGGTAATGCTTCCAAGAACAAAGGGTCCAATCCAACGAAAAAAATTAATTATAAGAAAGGAAAGAAGAAGCAAGAAGAGCCTTGGAAGCTGCAGGAGCAAGCATAAATATCAAGAAGCAAACAAGCATAATGATGATGAGTGAAATCATGTGATATAGGCAAGCATAACCATCACCATCTTGATAGAAGAGTTTGATCATCACTCTAGCGCCAAGATTTCTTTTTGCAAAATGTGTCATCGCAAACCGAATATCTTCAGTTCGGCCCAGCAGCTTTTGTCCCAAATTGAGCTTTGTGAACAACTGCAATCCCTCACACTCGGCCACTATAGGATCCTGGCTAAGGTTGATTGTTTTATCCTCGAAGAAGCAAAATGAGGATCCCAGGATCACAAAAAGTCGAGCCATAGGATGTTGCTCTGGCGACTTCCAACTCAGGTCCCTGAGATCCAAACGACACTTCCAAGGCAGGCGACGATGTTCAGAGGCTAATTGCCACCACTCCAAAGATGGAATCCGCGCTCGCTTCCCGCTGACTGCATGGACGCAGCCGTCAGTGCCCATCGCCAAATGGGCGAGCAAGCGGTCAACGACCACGTCAACCGGAACCTCATCTGTAGTGAGCTGAGAGCTCTCTGACGCTTTCGTTCCGATAGTAGCCGTCCGCTTTGGACTCAGCGCCAGCGCAGCAGCAAGCATCGTGGGAGGGCAGGACAAAGGCACGTTGTATCCTGGGAAGGGGAAAACTTGGGCCGGTCCGATGATTGACGGACGAAGAATGAGCAACTTGGCACCGGCACCAGTCTGAGTAAACCGATCCAGAAGTAGTCTCTCTGTTAAATTCTTTGCGTAGGCGTATGACCATGGAAAATCATGATTGACAAGAGCATCGCTAGACCCAAATTGTTGCACATCTGTCCACTCTTTGCTAAGATTGGGATGGAGGTTAGGGTCGTAAATTTTCTCTTCGATTTCAACGTCGATGCTCCTACCCGAAGCAGGAAGATGTGAATTGGCATATGCAGTTGAAACATAGACGAAGCGATCCAAATGTGTGCATGTAAGAGCGACCTCTGCTATCTTCTCACTAGCGCCAACGATAATATTCCGTAAGCCGCTAAGGGGCTTTGCGAGGTTGATAGAAGATGCCGAGTGAATAACCACATTGACCTGCTCTTGGATGGTGCTCAAATTTTCCGAGGAAAGGCCGAGATTTGGTAAAAGAATGTCTCCATTCATGGCTGTGACACGGTTGAGGCTGAGGAGCTTTTCAACTATTGTCGGTTCCAAAGATTCTGTCCAATTTGATCGAACTTTCCTGTATTTCAATCCAATGTCAACTACTTTACCATGGAAAACCTCATTCTAGGCGTATGGTGAACTCACTGCAGATCACCTCTGCAAAGCAGGTATATATGGCGTACAGATGTTTGGGTGAGCAAGCGGTATGCAAGCGCAGTTCCTAGAAAGCCAGTGCCTCCTGTGATAAAGACGGTCTTATCGTTGTAGTAATTCCACATTTTGACGGCATTGGTTTGCAATTGAGACCGAGGAGTATGTACCAGATTGAATATTCCTACCACGCGGAAATCGAAATCAATTTACTTATAAAAAGTGCTTGTACGGAGTACATACGGAGTACCTACAGAGCCGAGCCATCAGCCAGAGAATAATGTGGAGCCGGTTAGCCAAATATTGGAAAAACGCAAGGGTTTGGATACATTCAGTGGAGCCTGTAACACCAATCTACATACAATATGTAATAGTGGTATGCAGGAGTTCAGCTTCAGGACAATATACTCCGTACCCCTTTCAAGATTCTTCGCAGATTGATCACAGCAGGGGTCGATCTGCCCGGCCCGCCATCCCCATATGATAAGTCCATATGACAAGTCCATTTCATCAACTTTGTTTACTGATTACCCCTATACAGAGTATCCAGCCCCATGTAAATCTTAAAAGATCGTCGATTAATTTACCTGCTAATTACTCCGTATCTAACAATGGGCCCTGGCAAATCAGGCAGCCACACAAAATCCGACATAATATGATTGCTCCTGCGTTGCATATATTACTCCGTACTAGCGAGGGATATATGGCACCGATAGTTGTCGCAAAATCTATCCCCAATGGTATAAATGTAAAGAGATTACTCCGTACTGGATATCCGCCTTTCCCATGTGTAGGCCGAGATCGATGGATCCTCCCAGATGTTACATATCACACACCAAGTATTGGCAATAAATGCTGTCAACTTTCGAACACATTTCCATGCAGGCTCGCTACCTGAATACCCAAAAGGTGATAGCTGGTTTACAACATAGGAGAAGCGAGATATATCGAGAAACAACAAATGTAAACCGTGAAAGCAAAAGCCGATCGGGGGAAAAGGGGAAGTGAGAAATAGCGAGAGACAGAGAGAGCTGTCTAATGACCTAATTGGGGCGCTCATCTCACTTCTAAACACAACTTGCGCTGTACGGAGTAATCACGGCGAGATGAGGCCGTAACACTGGGTGAGGCTGTTGTGACATGATAATTCTCCTCATTGTCAGTATGCACCACCTCAGATCTGCTTTCAGCTGTGTGAACTATCTCGCCTTCGAGCACGTTTTTAACGGGTTGTACCAATCACTCACAGACGATACACAAGGACCAGGTAGTTTAAGGTGTAACCAGTGCCTAGTAGCAGTGTGGAAAATCTAACTAGACAGCCGCATATTGCTAGGCACAAGTATACCAAAATCCGGCTTGAAGGCACCCATTGAAAAGCTTTGAAGGGGCCAGAAACGTTTATTACATATATTTGGCAAGGCACCATGAAATCTCCGGCTCGCTTCAAGTATTTACTGAGATGATATTTCACAGAGCTTGTCACATGTATTCCGTAGTGCCTGTTTTCTTAGCCAGCTAGCTTGAGTAATACAATCATCTTACTCCTCCCTTGCTTCCTGTGCTCTGCCGCCTTACAGAGCTTGAGGGAGTATGTCATGCATGTCGGAGTGGTACAGTGCCATCATTCGAGGCACTGATAGTAGGACACCTACCTCCGCAAATTTAAGCCACATGGGATCATCGGGTCTCACAGTTAGTAACTTATCGTAGGTCTAGACCTCTCCACATCTCACACGCTCTGTCTTCTTCGGATATTCATATCCGACTCGTGCTTATGCTTCCTCAGCCAATGACCATAGTTGGGTTGCTTTTTGCCAGTGTGGCTGTCAGTAGCCAATTGACTATCGGTAGCAGCAGCTCAATACTCATACGGAGTACAATGATCTGCTATTTGGGCTTGTAGCCCCCAGTGTACATACGCTGTGGGGATAACAGGTGTATGACAATATAAATGCTGCAGGGATCTAGGATATGAGCAAAACTCTCTGTATGCAAATTCTGACATTTTGTCCTAGCTGGCGTTGTATAACCAAACTCGACCTGACAGTCAAAGCACTGAACAAAGATATAAGAAAGACGAGAAAACTGCTCTATAGATTCTCCGTCTATCTACAATTGACAAACATCTAACTCGCAACTATTCCTCGGTCCTATCAAGTGCAAAATATCGCGAAAAAAATGCGCTTCACCATTCTGTTCTCAGCCCTCTTTGCTACCCTTGCCATGGCCACCCCTGTGGCTGAGAGCACTGAAAAGAAAGCTACCTCTCAGCCTCCGTTTTACCCCTGGCCTCCACGACCACTTCCTCCTGCTGCCGTTCCTGCTAGATGCAGGAGTCCGCCCGAGTATAAGTCATGTGTCGATGTATGAATTCCAAAACATATCGAACTCTATATTTCTCGTATAGATATTTCACTAAAAATGACTTGTCGCAGGGCTGCCAACCGTCACCAAAATATTCCGAATGTCTTGTTGTACGTCTCATCTGAAATCCTTGACGATGGTTCATGCGGGAAGGTCAGAGAAAACATTTGCTGATAGAAATCGATCCTTACAGGCATGTCAGCGACTCTGTGCTTAAGCTCTTCTGAGAAATCTCCCGAGGTCGCCGCTTGGCTACTTTCAACGAATGGCGAGAAACTCTTTGAGTTGGCTACAATGATGTTCAAGGTGATTAAAAGCGTGGCCGAAGATTCCGCGTTTCCCGCTCGGTCTTGGCTATGTCTGACATGTTGCGGTCTGATGATACTCATGGGTTATGGTAGCAATAGCAATAGCAATATGAACTCTCATCGTAAAATACACCCGCACACTGATAAACCAGCTCAATCTATGCTATCCCACCAGGCTAAGGAATTTACCTTTATCTATTTGAAAATGGAAAGTCCACGGGCAATTCTTGGCTGCCTGAGCATAAACATTCATGTTCAAATCATAGCGCTACGCTCGACTTTGTATTGGTGATATACTTTGAATGAAAAGGAGCAACTGAGCACATGGCGAGATGTCCATGTGGCGGTCAAATGAATGTCTAGTTTCCGATTGGTCAAGTTTGCTGGCGGAGCTACCGTTTGCGGAAAGCAGCTCCACTCCACTCCGCCCCGAAAAAGGCAAGTCACTCAACCTCCGCCTCTATAGATCTGGGCTTGTGGGGAACAGTCTTCTTTTTTGCTTTTTTCTCATGGCGGGGTCTTTATAGCAGTTGAATTTTCGAATCTTTTGTTTCTTTCTTGTCTTCTGCAATATCTGCAATATCTCCATCTTGTGAAAGATGTCTAACGACCAAGTACAAGATGGCTCCGAGGCATCATCTTTCATAGAAACCAATGAAAAATGGAATCACCCGCGCTCCAACATTCTCAAGACTCTGGCCACATTCTGGAGCTTCCTTGTGATGGGCGCAAATGACTCCGCATACGGCGTTTGTGCTTCTTTCCCTCTTCGCTCGGATCTCATGCTAACGAAACCCCGCAGCCACTTCTTCCTTACGTACGATACCAACTCACTTTGCGCGATCTATGTCTAACGCCAAATTTAGCTCGAAACATACTACAATGTCTCATATACAATCGTCTCGCTGTTATTCTTATCCCCCGCTGTCGGATACATCACTGCGGCGATTGTCAACGAGCGAGCCCACTGTGCTATAGGACGTCGGGGCGTGGCATTTGTGTCATCTGCCTGTCATGTCATAGCATACATCCTGAACTGCATTCACCCACCATATCCGGTCCTGGTCGTTGCTTTCATCTTTGCAGGCCTTGGAAATGGACTTGCAGACTCGGCATGGAATGCTTGGATCGGTAATTTGGACAACGCTAACCAGTTACTTGGCTTGCTCCATGGCGTCTATGGAATAGGAGCAGTGATCAGTCCTTTGATTGCATCGTTTTTGGTGGCTGATGCTGGATATCCTTGGTACTACTTCTACTACATCATGGTATGTTTCCTCTCATCTCTTTTTGGCAGAGCTATTCGGTCAATTCTAACTGGTGAAAAGATTGGTGCCGCGGTGATCGAATTCTTTTCCACTGTGACATGCTTCTGGGATTCTGATGGTACTTCGTTCCAAGAATCCAGAAAGCAGGAGCCAGGCCACATCCCTGATACTGGCGGCTTGCGCAAGATACTCTTCACCATGCCTTCTGCGAGGATCACTTGGATCTGCGCCATTTTCCTTCTAGGGTACGTTGGTATAGAAGTGGCTGTTGGAGGATGGATCGTGTCATTCATGAAAGAGGTGAGGCATGCCGCGCCCTTCGACGCCAGTATGACTTCTACTGGATTTTGGCTGGGCATTGCGGTTGGACGAATTGTGCTTGGATTCGTGACCCCAATGATTGGGGAGAAATTAGCGATCTCGGTGAGCTTCAATTTCCCTCACTGCCAAGACGTCTTCAACAACTAACCGTTCAAAAGGTCTATATTGCACTTGAGATTGTGTTTTGTATCATACTCTACTTGGTGCCCAGCTTCTATGCCGCGGCAGTTGCTGTATCTCTTCAGGGCTTCTTTTTGGGACCCTTGTTCCCGGGAGTCGTTGTTGTCACCACAAAGCTCCTTCCGAAGCACCTGCATGTCAGTGCTATTGGTTTTGCTGCTGCATTCGGCGGTGCTGGTGCTGCGGTACTTCCGTTCATTGTTGGTGTTCTCGCGGAAGCCAAGGGTGTCCAAGTTCTGATGCCCTTCATCATCGCTCTCTCGGGCGCTATATTGATACTCTGGAACTTCCTTCCCAGGATGCGGAGTCCCCCCAAAACGCAAGCGAGTCGTCCGGCTGCTGTGAGTGGCTATGGGGCTTGCTAGGAATATCTATCGAGGGAAGAGAGCCTGCTTTAATCATCATGCGACAGCTCAAGAAAGCTAGCCCCAAAAAAAGGAGAATATTTATCTACTTGCATGAGTCGATATTTTGCACACCATTACATTACATCAATCAGCTCCATAGACTGCACGAATAAAACCCATGCGTGAAGAGCACCTCCAGGGCTTCAAATTTATACAAGATGATTGATTGGCGAAGCAGCCTCGACCCACCTTCTCCACTGATGTTCATGATATGAACACATACCCCCTCCAGGATTAAATAGCACTAGCCCAACGAGCTTCCCACCGCTTGCTCAACATCAATTCTAGTTGAGGGATTGAGCAACTATCTCACCAGTTACTGCAGAATACACTTCGCGCCGAAGCCAATGTCCAGCCTTGAATCCGTTTGAGGTCCATAACTCACATGCAGTAGAGTTCGCATGGACGGCGCTAGAACATAGAAAAATGGGCCCAAATGCGTCGCTTCACACCGAGTCCATGATGAGATCATCAAATCAAATATCCTGATCAAGGCCCAGCTCAACTCGAAGCTACTTGCTCCAACATCTTCCACGGCCTTCAGTCGAGCCATTGTATTTTCCTTCCAAAATCCCATAATGGTTAAAGTCACAAACCTCGATGTCGAATATGCCGGGCTCATGAGCCACAACCCTGAAGGCACTTACCTTTACATCCCTCCCAGTTTCGCGACGCTTCACCCCGGATCAGTTGGCTTCTTCGACCAACGCGGCAGCTGGAATCAAATCACCGATCTGTCCAAGAAAGGAAGATCTGAAGTCGATGGATACACAAAACCGAGTCACGATCTAAGCTATGACGAGCCCACAACATCGACGTGGAAGGCACGGTCATCAGAACCCGAAGATAGCCACCAGACTCGGATCAATGGAGGCACTTCTGATAACCCATCGGTCGGTGCGAACTGTGAGAGCAAGCCTTCGGTGACTTCTTCTGAGAAAGCTGGCCTCGCTGTCAAAGGTCTCACCAGGCGAGAAAAGATTCGAGCTCCGTTTTTCAATCCTTCTTCGGTGTGGGCATCGGAAAACGTCGAGACGATTTTGTCGAAAGAGTTCGCAACGCATATTGAGAAGAATGGGCTTTGGATCGTTCAGTCAACCTGGGTTGTCGAAGAATGTGCTATTCGCATGACCGACCGTGCAGATAAGAGCGTTGAGGTCGGGTTGGATATTGTGTCCAACTCTGACAGTGGCGCAGTCCCTTTTGACAAACTCAAAAATGAAGGCTGGTCGACGTATCACGATGCCAAGGTGAGTAACACTTGTCCATCTCTCCATGAATGACGTTGGTATTGACTTGATTGATTCAGCATGAGGGAGGGAGGGTTGTTTCCTTCAGTGGATTGCACTTCAAGCCGAGTCAGTTCCAGAAATCCCGTCAGGGTCTGCATGAAGATGTGAGCGTCGGACATATGAACTTTGAATCTGTGATGGTTGGTCAGACTCTGGCCGACGCCGAAGAAGAGAAAGCAGCAGAGATAGCGAAGGACGAGAAGGTGAAAGCAGAGGTTGGGGCGAGAAAGACTGCAATTCACCGAAACACTGAAGTTTCTGATGACGTCGTGCCACACTGATATAATTTATCTTCCTGATATACCCTTCATTCAACGGCTTCGCATATACTGAATACAAGTCTAGAAGCCATGCTGATAAGCAGCCAATATAATGCAGTCTATACTCGCTTTAACCCCAAGGTTGAAACAAACATCGATCCACATCAGGGTTACCAAGTAGCTAGTGACGGTGGAGCAAATAAGCACCACCTATAAACAAAGATCTGTGTAGTACGGAGTACTCCGTACACACACAGCGGACAGAGAATGGCTAGGCTTGACCTGATAAAAAGAATCCACTAGCGTTGAAGCTATCCATGGTCGGGTCGAAGCCCAAACTCAATCTTTGGTCGAAGGCAACATACTCGAATGCTAATCTATACATCCAAGACTATAATGAGATCTACGAGACTGTGGGTATTAAGGAGTGTATAAGCCCTGGGGAGCGCTGAGTGTTACCAGATCGGTCTGCATATCTAAAATTATGCACAATGCGATTGGCCACTCAAACCGCGCTAAAATGAGTCATAATGACTCGCGGGGGAAGGAGCGATGGGTCAACCAATCAGCAAAGGCTGACTGTGGATTCCTTTTCCCACGGACCACCCCTGCGCCCTCGCCATTCATTTATATCGCCTCGCCCCCGTCTCCATTTCCTTCCTCAGGATCCAACCTCTCCAGTCAACTCTGCAAAGAGTTCACTTCCCCCTATTCCTCCATATTGAGCGTCACGGGTCTGCAAAGACCCGTTTAAGCAATCCAACAATGTCCGCCTGCTGTGCCTCTAGCGCCGCGGCGATCGTCCCATCGACCTTCTGGTTCCAGCCCGCTCAACAGTGGCCCGCAGGAACGCCATCAAGGGCCTGCTGATTATTCGCAATGGGCGGATCTTCAATATGACTTTCTAGCACCGCCGTTGGAAGCCTTTCCAACGCCAGTGCCAGTATGTCAATCCTTCGATACCCTCACCCAGTCGGCGCTCTGGACAGAACCCGATCTGTCCTTTGAAACCGACTGGAATTTCTTATCTGCCAATTCTTCTACACCGTACCCTGCCGCTTTTGACGACGTCCCTGTGATGGACGTTGGGTACGGCACCTCCGTTCTCAACTCTGTTTCGAATTCTCTTTCGGAATCTGGATCCATCGAGCACCATAATTCTATATCCGCTTCTCTTGCTGCTAGCTCAGCCAATTCAGGTATGCTCATGCTTCGGCTGGTGGTCGATTTAGGGCCTGATCTAACGTTTTGAAAGATGGCCACTCGCAGCCTTCCCCTGTGTCACAATTCCCTGCTCCTGTCTCGACTTCTCTGTCAAGTCCCGCTACTTCTCAAGACGATGTTTTGAGTCGTGTTGATTCATCGCGTGTCGAGAAGCGTAAGCTTAATACGCTTGCGGCGCGGAGATGTCGGCAAAGACGTGTTGATCGGATGAAGGAGCTTGAGGCTGAATTGGAAAAGGTCCGAAAGGAAAGAGATGATTGGAGGCTGAAATGCTCAAAGCTTGAGGGTGAAACTGATGCTTTGAAAGGTCTCCTCACTCGGAAGAGCAAGGATATGTAAATGGATTCTCGATAGCTGTTCTTGATTGATGAATTTGATTGGGTTGAGATCGGCGGTGACTTGATGTCCTTTTCGGTTCCTGTGTAAAAAGGCGTAGGGCTGACTCTAACACGTGGGCGCTCTTGGGGAGCACCTTGTAACAAAGGGTGCCATTTCAGGGATAGATGTCTGAACCCGTGGAATTTGTTGGGGGGCATGGAATCCTCCGATCTTGCAACCTCGTATACCATCCCGAGGTCTGCACTTCCCTGGGAATTAACTGGAGGGTTGCCGGGAGGTTTCCATATATCCCTGTATTCGATGGTGAGCGATAAACAGGGATCTTCCTATCTGATCTGCTGCTTCCAGGACTATGCAAGAGGTACTGAGAGGGACTTCCCTCGCGCTGTGCCCACCTGGGTAGGCGCTTACAAGACTGTAGCCAAAGCATCTCCTAGGGCTCCCTTTCGGTGTGATACAAATCTCCCTGTTTCATATTCAAACCGTATCACCTTGCCTTGCTAAAAGCTGTGCCCTACTCATCCTCTCAATGAGTCTCGGTACCATGTTACTCCAGTTGGTGTAGAGCCACGTGGGACTGACGTTAAAACGGCACATATAGTCCCTGCAATCTAGGTCCAACCCATGTACATGCCATGTGGTCAAGCTACCCACTCATAAATGATAATACTAATCCATCAAGGTTTCTTCAAGGAGGCTATCCCTGTCACCTCACCTCTCATAGTCGGGGAGAATCTTCCGATAACCTTTTGCCGAGAAACCAGGTACGCATCAGATATTGGCACAGGGGTCACAGGACTCAGGATTGAGGACCGGATTACCGGATTTCTGTTCATGACAAGTTGTTTGAATCAACATTGCCGGAACACACCTCGTATGGCTCTCCCAATTGTCGATCATTAGCTGACGATGTATTCCCATCATGAGCAACAAGTCACAGCTCCAGATCAAGTTTCGCTGGCATGACAGTCTCGGTACAACCTCCAAGATCACTATATGTACTCCGTATACAATGTAACAATCCAACCCAATCGCGGACACAGAAGGTAAGATTAAACTCCACCGTTTCAAAAAAGCGTCAGGTCCCAGAGTCCTGACGAATCTCACCCAGCCCTAGTGTAACCCGCAAGCTCAATATCATGGCATAGTTTCTCAGCCGCAGACTCCAACGGGCACAACAAATGTAATGATCGTGCGCCAATAGCTCAAGTTTCCCGACATAGGAGGCCACGGTATCCAACCGGTTCCAAGGTTCTAAAAAAGAGTTTGGCCAGAGACAGGGATCTCCTTTGTCTACATTGGCACAGGGCTTTCTCCTGGTTATGGCACAGTTGTTCATGTGCGTCTAGACAGGATATGCAGGTGTGGGTAATATCTGCACGATCTGAGGCTCAGATGGGCAAGTTTGTCGTCATATGGCTGTGTGATCCGGATGCATGGAACGGCCATTTGCGTCGCTTTGGTGTTGAAGCCGGTTGGAGTATGTTGCTGATGTCGGTAGATGAACGGATGTGACAAGAGCTGCGGGCTATTGGGTGATGTTGTAATATTATGCAACAATTTGTCTTTGGCTTCTTTCAGCTCTGCGCATTGTTTGTTTTGGGCTTCTGGCTACCTGAATGGGCAGTATCAGTCTGGAACTTCCAAGGTTTTCACGTCTTGCTTCTTTGGTGTGGTGGCAGCCATGCCTTCTAAAACTGCAATTACCCAGTGAGATTTGAATTCGGGAAGAGGGGATCTCATGGCTCTCACTGACACAATGTCAGCATGTGCAATCCTGGGTCGATATTTCGGCATGAAGCACGCGATTCTTTGACGGGCACCCTTCCATAGTATGCCGATCACATTTCTATGCCACATGTCTGCAATCGTTATACCTGTGGGAGTACCTGAGCAGTAAACAATATATGTGATATTCTGCAGGATGCGCCAAGACAAGATCTGGTAGCCACATAGCCACCCGATGTGAATCGGGGAATAGAGCTTCATGCAGTAAGTGCGCTTTCCCACCACCGTAAGACCCTTTTTTTGCATTGTCTAATGCCCAGGTCCAGCTCAACTGACCCCATACACTCGCTGGGCATCGCTGGGCATCGGGATGAGCTCGGAAAGATGTCCATCTCGATCACCTTTGACCCTGAATGTTGATCGAGCAGGGATTGTATCATTGTAAACACGCCCAACATGTTGAGAAAACAACCAAGATCTAAGGGAACAAAGCAAAAATAGTACTTCGTACTTATGGTCTATGTAAGTGGCCCCGCTACAATGTAACATAACCGAGGAGTTTAGCAAACGCCTAACTACTTCGTATACACCAACGACTTCGCCTCAGATGGTTCGAGAATGACGTCACTGTTCGAGTCCCCGGGGACTCACTTTTTATTCTGAAACTCCTATTGTTTCCTCGATTGTTGTCTATTGCTTTTTTTACCTTTTCAGTGTTTCACCAAACGTTGGTGCAGCTCTCGAACCTGATTTATTCATATTATGGTTACTTTGCGTCTTGCAGCAAATACGAACCGCGTGGGGAGACTCTTGGCTGGCTGACTGTGTTGGGGAGAAAAAAGTGTTGTTGGCAGTGGGATGAACGACCCAAGCGGTTTAGGGTAGACGGTTTGACAGCGCAAAGGTCTGGGTGTTTCTAATGGTGTTTCTAACAGAGACTAACTGGCTAGTTCGGGATCTAGGTCAGGAAAAAAAAATCAATCCCCAAACTAAATCGGCAAGGGAGGGTCGAGACGGGGTGTGTTCACGCGAACTAACCGAGTTCAGGGTCAGGCGCCGATCATCAGATTCTGGCTTGACATGAGATCGCAGGGATCGTACTGGGTGAGGGAGGTGAGAGTATCTACTTCGGGACAGTTCATAGTTTAGTCGCCCACGCACCATCAGGCAGGAAGACCATAGGGTGAGAGAAGAGGTTCTCGCACTCGCATCTGATTGATCCACTCTGTCGCCTTCTGGAAAGACACGCCTCAGCCGTGAGCTGAGACATGTCACCGCTCATGTCCGGTAGAATTCATTGGTCTATTCGGCCTGCATGGGGCCGGGATGGAATTTTTAGATCCTACCGTCTAATGGTGCCTCTCTACTCTTTGACGACGCTGGCGTGTTTTTTTATTATTTTTCTCTCTTTCTTTTCTTAGCTTTTCTTCCAAGGTTGAAGTGTCTTTGTCACGCAATATTATTCCATTGTCGTTTAATTATAATTGGAAAACACCCCCACAATACTCCATATACACTCGTTGATCACTTCTCTACTGTACACATACAACTTGTACATTTTTGCACTGTGGAACCGAGCCCTCGGGGAATCTTGCCTCTTGAAACAGACATGGGAACACCACTGACAGGAACCGTCATTATTACCGGTGGCAATGGACTGCTGGGCTCTGAGATCGCCATCGAGATTGCAAAGAAACAACCCTTCGTCCATCTCCTGTTAACAGCACGGGATATCAGAACGGACGACGTCCGGGACCTCACCGGCAAGATCCGCCTGATCGGCCCCAGATCGATCGAAGTGCTAGCCCTAGATCTGACCGACCTCAAATCCGTGGCCAGTTTCGCCAAAAGCACCGTCAATCGGGTCCGATTTCGAGACATTCCGCCCGTGACCAGCCTGATTCATTCGGCGGTCGCAACCTCCTACACCGTCGATGACCTCACCTCAGACGGATACGACCCTGTGTATCAAACCAATTGTCTATCTCCCTTCTTATTGACCATCGGATTACTGGAAGCGTTCCGCGCCGGGGACGGGACGCCCAAGGGCGGTGCGAAGGTCATCAACATCGGCTGCTCGGCCACATCGAGCGGACGGCTGGACTATTTCGAGCGCGACCATGGTCGCCATGGACGTCATTTGGGCGACACACTCAGCGCAAAGGAAGAGAATATTCGGTTCGGGAGCAGCAAGTTAATGGCGAGCGTTGCATTATATGCGTTGAGGCGGAGTTTGATCTGGGTGAGTTTCATATTCGTCGGAGTCATCCGAATCCTTTCCAATCACGTTTCGTTATTTGCTTATTCCGTTTGTTGATGTTTCTTTTTTCGAGTGACAAGTTGCATTCACTAACCATCTATATATAGACGGGTAATATCTCGCTGGATATCTTCACTCTAGATCCTGGGGGTATGACTGGTCCTAGCAATCTTCGGACTGGGGCTCCCATGTCGGTGAGAGTCGCCCATCAGACTCGGTCGGGTCTTCGGCCCTTCCTGCGGATGGTATCTCGCAGTTCGATGAACAAGGCCAGTGTTCCTGCCAAGGCCATTGCCAGAGTTGCATTCCAGATCGACTCGGTGGAGAACCTCCAGAAGGAACGCTACTACATCTTGGACACCGACTATGAAGCTGCATCGGTCCTGTCGAGCTTGCGTGATTCTGAGCAAGTGAAGAAATTGTTATTACAGATGATGCGACAGGTGGAGGTAGAAACCAAGGAGGTTGAGTCTCCTACTCCCATGCGACCGGGGTTGAGCATGATTGCACCTCCCATTTCACTATGAAGCATGAAGGGCGAGTAAAAAGTTGACACGTATATTAGCATTGAGCGATTTGTATATAAGCATCAATTGAGGGGTAATTTGCATTGAGATAAGCGAAAAGAGCCGAAGTACTAGAAGTAGAGGAAGTGTTGAAGTGTTGAAGTCGAAGTCGAAGTAGATAAGCTGCAAGCGGAAGTCCGGATTTGGTTCAAGGCACACCAATCACACCTCTCTTGTCTTGACACTTTTGACGATTATCTGACCTTCTTTTGACCTCGCTACTCTGCTAAATCACTGCCAATTGTCTGTGTGCTATAATCCTGCGGATCGCTAAAACAGACCGGGGTGAGAGCACTAGGGTCGGCCGTCTCCATCTTGGGACATAAGCGCCGTGACGGTGATCGCGCCCGCAGTCATGAACCGACACGTCCTCGAAAAGGGCCACTCTGCCTACCCCATCGGTTCTGCATTCTCAATATCGCCTAACAGGTCAGCCATGTGTTCTTCCCACGGCAGAACCTGCCGAGCTTACAATCGGGACTGACTAGCCTCCCCACAGATTCCAGCCCCGGTCGCAACCTTCGCTTCGGTACCGCCGACAACTCTTCCAGCGCCTCTGTCTGCTTGGCGGCGTCTCCCTGATCCTCGTCCTCCTCATCTTCCCTTCTTGGCGAGCCGCCGTCCTCCCCACCATCTCCCTAGGCCTGCTCGCCTCGCCCAATGATCTACACCTCCAAACCGTCCGCTACTATGACCTCAGCGAGGTCCAAGGCACCGAGAAGGGTTGGGCGCGCGGAGAGCGCGTCTTGATGTGCACTCCGCTGCGCGATGCCTCGTCACATCTCCCGATGTTCTTCTCTCACCTCCGCAACTTGACGTATCCGCACGACCTCATCGACCTGGCCTTTTTGGTCTCCGACTCTCGAGATGACACCCTCGGCATGCTGTCGCGCATGCTGGAGGATATACAAAACGATCCCAACCCCAAGATGCCATTTGGGGAAATCTCGGTCATCCAGAAGGACTTCGGACAGAAGGTCCAGCAGGACGTGGAAAGTCGACACGGATTCGAGGCGCAGGCCAATCGGCGGAAGCTGATGGCCCAAGCGAGAAACTGGCTGCTGAGCGCCACGCTACGACCAACACACAGCTGGGTCTACTGGAGAGACGCGGATGTGGAAACTGCGCCTTTTACTATTATCGAAGACCTCATGCGACACAACAAGGATGTGACCGTTCCAAGTGAGTGGACCAAATAGCCTGCAATTCACTTTTGCTAACTCGGTTCCATAGATGTATGGCGGCCGCTTCCAGATTGGCTCGGCGGCGAACAACCCTACGATCTGAACTCATGGCAGGAATCCGAGACTGCGCTGGCGCTTGCGGACACTCTCGACGAGGACGCCGTCATCGTGGAAGGATATGCCGAGTACGCGACGTGGAGGCCCCACCTTGCTTACCTCCGTGATCCATACGGCGACCCTGATATGGAGATGGATCTTGACGGCATTGGTGGCGTCAGTATTCTGGCCAAAGCTCGCGTGTTCCGCGCCGGGGTGCACTTCCCGGCGTTTAGTTTCGAAAAGCACGCCGAAACGGAAGGATTTGGCAAGGTAAGGTGGCAACTGAAGCGCTAAGCTATACATTTGCTAATGAATTGCAGATGGCCCGACGGATGAAATTCTCCGTAATTGGCTTGCCGCATTATACGATCTGGCATCTTTACGAGCCTAGTGTTGACGACCTCCGTCACATGGAAGAGATGGAGCAGGAGCGTCTGGCTCGCGAAAAGGAAGAACAAGAACGAGCCGAGCAGAAAGAACCTGTCCAGTCTCAACCCCAGAGTGATGATCACATCGTGGACCGCGAAGCAGTACAGGGCTCTGCTGAGGGTCCGATTGCTCATCCTGAAAAAGACCCTGCGGATTCGATCAATGGAGCTACAAGCGACCAATCTGAGGTTGCCGAAAAAGTTGAGCAAGTGAAGCAATGACCTCTTGTCTTTCTTCATGTTCTTGCATATGTTTTTCACTTTCATCATTCATCACTGGGTGGTATCTTTTCTTAGTCTAACAAAGCATCAGGGATAGCGTGTACTGATTTGGCCAGAGCAAAATTGGGGGTCTTTATAGGCATCCTACACACAAGTAGCAGTCAATTAGAATAACCCGATATTAATTAGGAAATCGACGATGATGAAGCTGCAAAGTGATGGATAGTCGAGCAACGAGGCTACCAGACATTAAACGGTGGTCCGTGTGTTATCCACTTCGCGTCAACGCGTTTCTCGCCTCTCAACTTCCTCTCTACACCTCATCATGTCGACCCAGGACGCGCACAGTATTCTCTTCACACATACCCGGCCTCAGCAGGGCTTCCGGCTACTAGAACTAACCCCAGAGCTGGAGAAATTGCTGACATCGAAAGATGCACCAGTGTAAGCCAACCAGCAACCAGAACCCCAATTCCTCAATAGCAACCCATACTAAACCCCCGAACAATAGACTTGAACTCAAATCACCATCTGCAGCCCTCGCAAAAGCAGTAGTTGACCCAAGCGCCCAAGAATACGTCAATCTCTGCACAGAGACGCAAACCTACCGTATCCGCCAAGTCCAGTCCTCAAACTCCATCCACGTCCTCCGCCCCAGCCACGGCGAAATTTCCCAAGCCGACATCAAAGTCGTCGAAGACGTTGACGACATATCCGCTCTAAACTTCCCCAACGAAGCATTATCAGCTATCGCAAAATGCTCCTCGACACTCGAACTGCACGTCCCGCCGGGCGGGTTCTCCGCAATTCCATTCTTGGAAAAGAGTCTACGGCTATACGATCGACATGATAATGATGGAGACGTCCCCATGGATGAACGAGCGGGCCCATTGGGCGCACACGAAATGCGATCGGTCAGAGAGCAGATCTGTCTAGATATCCCCGTGTCAGTGGCACAGTGCGAGCAGGGCTGGATGGAGCTCTGTGCATTTGTGGATAATGGCGAGGAAGTAGCGGGTTGGAGGCCTTCTGCGCGCGCACGGCTGCATGTTTGGAAGCGGTTGGTTGAGGGCGCGGTGCTGCAGGGGATTGATCTGGAGAAGCAGTTTCTGGTTGGGGACTTGTGGAAGTCTGTTCTTGATGAAGACGATGAGCAGGAGGCTCCGTTCCCGCGTGTTTTGTTGGAGGCTGTTGTGAGACGGATGTGTGTGGCGGATGAGCGGCCTCCTATGGGTGATGAGATTAAATGTAAGTTGAGTTGGTGATTGCGCGGTGGAGGTTGCTAATCGAGTATTCTAGGGGCGAGCTTTGACAAGGCTGAATGTTCGATGTGGGTGGGTGAGACGTATTTGGCTGCCACTGCTCCGACTGTGTCGTCTGCTGTTGGGAGAAGTGAATTCCTCAAAGCATGGAAGGACTGCCTGCCAGAATCTTGGAGAGAGGAGGCTGCTCTGTCAAAACTGAGCGTAAGTTTTATTAATATCATTGGCTCATGCTGCTCGAGCTACGGTGACTGACTCGGATTGTTCTAGAACGGTTGTTACAAGAGTCCGGATCCCACGACTATATTCTTTGTCCCCGAAGCACAGCGACAAGATACCCCCGCAGCTGCTGCGACGGGGTCGGCTTCTGCTGCAAAGGCTAAGACCACCCGGAACTGGCATGAATTGCTCAAAGCTCGTCGTTGATTAAGAAACGCTCTTACTGCGTCAATGCCATGGCATCTCATCTATGATGAAGGGTAGATCTAGGAACATCATGATCTTATCTGCCGCCAGAATCACCTTTGTCCTCATGTCTTCAACCGGCATGGGAAATATGAGAAACAAAACAAGCCGAAACGGTCCTCAACACGTGGAAATCAGCACCAGGCGTACTTCTCATTCAACCACCATTCAACGTCTTTACCCAACCCTTGGGCCTCGCCCGTCCATCGCAAGCTAGCGACGCTGTCCTTTTCGCGGTGCACAAGTTCGGACTTCGGGTCGACCAATGCCACGGCCTTCTGCAGCAAAGGAGTTGGGTTCCAGAAGTGAATCTTGCCCATGTTCCACTCGTGCGCCTCATGCTGAGCTCGTCGGAGAATGGCAGCCATGGCCTGGATCACAGCTTGCTCTTCTGTTGGCGACGTCGGCTCATCATACACCCACCGCAGGATGTAAAGCACGTTTTCATGAGGGAACTCGCCGAAGTTCCGATTCCAGACGCAATAGACACCAGCCTCGTCCACACCGGCGCCCTTGACCACCGGCGGAGATCGCTGCGGGAACAGATTCTCCGCATAGAACTCCTCCCTAGCCCAATGCCACACGAAATGATCAAAGTCCGGCACAATAGCGATCTTCGCACCAGGCGAGTTCTGCGACGCCACCAGCATTCGATCATGCAATTTCCCCAAAACTTCCTCGCTGCACAATTTCACCTGCACATCCTCCGCGAACAGCTCTCGTGCCCCCGTATCCCCACCCTCCTTAGCCTGTAACGACATATGCGAAGATAAGAAAGGCCGCCAGCCAAATTGGGCGTAGAACTTCTTCCCGATATCAGAAAACAGCACCGTAAACAACGACCTCCCCCTAACCTCACTTTCCATCTCCCACGTCTCAAGCTTCACACTCAGCTCTTCCATCATCCGCTTCGCATACCCTTTCCCCCGGAAATCAGCCCGGCAGTAAACACTCCCCACCCCGTGCGTGGCCACCCTCTCGACCCGTCCCCCATGAGCAAGGAACGCAGTCTTGCGGTAGGATTCACACGCGCTGAGAATCGTGCGATTATCTTCTGGCTCGTGTCGGTCCACTAGGACCCAGCACGTCAGTCCGTCGCGGGTCAATCGCTGCTGGAGTAGATGGTTCTCGCGAGCTATATAGGAGTCCACGTCTAGTGGACCCTTCCATTCCGAACTGTTCAGTTTGATGGAGGCAATGCGCTCTGAGGGGGTGGCGGGGACTAGGATCAAGTCTGGCGATTCTCCTTCTGGTAAAGTGCGGGGCTCTGCGGCAATCATGGTTGCTGATTTGGATTTGGATTGAGATTGATGAGATGGGCAGAATCTGACGTGACGGGTAATATGTGGGGCTTGTTTCGTGATGCTTCTGTCTATTGGAGTTGATGTTGGTGTTGCAAGTTTATTCTTATGAATAGAGAATGGTGAAGGAATAGTGCAAGAGTCAGAAAGTAAAGATGAGGTTTCCAAGGTTGGCAGAGGTGAGAATCCGGGGTTGAGATAAAAAAGCTCCCATGTGTCCACCGGGTGGAGAATCCCAAGGCTCTCGCCGACGGGGCCCCGATATCTTCAAATATGTCATTGGGGGAACTTAAACCCCCCAACATCTACGTACTTGGGAGATCGAGTCACACGAGATTGCTATAACCAGTGCCATTGGCGCCCCCTCTGCTATTGTCACGATCCGGGCCGGAGTCTCCTACTAGAAACGTCAGAAACCCGCAGTTTTTCTTTGTCACCGGCCCGAGGACAAGCGACGGGAAGCGAAGATGTTGCATCACATTAGTCCAAATTGCACTTTGGATACGGAATAACTGCTTTATACTTCGGATTCTGGAGTTCTCATAGGTCAGTCGAGGTCAGGCCCTTGACGTAATCGTCTGGAGGGTTTGGAGGCATCATGTGAGCGATTATGTCACTGGGCTTGGGCCTCGCATAGTTACTCCGTACTCCGTCTACTCCGTTCACTCCGAATACCTTCTAACTCACGTTCTGGGAAATTGTGGCTTGGGGTCAGGAGACCTTGAGATATAGCTGGAATCTGGGAATATCCATGGATCCATGGATCCATGATCTTTCTCCGTACATCTTTCTGTCTTCGATGTTTGATACATCTATATGTTCATACTGGGCAGCACCATCCTATATCAGAGGCCCCTTTACGAAATACCTTGCTCGTTTTTAGTTAGATCGATCGGGCTCGGCTACTGCGACCCCGTTAATCTCAAGGGCCGGACTCCGACCTTTGGGCTCGACCCCGGCTCCTGTCCTCTTGGGCTCTTGGTTTACCTTTGTTTTCTTTTGTTCTTCTTTGACAGAGATCAGCACTGTGAGGCTTTGGATATGAGTGATTCTAATCTTGGGAATCCATGCTTCTATCCTATAGAGCCTTTTATAGGGCCCAACCAAGTGCATTCCAGGCCGTCACAAATACTCCGTACACATGGACATGTTTTTGGGTCTTCTCAATGATCATGACAAGTACCTTAATCTCTTACCTAGATTGGCTTGGGTGTCTCCTCATAGTCCCCTGAACAGTGAGGTTATAGCAGATAATACTCAAAAATGTACAGTGCAGAGTAGCATGAAAGATGCCGGCCAAGTGACCTCGGAGACGGCCATCGGACGCTATACCTAATCTAGGCTAGCGTGTCCCACCCTATCGAACTGCCAACATCCTCGTTTTTTTAGGTGCCAGCTTGTCACCAGTCTCAAAGTACCTAGAACGCTGGTGACATTCTCATCCTTAGATTAGTCACATACATATGGGGATATTTAACATATGAATACAGGTGAGTCGTTTAGCCGGGCTTTGGATAGTGACTTACTGCATACCCAGTATGCTACCAATAGATAGATCAATAAAAACACAAAGATCTAAAGGCATTCATCTTGAGAGAAGATGTTCAAAGGTCCGTTGAGCAAATCAACCAAGCCATGGATCTTTACTATAAACAGACATCACAAGAACACAGCTCCATTGAAACAGGGAAGTAGTGTAAGAGCACTACTATTCATCTCTCTTGCACATAGATAGTCACATTCCAACCTTCCAGGTCCCCAGGCGAGATCAAAACATAGACAAGGCTTGGCATGCACGATGGATCACCTACATATCCATTGTGTAGCGGCACGGAATCATCGAATGCGCGTGATCCGACGGTATCAAAATCAGAGAAGTCTCATCACCATACAGGGTAGTTCGTAGTTCTTAGAATTTCCCGAGATTTTCAAGCCCGACATTTGTTCCTCATGCCTGTGCCAAAGCTCTGAATTCCAGTAGCACAGTGTGAAGAAACGAATTCAACCCAGCCCCGGGTGGTAATACCTGTGGACTGGAACGATAGCGTAATCCCAGCACTTAGCTCGCCGTGAATAGCATGCCGTATAGACAATCCAAGTTGCTAACACATGTTTCAACCGTGGGTGATGATCAAAAATACCACACATGTCGACTTCTCTGCGGGCATGCAGGCATAGCTATAAAGATCTCAAACACCCCCCACAGCAGTGAGACATTGGCGCCTAGGGCGCCGGGTGGCTTACTCTGGCTAATCAGTGAGCAACCATCCATGGATGGATCTAAAAAGCATCCAATAGGCAACAGCCATATCACACGTGACCGCGTCATGGATGGAGCTAGCATATATGAGGTTGAGAAGGTGGCGGCTCTGAAATAAGGATTTGCCCCACCTGGACATGGGGATGTATATGGACCCCGGACGTTGGGCATTTGCATCAGTAGAGAAGACACTTCCAGGTTCCAGGGATCTGGTGGAGCATTCAAACATTTCGAGGGATAGTATTGTCGATGGTGCAAGGAAAGATAGAGACCCATTGAACCTTGGAAAGGTGTTCATTAACCTAAACTGAACATCTGGCTAGCATAATTACACAAGATCACAAAGGGCGTAGCGGCGTATTTTTTGTTTTTGATCGGCCAAGACCAAAGCATTAGTAGAGATGCAGGAACGCAAGACTGGCAAGATGCAAGGAATCAACAAACGGGAGGGAGGTTCCAAGGTTGAAGACACAATCTGTTTCAACAGGAGATGCAAGATTACAGCGTCACGTACCCGGGTCTCGAGAAGGATCGGGTTCACTGGGTTCATCAGCCAAGCAGACATAGAAACGAGACGAGATTGGGAACTAGTTACTAGATTGTTGAATTGGCTAGAAAAGAGGATCATGTAGTTGGAGATTTCAACAAAGGAGACGAATGAAATACAACAAGAAATGGGAGATGGTATGAAAAAAGAAAAGAGAAGAAGAAAAGGGAGATACCGGGCCGCAGCAAACAGATCAGCGAGGAGAGAACCCAGGGGGATCAGGCAAGATGCAAATGGAATAAACGAGAAGATATATAAGAGGCGTTTGGAAGAAAGCTGGGAGGGGAAAAGAAGGATGGAGAAGGAGCGTCATGAAAGTGATAATGGGAGGAAGAGCAGAGGGGGGCCGAGAAAGAAATAAGCACTTGGGAATGAAGCACAAAGAAAAAGGAAAGATATGAAACCTGATCTATGTAAGTAAATGCCATGCGAGTCCCAAAAATCGTCCGCTCCCCGTTTTATGTATTTGCGCCACTTCTTGCGCACGGCAATTCCAGAATTTCCTTCGTCCATCATGTATGTTCGATCATTGGTCACGCTAAATCAAGAATGAGACAGAAATTGAGTGTGGACAGGAAATTGAGAGATGAGCAAGTAGAGATGAAAAGAGGAAAAGGAGAAAAAACAGCAACGTATTTCCCCCAAGGCCTGAGGAACAGTGTCGGAGAGTTTGAAGGGAAAAGAAAAAGACCACAAATCTCCCGAGTTCAAGGTGGTTGCTCTGAATCCACCGGTTCGTTGAACTTCTGTCGTGCCTCTTCTACCCACAACTCCAATCGGAGTTCGCCGGCTTCGACACGTCGTACCGGTACTGTTTTGGCACGGCCATTCGAGACCCTGGGGGCGGCTGCTGGGGCTCGCCATTCCGTAGTTTGGAGACGGAAAATGGTGCGGTGCATGATCGTAGATGCACCTTGCCCGGCTCCGCCACAATCCAGGTCTGTTCTTCCTTGGTGGTCCCCGCCGGGGGTAGCGCATCTTCCCGCACCTCGATGCAGACGGTGAAACTGAACTCGTCATCGCGGGGCAGCGGGGTCAATCGAGCACACGCTGAGGCGAGTCTCGCGAGACACGCTCGGAATTGTGCCTCGAGGTCGACGGATGTGGGCGCGGGGCCCCGGTCTGAGACAGGGGCACCTGGATTGGATGAATCTTCATTTCGGTCTTCAAATGTGGTGTTCACTTCTCCCGCGGGGGCCCGCGGGAAGCCCGACAGATCAAACGCATATCGCTCGAGGGGCTGGTTTGTGCGAAGAGATGAAATGATGATACTGACTGCGGTGATTGTGCCTTTTAAGATCTCCGTTCCGACTGCGATTGATGCATCGTTGATGTAGTCACACACTTTTGGGTGACGAGATTGTCGAACGGGATAGTTGTATGCACGGACGGGTAGGAATGTCGCGCGCGGGTAGACGGAGCGCAGGAAGAGTATTTGGTGGACGGAAACGGTGAGGAAGTTGGTGAAGGAGGCCGCTAGCGCTGACTGGTTGGTGGGCAGCGATTTGGTAGCAGGAATCGGGGCGGAGAAAGTTGTCATGGTGGTGGTGGTACTACTGCTCTCACTGGCAATCGGCATTGCCGTCGAACGATCCGGTGTCGCTTCCACGGTGAGGGCGGTCTTGACGAAGTCTCGAAGAATCTGAATGATGTTCCACCCTGAAGCTAATCATCGCTCTGCCTTTCTAATCCATCGGTCAACGTCAGGTCGATTTCAAATTTCCAGTGTTTCTTTGGTTGACGTTGGAAAGTCGATCAAGATTTTTTTGGGGGTGGGGGTCCCCGATACTCCAGTGCACACGGCGAGTCACAAGGAAGATTCGCGGGGGATTTTTAAATGGCTGGATGAGACCAGGGTGAGTAGAGCGACCACAAAAGAAGCTCCTCGACGCGATATCCAACCAGGATTTGTGTGGGGGTGGAAGAGACAGAGAGAGGGGAGGGGGGGGCAAAGGTGGTTGGTGGGTTGGAGGGGGCTGTTTGTGTTTTGGAAAAGGAAATCGGTAACGTACGCTTGGGTGGACAAAATGCAAAGTAGAAGCACACCTCAAAGCATGAGGAGGGATTCAGTCAAAATCCCGGAGCGACGATCCCAGATGCAAGAGGTTGTCACTTTTTTTGGGAAATTAGATCCCTTGAGGGGAGTTGAGGAGGGGTGGTTAAAGCGAGAGGAAGGAGGGGAAGTTTTTCAGAGGGTAACCCTCGATTTTTAATAAAAAACAAAAAGAGGAGCACAGTAAAGGAAATAATAGGAAATCGACGGAGGATCTAGAGATGAATGGACGATGGGATGTCACTCTCGCTCATCGAGGGGAAAAGCAGAAGGAAAGGCGGACTAAAGTTGTGTTGGTCACGGTTCGCCGTCACGTGGTTGCGTCATGGGTTGGTGCAGATTCCCCATTTTCGGCCTTTTTTTCACGACTCCCTCACGATTTCACCAGCTTCAGCTATGAACCGGGATAGATTTCACAATATTCTACTTGATTCAAGCCTGGTCTATATCTATATCTCTCTGTAAAGACCACCGGGATCATATCTCTAACCACCTTGGAAATATTAGGCAAAAATACAGTAAATCATTATACCATCATACCATCATACAATCATGCCCTGTATAGAAAGAAAAAAAAAAATGGAAGAGAAAAAGGCACATATTTTTCGCCTCTTCCCCACTGGAAGAAGAGGATCATCCCAGCCAAGCCGAAAACAGGTATATCATTAGGTATTATACTCTCAACCAAAGAGCCGAGTTATATGTGCAGAACCATGGGAAAGAAACCATAGCCGAGACATAATTTGGCCTTATCTCTTTGTGTGCCGGGGGTACCTGGTACCTTAAATTCCCTGGGATTGGGTAGTGGTTCAAGGTACTGGGACCATCATGGTACTTACTACTTACTCCATACTCTATATCATTCCAAGGTTTAATATTTACTATTTACTATTTACTCTTTACTATTCACAATTTAATGATGATTTGGAATAAAATATCTGTACCAAATACCACTACGGAGTACATTTTAGATTGCACGCCTCCAATACGCTACTCCCGATGATCTTCCTACACTGACGGCAGTGGCGGCCATCGGACATGGGTACGATTTCCCGGGGAGAAGCCCATTTGTGCTCCGTATGGTCCCTCGCCAGTCATGCAGGTCCTGCGTTTAGTGCCTCTGGATTATCAATACGGACCTTCCATACGTTTCTACTTTTTCTATTAGGTAGTCATGAGGGGTTAACTACTGCATTGTCGCATGCTGTACGGTCAATACTCGGCAATTCTCGACGCTCCATACTAGCTTCCACGCATCCGGTATAGTTAATTAGAGGCTTGTCTCAAGGATTGATGATCAATTTTCTATAAAAAAAAAAAGTGCAAGTCTCATCGAACCAAACAATAAGAAAACACAATGGAAGAATGGAAGATCACAAAGGAAAAAAAGGAAAAAAAAAATCTATTGTTCCGTGGAATATTCCGAGTCAATTCGGTGGAACTTCCCTCACCTCCAAAAGATCAGGGTCCAATGGGATGTACCGAAATGATCAGAACTTGGATCTCACCTGAAGCTCGAGCCAGTAAAACTCGGGGCAGACCCATCCCTGGGAGCTTGTGTATGGTGGAAATCTCGAGTAAACCCTACAAAACCTTGATGGGTCCCCCCTCCCCCAACGGGCAATTTCCACTGTTAGGTCGGGGGACTGTTTGCTGTTTCTGGCAATAGCCAGGGTCAGACCATACAGTGTTGTATTCCCAGTCGAAGGAATAATAAACTTGTAGTCTAAAATAAGCTGCTGGGAATACCCGTCTTTTAATCCCTGTCTGATCCCAACCCTATGATGCAACAGAACCTTGGAACCTAGCAGAATCGCAAGGGTAGGATTCCGGGCTTCCACACCGTCCTGTGTGTTTGAACCCTAACTGATCTCACGGTTTGGTGGTGCAGATCGGAGTGATCTCCCGCTTCCAAGGCGAATCGGGGCTCAACTGGTACAATCTGTGTGCCCTGGCCCAGTTTTCTCATAGGTACGAGGCACAAGTACAGTCAGTACAAGCAAGGATCCTCCGTACGATGTACAGTGCGGATTCAAAAAGTATTTGACCTTGGATACTTAGACTTCCGATTCAACTTTTGATATTGCCCAAATGATATGTAGTAACATATTGAAAAAAGACAGTAAAATGTTTAGATTTCATAGTTACTACATACAGATTGATCAGGCTCCAAGGCGGATTCTAAACTGCTGGAGGTCTAATACTTAGAAGACTGCACTGTATGGGGTAATTTTGAGTATAGGAAGCTTGTGTGTCCCCAGCTCTATACAAAGCAGCCCCTCCAAGACTTGGCCCGTAGCCTGAGAATTGGCGCGGAGCACGGACTACAGCTCACAACATCCAGGTGCTATGTGGCAGTGGGAAGAATGAAACTAGAAAAAGAAGATAGAGGATACTATTTATATACAGTGAAGACGCTGTGGTTAAAGTACAATGAGGGTTTAAAAGTATTTGATCTTACTCCGTAGGTACGGAGTACTTCGATCTCAGACGTACCTTGGACGGTATGATATCTTTTCAAAGAAGAACCATAGTAAAGAAGACGGCAAACAAGACAGCAAAGTTCCCAAGGCTCTCAGATTATTGCAAATAGATCAAGTTAAGAGAGTCCTGTTCAATATGAAAGTCCATAATGGCAGACCGCCTTCGAACTGCCCCTCCTCCGCGTCTCCTTATCTCAAAACAATTGGACTATCTCTCCCTTGGAGCAAGCCAATCCCTCAACTCCCTTTCACCATGGAGCAAGAAATTCTGACGCTCCTGGCAGATACCCAGGCAGCAAAGTCTGATACCAGAAAGTCAGCAGAGTTACAGCTGAAGAATTTCTACGCTCATGATTCCTTCCCTACCTCGCTCACGGCAATCGCTTCGCACGACTCGGTCCCCGTGAATTTGCGCCAGTCCGCCCTCTCCGTCCTGCGCACCTTCATTTCCTCATCCTGGTCCCCCACTCTCGACGACTTCAGGGGTCAGATTTTAATCAATGATGCGAACAAAGCAAATGTCCGTCAGGCCCTCCTGCTACTTGCGACCAAAGATACCCCAGAGCGCAAGGTAAAGAATTCTGCCAGTTATGCTGTCAGTAAGATTGCCAGTGCCGATTTCCCAGACGAGTGGCCCGAGCTGCTCCCCTCGTTGCTGCATATTATCAACGATGCCGCCAGTTCCGACGGCCAATTGCACGGTGCGCTGAAGGTCTTGTTGGATCTGGTGGACACTGGCTTCAGCGAGGAACAGTTCTTCAATGTTGCCCGCGATCTCGTCGCTTGTCTCTTCGCCGTCGCAACTTCCGAATCAAGGCGACCTATGCTGCGCGCTCTGGCTGTTGCGGTCTTCCGCTCTTGCTTCGACACCCTGGAAATGGTACTGGAGCAACACAAGGACGCCATTAAGCAATTTATGGATGAGGTGCTAAGTGGATGGTCGCCGTTCTTCGATGTCACTTTGAAAGCACCCCTCCCACAGCCGCCTTCCGAAGAAGAGGAACACAAGCAAGGCGAGATCGCGTCGCAGTGGCGTGGAGTGGTGGGTTTAAAATTACAGGTTGTCAAGGTATGGATGGGACTCAAATTTCTTGAAATTACTCCTGATTAACATGTGGACTCTATCTAGACTCTGATGAAAATTCGCAACGTCTTCCCTGCTTTATTGACCTCCCAAAGCCCGCTTTTCTTCTCCACCGTCTGGTCTGAACTTACCAACGCCCTCCCGATTTACCAGAATTTCTATATTGAACACGAGAGACAAGGTCGTTTAGAAGACGGAGATGGGCTTCCTCACTCGCTCGACTTCCTCGTCTTGGAAGAGCTTGACATCATCCAAGCTTTGCTGAAGGCTCCCCCAGTCAAGGCAGAGCTCCATCAACAATTACAAAATGCTGGAGCCAGTGCTAGTACCGCCGGCTGGGTTCCGGAAATTATGAAGCTTGCCAGCACCTACGCCCAAATCACAACAGAAGAGGAGGGTCTTTGGGAGATCGACGTGAACCTTTTCCTTTCCGAAGAAACCTCTGTCACGGCCAACTACACTCCGCGAACTTGCAGTGGTGATCTCGCCGTCAAGACCGGCGAATGGTTGAAGACTATTGCAGCTGAGGGGCTTCTGAGTTACATGAACACTATTTTTGCTGACTCGTCTGTCTCGTGAGTTTTAATGCTTCAATTGTGAATTTACATGACTGACAACGTACGTATTCCAGATGGAAATCTCGTGAAGCTGCTCTTTTCATTTTGAACAGCCTGCTTCGTGACTTTGCGGAGGTCGACATTGAGATCTCCCCAGAGTTGGTATCCCAATTCGCCCAGTTTGTGCAATATGCCACCCAGCAGGAGCAAGAGCTTCTCCGTGCCCGGGGCTACCTCGTGGCTGGCTCTTTGTCTCGCGTTTCCGGTGAAGCATTCGAGCAGACTACTACTTCTTACTTGGAGGCTACTCTGAAAGCAATCAATGATGACCCCGCGGAAGTCGTGCAAGTGGCTTGCATTCGGGTTCTGCAAGATCTGGTGCCCGCTTTGCCTACCAATCTTGCGCGCCCCTTCCAGCCCGCAGTGATTGCCGCCATTTCCGAGTTCATCGCCGCTCACGACTTGCGTGAACAGACGGACGCCGATGACCTCAAGGTCACCCTAGCCGAAACTCTGCGCGACACCATTATGGCCGACTCGTCAGTAGTGCTTTCATCTACTGCCATTGATGTACTGTTCAGCATCGCGAGCAGCGGTGCCGAGAACTTCCAGCTGACCCTAACCGTTACTGAGGCATTTGAAGACATTGTGGACCAAATCACCGATCTTGGCCCCGATTCTTACATGCGCCTTTGTGAGAAGGTCCTGCCCTCATTGATGGGCGCAATCGACGTGGGTAGTCTCACTGACGAGAACGCCCTGACCAATTTTGCTGCCGATCTCCTGCGCGCATTGGCCGAGCGCAGTCCCGAACCCATGCCGGCTGGATTTGTGGAGACCGTGATGCCCAAGCTGAACCGCCTCTTATTAGGGTCCGATGAGGCTGAATTAATTCGCCCGGCCACCGAGGCTGTGCGCCACATGCTCTCTCATGATTTCGCCCAGTTCGTCGCCTGGCGGGATCCCGAGACCGGCAAGGAGGCCCTGGAAGTCGTGCTGATCATCATTGACCGTCTGCTGGGCCCCGCGGTCGACGACAACGCAGCGACCGAGGTCGGTCAATTGGCCGCCGAGCTGGTCGAGAAGGCCGGCTCAGAGCGTCTCGGACCTTACCTCCCACAGCTCCTCCAGGCTGTGGCTCAACGACTAGCGACCGCCCAACAAGCGCAGTTCATCCAGAGTCTCATTCTCGTCTTCGCCCGACTCACTCTTATTAGCGCCCGCGAGGTCGTCGACTTCCTCGCCCAGGTCAACCTGGGTGGCCAGAGCGGCCTCGCCGTCGTCCTGAGCAAATGGCTGGAAAATTCCGTCAATTTCGCCGGTTACGACGAAATCAAGCAAAACATCTTCGCCCTCGCGCGCCTATATGAACTCGCGGACCCGCGCGTAGCCGAAGTCCCCGTGAAAGGCGATCTCATCATCCAAGACACCGGTCGTATTAAGACCCGGTCGCAAGCGCGCAAGAACCCGGACCAATTCACTACTGTCGCCGCCCCCTTGAAAATCATCAAAGTTCTCGTGGAAGAGCTGGGTGCGGCCTCCGGAAACAAAGAGATGGACGCCGCCGCCGCGGCCCTCGAAGACGCCGATAGCGACGACGGTGATGACGATTGGGAAGACGTGCCAGGCCAGACCCTGGACCTGGGTCTGGGCGCCACCAAGCAGGGGCTGATGAGCTGGGGCGAGGGCGGGTCGGAGAGTGTCTTTGGTGTCCGCCGACGTGACGATGAAACGCAGGGATTCTTGGCAGATTTCTTCCGGCAGGCGTCCACCCAGCCGGGATTCCAGGAATTGTACTCGGCGCTGACACCCGATGAACAGGGCAAGTTGCAGAGTCTGTAGGGGTAACTACTTAGTACAAAGTACTGCATGAAGGGATAGAAATGAATGCTACGTATTTACGTCTTTTACGTTCTTTCGTAGTTGGTACTTTGTACCGTGCAGTTTCATAAGTATTGGACCTCCAGTACTCGCTGCATGCATTAACCTTGGAATCTTTGCTCTTTCTAACTATTTTCTTACTATTTTTCTACGTGTCTTTCTAGTTGTCTTTTTCTACTATATTTATACCCATCTTTTTCAATATGTTTGCAGATATCAGTGCAATACTCCGTACACAAGTCTGAAGTCCAAGCCCAAGTACCCGAGGTCCAATACTTTTGCCCTATGTACACGAGCACAAATCGGGGGCCGATCGAGGAATTCCCAGGATGCTTCTGCGTACATGACTCGCGGTGGGGACGCCCCAGACTGTCGGGTCTCTCGCTCTCGCTCTGCTGCAATTGGAGATTATTGGGGATCATTGAAGATCTTCTATTGGAGTTTTCAAGACTGTGTACCCCTCTACTTGCATAGAGTCTAATATATCACAATGAATAATGTTAATAGAAGGTGAATATGCAATAGGACGTGTCAATTTAAGCAAATCCCGAGAGCCCGACTTTTCTCTGCGGGTCCAAAGTACATAAAAGGTGCCCCCAGTTCCCCAGCAGTTCCTTAAACAATGTCACTGCCACATCCTGACGAGCGGATTCAAGTCGATGTAAGCTCTTTGAATCATTTCGTTTTCCCCTTCTCTCTTCCCTTCACTCTCACTCTCCTTTCCCCACTTACTAACCCACACCCAGACAAGTGACGACGACTCCCTCTTCGACACCCAATCCCTCCTAGGATCCAACCTCTCCTTCGCCTCCTCCGTCCGCGACTACAACTACGAAAATGGCCGCCGCTACCACGCCTACCGCAACGGCCAATACCCCTTCCCAAACGACGAAGAAGAACAAGACCGTCTCGCCCTAACCCACCACCTCTTCAAGCTCCTAATCCGCGGCGACCTCCACCGCGCCCCAATCCGCACCACCGCCCCCCGCCGCATCCTCGACATCGGCACCGGCACCGCAGAATGGGCCCTCGAAATGGCCGAACACTACCCGCAAGCCGACATCCTCGGCACAGACCTCAGTCCCATTCAGCCCAGCTACGCTCCGCCAAACTGCCGCTTCTTCATCGATGACGCGGAGAGTGATTGGACGTTCGGCCCGCATGAGAAATTCGATTACATTCACGCTCGCAGTTTGGCGGGTGGCTTGGGCGATTGGCATAAGTTGCTTCGACAGGCTTATCAGCACTTGAAGCCTGGTGCGTGGTTCGAGGCGCAGGAATTTGATCTCTGGTTGGTTTCTGATGATGGGACGCATCATCAGGCGACGGCTATTTCAGCTTGGCAGGAGCTTTTGGTTAAGGCGAGTGTTAAGTTTGGGAAGCCTATGGATGTAGCATCTAGGATGGAAGGGTGGATGGTGAAACAAGGGTTTGTGAATGTTGTCGATGAGAGTTACAAGGTGCGTTGCGTGTTGTTCGCTCTGCGTTGTTGTGTCGCCGTTTTGGAATTCTTATTGACTCGATTCCTTGCAGTGTCCTATCGGGGGATGGCCCAAGAACCGCCGATTAAAAGAGATCGGTCGCGTGGGCAAAGTGACGCTCCTGGAGATCGTCGAACCGTACACGCTTGCTCTCTTCACTCGCGTCCTCGGCTTCTCATACCAAGACGCTCAGGAACATATGGATAAAGTGCGTAAGGAGCTGCTGAGCAACTCCTACCACCTCTACACGGTGTTCCACTTCATCTACGGGCAAAAACCACTCGAAGCCGAAACGACCTGAACCCCTTGGGACCCCGTAACGAAAATAACGATAAACGATACCCCACCAGCGAGGGCTTGACTGCATTTGCATTTGCATTTGCATTTGCATTTGCATTTTGCATTAATGTATATAACGGAGTTCTCTGTTTTTCTTCTCGTGCTGAGCCATGGACAGCGCGAGCGTCGTGATGCATAATGCATAATACATGAGGCGTGAGGCATGAAGCGTGATATATAAAGTATGATGTGGCTGTCTCAGACGAACCCATCATATCGAGTATCGAGTCCAATTCGACCAGCGAAGACAAGACCCAGAGATCCAGCTCTGGTACTCCGTACTGTCCCACACAAGCGTCACCATCCATTCCCAAGCCCGAGGACCTGGCAAATGCCCGAAACGGCGTCTTCGGGCGTCGGGCTCGTGCGAACTACATGAATCACCTGCGAGACCTGACTTTCGTCACAACTGCTGATGGTTTCAAGCAAGGCTTCCAACACGGCTTTTTTGCCTTCGCCCCTCCAAGAACTCGGTATAGAGTTCATGATTGTCGGCGAGAGACGGTCGGAAATGGGACTCGCGTGGCTGGATGTATCGCTGGATAGAGATGCATCTGCTTGGTTTGGATTTGTGGTTGTATTCATGCTGGCGCTGGCGCTGGCGCTGGCGCTAGTGCTGGCCATGCCGTAAGAGTTCATAGACGAATACTGAGACGCATATGGCTGCACCGGTACAGTCGGTAGTTGGCTCATATCCCCGTATGTTCCTTTCCACTGGGGTTCTGGTATTGGGTCTGTGTAAGATGGCATTGGGGCGTAGGTTGGGTAGTAAAGAGGGTTGTCGGGCATGTAGAGAGCTGACGGCATCGTGTCGGTCAGTCCGTGCACCGGACCCTGCATCGGGACGTTGAGATCCGCAAATCCCCCGTACGGTAGATTTGTACTTGCACAAGGAGCTTCTGCAGTAAGTCAGCACATTATCCTTCATGTTCCCCGTAAAAAGTGTAGATAACGCACGTAGATCAGACAGTCCACCAATCGGCCCCTCCTCAGCCTGTGGCGCATACGAATACGGCGTGACCGCAGAGGCCGACGGTGCGGCCGGCGCAGGCACCGAACCCGAAGCAGATACAGACACAGACATAGACACAGACCGCGAAGAGACCGAGGCTCCATTATCGCTCCCCGTGCTATCAGGACTGGTAACATTCGCAGACCCCGTCATCGTCGTCGACGAAGGCGAGCTCCCGCTCCAACTCCCCTCCCTCTCCCCATGCGCATTATTCTTATATTTGGAGCCGGAAGCCGGCGCATACGGATGTGCGCGCCAGCTCTTCGGCGGTCGATTCTGTTCGCGCGGCTGGTTCAGCTTCCCGCGTAGCTGTGAGACTTCCCGGCGTAGGCGCTCGATGATATCCGCCTGGCTGATGTGGGCGCGGTCTTCGGCCGTGGCGGTGTATGTGCATTCGGCCTCGATTCCGCGGATGATACACGCGTGGCAGGGTATAGAGCGGTCGCACTGTTGAGCATGTAGGTTAGAGGGGAGCCTTGGGGGTGGGAGGGGAGGTGGAAGTGGGGAGTTGATGTGCGCAGGTCGCATGGAAGATCTATCGTACCTTGACCTTGCGTTCGCGACACTTCAGACATGATTGCTGGGGTCGGATTTTGGTCTTGGAGTCTGGGGGCATTGTGGCGGAGATCGAGATGATCAGGATTGAGGATCCGAGCTGGATCGGAGGAACTCTCTCTCGCTCGCTCGCTCTTCACTTTCTCTCGTTTGCTAGTTCATGTCAATTGCATATCTTCAGCTGTGCCACAGTGGGGGGTTTAGGGAAAAAGGCCGAGAGAATGTGACTGGTCTCATTTTCAATCCTTTTGGGCTGAACTAACTCGCGTTGCCATTGGGTGGCCGGAAATGCTCTTGACGATCTTTTGCCTCCCCACCTTGCGGGCCACTGGAGCTAGGAGCCTTATGCGACTTTATTCCTAGTCTGTTTGCTATATCTGACTCGCATAACGGCGCGGGGGAACACTCTCGCGATATTATACCTAATCATGCAGTGCAACATACCACAATTAACTCCCAGCAGACATCTCCATCCCATCTTGCTCCTCCCTCAACCATGAGAATCACCAGCATAGCAAGCGCAAGCGCAAGCATAACAAGCATGGCCCTAATGCTCCCCATTCTCCCTGTACAGGCCTCAATCCAGAGCCCAGCCATCCTGCCCACACCCCCAATGGGCTTCAACAACTGGGCCCGCTTCCAATGCGATCTCAACGAGTCCCTCTTCACCGAAACCGCTCAATGCTAACCCGTGGTCTCCACGACGCAGGATATAACCGCCTGAATCTCGACGACTGCTGGATGCAGCATGATCGAGCCCCCGATGGCTCCCTCCAGTGGAACACTACCAAGTTCCCGCACGGCATCCCCTGGCTCGCCAGCTACGCAACCAAACTTGGTTTCCACCTGGGCATCTATGAAGACGCCGGCAATCTGACCTGCGGCGGGTATTCCGGGTCATACGGGTACGAGGCGCAAGATGTCGAGACGTTCGCCAGCTGGGGCATTGACTACCTCAAAGTTGACGGGTGTAATGTCTGGAGCGAAGGTGGATCGGGACCGGGATCGGGATTGCTGCGAGAGGAGTATCGAGCTCGGTACGGCGCTTGGCACGAGGTTTTGAGTCAGTTGCCGCGACCGTTGATTTTCTCCGAGTCTGCGCCTGCGTACTTTGCGGATAATGCTTCCGACTGGGCTGTTGTGATGGATTGGGTGCCAAGGTTTGGGGAGCTGGCGCGCCATTCTACGGATGTGTTGGTTTTTGTTGGTGAGGGCAGTGCTTGGGATAGTATTATGAACAATTACGACTTTAATACGCTGCTGGTGCGATACCAGCGACCGGGATATTTCAATGATCCTGATTTCTTGATCCCTGATCATCCGGGGCTGACGCAGACGGAGAAGGAATCGCATTTTCGGCTCTGGGCGTCTTTCTCGGCGCCGTTGATTATTAGCGCTTATATACCTGCCCTGTCAGATGAGGATGTTGCGTATCTGAGCAATGCGGATCTCATTACGGTGAATCAGGATCCGCTGGCTCAGCAGGCTGCTTTGGTTAGTCGTGATGGCACATTTGACGTTTTGACTCGCTCTCTGGAGAATGGTGATCGGTTGTTGACTGATTTGAACCGCGGGCCTGTGCCAGCGAGTGCGACTATCTCTCTCGGGCGTCTTGGACTGGCTCAGTCAGGCTGCCAGTACCGAGTTCGGGATCTCGTCACTCGACGGGTTGGCACTGTTGACCATGCCGTCGAGATCCAGCTTGATTCCCATGCGACTAGTGTTCATCGGATCGAGCTGCCTGAGGGATGTTCCACGGTAACTCCCACCGGCATGGTCTTTCATACCCCATCCGGTCTCTGTATGACTGCCTCTGGTGATGCTGTTTCCTTTGAGAAATGCAAGGCGCTGGATTCTCAGGTTTGGGATGTATCTATGGATGGTACTATGCTGGCCTTGAGCGCTTTGTCAGATCGCTCTCTGTGTCTCGCTGCTCGAAAGGGTCGAGTCTCGCTCGCAGCATGCGGCGATGCTGGAACTACTTGGGAGCATGTTGTGACTGGGCACTTGAGGACCACCGAGGGCTGTCTGACCCGGGTTTCGGGCATTGGCTCTGCTGAGGCTTGTGTAGTTAACAACGCTGCGCAGATCTTTGGTCTTCCCAGTGGTGTCCATCTTGCTGAGAGTGAATGAGCTGACTAGATCACCGCTTGGAGTCTTGGAGGTATTCACTCCGGTCTTTTCGGTTGTATACGCTATGGACTTTTCCGTTGTTCCTGTCATTTTCGGGTGTCTTTGTCTTCAGGTCTTGATATCTACTGGGAAATAGGTGAGTCTGTCCCAACACTTCATGTCCCCCCATGTAGGAAGCAATCTTGTCGGTATTTGCATCAAATCATCCTCGTTCAGATCTCAGACCTCTCGATAGATATGCACTATATCTGCAATTCTAAATCATCCTATATACATTTGCGCAACAAGTAAATACCAAAACCAACTCTATCCCTGCAAAGAGAAGCCAACACCCTCCCCAGTCCCCATCTCAACCAAATTAGCCCTCATCTTCTCCGGCCTCTCCCCAAGCCCAAACGCCGCATCCTCACGATGCACCCAAGCCCCAACACCATGCTGCAACACCGCCGTAGCCCTCACCTTCTTCTTCTCATCATCCGCCTTCAACCCAATACTCCCATGCAGCGTCAACCTCGTCTCCTCCCCACCCTCCTCCTTCCCCTTATAGACCCCACGATGCAAAATATTACTATTATAAAACACCGCATCCCCAGGCCCCAACTCCACAACCAACTGATCCGGCAAAACAGCCGCATACGGATCCGCCTCGCGCTCCGTCTGCGTGCGCGCACGCCCATGCGTCCCCGGCACAACCACCAACGACGCATCCTCACACAACGCCAAATTATACTGACAATGCAACTGACGACCCCCAGGCGCCTTAGCCTTCAACTGCTCAATTTCTTCCTCCGCAGTCGCAAGCTCAGAGATATCATCCCGGTGCCACCGCAGCTCAAAGTCCTTCGTCTCCGGCGCAACGAGCAAATTAAACAGCTCCATAACGAGTGGTTCGCTCCCGCTGCCTTCAACCCCCATCAGCTCTTCGGCAACGGCTAGTATTGAGGGCGAGAAGTAGCAGGCGGCGAAGGCGTCTCGGCCGGGCATCTCTGGGTGCATTAGGTGCTGCACGCCCCAGATTCCGCCTTCGGAGGCTGGGGGCGCGGTTGTGGGCCATGGGGGGAATTGTTTGGGGACGGTGCGGAAGTGTGGCCAGGAGCCGGCGCGTGTTAGGGTTGTTGCGTGTGTTGCGACGGTGCGGTAGTGCGATACCTCGGCTGGGGTGAGGAGGTTGCGGACGACGACGAAGCCGTCGCGTTGGAGGGGTTCAAGGTACATTTTTGTTTTGGAGGGAGAGGTGAGTTCTGTGTCTGTTGGCATGTTGATATATGTGTTGTTATGTTTATATGCTATGCTGATGTCCTGAGATCTGCGGGGTTAATACGACGGTGATGTTAAGGTCGCAATGTGTTTGTTTGTCGAAATACTACCGTGGATCCAACTGCCCCTCCCAAGGTTCGGTGTGTGATTAATCTCCGACTTGACTTACTCTTCTTTCTCGAGGTCCCTTGTCTTGGGTCTTTCTCAGGCCCATTTCAGGCCATCTCGGGCCTAAATTAGATCTCAGTCAGATCTCAGACCCAACGTCATTGGGATCACCGCGCCAAGAGAAAGAAGGCTGAGTCGGATGCTTCAAACTTGTCTTGCACTTTTTTTCTTATTCTTTCTCTTTCTTTATTCAAGCCTTTTGTACATATCATTCAAGCTTCCTTTTGAATACGAAAAAAAAAAGACACAATACGAAGAATCCGACCCCCACCATGCCCCTCATCCACGCGGGCTCCGCACTGCTACTCGTGCTCCTGATACTACCACAGGTACATGCCTTTGGAGCCGGTAACATCGCCTCCATCTCCGCCATTGAAGGCAAGAACTGGCGCCATGGAGATATCGAGGACGTACTCAAGACCTTGGCCTTCATCCACGGCCACAAGTGGACCTCCACCATGGTGAAGCGCGTGTATTTTGGCAACTGGCTGCGTGACTAGTAAAGTAGCCCAGAAAACACCAAGTTCTGGACGCATATTGACTATTTCAACAGTTCGCAAGCCATGGACGTGGGAACTCTCAAGAGTTTGCAAGCCGAGACAATCCGCGTCTTGGTGTGGGTCCTGTCGTTCCTGAGCTTCGGCTATGCCACCGGTGAATTCGAAGTCACCTCCGAGCGTCTGGGAGTCTACCGCCCCGAGGAGCACATCGAGTGAGTGGCCGAATTCGCCGTATTCACCCCTCGTGTGACATTCCACAGACTAACCGTGAACTCAGTAACCCCAAGGACTATGCCGACAATGAAGATGCGCGGCAATATGACAAGCGGTTGCGGCCGCCTGTCCGAAACGTGGAGTTGGAAATCGACCAGAACACCGGCATGAAGAACTACATCGCGAACGAGCGCGGTGACTGGGCCACCAGCGCTGCCTATATCAAGTTCAGTCTCAGTCGTAGTATCCACTATGGACGCACTTACACTCATGGCGGACAGAGTAAGGGTAAGGAGGAGGACCTCTGCGAAGCTCTGCGTTGTCTGGGTCAGGGTCTGCACACCCTAGAGGACTTCGCGGCCCATACCAACTACGTGGAGCTGGCGCTGCGCGAAATGGGTATGCAGAATGTCTTCCCCCATACCGGCACAAACACCCAGATCAATCTGCACGGCAAACGGGTCTTCCCGCTCGTGACGGGTACTTTTGGTATGGTGGATTTCTTCCACTCGGTGTTGGGAGAGGCGACGGATCACTTCGCTCAGTCTGAGGTGAATGAGATGGATCTCGCGCTGGGTGATGCTGAAGCGAGTGCTCAGTCGAATAACTCGCTTGGTGCGCTGACTGGCCTGCTGGGTAAAATCCCTGGCACCAGGGATCTTGTGAACGAGGCTGAGGGTCTGAAGAGGTCGTCGGCAGCGCAGGAGATGGCCAATCGAAGCGGTAGATCTGCTGCGGGCTATGCGGATTCGTCTTCTCATGGCCAGAGTCGCGTTGGGCCTGGTCAGTCAGGGGGCTCTTCGCAGCCTGGCACTGGCTTTGAGGGTATGCCAGACTTCAATCCGCAGGAGACGGTAGCCAAGATCTACCCGATCTTGCAGTTCCGCGACAAGGTGGTGCGCAAGTTGGACTCGATCATCGAGAAGATCCCAGGCCTGGAAGCCCTGGTTGAGAAGATCTCCGAGACACTTACCGTGGTGATCATGTCCCTACTGGCACCCTTTGTGCGTCCTCTGATCAAGGCGGCGTCCAAGTCCCTGCAGACTGGATCTGCCGGTGTCATTGATGCTTCCGGAAAGCATCAGTATGAACCGTGGACCGATCCCCACTGCACCGATCCCACCCACTCTCTGTTGTCCAAGGACCACTTTGCCAACATTCTGAACGAGCCGGCTGGCCGAGTCGCCTCGACAATCGTCGAGTATGTCGCTCCCCGTATCCTTTATGCTTGGCAGCATATCGATGTCGCCGAGAACGAAGTTCTGGAGGACTGCCTACAGGTGTTCCACCATCCCGCACTGCGCAACATGCACAATGACGCCCATCGTACGATGTTCGAGGCCGTTGAAAAATGGGCTCACGGTCGATCCGACCGTGGCGCTTCTCTAAACAACATCCTCAGCTCTGAGGGTGTTCGCTCCGGTCGCAACACCGGCGGAGTGAGCCATACGCACAGTGGCGGTCATGGCGGATTCCCTACGCTAGGTGGTACATCTCATGGCCAGAAGCCAAGTCACGGTCAAAGTCATGCACACGGAAGTAGCCAGAACCATTCGTCTCATTCTTCTGGCTTTTCAAGCTTCTTATCTGGTGGCAATAATGGCAATAACAGCCAACACAGCAACTCAAGCGTACCCTGGGATAAACTCTCAAGTCTCCCTATTCCCGGGATATCAAACCTCAACAAATTGAACAAATTGACCAACCTGATCCCTGGTGGCCAGAGTCGAGAAGTGGACGACTCGCCGAACTATAACACTGGCTCACTCTCGCATCCACATGCGTCTCAAGGTCCTGTTCACTTCGATCACAGTCATTCTCAGCATGCGAAGCACGAACAACTGGATCATAATCCATACACTTCTCACCATGGGTCGGGCTACTAGCAGTATTTGCAGCCGAACAATTCTCTGCGCCAGCAGCAGCACATGACAGACCAGCAACAGTTTGGACATCACTTCGTAACAAACAATCACAATGAACCAGTAAGCAAGCCCCACCTGAAGTTTGACCTTCAGATACAGGATCCACAATCCTTGCAAGTTATCCCGAACTCTGACCTTGAAAACCACATAGTCCACTCGGCGCTTATAATAGAAAACTCCGAGCTGGATTTCAAATCGCATACGCGCAACGAACCATCTGAACTTCATGAGTCGGTACGATATCAAGAGTCGCTTGTGCATTTTCATGTATTTAGCCAACAAATTCGAGAAGAGACGAGTTCGATCTTCAATTGCCACCAGGATAAGCAGGATTAGGCGTCCGATCTTCAGCAGAGTGGTTTGCAAGAATCTCCAGACTCGTGTCATGAATTTCCAGATTCGAGTACGCTTGACGGCTTGCACTTTGGCTTGGACTTTCGCTCGAATGCGCATTTTGATGGCTTGGATTTTGGCTCGGATGCGCATTTTGATATTTTGCTTCACTTTCTTGATCATCGACACGGCAGGCATCATAAGACTCATGACATACAAGCGGATTGCGGTGGTCGTGATGGAGGTAGCTACCACGACGGCACTGCCAATGGCGAGCAACACCGTGAGAAGCAGATTTGCGATCAGTATTCCGTCCTCGGGACGTACCCAGGCCATGGCCATGGTGACTATGGTGAGCTTGGATATTCAGGTTAGCTTGGTTGCGTTGTCATGGCTTGATCGACCTACTTGGTTTGGCTCTTTTTGTTCGTTAGATTGATTCTGGTTCGCGGCTGGGGAGAGAGAGAGACGGAAAGGAAAGAAGAGAGGCGTGCGCTTTTCTGCGCGAGTCCCCAGCTAATTTCTATGGGAATTGAAGTCGACTTGCGTGTTCTGCCGCGCTTGACTTTTCGACTCAATTATCTCACGGGAGGGGACGATGTTCAGCTACTGTACAATGTTACTTCTATACCTACACCATTTTGTCGTGACGTATTCTTGTATATCTGCTTGTTGGTAAGCTAGCTTCATCCATGTAGCCTTACTGTTCTTCGTTTCTGTGCAATGCTAGCGGATATGGCATGCCTGCGACTCCGAGGCGTCCATGGTAAAATTAATATCGCGAGCGTTGGAATAGATTCCGTTGTGACTCTATGAATCTTCCACACTAGTAATTAGGAGCTCCATTTCCTTCTTCACCTAGAGTGAGTCTGCGTAATTGCCCTGAGAAATTCAGCTGTCCTCTATAGATCTGCGTGAGATTTGAATCTATCAAAAGCGGTGCTATCCACATCCGTGGATTGATTGACATAGGATCTCAACTTTGGAACATCAGGTATCTTTTTTCACATCTGCATGAACAGAGGATAAATTGTAGCTAGCTCTTGTTACCCTGGTGATTGTCAGAGGAAATAAAATCTTTCCACCATGCTTTGGACCTTTCGGCAAAACTGCCGGTCCCAACAGAGGTATCTTTCCATCTGATCAAATTCTTTCAGTCCAACTTAGATAAACGGATGAAAGCCTGTAGTCAAAGAAGAACAAAGAGCTGGATTTATCTCAACCCAAACTTTCCAAGTTTGGTCAAACTGACTTGCAGATTTGCTAACAAAGCCCGTTGAGATATGTCCTTTTCATTCAACGAGATTATCTTTCAAAGGCATTGTTTATTGCGGCTGATCGAAGAGTATCAACAAAAAATCAACTCAATGCCTTTGTGATATTCTTCCTTGAAACCGAGTATCAAAGAAGGCTTTCAAGTTTTGCTAGGGACTGTGTCATCAGGTTATATAAGTCGCCTGTGACTCGACTGCAAATCTTCACCAACAACATCCTGTTCCATTCAATACCATATCCATACAGCATCACATCTACACAACTTCAAATCTAAACAGCTTCGAACCAACAACTTCGAGAAACTCAATCTCCACCTAGAACAACACAATAAGTATCCACATCTTCAACCCATTTCAACTGACAATCGACAAGATGAGCCACGCGGAAATTTGGGAACAAGTGCGCGAGCTCTACGGAGGAGCAGACATCAGTATTCTCCAAAGACCGTATCATCTGGCCGTTCCTTGCTGGGTGTTTATCAATGATCGGATAACCATGCACACATCCCTCGTCATCCAAATGTTCATCAGCGAAAACCATCTCCTCTGGAGCCTGTGTGCCGGTCTGGCTAACTCTCATGAAGATCCAGAATGGACCGATATGTTCAATCTATACTACCGGGCAGAATGGGAGCGAATTGAAGCCGCTGTAGCGATGTTCCCAGGCCCCGAGCGATTCTTGCTTCCCATCAGCCCACCCCCTCTTGCCTGGGCAATTTTCAGATACGTTGGTCCTGACCGGTTCAATGTCTTTGAAGATGCTGATGAAATTGAGGTTCGAGCCTCGCCTGCTAACGTCCGTCACAATGCAGATCTTCTGACCCTTTTGGAATACATTCATAGTGACAGGTATCTCTCAGGTAGCCACATAGGTGTGAATCTCTTCGATTATGGGCTTGAGGTCTCCCCCCACACATCGCCACGAGGCTCACCTCCCCCCACCGGTAGCCATGGAAGTCGACGAAGACGACCATGGTGTGTCTCCAATTTGGGACAATGAGACCCCTGGAGGCTTCGCTCCCATGCCCATGCCTATCGCAGTTGGCGGTCTCCAGGGCACAAACGGTAACCCTCCTGACTATGAAGAAGTTGCTGACCACTACGGCCCTAACCAGAACATTGGTTCTCCCATGAGGTCCCCAATCGGCTCTCCAGTCACCTCTTCGGTTAGCTCCCCACAGCCGGAGTCCCCATCTCAGTTCCTGAATCCCTCTCCTCCCCCCCGGCTCTCCACCTCCAGACTATGACCGACTCTCCTCTCCTCCCCCTGAGTACAACGGACGTCGTTCGTTTCGATCGGAGTATGATCCCATTCCAATCCCAGGGGCGCCTCCTAGATACTATGGCGGCCGCAACACGTATAGAGCGCCTAGTAGCGTCAGTTCCGTCTCGGCTCCTAGCGACGTGCAAGAGTCTTCTGATGCTGAGTTGGATGTGGCCGGAGAAGATCAATCTGGATTCGACGGTGAGCCTCAGGGCTCGATGAATGATTCATCGTCCTATAGCAGCGGGACAGGGTCTCCTGCGCAGAGGTCGTCGGTCTCTGCATCACCCCATGGTAGCGGGACAGAGTCTCCTGCGCAGAGGTCTTCGGTCTCTGCATCACCCCATGGTAGCGAGACAGGTTCCCCGGTCCAGACTGAATCACCTGCGGATAGCTCGTCTTCGGGCTCTTCACCTGAATCTGGGGTCTTTCAGATGGATGAAAGCCCGGAGAGGCAGCAGACAGCTAGCGGCGTTTCTTCATGGTTCCCTAAACTACCATTCCAGCGTAGTTAATTTTATAGTTAGATGCTAGGTTGAGGTTTTATATGGCGTTAGGTATAACTAAATTGAATACACTTGGAGTTTGCATTTTGGAGCTTACTTGAACACTCCTACCTAGGCTTTGCTTTACTACATTTGATCTCAACACTTGGTTGTAGGGTAATTTGAGTAGTGTTTGTGAGGATATGAAAGCCTGCACAGTTGAGAAATACTCTAATAGTTAAGGCTACTGTGTGTAAGTCGCATGTTGGGACTCGTATCATTCAAAGCTCATCGTTCCCATGAACTCAGGTGAAATATTAGCATCCTTCGCAAAATCTGCAATGACGCAAGAGAAACCTACTGAGCCCTAGTGTCCACCTCGGATACTGAGCCTCCGGTTCTCTTGAAGAATTCGCTTTCTGCGATTCCTCGATCATGGTGCCAATACAGGCCGTCCACGGCATCATTCCAAGCAGTAAAAATGAAGAGATACGTGTCAGGAAAGTTGTTGGGGAATCTTCCAAGTCGAACAAGCTCATCACGGGTCATAATCCACGAGAAGGTATCATAGTGAAAGTGAGAGAGCTTATACGTGTATCGCCTGTCTCCTTTCATGCAAAAATGGAGCCCGTCTTCGGTAAGGAACACGTCTAGAAACCATAGCCCATTTTTATTGTAGTACTTGCCTGTATAGTCCCATAAGGGTCTGTGAGAGGTATTCGAAATTTGTTTGCTAGACAATAGCCGCTGTATATCGCCCATCTTTTGATCGGAGGCTTCCGAGCTGATTTGGGCTAGATGAGCATAGTCATTCTTCTCGTCATTTTCAATCAATGCCTCAAGCAGTAACTGAGAAATCCAATCAGAACAGTCATTCTTCGAAATGGAGTTTGTTAAGACGACAATAGCGGAGTCGGTTTCGGGTAAGAGAAGGACTGCAGAGAAGGATCCGGATAGACTGCCATTGTGATTTATCACCAGTCGCGACGGCGAGCCGCGGCCAACAAAAGGCATGCTTTTCATAACGGCACCATTGGTACCGGTTGAACCCAATGGCTGGGGTATCTGCGTCCGCACCCAGCCCATAGCATATGTATTCTCAAGAATATTCGGCCCAGGCATAGGAACCTGCGGGCTCAGGATAGTGGTGGTTTGGCAAAACGGCAGACCTGATGTTGAGGTGGTGTTGTTTAAGAATTGATCTTTGCTGGCATTCAAAAGGGCCTTATACAGGACCAAGAGATCGCTGACACATGAGCGAATTCCAGATCCCCCTGACATAACAGTCCCATCCGCAATTGATGGAGTCTGGGGTATGATAGTACCATCAGTCAATGGAACATATGACTTGGCTACGTTGTCCGTATTTGGATCCGCTGTAAAGGTGCGCGTCAACCCTAGGGGTTGGAATAGACGTTCATGGAGAAATTGGCCCCAGGTCATGTCTGTCAGCTTCTCTAGAACCAAAGCCGCCAGTCCATATCCCCAGTTTGAGTATCCAAATTTAGAGCGAAACTCGCGGACTTTGGGCAGCGTTGCGAACATCGGCAGCGTTTCTTCTTTGGTGAATTTTAAATGACCATGTTCTTGCATCCAAAGAGCATTTTGGGTCGCTAGGCCTCCACGATGAGATTACAAATCGGCGATATTGAGCTCTTCTCGGACCGTTCGATTGGGATGATCGAACTCCGGAAGAATGGTCTTGACAGGAGTGTCCCAGTCGATTTTCTCTTCTTCGACAAGTATTCCGAACGCGGCTGAGGTCACAGCTTTGGACAATGAGGCGATGTGGTAAACTGTCTGCTCATCAGGCGGTAGCTTTGCTTCGACATCGCGATAACCGAAGCCTTGAGTGTATATGACTTGATTGTGGTGAAGCACCCCGATTGATACGCCGGGTGTTCCAGAAAGCGCACAAATTTTCGGTATTGCAAGGGCGGCAGCCTGAAGCCGATCAACGGCATGCTGGATTGTGTCTTGGGCCCTAAAGAGGAAGTCAGCTCGGCGAGTTCAAAAGCGAAAGATCTGGGTTGTTCATGTTACATTTCTCTCTCTTTGAGCGATGAGTGATCAGGGTATTTTCCCTATGGTAGGTAAGACGAATCCCCTGGGATGAGAGGAAGATGTCTGGCTACCAAACGAAAATAATCAGATTAAACATGCCCTCGGGATTCCGAATATAGGAGGCCGGCGGAGCGGGGAGAAACCAAGTGTGATCTGGCACCCATGCATGGGAACTTTTTATTCGCCGTAAGTCACACGCTAATATAATATTCCTTGCTGCTTTTGCGAGGCTGACGTTTGAAACCACCAACACAATATGCAGTACTCCGTATGTGGTCACTGATAACAGGCTGATCTACGGAGAAGCACAACTCGCTTCAAACCAGTAGATTCTGGCTCTCGAAGCAAAAACACCGGGAAAAGGAAAGAAGGGAGAGGGAGAGCTAGCTAGCCAAGAGGGTCATCTGATCTCCCAATAAACCCAGGATCATTTATCTTCAAGAAACAATACCTACTTCCAAAAACACCATCCTCCAAGATTAATGATTGCTTGAGTCCTCGAGCAATTGCACAACTTCAATTTTGCTTAGTCTCCTGGCGCAATCCAAAGCGGTGTCACCATTTGCATCTTGAATGCTCAAGTCTACCCCTTCATGAACCAAGAATCGCACAACGTCGACCTTTCCAAGCTCGGCCGCCTTGTGTAAAATGGTACCAAGTCCCATAAAAGCGTACAGAGACCAAGAGAAGGGATGATTCTGATACATCGTCGCATTCAAAGGAGCACCTGCCTTAAGAAGAAGTGTTAAGACCTCAAACACTTCAGACTCCCTATCCAGCGCGTGGAATAGAAGCTGTCCTTGCTGTGTGTTGCCTCCATTGCCAAGGAAGAGTTTGATATTTGAGATAGGTGCGTAGTGAACAGCATAAGAAAGTGGTGTCAAGTCAATCAGACATTTTTGATTTGGATCAGCTCCATTTCTGAGTAGCCATGACACCATGTCTTGGTCTTGGGTCACGAAAGTAGAAATGACTCAGTTACGCGGCTAAGCTTTTGTGGGGAAGAGGTTCTTACCCAAGTACCGGGGGCTGTGCGTCACTTATTGACTTATTGACATTCCAGCCGTTCTTAAAAAGCGCTTCGAGGACATTCTTTGCCTTTGACTTCGCTGCTGCTAAAGAGTAATCAGAATGCAAGGGTAGCCCATGGAAAAGAAGCGCCTCGACGAATTGCGCATCATCATGTCTAACCGCATCTATCATGATTGTATCCAAATCAAGTATGTCGAATTTGTCGTCTGAGACAAGTGAGTCCAACAAATTCTGAAAGGTCTCAATCTGTTTCTGATCATACACCATGCGGAAATTATTGATAATCTCAATGGGCGACCGTATTGGAACGCTTGGTAGCTGTGAGGGGATAGACGAGTTTCCTGGCAGGATATGGATTTCCATGACTGCTGAAGTTTTCTAATGGCTCAAACGGGATTGATGCAGCTACCTGATGATGGATGTAAAAAGATGAGAATGAGGTGGGTGAGTAAGGCATCAATGGATGTTATAACACACTCAGCGGTGGGTGTCACGGGATCTTCGAGCCTTTTGATTGGACTCAGCCCGTTTGGTTACTAGGGGTATCAATTTTTAGGGGGAGAAATATGCAATAAGGAAATTATGCTGTACCTTAATATACACCCAGTTTCCAAGAATAGTAGATTTAGTTCCAAATTGTACAGCATAGAAATTCAAACATTCAACACATCTTCAAGAAACAGAACCTACTTCTTAATCCGGCCATATTTGAGCTGCGTGCTCTTTTCATTTGCAGGGTACTTGTCTATTCTGTGGAAGATTGAGGTGCAAACATACTTTTCTTTGATAGAATAGAAGAGTTCACTCAATTCCTTATCCTTTTATATTTTTGATGTTGAGCTTCAGCTTCTTCATCGGTTCCGAGGTTAGACGCATTCAAAGAAAAGCACTCTCACCAATCTTCGAAGCATATGAGGGGATCTATTTTGGTAGGTAGGACAGAGCATAGTTTCGTGTAGAGCCCTGTTTGAACCCAAATTTATGGCCAAACCCTATACTCATAAACTCCATTCATATGGCCCTGCTGCCAAAAATAATTTGGGCTGCCTATGTGAACTGGTCGCCTGAAGCCGGGTTGGGCGACCACCAATCAACGGTACAGTCATGAGACATCGATCTACAATAAGCGCAAGACCAAATTTAGATACTGTCAGTTATGTTTTCTCTCTTGGATTTAGTTCTTTGAGGCGTCCAACTTTATTCATAGTAAACTTTCGCACGGATATTCGCGTATCCAAGGTTCCAGACAGGTCGTGGGAATAAACTTGATGTAACTATACGTCAATACTCAATCACAGCTTCAAACTGCTAATTCCCTTTGCATGTATGTCTCAGCTGTACCAACGGCCCTGTACAAGCACAAAAGTATTTAAAGGTCGGTGGTACTGGTCTAACGGGTTCCTCAACAAGCAATACATTACAGTTCAGATCAAAGAAACCTCAACCAGCTAGATCGACAATATGAAGACCACATCAATTACCACCATTGCACTTGCAGTCGCTGGCTCTGCGCTCGCTGCGGATACCGCTGCTCTCAAGCCACTGGAGCTTACAAACCTTCACGCTGGAATCTATTACACCTCAAGGCCCACGACCACTTTGTTCTCATTCTCACTGAAAGACCCAAACTCCAACACGGAGACAACCTGTTCAGGATACTGGTAAGCGACTTTCTAATATTGTCATCTTGTTGGGTAATCACATGACAATCTCGTGATGGCTGGGAACGCAAGGGATGAGACAAATGCTGATACCGCTCTAGGTCCGCGGGCCAGCCTGGTGCCAAATCCTACGACTGCTCCGATAAATCCTATCAGCTTCACCTTATAAACGGGGTTTACAACATCGAGAACTTTGATATCGGGGTCTCTCGCGTGGATGGCACTGTCACTGGACAGTCGACTGTGACGGGGGAGCCATGGAAATGCAAGAAGCAAGAGTCCCCTATGGAACAGTGCGAATGGGATGGTGTTTTCAACCTCGAGGTTGCTCCTTTGTCGTGATTTTATATTAGTGTGCGGGGTATGGGTTTTGGGAATTGATGTGAATATCGAACTACCCATAGATTTGCTTGCGCAGGTGGTACTGCCCAGGTACAGCCCTGGAAATCACTGCTTAATTATAGCTTTGATCTTGTATTGTGTTTTCTTTTGCTTAGAGCTGGGTGTTGTTTCACACACAGGAATCAATTTTATTTCCCAAGTATTTCAATATGTAAAAGGGTTCATTCCCTCAAAGTCGTACTATGTAGGATGAAATCTGACTTGATCAACCCCTTCATCACCTGGGCAGTATAGAAAACTTAGTAATGACGGATATTTCGCAGCGTGGTTATTTTCTCGCATAAGCAGTGGCAAATGCAAGAAGACCATTGTCCATAAAATCAGGCAATCACAGCCTAGCGGAACATGCTGTCTGAGTTTGCCACACCACCTGAGGAAGTGAGACTCGCAGCGTAGGAAGAGTCAGAGTCATGGCTAGCAGAAACATTGACACCCAGAGTGACCCAGGCAAGCAGACCATCCTCGATAGTATCACCGAGGTAGGCATATTCAAAGAAGGGATCGGAGTTGGAATCCTCAGTCTCGTCCTGGACGACGTGATCATCGGCGTTCTCAGTGATGGCAACGGTGCTAGTATTGTACGGGTACGTAGCTTCAACAGTAGTGATAAGCTCCTTGTCAAAGAACAGCTGACCGATATGAGAGATGTGGCCACCGGTGAGGGTGTTGTTTGGCAGCACATGAGCATCTGTGTGGGCAATGACGTGAACATGGGTAGCGCGACCAGAGTAGTGACCCGGGAACAGAGTCTTGAACTGAGCGACACCGTCAGAGTCGGTCTTTTGAATACCGCGCAGGAAAGTCTTGTTCAGGTTGGAGGCATCGTCGCCGTTGCCGTTCATGGAGCTCTGAACTCCGGAGTAGACGCCAGTGGCATTGCAGTTCCACACATCCCAGTAGAGGTTCTTGATAGGCTCGCAGGTGTTGATGTCAATGAACTGACCATCAAGGATGATAGGAATGCCAGCTTGTCCATCGCGGATGTCGGAACGGATCAACTCTCCCTTCACCCAGAAGGGACCGACCTCGCCCTCGGGTGCCAGGATGCAGACGGGGTTCTTGGAGAACAACTCTGTTTCAGGTGTGTTCGGGGTAACGTGGAGATTGGAATGGTGCGAAGTGTTCACGACCTTGTCGGTATCACGGGAGAAAATGGCACGCTTTTTGTTGGCGTGCATGAGGGCGGCACGACGGGCTTGGGCGCGGGAGTTGACTCCGCGCTGCTCCAACTTGTCCGCGCACTTATCAAGAGTGCTGCGTGCGTTGTGCAGGAAGTTTCTCTTCGCAACATGGGTGTAAGAGTTGGGCTCATGGGCACCGGGATGGGCCATGGCCAGGCCGGTCAGGGCAAGCAGGGCAATTTTGGTGTAATGCATTGTTTCAGTGGTGGTAATTGGGGAGAAAGATGTTTGAGCTGGCTGATGATTCTGCCTCGATTGTGAGATTCTGAGGGGTCTTTTATACTTGGTGCTCTCCTCGTTGAGCGCAGAGGCCTGTTGGTCTTCATATTGACAATCTATCAGTCGTCAGTGTTGTCGTCAGCTCAGCATATTCTCATGTTAGAAGACAATGGAGCAAGCTCTCTTGGCATTCCACCTTCGGGGGAGTATTTGAGTCGGGTCAAGGTTTGTGGTGACGCTAGAACGATTGTAGTCAACCTGAAGGTTGAGCTGACGAAAGAAGCCCCAGCGATTGGACATCAGAGGCCTGCATGCCCGGAGGTGGAACAGGATAGGCAGTCATCTTGTCTGTTCCTGGCAGCCTCTTACCACAGTGATCTGCAGCCAAGTCTTCCTGTGGGGGTAAGTACAATGGCACTTGGAGGCACTGCTTGCATGGGTATGGATAGTGCCAACAGTCAACGCAGAGGGAAGGTAGATATCAATGTATACTTTTCTTGCTTTTACAAAAACGGTGGACATGAACACATCGTTTGTGCTTCATCGGACTTTGGGATTGACCCATAGATCACAATGGAGGAAACGATATGAAGATTGAGACTCAATAGACAGTGCCGTTAACCGGCCAATGCCAAGATTCTGGAAAGTGGCTGACGCGGACTCTAGTTTCGAATAGTACCAGGGCTCAATGGAGTTGAGAGATTCAGGTAATCCCAGGAATTCCGAGGAAATGGACGGAGCAGTAGCATTTGCATCGTAGTGACTGCGTACTGCGTGGAGGCATGGGAGTATGAGAAAAGTGGATCCGGAGCTCGCAGGCCTTCACCGCCGCTTATTCATCACCGCTAATTTCCACTTCAAACGAGCTTGATTGCCGAATGCGACCATCTCACTGGCCAGTCGAAAGTGGATTCCTCTTCTCACTGCCTCAATAGGCTCGAGACCAGTGAAATAGCGTGATGATTCAGCGGCGACGAACATTTTCAAACTCCGAAGCCCAGTCACAATTGACCACCCATCACCCCATTGGGACTGTACAGGCTGAGAAATTCTTTTATGGACGACGCTACTGGCCCGCGGGGCGGGAAAGGGCGGAGTGCGTGTGATCTATGTCGGCACCGCAAGGTAGAACCCACAAAGCCTCCCAATGTCTCACCTGGCCCCTAATCTGATATCCTCCAGATCCGCTGTGATAGAAACCAACCGGCGTGCGAGAACTGTCATATTGCTGCGTTACCATGTACTTTCTCCAAGCCGCTGTCGCAACATCGGAAAAGCACCCGGCAGTAAGATATACTAATCTTGTCACGATGTTTCCATTATAAGCGCTAACGGGGACGCAGAGAACTGGCCGACACTAAGGCTAGGGTTCGGGAATTAGAGACAATTCTGCTCGGACTTAAGCAAAACCACAAAGGGCTGCCAATCCCTTCCCCGGGTAGGACCGCTTCTCCAGGCCCGCTCAGCCCACTCTCTGTGGCGTCTTCATCCGCCTCCATAGCCGCCACAGCAAGCTGGCTGCCTGACACGCGAGATTTCGATACCGCGTTGGCAGCTTTCCAATGGCACATCTCATTTTGTGGGCTTGGGAGCCCCCTTTCATCTCAACGAGCGGCCTTCTACTCACTCATTGAACAACAAACAGGTCGCGCGTTCAATGTGGATGTTTTTGCCCACGAGGTCACTCAATCGTTCAAGGCGGCGCAGCTCAAATCAACGAAAAAGGTGGTCGGTATAAAGTGGCCCAACTCTGCACTTGTTCAGAAATGCTTGGAATATTTCGAGAGAAATGGCCTATACTCGATTTTCCCCATCGTGGACGTCGAGGCCATGCAGATCCTTCTCAACGCGAACATCTTAGATCAACCGTCACATTTGACTCGTGTCGCCAATCGTGCCTGTCTAGTTGCTTTCGCTGCAATGATAACTCAAATCCACCGCCATGAAGCTGCGTTCGCTGGCACCGACCCGGATGCCTATGCGCAAGCTGCGCTCACACTACTTCCTGAAATGTTACTAGAACCTCCTGATCTGAGAACTCTTGAGGCAGTAACGATATTGGTATTTACTCGTTACTCAAATGCATTACCTCTACATTGCTGACATGCCTCTTCACAGATGCTCTACATCACACCTCTGGGCAGGCCCCAAGCAGGAGAACAATTATTAGGAGTTGCGGTGCAACTTGTCTATAACCTTGGTGCAAACAAAATCCAAACCCCTCACGAGATACATCGGACAGACCAGCGAAGCCAACATCTCCGAGCCATGTTCTGGCATTGCTATGCAATTGACAAGGAATTTTCCATTCGGAAATCTCAGCCCCCCTTAATCAATGACGACGACTGTGACTTGGATCTCCCGACGACATATGCACGAAACACCTCAGAGCGTCATTTCTACATGAAGCCGCTGTCCTCGAAGGAGCTTCTCTTCCCTTCCGATCTTCGATTTTCCCTGCTCAAATCTAGGATTTTCCGGCTGCTGTATTCGGTGCATGGTCAGGCCTTACCTGAAGCCCGGCGTCTCCAGCATATTCGCGAACTGGATCAAGAGCTGAGTGATCTGAAAGAGGGGTATCCGGTCGAGTGCCGGCCTGATGTATTTGCAACCGAGAGTGCACCTGATTATCTATTCCATGATCTCAGTATCAGGGGTGTGAACATCCATTTGGAATATTACTACTGTTTGGGGAAAATACACGGGGCAAGCAGCTCGTGTAGGATCTCTTCTCCGCAGACCTGGTCGCCTCTGCCATCCAGTGCAGAGCTTTGCTTTGAGGCTGCGAAATCCTCGTTGATTTATATTTCGCGAACCCGCCAATTTGTCAACCATCACACCTTCTGGTAAGAGCCCCATGCTGTCAGAGACAAAGCTCGATCAACCCTACTGATTGTCTCTTAGGATCCATGCGCAATTTATGCTTGCGGCGGTGTTCTCTGTCTTCTGGTATCTCATCACCGTCCCCACCTCGCCGACTTTCAAAAGGGACCTCAAGACCATGGAGGATATCGCTGAGCTGCTAGCTCAGCTCAACAAACCTACTGAGGACGGACAGTCTTTTCCACCATTTTATTTGTCTCAGGCTTTCATTGAGCGTTTGATCTCGCTGGCGAGACACTCGCAGCCTAGGGTCGTGAACTCATGATTTGTCTTGGATCGCTTGATACCTTTCTGTTTGGATCTTAGGTAGCTATCTTCTTGTATATATCAGCATATGAAGATAAAATTCTCAACTTTGCCTTCTTGGTATACCATACGGAGTATCTAAAGTGGGATATCAACGAGGTCTTGCACGAGTATGCCAAGGTTCAAAGACTGAACAAGTAACTAATTTCGCTTTGGAGACATGGATGACTCTGAAGATCTTATTCTTGAGGACGCGAGGTTGCAGACTCGCTGATCTTTGGCTATAAATTTTGGTGACGTCATCAGAGCGTGCCGATTTTAGCCGTTCAAGGCTAGACTAGACACCTCGACACCCTGCTGTCCCACTTTTCTCCACTATTCTCCACTTTCTTGTCAAATTCTTCATCTAACCAAAACTGGCTCCCCTTTCAACAGCCCGGCCGGGCTAGCTCAATCGGTAGAGCGTAAGACTCTTAATCTTAAGGCTGCGGGTTCGACCCCCGCGTTCGGCTCTTCCTAAAACACCAACATGGTCTTTGAGATTATCTTTTTTTGTTTTTTGCATCTTGAAGTCTTGCATCGTGGTGAAGTCGTTCGGTGTCGGGAGAAGCTTGGTTTTTGAATTTCCAGCAGGTGATTTCCATAAATCAGCAAGGTTTTATGTATGAAGATTGCCGGGGTATTTCATCTAAGTGCTGATGGTGTTGGTTGTTATGATCAAAGATGTGAGATATATAGATTATGCAGGGCAGAAATATAGAGGAATGGGAGCTTAAAATCATCTGGGCAGTGAAGTAACCCTGGAACACTTGGAAATCACAAACGTTGCATGACTGGATGGTGGTCTGGGAATATATACTTACCTACGCGTCAAGTACACCAGCAGAACATTGGAAAGCACTTGGTAGGTAGTACTTCCAGGTTTTAACGCTTACCTCTCCAGGGCCCATGAGGTGGGTAGTCAATTGCCCGATATTAACAGCGAGTCGTGTCGTGAGTAGGATTGGAGAGACTCTCAATTTCGGGTCTTGTTTGCAAGGATAACAAGGTTCTTTCTGGGTTTTCGTTAGACCGACGGGGTAGACATCCTAGAAAAAAGCTAACTAGCACATCCTTGAGTGTGTAGTTGAGTTCAGCTCACCAAGGTCGCCGCGAGGCTCTACTCATCGTGCACAAGCGAGGGAATTCCGATGGGATGGGAGGAGAGCGCGAGAAGAGCATGATATTTCGATCATCAACCAGTCTCTCGGGGACAGAAATTTCCACAAATTTGACTATCAGCAGTCATTTCGATGCTGTTAGGTAGCAGTAGGCACATCCTTGGAATGTTCTACGCCCTCTGCTTACTTTGAGGGTAGTTCAAGGTTGAAGGGAGGGACAAACGAACCAAGGTATGGCGATTGTAGACTTGAAGACTTTGGATTGGATCCCCGAATTCCAAGCCATCGCAGTGAGATTATAGCTTAAATAAACAGGGCTATAAGATGGCAATTAAGGATTGGTTATGATGGATGCAACTATTTACAGGTGATATTCAAAACAATGTTGAACTCAATCATTAATCATCAACAAGCACATGGTTCAGTACGATGCAGGTTGGAAAGTTGACGATGCAGCGCTCAGAATTACAGCCTCAGATAGTTCTCACAGCTTGGTGCCTTCACGCCCAGTGTCACTAGACCGTCTGGGTCGAAGGAAGCCAAGTGATTGAGTGGAGGCGTTACTCGGCCCTGCCGTTGAGGTCGACGAGTCCATCTGTGTTCGGGTACCCTCATTCGTATTGTTGGTGCGGACGGCTCCACGTGGTCCTTGGTGAAGTCGAGGATTCATGAGCCACTGGACCTGCATACGAACGCTGTTCACCGCAGCATTTGTGATCGCCATATCTTCCTTGATGCGCAGGGATTCGTTCATTATGGCCATGCTGGCACGGGCATCTAGATCGTTGATAGCATGTGATAGTTGTCCAACCTGCTCGCGGAGGGACTCGTGCAGGGATAGCAAATAGCTGTTGGCAGTCGAGGAAAATATGCTCGAGGCAACGTCTTCGGGATCGTCTGCATTCGTTTCCGGGCGTGCCGGTGTTTGCCGATCGCGGTCCCGATCAACCCGTGTTGAAGATCTATCGCCGTGGCTATTTGAGTTGACTCGAGTGGATTCCATCAGGGTAGATCGAATGTTGGCGAGCCCATCTTCAAAGATCTCGTTCCGCTGCTGAAGGTGGCGCATGCCCAGCTCGAGGGAATTCAGCCTGGCGTTTTGACCTTCAAAGTAAGGCCCCATTGCAACCAATGGGCAACTTTGCTCATGTGTCGCAATGTCTGCACGCCGAATCTTGGCCGGACACGCATATTTAGAGGCTGAGCAGGGAACAGCAACTTCGGGACAGGATTCCACGTGCGCATCCAATTCCCCGCGGATCACGACTGTCTGACAGTCCACACAAGAGACTTCAAGAACCGGACAAAGCTTGCTCTCATGCTCCTATACAAAAGTACGCGTTAGTCAGATCCATAACATTACCAGGCAGAAACATCGACAAACAAACCTCAAAGTCTTGCTCAATAACGTCTTGCTCGCAACGGGTGCAGTAACGGACTGCGTGCATGCACTTGGTTTTGATTCCTACGTCATTGCTGCGCATCATTTTGTCGCAGGAATCATCCGGACATGGAACCAGCCGATATCCACAGTACTTCTCGACATGCGACTGGACATGACCCCGGGGTATGATTTCTTGACAACCCTCAGTCAAGAGTGGGCACCGTACCCGGATCTCGTCGCACATGTTGATCAACAGGCGCGGCACGCTTGTCGATATTTCTCGGGTGGGGGTTCGGCAAGAGGGACACGGGAACTCGTCCGAGTCGGCCGAGCGGAAGGTGTTGATGGCCGAACTGAGGCAACTTTCGCAAAACACATGGTCGCATTGTAGATGAACGGGATCAACGAAGGGGCAGTGACATATCGGGCACATAAGATGCGAATCGTAGTCGGAGACGAAGTCCAGGCCGCGGAGGTCGATCAGCTCGTCGCGTTCACGGCTTTCCTCCATTGCCAGAAACTCCTGTAGATTCATGTTGCGCAGGTCTGGAGCCTAAAGCCAGGCCCAGATAATGGTGTGAGGTATCGGGGATAATGTCGTCGCTGAGGAATGCGGAACCAGCGCGCGGGTTCATGCAGATGGGTGCACTAGATACCGAGGTAGGGTAGCAGATACTCCGGATCCATGAGGGTGACGCAAGTCAGAACACGATGATTTGGACAATAGGAAGTAAATGCTTGCATGAATTAGACATATTCGCCCGACCCGATAGAAACAAGAAACAAAAAGGAGGATTGCGGGGGTGAAGGGAGTCGAAGGCGGAAAGCGGTCGATCTGCGGCTTGTTGCCTCTCCGCTTTGTGATTCTCCGTCTTACCCCATCTCCATCCCAACCTGTACTCATCCAGACCTTGTTTGGCTCGGAGGTCTTTCTCGGAACTGATAATACGATTCGAACACCCAAAGTCCTGAATCTGACAAATCATGGCGAACCCTTCCCAGCTATTCCTACTCGCCGATCATATCAAGCTATCTCTATTAGAGCGCCAACGGGCCATCTCCCTGGACCTCGAGCCCAATTCCCAAGATGGAGAAATCTCGCGCTCCCTAGAGTCACTCCGAGAAGGCATCGATGCCGTGGAAGCCGACCAGACCCGACTAGCGAACTCGAACGACAGCGCAGGCGCCGCCGCCCTCAAAGACCAACTCGTTCCCCTTCAAATGCAATATGAAGATCTCGCAACCCAGTTTCACGGCCCCGACGCCACGGAGCCCACGGCGCAGGCGTCGCAATCTTCCATCCCCGATCTCAAGCAGCCGGTCCCTCAACATCCGCCTTCCAAATCCGTCCGATTCATGGATAATTCCGCCGCAGCCGCAGCTGTTCAAGATGAAATTGACGGAGAAGAAGACCGCGATCGCAATAATCTCTTCCGTCCATACCGCGATGAACCGTCGCCGTCACGACCCGACCAGTCCGACATGGATAATCAACAAATCTACGATCATCATGCTCAGACTATGCGCGATCAGGACGATCAGCTCGATCGCCTGGGTGAATCGATTGGCAGACAACACCAGCTGAGTATCCAGATCGGAGATGAATTGGATGGCCATGTTCAACTGCTGGATGGGATGGACGGGGACGTCGAGCGCCATCAGACACGACTGAACGGTGCCAGGCGGCGAATTGATCGGATCCGCCGCAAGGCCGGGGACAACTGGAGTATGATGACTATTATTGGGTTGATCATTGTTCTGGTCATTCTGATTGTGATCCTGAAATGATACCAGACAGCGGGTTATGGATTGTCTTTTCTCTTATCTTTCGACAAGCGGGCGTTTCTGGACTTTTAGCAACAGGTGGATCGATTCTATCTGTGATTTCCCCATGGTGTTTTAGGCGTTCATCCAGATGGGTTTGGGACTCTCGCAGCTCCTTGGTCATACTACGTTACGAAGTTCTTTCAAGAACAATTCTGGCTCAGACACAATTTCATTTGTATCAATAATCATTGGTAAATGCGATAAACCGTACACAGATCACCCCATTAGACTCCGTAACAACTTCGGTCGCAGACTAAATCAAATACATGAGACATAATAGAAATATGCGATTGGAAAGGCAGAGCAGTCAGCCAGTCGTGCTTATTGCTTGTTTCCCTTCGCCTTTTCCTGCTCACGAAGCAGGTGTTTCGTCTTTTGCTGCATGGCCTCGAACGAGGGATGATCACCATCGTATTCGCCTCGATCAGCTTTCACCTGAAAAGTCACGAAGTATGTTAGCGATGCCCATTATGGTGTAGAATAGATATAACCCAGGTGAGAAGCTTACATCTTCTTCACTGGAACTGGCCAGCTCGGACCTCCACTTTCCCTTGCCCTCCTTGGTTTCCTTGAGGCCTTCTTGTTTGTGAGACTCATAGTGGTCAGCGAGGTCTTCGCGGTCTGTTTCGCATTAGCTCGAGTGACTGGCAGGTATAATGGCCATTACTGACGACGGTCGTTCTCTTTCAAGCTGCGGACAGCCGATGTATGAAATGTGGAGACGGGAATGATATTGGAACGGAGAGCTTGACGAGAAGCCCGGATGGAGGTGATGAAAGACATTGTGAGGTTGGTTGGTGTAGTTGTGAGGGAGTAGAGAGTATTTGAAATTAAATGAAGAAGATTGGAACTTCGGAAAAGGTATTTAAAGCAGTTCCATCTGCTTCTGACAGCTGTGGCCTTGATGTGATGCTTCATGACATCATCCGTTTCTCCGAGTGGGGCCTGACAAACAAGGCTGTAAATGCCTTATTTGTGCCTTGCAATGCGTCAACCTCCACTTAACTCTTTCACTGCCGAGGGTAGTAGCCTTGCAGCTGCCCACATGGAGTTTCGCGATATCGATCAACAAAACAAGATGAAAACCTGGAGGGAGCTTCCCTTTCCTAATTCAGCGATTCCCCACTTCTCGATTGCTTGGAAGATCGGCATACTCGGCATGGGAACTTGACCATAGCATGGAACAGCCAATGTACGCCTATACACACAGAGGTCAGGTCAAATGTGGATGTCAAAAATACGCCAGGCTATCGGCATATCTAAGCCATCACCCTCACACAACAGGTGCAAACTTTCGATGGCAGGGTTTGGGTCGTTCTATACTGCTCCCCTCGGCATTAACAATGCAGCAAAAAAGACAGCAAAAGCTTTCTATTGTCAATTACCTTTAGATACGAAGTACTAACTTCTTGATCTTTCCGACCCAAGTAGCTGTTGCTACTTGGGTTCGATATAAACACGCCTGAGACCCGCCGTTTTAATAGTGCCGATTCGTCATTCTCATGGCTGAAATTACATGGCAAAACGCCTAGATAAGTCCCGCTTAAAAGGACACTACCCCCCTTCTCTCGAACGGAGTTCCCTATGCGGAGCATATGATCGGGGGGTTTTGAGATCTGACTCGAATTACGAGTGATGGAAGCACTGTGGCGTGATTCGATTTGGCAGTATGCCTTTGACGTTGAAAATCAATTTGCTGTCTTTTTATCAATCAAATGCTCCGTCTACTTGCTCCTTATACTGCACCAATGGCAACCCGCCCAGTAATCGAGTTCTACTTTTCTTTCATTTCACTATGGTCCTACATCGGAAGCCGTCGATTCCAGCAACTTGCGAAGCAGACGAATGCACAGATCCTCTACAAGCCAATTGATCTTCTGCATATTTTCTCTATATCCGGTGGATTACCCGTGAAGCAGCGATCGGAGCAGAGACAAGCGTATCGTCTTCTTGAGATGGAGCGCTGGCGAAAGATCCGCGAAATCCCAGTTGTACAACAGCCAAAATTCTACCCGGCGGATCCTTCTCTCGCACACCGTGTTCTGCTTGCCGCCATTGAAGAGAACGGGGCGGACAGTGAACATGTTCATGAGTTCGTACACAAAGGATTAGAAGCGGTTTGGGCTCGAGAACTTGACATCGCCGATCCTGACACTATCGTTCAGTTGGCGGCTGAATCAGGTCTCAAGGGGGATCGGTTGCTGAAGAGAGCTGAATCTGAGGAATCGTGGGCAAAGAAAGAAGTGGATTTGATTGAGGAAGCTGAGTTGAGAAATGTGTTTGGCGCTCCATTTTACATTCTCAATGGTGAGTCTTTCTGGGGACAGGATAGGTTGGAGATGTTGCAGGAAGTTATTGAATCTGGAAGAGAGCCAACTGATGTACCTGATGCTTGAATGAATGACAGAAATTATTTGAAAAGACCGCGTTTACTCGCTCTTTGCTCTAACGAAAGAAGTCTCACCCCAAAAGGCTCCTCTTCACGATCACTCGAATAATTCGCAATGTTGCTTGCACCCATCTAGTCAAAATATTTGATAGAAATGCCCTTGATTATCTCCACTTGGTCGACATCGTTATCCCCTTCGTCGTTGGTAGATGTCCCGAGATTCTTGATGATGCGTTGCTTCACCCATTCTCCCGCTTTGATCGGCTGCCCATCGCTTCCCAGAATTCTTTCACTTGTCAAACCTCTCTCCTGTAAGACGGGAGATTCCTCAATGGGGACCAAGTCGGAATCGTCCTCAATGCGTACCATATACAAAACACCCAGGCGATCAACATGGGCTTGATCCTTTGGTGGTGCAATTACTCGGTGAATGCTAGACTTGAGGAATCCATCTGCGTTGCAGAATGTAAGTAAAATAGTTTCCAGTACAAAGGGTTTTGTCCCTCACTTGTCATAAATTGGAGCGCATCCGCGATATTGACCGTCAATGCATCCATCTGCGGCTGGACATATTTCCAGGTTCCATCCTTTGTCAACACTTGCAACGCAGCAACGGGTTGACGGAATAAGAGAGTCAGGCTTCCCATGTCCGAATGACTGCTTGATGTTACAACCAGCAAAGATTATCGACATAGATGCAAAAGACATACCCTTTCAGCCAAACTCCACCAAGCTTTCTATTCTCTTCCTCACTTCTGGAATAATATTTCATGTAGCGCAAATGATCACCACTGCTCTTCTCATAGCGATGTTTTTTGACAAACCATTCCTCGTCTTCAAGCCCCAAGGCTATCGCAAAGATGATGAGAAGCTTTCGGACAATCTGGTCATTGATATGCTTCGAGAACTTTTCGATAACTTCCCAATGTCTCTTGACAAGCTCTGGGTGTGATCGATTGGCATGCTCGGGTATGAATTTGGGGATATTGTAAATTTCGAAGTTGTCCTTCACCCCAGGAATGAGATTTCTCGTTCCGGCTGGTTTCCAACCGTTGTAGTCTCCTTCCTCGAGCGCGGCCCGATACTTCAACTTTTCTTCGCTAGGGAGCAAAAGAACCGATTGTGCAAGTGCAAATTGCGTGTCAATGTCGTCCTTAGTCAAGCCATGATTTTTGACGTAGAAGAAACCTTCCTACCATGTCAACAGCTGATTGTGGCTGATTGAACTGAGTATGAACATACCGACGTCCTCGATGGCCTGCGTGAATTCCTCCGCTAGTTTTTGTCTTCCCCCAGGCTGGTCAAATTTGGAGAGATCGAGCGTTCTAAGATCTGCCCAATCCAATGCTTCCGATGTTTCCGGCACTTGCACATACTCCAATTGTTCTGTTTCTGTTGTAGTAGCCATGTCGAGCGATTTCAATTTATTGACTGACTGCCCCTTCAAATCAATTTAGTTGATCATGGGACGAAATCTTTATGGTACCCATGCGCATATTATATCGTGTGCCAAAATAACCCATCGGCTTCCATCCACATCATTCTAGTCTCTATGACACCATAGCTGTGGTATGTCCTCTCCCGAAGTCGACACGCATTTTATTGGCGCGATTCATTCCATGATCTAGACCTTCCCATTTGATACAGATTGCTAGTCATTCCTCCTGTCTGATCATCAAATTTGGAAGAGTTCAAATGATCTTACAATTTCGGGCCGTTTATCATTTGCTCAGGTACCCAAGGCAGGTAGCAAAGACCACCCTCCATGACGCCCTTTCAGTATCTTTTTTACTGTCTTTTTCGCTGTCGACCTCACTTTTTTTTCATTTTCTTTCCCCGCAAATTCTAAAATGACTCCCACTCGCACTTGCGTATCTACATGGCCGAGGAACTAATCCGACACAATTTGGGCTGATATCTTTACCACTGGCTCATACTATGTAAATTCCACACTCTCGAAAATACGACCCCTTTCAGGATTCCAAGCTTACTACATACAGACCTCCGATAAGGTTTTAGTATATGATTGAGCCCCGCCAAGTCCACGTGGGGCTAGTATGATGTTCTGTCATATTTGGACGAGTGCACGCCATCTGCCATCTCTCCGCGCATTTTAGACGCGGGCAGATGCCGAAAGCTTCAAAATGCTCCGATTGGAATTTCCAATTCCATGGCTTTGAATCTCTGTTATTGCAAATCCCGTTGGATCAAAAATTGAAAAACTTCTTACCAATGACCCTTTTCCGCTTCTCGCGCAATTGAGGTGACGCTGCGCTCTCCTGGCGCCTGTGCGAACCTCGAAATATCAACAGTCGATTCCATCGATATCAGCAAAATGGATTTGAGTAATGCTCAATCCAAGGAGAAAGACGCAGTTATTGCAAATGGACTTGAGGTTTTGGAAGAAGGCGCAAGACCAATCGATCCCCGTGAGAGCAAACGCGTCCTGAGGAAGATAGACCTCTATTTGATACCAGCCATGATAGTTGGTATTTTTGTCTTTATTCCTTTTGCCATCCCTTTCTGAGTCGTTTTAGGTTATGGACTTGTCTATTACGACAAAGTGAGTACAATGCCAGCATTGATTTCTTTTCTCAGAAGACTAACATGATCTTGAAAGGCGATTCTTGGAAACGCAGCGATATTTGGAATGACCGCCGATCTACAGCTTTCTGTAGCTGACGCGTCAGTCAGTCCCCCCAAAACGGATACATCGCGGCTCAGTTGGGCAACATCCATATTCTACTTCGGGCAGCTTGTAGGGTCTTATCCTGTCACATATACCTTGCAACATTTCAAAACACAGCATGTCCTCGGTCCAATGGTCATGCTATGGGCCATCATTTGTGCCGCAACCGCTGGGGTCAAAACTTGGCAAGGCCTTCTGGTACAACGGTTTTTCTTAGGTAAATGACAAACTTCTCTTCTAACGTTTTTCGTGTTGCTAACAGTCCCTGGAAGGCCTGACGGAGTCTATAATCCCTACCTGTTTTATGATTACTGTCAGCGGGTTTTACACTCAGTCCGAGCAAGCGCTACGCCAGAGCTTGTGGTTTTCCGCCACTGGCTGGTTTGGAATTATTGGAGGTGCCATCAACTATGGCTTTGCAACAATCGATGCCGGTGCTCTAAATTCATGGCAATACATTTTTGTGTTTGCTGGAGGCTTGACGTTTCTATTCGGAATCCTGTGCTTCTTTCTCCCTAGCTCACCGTTGAACGCCTGGTTTCTAAGCCCGGAAGAACGAATTGTGGCAATCGAGCGATTGAGAGCAGGCCAGACTGGACTCAAGAACAAAGTGGTGAAAGTCTCTCAGATCAAGGAGGCGGCACTTGATGTCAAGATATGGCTTGTCGCCGTGACAATGGCTTCTGCGTGAGTTCAAACAATTTCCTGATCTCTAATCTTGTACAAATTCTAATTATTGATTCATGTTAGATATACCGTCAATGGTGCAATCTCTGGCTTCGGTCCTCTGATAGTGACAACATTTGGATACTCTTCTTTAGAAAGCATCCTATTTCAATTTCCCCTCTGTGCTTTGTCGGGCACTGGGATTGTCCTAATGGGATGGCTGAGCTCGCGATACCAAAACATCAGAGTCTTGCTACTGATACTGTGCTGTCTCCCGGTCATTGCAGGATTCTGCATTATTTGGAAATCAAGCTGGGGACACAAGCCCGTCGCACCGGTTGTCGGATACTCATTACTTGGATTCTTTGGGCCGGTTGTCGGACTTACTATCTCCCTCGGTGCAAGTAACGTTGCTGGTGAGACTAAGAAGAGCTTCACGGCATCGGCAGTATTTGTGGCTTACTGTGTTGGGAATATTATTGGTCCGCAATTGATCCAAAGCCAGACCAAGAGTCAACATTACCCCGAATTGTGGACTGGGTTGATCATATGGTATGTTTCAAAGACCCTTGCCCCATTCGAATACTACTTTGCTGACTTTGACCAAGCTATTGTATTGCCATACTATCTACCTCCGCTCTTTATATCATGTGGTCTCGTGAGAATAAGCGACGGAATGGGTTGGAACAAAATGAAATTGACCGTGATAGATCCGCGTTCAAGGATCTCACTGATAAGGAAAATGTCCATTTCAGATATGTGTACTAAGCTGCATGTCTTCTTGATGTTATAATCCTTGCCAGGCTAGGTACTACTAAGTTTGACAATGAGATGGTAATGAGATGATATAGAATGTGAAATAGTTCTGAGTTAACAACCTAGGTGCAGTCAAGTAACAAAAATCAGCAGAGAGTTTCGATCCAAGGAAACCTATGACTAAAAGAAAATTCACGTTAGCAATCTGATAATGAAAATGATCCGGGTTCGCAACTTCGTAATCCCAGAAAAACGGGAGGTAGCGTTTGAGTCGGCGTGTTGTTAGGAATTGCTTCTCTAACCCTACTGACCTTCCATGTAGCTCACGGGTTCAATGTCAAACCGCATATGCAAATCCTGCTGCCTCCAAGTGACGATCCGAGCAACAATAACTGTACCTCTGGGGAAGTAGGTAAGCAGCAGAGCAGCTACTCCTTTGCCAAAAGTGGTACCCAGGATAGCCTGATATTCAGGAGTACCGAGAGACCAAACGATCTGTCTTTCTGCAGCCGGGTTACGAGAAAAGCCCCCTTCCATCGTAGAACGATAAAGGTCCATCATGAATCCGTGAGTGTCCTCATTGATGACGTGGTGGAAATAAATGCGTCGCAGTGTTTCAATTCTGAAATCCATTGTGTATTGTCCGACGGCGATATCGGACCAGTGGTACAAGCTATCCCTGGTGATGTCCATGGCAAAGATAACTCCATTGGCTGTCATATGCACGTACTCGTTGTACACGCCCCACTGCACAGGTCCGTTAAGCCTGATTTTGCGGTAGGTATTCGGTCCGGAAGGGAGTCCCTGACTTGCCAACTCACTGTCAAAGCCTATAGGCGATTGTACGAAGCTGTTTCTATCGATGCTCCACCGGTCAGCTGGGTTTGTTCGATTGATCATCTCAAGGTATTGAAGAGGAGATCTCATGATAAATGGGCAATCAGCGGCATAGTCAACCTGAAGCCATCTCTGGCGATAAGCTCCTTGCATCTGGTGTATTCCATATTGATACGCGGCAGGATCAGTTGATAAGTGATCACCGGGGCCAGGGGCAACTATACCTGACGATCGTCCAGATCCACTGTCGTACGGAGCTGGACGCTCGCCGCTGTGACGAGGGCGACTATCACCACTATGGCGAGGACGACTGTCGCCACTATAGCGGGGGCTACTGCCGCTTGTTCGGCCCACCCCACCCCTGTAAAGTGCAGGTGAGACTTCCTGAAGCCACTCCGCAGTCCGACCAGAGACGTTCTGGCCACTGCTTCGTGGGGTAGCTCCAGAGCCGCTTGGGAAGTCAGAGCTTACACGGCGGCTGCTTTGCTGGGAAGGGATTATACCACCGATGTACGGGTCCTGAGGGGCCAGACCACTACTGGCGCGTCCGGAACTGTGACGGCCATGTGTTCCAGAGCTGCGTTGACCAGTTGCCTGAGCGGAGCTTTGACGACTGTGCTGTGGAGTAGTTCTAGGAGGTTCTGCGCGGGGAGCTGGTTGAGATGCACGGGGAGCTGGTTGAGATGCACGGGGAGCTGGTTGAGATGCACGGGGAGTTGGTTGAGATGCGCGGGGAGTCGTCTGAGATGCGCGAGGGGTCGTAGATGATCTTCTATGACCGGGGGTTTGTGCCGAGGTGCGGGCTGCGGGCCTGGTCTGTAGCTCAATGGGACGGTTAGCACGTCGGTCAGATGAACGTCGGCTGTCACGGGCTGGGGTTTCACTGCAACGGCCGAAACACAGGCCATTGCACCACGTTTGGTGACGACCGGTTCCCATATTGATAAATCTGCTGCTTACGCTGTTTGCTTTGTATGTAGATGGTTAATGAATATTCTGTTGAGATATAATTTGCGCGATATAGAATGTTGCGTGGTGATGAATTCCGTTATACAAATACATCATGGCATCTTATATAGATGTAGACTTGGCCTCGACTTGAGAAAGTCATCCAAGGGCTCTCATATCGAGATCAAAGGTGCAAGAACGAGTAAACAATGGAAACAAGAGACCCCTTATTTCAAAAGGCAGTCTCAAAGAGCAACACAATCGCATAGTACACATCTTGAAAGGCTTCAGCAGAGGACAAAGAGATACGCGGACAAACAACAGTAAGACATTCCTAGGTGCACTGTAGACGTTCAAAGGTTGATTGATTGATTGATTTGATGGACCTCCGGTAGGAAGCAATCGTAGCTTGCCCCTGGGACCGACCCCCCTCGGGATATTGGGACGTGGGGTGACGTTCCAAGGCGATTTGCCGACAGATGGGTATCGGACCGAGTACATAGATCACAAAAGCCGAATCACAAACCGAGTGTGGAGAGCCGACTGTGGAGTAAAAACTCGGACTTCGCACATTATTCTCCGAAAATCAAACGAGGCCGGTAGCTTGTACACCATCCGGGCCAAGGCTCAGAGACTTCCTGAAGACGTCGGGATCGGCATGCCGGGGCTGCATTGTTGGTGGTTCCGACTTCCTATTTGGGACGGACGGCCTGTTTGGGACTGACACCGACCAAATCAGGCAGGATCTAGCGCTTCCCCACAATGTGGGGTGCAGAGTAGAACGGGGAAAATGACGCAGGAGCCACTCTTTTCTCACTGTGCCCTTGCCGATAGATCCCAAAAGAACTATAAGAACTAAGACAATGCAGGTAAACTTGTGGGCTCCGGGAAGAAGACAAGTAAAAAATGGCATCCTTCACAGCACTCTTGGTGCTATGGACACTCGTAGTCCAGACAATCGCGAAAGTCAACACCAGCTCTTTCTTGCCAATTCCCGATAAGCCACGGGTATTCATTCTCTCCGATATCTCAAATGAGCCCGATGATGCCGAGTCCTTGACCCGGTACCTACTTTACTCCAACCAGTTCCGTACAGAGGGCATTGTTGCCGTGACATCGACATGGCTGCGCGATGAAGTCCACCCTGAAGACATGCTATCTGTGATTAATGCCTATGGAAATGTCACCGACAACTTGAATCGCCATGCTCCCCCGGGCTCCCCATACCCCTCGGGACAACATATTCGCAGTCTCCTGCGAACGGGCCCTTCGGTAAGGTTTTTCATTCGCTCTTTCAATCTGAAAAAGCATCCTGACATTGGACTAGACCTATGGAATGACCGCTGTTGGAAAGAACGTCACCCTTAGCGATGGAGGAAAACTGCTCCTCCAGCGCCTTCAAGAGAAGTCCGAGGAACCCCTCTGGGTCCTTGCGTGGGGTGGAACCAACGTACTCGCTCAAGTTCTTTTCAAGATTCACGACACCTACTCGAAGACTGAAGCTGCTGCCATGCGGTCCCGCCTCCGTGTCTACGCGGTCTCTGACCAAGACGACACTGGTGCCTGGATCCGCCAGCAGTTCCCCGACATTGTCTACATTGCTTCAACCCACGGCTGGAACCAGTACGGTCTTGCAGCATGGATTGGAATCTCCGGAGAAGACTACTACGGCGTGGACCAAGGAGGCCCTGAAAATAGCACGGTATCTCACAAGTGGTTGCGCGACAACATCCAAGTCGGACCCTATGGCAAGGCTGCGTACCCGAATTACAAGTTCATCATGGAGGGGGACACCCCAACCTTCCTGTATCTGATCCAGAATGGACTCGGCGTACCCGAGCAGCCAGACTACGGCTCCTGGGGTGGAAGATACTCCAAAGTCAACCCGTCGACTGTTCTGGAGTTCAACCACTACGCTGATGCCGCTGACCGCGTCGTCGGAAAGAACAACGAGACTTTTACCTCCAGCCAAGCGACTATCTGGCGTTGGAGAAATGCCTACCAAAACGATTTCGCCGCTCGCATGCAATGGTCTCTCCCGGCCAATATCAGCAAAGCAAACCACCACCCGGTAATCTCGGTAAACGGGAGTGCCGAGCTTGCTCCTCTGAAGGTTACTGCCGAGGCTGGCTCAAGCATTTCATTCAATGCTGGCGCTACAAGGGACCCTGATGGTGATTCCTTGAGCTTTAAGTGGTTCCAGTATAGTGAGCCTGGATCGAGCGATTGGAACGTTGCGGGTCAAGTTCCCGCACTTAATATCACCTCCACTAACGGCGGCCGGGAAGCACACGTGCATCTCCCTGCAGCTAGTGAGAGCTGCAATGGCAAGGCCCTTACTGAATCTGGCTGCTGGTTGCTGCACCTGATTTTGGAAGTCACCGATGATGGATACCACCCCCTCACGAGCTATCGCCGGATTCTGATTCAAGCGACGAACGCCACTGAGACATCTTCATGAAGCAAAATTTACGATGAATGAGCTAGGAATGTTTCCGATTTCATGATGTAAATATAATGTCCGGCATATGATCTTCCGTGTCTAGTAGATGGGATATCATGCAATTTGATTCTGGTTAGCGCATGAATTAAGTGCCTCAAATAAAACTTCATTTACTTGCCCTTATCTAAACTGGTGACAGCCTGTTATGCAGCTCCAGAAATGAATTTCCTTGAATTTCAACCCTCTATTACAGTATTGCATTGCCGCCAGTACTCCCCACACGATACAGAACCTTAGTCTAGAGGCATACGTGGCTTTATTGCTCGTTTCTTCCAAGTCATTCCCTGGCTTGCAGGTTCAATTCCTGATCTCGCTGGATAATGTTAAGTAGGAAATGCTCCGTCCTCCCCAGGTGGTACGTAGAATTCGCGAAACGCTCAGTTAATGGAGCTAGATCCTCACAAAGAAGATCCGAGCAATTACGTATTCAATTTGACTGACGAATAAAGAGAAAGAAAAACTGGAAAATGGTAGGGATGCCCTGATGACGCTTGGTATCAGTAGGCTGTATGACGACAAGTCCGTCACGACAACCAATATTCTTCTCGCATTCATCAATACCTTCTCTATCAACATCTCATTTTCTTGGAGTTCCATAAAAGCTCTAATCAGAAGAATAGAGAAGAAATCGTCCATTTCTTGGGTGGTTCTTTGTATGAGAAGTGCCAAAGACATTCTCCCCTACCAGCAGCGAAAGGCTCCCCCTCTCGGTATCGATCACCACGAAGATAGGATATGTTGCGAGACCTGAAGTCTTTGAGCGATAGTGATGCCGTATTTTCAAAGCATTTGCGAGGGCTTTGAAGCGTGAACGCATGTGGAAGCTCATAAGGTATCGTTTTATCTTCGCAATTAACAATGTGGATTTTCCACCGAGCATCATCTCTGTCAATACCACGCCCTAAATCAACCCATCTTGTTAAGACCAAGGCAAGCCTGGCGTCTATCCTGCGAAATTTAATCAGGGACACTGTGTTGCACCTGGGGCAAGTATAGGTGAATGAACTTGTCCATCCATTGTATACAGAATCAATCTCATTAGCTTTGCTCACAAGTGAGGTATGCTGGCATATTTCGTAAAGCCACAGAAGATGTGGTTCTGACTTCCCTGGAATCTTAGAATCCTCCCATACGTCATACAGTATGATATCCTGCATTCTTATAAGAACTCCAAGTGGCTCGGGACATACTTGAGCATCCATTGAGAAGAGCACTTTGATGTTTCGATAGATTGGTGACGATAGATCATTCTTGGCCCACGGATGTACATATTCACGAACTTGTGTAAAAGCCAAAGAATCAGTGTTGATTCCAAATCGAGGACCGTAGCAGTATCTTCTCATCGCAAGTTTGATTTGGAGGAAGGTGATTCGATTTCTCGAATAAGGGAAATAAGCATGAGATCTCATGTTAATCGAAGAGCCTCCGAAACACTCTGTCTGCGATTCATATCCTTTCCTAATGCAAGGAAGTTGACTAGATCTGTTTCGAGCCAATCCGCTGAGTCCAAAGCTCTCAGAGCCGTCGTATCGATGGAGGATACTGCAAACATCGCATGCGAAGTACTCTGGGAGATCTCTTTCCAGTCGATAACAGATTGACAGATTGATGTATCTCAGGCTAGGAAATTCATAATGGGCCTTAAGGAGGGCATGGAGTCGATGGTTGCAGAGGCGAAGACAAACGGAATCCTCAGGCCAGAGCATATCATAGATCAGGATTAATAACTCCGAGGGGAGGCTGGTCAGTCTATCTATGCATTCGGGCCGAGGGCTGACTACCCGGCATGAAAGGTCGAGGTGGGGCTTGAAGAAGTATTTCAAAAGTTCCATGGTGAATTGTGCCAGATGGTGGTAACTGTAGTCGTGAATACCGTTGCTCGAACCAGGAGGTGAAGATTGAAAAGACGACGGAGTTCGAGATGACAGGTTGTGACGTGATCGATTGATCTGGTGCCATATCAATGAGATATACTTTGATGTTGGTTGCCAATTCGGGTTGAGGAGTTTGACCACGGAGCTGTAGTGCTTCATTTGAACTCGAACAAAATAGTCCAGATTGGTGGTTTTGGTAGTATAGTCGAGGATTGCAGATGGCTATATTCAACTTGCTATCTTTTTGGCTATCTTTTTGGCTATCTTTTTGGCTATCTTTTTGGCTATCCTTTTTGCTGTCTTGTTTACTGTCTTTCTAAATATCTTTCCAGTCATCTTCAACTTAGTATTCATCAACAAACCCCCTGGGCACCCGTAAGCGGCGACGGAGGCTCATCCAGGGTTTACACCCACACACCATGGATAATGGCATGTGATTATCCGTGTTTACAAAGTAAATGGGACATTACGCAAATTAATCCATGCTAGCGGATGTCTTCAGTGTCCCCTGTAGAACTTCATTTACTACCCCTTATCTGATTCGACGGCCCGTTCTGCACCAATTTCCCCGAAGTTCAACCTTGGAAACCCCCTGTCTCCATACGCATCTAACCGAACCGGCTGTTGGACAGAAAGGGGAAAAATACCGCCAATCATCGTCCATCACATCCCTCAACCGCACTAGTTTAGGAACCGTTTCTCTCGGCACGACGAAGCTTGAGGTCGCTAATGTTCCGATCTCATAAAATCCACCATATGGACGATCCCTGCGTGCTGAGTAGCTCCTATTAATAACGCGTGCCGAATAGTCTAAATGGCTTAGGGCAGGATTGAAGGATTTGAATATGTATATAACCTTCCAATTACCCACGGCTTCTCTGATCTACATTTCCACCATTTTCTACTGCTTAGTTTGAAAGCTCTGTTTGACAACTTCAATTACAAAGTAATCCCGACTAAAGCAGGGCACGTTCAAATAAGTCACATCGGACATCCCCAACTATGAAGTCAATCCTGTTGAGCGCATTGCTCCCGGCATTGGCGAACGCGGCAACAACTGGAAAGTTCACTGCACTGAGCTTCAATGTTGCGGGTCTACCCTCTATTCTCCAATCAAACGATGTCAACGGCACCAAGACCGAGAATGCAAAGCAGCTCGGTATCTACTTTTCGCAGTATGGCTACGATATCATCAACATGCAAGAGGTAAAGCTTGCTATCTAAACACTACCGCGCCGCCCGCTGATGATCATCAACTAGGATTTCAACTACCACGCCTACATCTATGAGACCGATGACCATGCCTACCGGACGGCAACTTCTGGCGGTGCAGCGATCGGAAGTGGTCTAAACACAATTTCCAACTATGATTGGATCGACTTCACCCGCGTGAAATGGAACAAATGCTCCGATGCATCCGGGTCGGATTGCTTGACTCCCAAAGGACTCACTTTCATGCGGTGGAACCCCGCGGACGGAGTCTATATTGATTTCTACAACATTCACGCAGATGCTGGGTGAGTCAAGTCTCCCCCGTCCCTGCTGACACTTGCAGCCATCAACTCGACAGTAAGCGAGATCAAACTAACCCGTGGGCTTTCTTTGAAATAGTACCGAGGCCGACGATGAAACCGCCCGTAACGCCAATTTGCAGCAGGTCGCTGATTATATCGATACCTGGTCCATTGGAAACGCGGTTGTCGTGATGGGCGACACCAACAGTCGCTACACGCGCGCAGATGACACCGGTATCCGTGTCCTCAAGTCCCAAAGCAAACTTGCAGATTCGTGGGTTGAGCTTGAGAAAGATGGAGTCTACCCCACCGCCGGTGCTGATGCTCTGCTTTGCGATAACCCATCTTCGGATCTCACATGCGAGACGGTCGACAAAATTTTGTACCGTGGCTCCAACCTCGTGACGCTGAAGGCTGACAGCTTTGACTATAATGGCGACAAGTTCACAAACACTGATTCCGAGTACCTGGGCGATGTTCTTTCGGACCATAACCCTGTCCTTGTGAACTTTACCTGGTCGCTTAGCTCTTCACTGCGACAGAGCCAGTTCTCTGGTGGTCCTCATGGAACTTGGTTTAGTGATGTGCCGAGTTTGCCGAGTTCTCCCTCTGTTTCTGTGATTACGTTCCGTGGTGAGAATAGAGTTGATAATGTCGCCGTGAAGCTGGCTGATGGCACGATATTCAGCCATGGAGGAACTGGGGGCTCGGAAGTCTCGCTTACTCTTGGTTCTGGGGAATATTGGACGCAGACTAAGATCTGCACTGGCAAGTATAATGACCAAACTCGTCTCTTCTATATTCAAGCTACTACCAGTGTTGGTAATACCTTGGAAACGGGAGTTTCAACGAGTGACTGTCAGACTTACACTGCTCCTGATGGTTTTGCGGTTGTTGGATTCATGGGCCAGGACGGTGATGAGGTTGACCAATTGGCTCTACTCTATGCAGCCTACTAGGGATCATGTATTTAAGTGAGTGTGAGTATTAGTATAAGTCTACTATATGAACCTCTTTTACTACTTGCCGGCAGTCTTTCCAATAAACATGCTCAGGAGATAGTAAAAGACAGCAAAAAAGACAGCTTGGTCATTGCTACTTAATTCTTTTATATCCAGGCTACAAGCATTGCTAGGAATACCTGAAATACAGCCCTGCAGGAGTTTCAACAATGGTAGGTATCAACACTCCCGACCAAACACGGGTCCAGATTGAAAACGCTATCGCCGCAGTTGCCGCTCCTGGGGGCAAGATGGGAGACAACTTCCGGATGAAACGTTCAGTCTGGGCATGTCATGACAACGTTTTGAACCATCCCAAAGTTGGACCCTTTGGCTTGGGAATGCCGGTCGGAACTTACCGGCCAGACGATCGGGGAATCGGACTGAAGACAGAAGCTCGTTTAGCTGGACGAAGGATTGTCGTGTTTCCCAAAGACTGGTAACAAAAGTTTTAACCTTATCGAACTGAATGTGTTTGGGAACCCCGTGTCGATGGGCTTCCTCGAAGCCAACCCGGACCGACAGGTTATCTGCGACCACCAAAACGTGGACTGGTTTTCGGAATTCCTGATTTTTGACTGGAAACCTGACGCGTCAGGTCCGTCTTTACAACGAAAGAAGAAGCTCGTTTATCAGATCGAGGCTGTTACTGACGGGCTTGTAGTTGTTGGAATCATGGGTCAGGGCAGTGGTCAGGTAGGCCGACTACCTTTGGTATATGCTGCCTACTAGGGACTATGTTTACTGGTGCTAAGCTCATTTCAATAAAAAAGCAATGCGCGTATCTTCATTTTCACATAAAACCAAGTGTGTCGAATCAAGTGTAGAATGCTATGTACCTTTAAACGCCGAGATCTCCCATGAAGACCGTCCCAGATGCATCACGCTATACAATGAAATAAACCAAGAAAACATCTCAACCAATCAAGTCCTCGGGCAGAACATCATCAGGGTTCTCTCCAACAGCTTGGCCCACTGCCCGCACGACACGCTTGATAGCCTTCGACGCCGGACTATCGGGGAAGTTATCCACGAAGCTCTCTCCAAAGTCACACGCCATACCGACCCGGGGATCCAAAGGCACAGCACCCAAGAAGGGAATGCCCATTTTCTTGGCAAGCCTACGACCACCGCCGGTTGTTGCACGGAAGATCTGCGACTCATGGGTACAGCTCGGACACACGAAGCCAGACATATTCTCAACCAGACCCAGGACCTTGATACCAGCCTTGCGACAGAAATCAACCTCCTTGCGGACATCCAGCAACGAAACCTCCTGCGGAGTGGTCACGACCACGGCACCGTCAACACCAGACTCTTTCAGGAGAGAGTTGACGGATAAGTGCTCATCGGAGGTTCCGGGTGGCGTATCCACAATAAGGTAATCCAGCTCGCCCCAGTCCACATCCTTGAGGAATTGTTTAATCAGACCATTCTTCTTGGGTCCGCGCCAAATGACCGCGTCATCGCGATTCGGCAGCATGAACTGCACGCTCATAGCGCCTAGGTTATCTGTCACCCACACGGGACTCCAGCCAGCGTTGCTAACGTGAATCGTCTCCGACTCCACGCCCATCATCTTGGGAATTGACGGGCCGCAGATATCCGTGTCCATGATACCGACGGTGGAGTCTGGGTTTGCGGCGAATCCGTGAGATAGTAGAGTTGAGAATGTCGACTTGCCCACTCCACCTTTGCCGGAGAGGACTAGGATCTTGTGTCTTATCTGGGAGAGTCGTTCTGTGATGATTGGGATATCGGGGTCCGGGCCTTTGGGCGCGGTAGCGCATATTTGTTGATTGGGACAGCCGGCGCATGCATCGCCTTGACCAGCTTTCTCGGATTCGGGACCTGGGCAGTGCTCTGGGGACTGGTTAGCGGGTGTATTCTGGATCGGCTCTGCGGGCGCATACCTGGTTCGGGTGCCACGAGATTGGGCGCCACCTTAGATGAGAATGCACGAGATTCCTCGGCGGGTTCCTCCACAAAGGGCGCCATTTCTGATTTTCTGTATACTCAGTGTAAGTTGGAAGTAGCGAGATTGGAGATTAGAATGTTCAAGGTCGATGGTGGCGGATTGATTGCTTGATAAGCGGGGATGACTAAAGCGAAAGCGGTCATGGCGATTGGTGGGGGGTCTGCGGTGTCGGAGGTCTTTCCGGTCTGCTTCACTTGGTTTACCTCTTTTGGGGGATAGGTCAAGCTCTGCTCGTTCAAATATTTGGTCGTGGGCAGTCAGATGCGCATTCCAGTGCTCTTCTTGAACTCGGTTACATGTGTAAATTTGGCAAATATCCGATGTTGTGATCTTGCTGGGTCGGGGCTATGGGGAAGCCTGCAACTGCTTCTGAAGAATGTTCCAATCTTATTCGGGCTCTCTCTTATGATGGTCTTCTTCATACTTAGATTACATAGAGTCCCCACGAAATCATTGGGTATTTGCCCACTGTCAGAAGTAGGCTCTCATGTGAATTTATGCAGGCGGGTGGAAACTCAAGGAACAGACTGCATGGGAAACAGAGCAACTACATCTACTGAGCCATTTGGGCCCGATCGTAGCCCGCCCTTTTAGTTCATACAAGTACCAAATGTCTGGCACGAGGGAGGGAATTGGTACAAGCACTTACTCGCCGGCACGATTATCGTAGCCCTGAATCTGGAAGTTAATGAGCAACTTCCTCTGTCACCCGCGATGATGCACTAGAACGCATGATAAACAGCACTATTTTATATCCCTGTCCAAGTCGAGACGGGCCTCATGCAACTCAGTGCCACCTGGAGGAAATAGGGCCTGGTCCTGTCAGCACTTAACCCAAGGAGTTGGACCAGAACTTGATTTCGCGTCAATTCGAACTGATAGACACGGTCTAATGCAGCCTGCATCTCCAGGACCGCAGGCCCCCGCCACGGAGAGGTGAGACCAGAAGCGGGGATATCTTGCTGCATCTGCGATTGGATCGTCAACCCCCTTTATGCATCCACGAGTCTGCAGAGTTAGTTTATGTGGCAGGCGATGCAGCAATGGAATAAGCCCATGTCTTAGGAGTGTCTATTATGAATGTCGCACTGACATCAACGGCTCGTATATTTGCACACTCTTGTAGTGGAGTCGAAAGCATTTGGCCCTGATCAACAGCTTTCAGGGCACTGGATAGGGTGCTTGGGGACCCACAGAACAAAACGGACCAGCCCATTCGTGGAAAGTGTGGACATGATCATTACTCGCGTGCAGTGCGTACGATGTTCAATGCAATTAACTCACACCGGGGGCTTGAGCGAGGAGCGCAAAACTGCCCAAGCGCGCATATCAAGAGTATATCAGTCTTCCCGCAGTTGCCGAATGTACCCCGCGGATGGAGGTCGAGTACAAAAGAGAGAGAAAAAGACACAGTTGCGTGAATATACGAGGATCCCAACAAATCTACCAAGTGTACTAAGTACCAGTAGGCCACTTACGAGTAGCGCTTGGTTGATCAAGGACCCAGTTCTTTCCCCTTCGGCTCCATTCTGTTTCCGACCCATACGGACAGGGACAGACTTATTGAGGCCCACAGTCTTTTACTTTCACTATAAATACCCTTGTTCTCGTCATATTAACTTGTTCCTGACTGTATATTTGCTTTAAGACCTAAAGCATCAAAGCGGAAACCCCCGCGGAGCAGAAAAACAGACTGACTAACCCTAGATCCCGCTGTCACATGCTTCTGTCATCACCTCAACACTTTCTCTCTTCTCAACACCCTTGACACCATGGACCAAGGCCTTTCAACAGGGTCCCATCAGAAAACTGATGGGCTAAGAGAGAGAAACTCACGCGCTGATTCAACAGTCGGTCGCGAGGCTTTAACAGCCACCGGGGAAGTCGAGGTCAAGGACAAAGATGGCAACGAGCTCAAGACATTTGGACGAACTCCTGATGGAACAGGTAAGAACTAATGCGACCACAGTCAGTGTGCTGGATTCAAGTTTTCAACACACACACACTGCAATCGCGTTGCCCGAAGGCGTGGTGGGAACCCGCTGCTAACCGGATTCGTGCAGTGTTTACGGTCCCGCAGACTCATGACATGGTCTCCCAGCTACTTTCGCCTTCCGAACCCAAGAATTTTGGTGATCTAGTGGTGTTGATATTGTTGGCGGGTCATATCTTGTTCCTCTGGGTACTCCCCGCAGGCGCGAAAATCCCGGTCTTTGCAGTCACCTACCTTTTCTGGCGTCTCGCTTACAATGGAGGCATCGGGTGGCTGCTCCACAACCAGTCACACCACAAGACACTGCTTCGATGGGCGGAGAAGACCAAGGTGTTTGTCAACCCGGCCAGTGGGGGAAACCCCCACCCGAAACTGTATAATTGGATCAAGCGGGAACTGGAAACCAAGATCCCGCAGGACTACTCCTTCGACGATGCTCCAATTGAATACAACACCTGGCTTGTCTTTAGGCGACTCGTGGACTTGATTCTCATGTGTGACTTCACCTCTTACTGCCTCTTCGCCATAGCTTGTGGCCACCAACCCGTTGATGAAAGTATTATCATGGCTGTGTTGCGCTGGTCCGCGGGCATCATTTTAGTGCTGTTCAACCTGTGGGTCAAACTAGACGCCCATCGAGTAGTCAAGGACTATGCTTGGTATTGGGGTGATTTCTTCTACCTCATTGACCAGGAATTGACTTTCGATGGCGTGTTCGAAATGGCTCCGCACCCTATGTACTCGGTTGGCTACGCTGGCTACTACGGAATCTCTCTGATGGCAGCCAGCTATAAAGTACTCTTCATCTCGATCATTGCCCATGCAGCTCAATTCGCCTTCCTCGTCCTCGTCGAGAATCCGCACATCGACAAGACTTACAATCCGCCACCACCCCGAAAGCGATCTACCTGTGCGGATTCCACCGCCAACTTGCTCAGCGATCTAGACACTCCAAATGCGCCAACCCCGTCTGAAGATCTACCTCCCAACGCGACACCTTCGTATTCAGCTAAGCCGCCCCAGGCGGTCCACAACCTCCTGGGCCTGCACAACCTGGACCTACATAGAACCACGGATTCCTCGATTGTGCTCGTCCAACTTCTTGTATTCTCCATCACGGCTCTGACACCCTCAACACCAGGTTATCAGTTCCTCTTTGTTCTTCTTGCCACAGCTTCGAGGATCTGGTATTCTGTAGGAATTGGGTATCTGCTCCGGAATCAATCTAACACCAAATCTTGGACCAGGCATTTCGTGAAGTATGGTGACACACCCCACGAGGCATGGAACCAATGGAAGGGCACTTATCACTTAAGCATGGTTTTGTGTTACTCCAGCTTCATTGCAGCCGTGTGGAAGTTGTACGAGTTCCCCGCCGACTGGGGCTATGGCTTGGTTCTGTTCCGCCACATCCTAGGCGCTGGCTTGATCAGTCTGCAAATCTGGACCTCTGTCAGCATCTACGAGTCTCTCGGCGAGTTCGGCTGGTTCTACGGCGACTTCTTCTTCGATGAGTCTCTCAAACTCACCTACAACGGTATCTACCGTTTCCTCAACAACCCAGAGCGCGTCCTCGGTCTTGCCGGTGTATGGGGCGCAGTTCTCATCACCAGCAGTGGTGCCATTACCTTCCTCGCCTTGCTCAGCCATATCCTGAGTCTGGCGTTCATTCAATTCGTCGAGCGTCCCCATATGCAAAAGCTGTACGGTCGCAGCCTCCGCCAGGATGCCGGTCTTGTGAAGAGCTTGAAGCGCTCTCTGCCACCTTCGCTCCAGCAATTGCATGGCAGCGTCGACAAGATGTTTGATGATTCCTTCGATTTCATCGAAGAGATCCTTGACAATGCCCGACCTAGACTCGCTGCTGGTGTGAACACCTTCGTGAAAGACACCACGGCCCTGTTCCAGAAGTACCCTGCTCGCGTGACCATCTCGCGCATCGATGCGGACTTGGCTGGCTTTGATCTCAGCGATTATTCGCTTTCGCTCGAAGGCACCGAGCGCGCATCCTTTGAAGACAGTGAGAAAACCAAAGGCCGAGAAGGCGCCAACGCCCGCATGCCCCTCGACCGCCGAGGCGATCTCAAGGATCTGACATTCGAATACGGCTCCCCGATCAAGGTCAAGTGGAGTGCTCCTATCAACCACAGTAAGAAGGACTGGATCGGTCTGTACCGAGTCACTGACAACACCTCGCGAGAGGTGACTCGTGTATCATCGCAAGGCCGCTGGGTCGCCACAAACCAAGGCGCATACGACAATCTCACCTGCGAGAAGGGCATTATCAGCAGTGATGTGATTGTTCCCTCCTCGCAGCGCAAAGACAACGAAGACCGCGAGTTTGCCTCTGGCGAGATCCTTCTTTCTGGCGATAAACTCTTCTGGACTCAAGGTGTCTTCGAACTCCGCTACCACCACAACGGCATGCACAACGTCATGGCTATCTCGAGACCGTTCGAAATCCGCATCCGCCGTTTCGACGCAGAGGAAACTCTTGCAAATGCCGATTCTCTCGCCGAAGTAGCTGTTGAGCAAGCCTTGCTGCCTGTTGTTCGCAACTGTTTCGATCGTGATCCAGAAATCGCCCCGGAAACCGGGGACGAGCAATTCGGCAGCCTCGTGGAACGTGATGGCAAGTTTGCCAATCGTGTTGTCTTTGCTGTTCACCAAATGTAAGTTTCTCAAACAGCGCCATTCGGAAATCTCCCTCTAATTCTCTCTCAGGTTCGGTATCGAGTTAGCAGCCGAGGTCGTCAAGGCCGATGGCAATGTCCGCAATCTTGCATGGAGAATCTGCAACGCCAAGAAAGTGCTGGTAAGTTTCATATCGCCCATTGAATTTTGTCAAAGGCTGACAGTCATCGCGCAGGCTCCTTACAGCATGTCGAGATCCAATGGGACTACCACGCCACTCGAAGATAGGAAAGATTGATTTCCGAATCTTGGTCCCAATACGGTTCAACCAATGGCACCTCGGAATATAGTGTCATTGGTTTGACTCAGACACGAGCACTGATTGGGATCGTCATGGAAGCCTGGCTGATATATCGCAACGAAGAAAATTTCGAGGATGACAACGAGAAAACAAAGAAAATAGAAAGGAAAAGGATACACAATAAATGTTTGGCTTTGCTCGAGTTCTTACTTTGCTTGCAGAGAGGGCCCAGCTGTAGCCAGGGCTTTGCAGGTGTTTTTTGAGAAGACTATACAAATCAGGGGAGCTGGAGTGGTGGTTTAATGTGTTTGGTCTTCCAAGGTTGGGGGACACGGGGAGAAATGCCCAGGTGGTTGTGGTCTTTAGTGCTTTATTCTCTGTCTACTTCGTCATGTATATAGCTAGGGCAGGTCTGTTGCTTTACTTTGGTTCAATGCAAACGTGTTTTGACAATGTGAAGGCTGCTATACCTTTTCGATATTTCTTTGGGTAGTACAAGCGCTACCTAGTACATGCCCAGGCGAAGTGCATCAACCTTGGAAACTCAGGACAGAATCATCGACATCAACTGGGCAGTCGACAGAAAATCACAGCAATTCTGAGGTTCAGTGAATATAACATTGAACCAGACCTCTTTTAGCACGACAGATACCGACCTTGGAAAGACCGCTGGCAGGGGCCGCAGGGCATTATGCACCCGGACTGTCAACCTTGGAACGACGTTGACAAACACACACAATGACCCTGATCGAATTGTCGAAACACTACACGTGTGAACTACATGATTTATAAGGAGAAATTTTGATATGAGTAGAGCAAAGTATGCATTGATATAATTATTCATTGTCTAAAAACCCTAGATCTTGAAAACTGTCAGTGAAAAACTCGACAAGTCAAAAAACCGAAACAAGATAGGTTTCATATATGCGAGCAAAAGAATACAAGCAGTGTAATCAGACAGCCGTTTTAAATCATACCATCCCCTGCTGCGCGCTCGCATGAGACAGTCACCCAAGACGGATAAGTTGCCGCACACGAGAACCCAACACAAGCCAAGCATAGCAGTACCACGCCGCGGACAAGACAACAAAATGAAGAACGAACCCAGACGCCGACGAGCCCAGAGTCTCCGCGCTCCACAACATTCCTCCCTGTCACACCCGAGGGCACAACAGGTCCAGTATAGGGAGTTGGAAACAATGGATCGACGTCTGTATTCTCCACATGCTGTACGGCATGGGTGCGTACCTGAGGGGCGGTTCCTCCAAGAGGTCATGGAATGGATTGACTAGGTGTCATCATGGTAGGGGGGTTGGTGCAGTGAGAATGATGGATGATGATGTACCTTTTGACCAAGGGCGAAGATTTGTTCCAATGTGTGCTACAGTAACTAGATCTTTTGAACTTGTCAGTACTTTGTGTCATCGACGGTAAGGCTGAAAGACAAATGACATGGAGAGACCCAAGAAGGTTCAGTAGTTTTTGGTAAGGTATTTTGTTATCTTCAAAGTTTATTGCAGAAGCAGAACTGAAAATGGTTTTTCATCACTTGAGGGTGGTTGGGGAAAAGGAAGAAGAAAAAAATGTAGTCTTACCTTGGTTAGTGGGAGCTCTCACAAGCTTCTCTGCTGAGGTCTGTAGCTCAGTAGCCAGAGAAATTGAACCTGTCTTGAGTCATTGTTAGTGACTGATGCTAAGCAATGCAAATCGAAACCAATAGCAAGGTTTGTTGTCATAATCAGATGGTGATGCATGTTTGTTCTCGGCCCATTTTTTGTCGCCGAACTGGAGTTGGAACTCTCTCATCATATAAGACAGGGATAAAAAGCAAAGTTGGTACTTACATTCAATGCAATTAGTGAAAGAAGAGCTCACTCTTCACTACCAGAGAAGGACCAACGACATTTGAAGGACTTTCTCGTGGGTGAGAGGAGTGTGGAAGGAAGAGAAAAGACGGACGAGCAAAAACGAGAAAAGTCGAGAAAAAGCCAAACGGCGCTAGGCGGTGGGGTTGCCAAACAGTGCAAACACCAAGATTTCCGTTTCTGGGACTTCATCCATTGCGATTTCTCGACAGCTTCAACTTGCCCTGTATACCTTCAGAATGGCCGATAGAAGACGTGTCAATGGTCCACCTGGTGGCACTCGCGCCCCAGTCTTTGCTTCTTTGCAAGAATCCTCCACAGGCGCCGCAGAGCGCGCCCAGCGCCAGCGCCAACCCGCTGAACTACGGAAAATCTGTATGAATCCCGGACAAGCTTCGTATGAGCTGCGCTGACCCTGAATTCCACAGTCCTGAAGACTGGATTGATTCCCACAGCCTCAGGCTCCTCATATCTCGAATTCGAACCATCCGCCTCCCTCGCCGCAGCACGCTCCAACCCCAAGTCTCTGATCCCGCCATCCTCAGCACTCAAGGTGGCCTGCACAGTTCACGGTCCCAAACCACTCCCTCGATCAGCCGCATTCTCTCCAAACCTCGTTCTCACCACCCATGTTAAGTACGCGCCTTTCGCCGCCCGCAAGCGCAGAGGCCACATCCGCGACGCCAGCGAGCGCGACCTCGGCGTACATCTAGAGACCGCCCTTCGCGGCGCAATCATCGCCGAACGCTGGCCCAAGAGTGGTCTGGATATCACTCTGACTATTATCGAGGCTGAGGATGACCGCTGGTGGGGCGATGCTCCGGATTCTCACGACGCCTCGTGGGGAATGATGAACGTTCTCGCTGGATGTATCACAGCTGCATCAGCAGCCATTGCAGACGCACAAATTGATTGTCTGGATCTTGTTTCAGGTGGTGTTGCCGCTCTGGTCTCGGATGACTCGAAGCAGTCTTCTTCCAGTGCCCCGCGGTTGATGCTAGACATTGACCCCGCGGAGCATCGATCTATCCTCTCGGCTTGTGTGGTTGCGTATATGCCTGCGCGTGATGAGATTACTGAGCTGTGGCTTAAGGGTGATAGTTCAAAGGCAGCGCTTGAGAAGGGCGATACCCGCTCGAGTCATGAGGCTTTGATAGATGGTGCTGTTGATGCGGCTCGCGGTGCTAATACGGTGCTGTCTGAGGCTGTTACGGAATCTATTGCGAGGTCTATAGCGCAAGTTTAAAATAGTCACATTTAATAACGATTGAATGATTTCCAGAACAGGTCTCGGGTGTTGCCTTTCAATGACCCGTTCTCTTTACAATTCCCTTCGGATATACGGAGGACTCTTCTAGACCTTGACTGGGGTCCAAGATAGCTCTATCTCTATGCAAATGGAGCTCAGGTAGTTGCTAAGCCCAGTCCCGGGGCCACATCGAGAGATGATTAACTTTTTGTACATCAAGTCTCTTATTCGGCTTGTTTCCGTGTCTCTATTGGTCATATCCCAACCTCCGAAGTTCACCTTTGGTCATGCGTCTACACAACGTTTCCTGTGTTCATTTCAGGCTTCATCCCTGGGGTTGTTTCATAGTATAATTGTAGGCGGCATAAGAGATAATGCTCATGGTGATAATTCCGTGATAATTCTTGAAGAACCATTGAATCTGAAGAACCGGGTCTCTGGCTGTAGTACCAACGTTATGTCCGCCTGCTGGAGGTTTCCTCGCGCCAGTTGATTCCTTCCAGGGCTCCTATTGCCTTATGCCAGGAATCGTCCAATCATAGTCCGCCTGGGTCAACGCCCACGGACCGGGTGGTTCCCGACATGGAACGGTGTACACTCGATCAAAGCTGACAGTAAACTCTAGGCGACCATCCGCCTCCCGGGTGTCGAAATCTAGGTTGAGGCAGTCATGGCATGCTTCGCAGGTGTACAGCGTGGTTCCACGGATGATTTGGCAGGATCGACATTCTGCATCATCTGCCAACACAGCTTGGGCCATGCACGATGCGCAGTGATTGTCGTGCGCACGAATGGATTTCAGATCGTGCCAGCCATGCCTGCAAATAAAAACTGACTGGTTTGAATGGGGCTCCGAAAGATCAAAGGTCATTATGAAGCAGAGTCGAAAAACGACCCTTAGCGACTCGTCCAAGGCAAGGGTGATTGAAAGCCAACAGTTGTCGCTTTCTTGACAGCGATGCCAATTTGGGATGCTGTTCATGATGTGAGGCCCCATGCTGTTTGTTGTGAGCGCCAATTGCAGCTGCTCACGCAGTCGAATGAGCCTGCCCGGGGTGAATCTGAGGCATCGGCACAGTTGGATTACACCCGGCCATTTGCAGATCCGGGGGGCTTTGAGTTCCAAGTCGTCCTTAAAGAACTCGCTTCGTGGATGAAGCATCAAGCAGGCATCGCAGAAGAGCCAGAATTGGGTTTCCAGTCTGAGGAGAAGCTCGGTCCTTATGGATTCGTGCCGATGTCTGCCGCTGCTGGGGGCAGGGTAACGAAACTCCTCTGATTGAAGGACATCAGAGAATTGGTGATAGAGGCGCGTGCAGGTGAGGGCCACACAGGCCCGCGATGTGACGGTCAGGTAGCTCAGGACCTGCAGCTTCGTTTCGGTGGGCAAATCAAGGATTGTGAGGTGGCGGCTGGAGGGCTGGCTGGTAGCCGCCAACTGGTGATTTCCGCCTACCGTTGTAGTTTGGGACGTGGATAGAGGATAGAGCCATGTTTTGAAGGATGCTGCCTTTTGTTTGACAAAGCAAACGGCATCCAAGATCCAAGATCCTATCATGGTGTCGAGCAAATGAGACAGGTAAAGGACAATGATCTGAAGATAAGGATTTCGCGACATTGGAGATACTGTCAAAGAATCGGAACTAAGGTTGAGAAAGTGAACTTTGGGAGGGGAGATGAGAAGTGAGAAGTGAGAGGGGAGAGATGAGAAAGGTGAGATGGAAAGACCCTGGAAAGACCCTCAGGTGAGCATATCGGAGTGAAAGTGAAAGAGGTTGACAAGGTCATGGCTAACCGTGTTCTATATCACTTGATGCATAGGATGTATTTGGTATTCGGACGGCAGCGCTTTAGTAGACAAATCTCTGCCTACATTTTCTTGTAGCTTCTGATCAAAATTTTGCAATGAAACATCAATCTGTAGTATATGTGATGTCCTAGGATCTCATGAGATTAACGACCCTATATAGGCAAGTGAGGGAAAGAGGAGCCAAACGAGAGGATTTAACACAAGCAACCTTGGAACTTAAAGATGGCGATGAGTTAGGAGATAGACACATGAGAAATTGCTCTAAAAGTATCTTTAGACAAGCAAGAATGATGAGTAAATCCAAGGATGCAATCCTGGAGGCTTTACGGTACTGGTGCGATCATACAGCAACCTAAGTCAGTACTGTGGGGGCACAATATCATCGTGCTCCTTTGAAAGTCCCAAAACAGATGGTGCATGTCTAGGCGAGAAAGTTTTAGCCACTCTAATGGTCATCGGCTCAGGACGCCAAATGCATGTACACAAAAATCAAGACTGCCCATCTCCTTACGCACCATAAGACACCCGTGACTTTATACTAGTGTGGTGGGCAGCATGATCCTCTCTTCTTTTTATGCTTTATTGAGTCATGTTGTTCCGCTGGACAGCCTGTTCCATGTAATCAGCATCAGTCCTGGATGCCGAGATTTCTAGCCCCTTCCATCATTGTATGCTTCCAAGCAACTTTTCTCATTCGGGCAGAAAAAGAAGAAAGGATCGTGCTGCCCACTACACCCCTCCTCAAACACCCTTTTCCCCGCCCTCCATCGCTTCCGAAAGCCACAGAGCCCAAAAACCGCCCTATGTGACGCCGCGGTCCTTCCGTCGCTTCTTCCGTCTGGCGATTAGCTGAATCGAGCTGTGTACCAAGAGTTCACCAGTACGCCCCTCTTCAGATGGCGATCAACGCAAAAATCGGCTTGCGTGGTTGAATACACTACGCAGTAGCTAGCAGAGTGCTCGATTAGCCAAATGATTGGAGACTATAGCAGCTCAATCACCCGCAAGTGCGGAGTTACTTGCCGAGAATTCATCCGAAATGGATCCCGGCATGCTGAGCAACAATCCATGGATGAGATAGGAGGATCCATGAATACCGTCCACGCGATGTCATATGGGAGATCGTGCCTGGTCCAGGTCAAGTCTTCCTGTCGCTGCGAATCATGCAGCAAAACTAGACTTCCAATATCGAGTGGCACAATCCTGAGTTGCTCGCGGCCATCGTGATACGATTTGATGGCATCCCGCATACGCGTTAAAAGGTGTATTACCTCCGCAATATCCTCGTCGTGCTGGAGCAGTTGCTGTGCTCGCAAAGCAATTAAGTTCTCGCGAGCTTAAACTGCCTCCCATGGAAGCGTACTCCATGTGGGCACTTCCGTTTCCCGAGGAAGAATTGCTTCCTTCTCAAACAGAAGCCGGTACTGTGTCATTCCGGTTGTTGCGTTCATCGTCATTCTGTCAGCCAAAACTGCCCTATAAAACTTCTCTCCCCGTGGCGGAGGCCTCGTTTTTGCTGGTTTCTGATGTCTTCCAACCCGCCGAGGCGCACTCAGCTGAGATGAAGAGCCCTCGGACTCTCTCGCAGCAACCGCAGCAGCGTTTTCTACGGAATAACCATAGTTCATCTCAAACAACGCATCTTTGAAAGTGCGCATGCTCCGCTCGACAGGTCCATTTGACCCAGGATTGTATCGCGCAATGGCAACTCGCTTAATCCTCTTTTTGTCTAAGAAGGCCTGAATTTCAGTGCAAAACTCAGGTCCCTTGTCAGTGATGACTCGAATCGGGAATCCATATCTACATGTCATATCCGACATCCCAACTATGCTGAAGTCCGCGTGGAAGCAAGGACTCAGCAATTTGACCTGGATCGCAATATATAGTAGAGGAGTGTATCTCCCCTTGCTATTGCTGCCTTCTATTTTGCTATCAGTGTATGCTTTTGTCATATTCTAGAAAATCAAGCACTTTTTCCATTCGTTTCAAACTGGGCTTCTTGGGTAGCCTCAATCCACACTAATTTTAGGTGTATTCCTCCACATTTAGATAGACCCATGTATTTAAGACCCAGGGTACACAAATACTCCCCTCTTCATCTAAATCCCGAAAAGACTTTCAACGGGCTCATGCTTTGTCGCGTTGTGCCCAGGTAGGTATCAACATGGCTCTGCGATCGCCGAGTCTGTGGGATCCTACTTAGCAACGAGCCCTGGAGGCTAGTGGGGAATCTTGAAATTTGACAAGCGAAGCCGAGCGCTGGGCTCGGATATCTGTTACTCTGATCTACGATCAGTCCCCAAATCTCCGAACTTGGAAGCCCAGAACTCACCGGCCACTGAGGGCTTACAGGCTCGAGGTTTACTATTTGTAACCTTGGAAAGGGCTCTGTTAATCTCCAGGGCTTAGGGCATGATGAGTCTCATAAAGCATATATATTGTAGATATTCTCACAGCAACCTTGGAAAATGCCTGCCCCATTCCAAGGATGATATTGTACAGTACTTGTATACGTCAGACAACCGGTGAAGACTCGGAGCACGCTCGGATGTACGGAGCAGTGGTTAGCTTGTAGCGATTGCCAGCTAGTCAAAGATCGATTTCCTTAGTACAAAAAATTGAGTACGTGCATGGGACATCGGTCCAGGCGGTGATTGACACCTTCGGTCTTTGTCCGACACTATTCGGAACACGCAGCACCCGCAATCCCGACACAGCGTGCCGTGTGATATTTTGAAAAAAAATATATTACAAGCACAAACGCAAGAAAGGGATATGTACTGTGATATGCGAGAGATCTTCCCAAGAGAAACTAAATAAAGGGGCAAGTTAGAGTTGACATTCCCGCTACGGTTAAACGCTCCCGGTTCTGTCAATTGATCGTCTAGCGCAGGACCCATCTATCGGAATCGAAAATCGAGTTCGAGTATCGATCGATCGCAAGTTTGCGGATCTAGTTGAGAAATTCTATACATTGCACGGTGCATGGTTCTATAAGGGTATGTATTTGAAAGTATATGATCACATATAGTCCTGATATGCCCTGCATATGCCAAAGCAAGCACGAGCCGTGATAATCCCTCCCCCCACCGGGGTGCATAGAACCAAGGTTGAACGAGAGCGGATCGGACTGCACTGTGACCATTGTTTCAATTTTGGCCCCTGAGAGTTCGCGAACTGCACTATGTGCGGAAAGCAATCCGAGATCCGGCTGCGGCCCAAAATTTTAGTTCTTTTGCCGTTTCTTTGTTTAAACGGACTACACCCCTGTCAACTATCTGTTGTGACTAGGTAAATCCTTCCCCAACGCTTGAAATGAGCTCCGAATTACCGGGAAAAGTCAAAACTAAAATTGGCGTTCGGTTCTCATGTTCCTAAAGGAGACGGCTCACGGTCTACCTGACGATCACCTCGTCACACCAATGATGATCCACAGGGAAATTGGGAGCTCCATCGCATGCCACAATCGTCAGTCACTAACCCACCTAGGGCTTGTCGTTCCGGCAATTCCACTCCATCATCAACGCGCTGATTGGAACCACTAATGCTCGGTGACGGGGTGGGGGTGGTGCTTCTGCCAGGGAAATCACAAGAATTCACAGTATCACGGTTCTCGCCCGGACTATGCAGTCCCAATGAGTTTTCGCCTGTCAAAAAAAGAGCTTTTAGGTGGATCCCTCGGGGAACTTTTGAGCTGGCCTATGATGCAGCCTAGACGTTGGCCCCGAAGGAAAAAGAAATATCTGCAAGACCCTAATGTGTAGCTCGTGCCGGATGATCATTTTGCACCGTTGATCGTATTCGCGCGACTCCATGGGATTTTCCCAATGGCTTCCTGATTGTACATGGGGTGGCAGAGTGTCGAGGGGCAAAATCAATAGACTGGGACTCGAGGTCTCCATAGTACATATACCAAGGTTAGAACAAAGAAAAGCTCGGGATACTAATATACTACGCACTACTCTTAATTTTTAGCGTTTGAACGCTGGGGAGAAGCCCGGATCCCCCTGATCCAGGCACAGAAAAGTACTAGATCTGCACCCTCGTTGACATTTACTTTATTTCTAATTTCTTTTTTTCTTTCTCTCTATTACTTTTCTCCTTCTCTCTTTCTCTCTCTTTCTCGACATGGGGTAAAAGCATCTGGACCGTGTGTCGGACTTCAATTTTATTTGGCTGTGATGCTATGACATCAAGCTGTTCTATTCTTTAATGACGACCGCTGGTCTCGTCGCTGCAATCATTAGTCCCACATTACTATTTCCCTTCGTTTGATTCTCGCGGAGTCCAACCTTGGAGCCGCCTTCCAATTCTCTCGCGCACCGGCTTTGCGCTCTATATAATCTACAAGATGGCCGGCATAAAGAGGTTCTTCCAGGACAAGACAACCCGTCCCGCGACAAGCCTCGGACTGGAGGGCTGTCACATGGACGATCCAAATTATGGTATGGCGATTGACTCGCCTGCACGAAGCCAGTTTGAAGGGTTCCCATCTAGAGATTCACAGTCACTAGATGTGGCTCATCACTTCGAGCAAATCGAAAAGCAATTCGTGGATCTACATGATCGTCTCGACCGACCAACGTCTTCTCAATCGCAATTGCCGCCCACTCGTTACGCAACCCCCAAAATTCAGAATGGCCGATATGTGGACTTGATGGATGCCCTAAGTACCTCGGAACGCTCCCGGGCGACCACTCCCGAACCACTTTCTCCTCCATTGGCCAGTCCATACAACGAAGATGTCGCAGAGCGCAACATGACTCGGTTTCTCCGCATACAATACAAGAAGGGATTTTCCAGTTCTCGCATCTTATCGGCGTTGTATCAAGAGGATGTCGCGGACCGAAATATTGCAAAATATAGCAGTTCCGGCCGCACCATGTCCGGATTGAGTTGTCAGTCGTCTCCAGCTGCGCCGGGCAGAGTCCGACTACCCGAAGGCCAGAAGCGTAAGCCCAAGAGAAACCCTGCAGGGAGACCAACCTGGGCTTCAGCAGAGAATCTGCGGACAGGCCCTGACGACAAAGGTCCGGATCCTTCTCCGCGAGCGAACTCCGACCTGGGTAGTTCTTTGAGACCACAGAAATCGGCACCCATTCTATGTGCAGAAGAGGGCTTCATTCCCCAAGAAGCAGCACCACCTAGTCCCGTTCAGCGGCTGGGGGTTCCTCCTGCGCACAAGCAGGGCAAACGATGGAGCAACACGCCTCTGCCTGATAGTCCGACGATCCCCATCCCCATGGGAGATAAAAGTCCGACTGCCGAGGCCCCTTCAGTACCCCGGCCATTTTCTTCAGTATCTCGCAATGCATCATTGCCCCCGAGATCCCAGTCTCCCCAGCCTTCGGGGCCGGTATCCAAAAAGAACGCCCGAGGTCTCTCGATCAACACTCAATTGGCAGCCAAGGGAACCCCGAAGATCGTACATCGTGCTATCCAGCCACCCACTCCTTCAACAAACAACATGAAACGACCTCCCAGCATCGCGGAAGTGATGAGCAGTCCCCTGCCCATCGCCAGCCCAATTAGCCCTCCAAGGTCATCTGCACGGGTCAGAGCCTCGGAATTAATGAACTTGTTCACCAAGACTTATACGTCTGCCCACGGAACCCATCCAACATACGAGTCTCTCCACGATGCCATCGTTCGTGAGGTCAACTCCCACGAGGCATTCCAGCGTGTTCCCCTGCCGATACCAGGACCTCCATTCACGCCCTCTGCCGAGAAGATCGAACTCGTCAATGCCTCTCGAAAGGCCCTAGGACTGAACCGGAGCTCCTCAACCGCAAGCCGAATGAGCAAACCATTCATGAAGCACAAGAGATCCGCAGAGTCCCGCCGCAGCATCTCAAGCTCCGTTGGCTACGACCGACTGCTCAAGAAGGTCGCCGGCTCCCCAGCTCCTCGCCGCCACACCGACGCACCACTTCCCTCCCCGGCCTTCCTTGCAGACATCAAAACCAAGCAATCCGCCGCCTCCTCCCTCGCAGCCGGAGAGCCCATTACCTACATGGACGTCTTGCGCGCAAGCAGCGAACAACAACCTGTCCAAGCCCCCTTGTGCACCGGCCCAACTATCCCACGCAAGCGAGACCGCTCCGATTCCACCAGCAACATCACTGCCCCTCCCCACCCCAAGCCTGATATTGATATCTCCCTCGCCCCGAAAACAATCTACTGCATGCAAGCGCACTCATCACCGTCTCCACATGAAGATGACGACGACGATATCATCCACCTGCCCAGCCTGTTAACTCCGCGCGTGCAGATCGAGGGCGTCGACGAAAACAACATTCGCTACGTGATCGATGCTTCTTCTGCAGAAGAGGCCCAGAAGCTCATGTACTGGCCTCATCGCATTAAAGGGGGCGTAGGCTCCGGCTCAAAGGTCTGTGGAACTAGTCTTTCGCCGCTATCCCGTGCTCGTATGCAACTTCGTGGCTCGCGGTCTGTGGAGACTTATTAGTTCTCCAACTTCGCGGAACGGTTTCTTTCTCGCATGATGACGATGCTTTCATGACTCTCTCTCGAAAAAGCTCTTCAGCCTTTCTCGTTTCCTTTTTGAATTCTGTGCTCTAGCCAATCGCGAGCTTTTTGCTCTTATATCCTCTCGTCCTGAGCTTTTCCTTTGCCTATCACTTGCTACTCTATGTTCACTCAAGTCTCTCCCTCACATACTCTCGCTCTCACTCACACTCACTACCTCTCTCGTTGGCTCGATCGAGTCGTTCTCCTATCTCATATCAGACCCTGTCAGTTCATTATTGACAACTTTCTGTTTTTGGTCATCTTGTCTTAATACCACACTTGCATTACTCGGCCGGAGCCTTTGTCATTTTATCTTTCTTTTGCTTTCTGACCTATGTGTATTATAGCCTATCAAGCGACTGCTGTTTTGTTCTCAGTTAGTTCACAATTATCATAATCTCTGCATAATTTTCAAGTCTACTTGCATGTTCTTCCAAGGTTCCAAGCCAAGCGGGAAGCATTTTTATGGATAGTCATCTAAGTCGGCCTTTGAACTTGATCAGCTTCGCCACCACACAACAAAGCACCTGCTATATTTGACTAGAGCCTTGATGGTAGCCTACCCGGGTATGGACCGGGCATACCCGCCGTCATTTCGGAGTCTTACGAAAAGGCAAGCTAGAGGGCACTAGAAAGGCTGAGTGGACCATAAGAAATAATAGCGTTAGAAAAAGAAATAATGACATGTCTCATGTTCATAAATATCATTGCCACTGCCTTTTCCCCTCCTAAACTCCACAAATGACAAATCAACATCTGGAACGATTCCATCAGATCCACCGAAGAAAATGCCATAGAACTTGAGCTTCAGCCAACGCTCCACCATGCATTGGGTAATGCCGCATAAAAATCTCTCGTCTTTTTGCAATAGGCATCGCGGACGAGCAAAGCAATATCAAACAAACGCTGTAGCCGGCAGCGTACAAGCGAATGGCTTAGTAGGAGCCTAGGTGAGAAAATTAGTAATGTGCTTGTAATGTGAGGGCTTAATGCTGGGGGACTGTTAAACTTACGGCCGAACATGCACCACTTCTCAGCGGGGCGTGTGCACTTGGGGTTGCAGCAAGGGGTGACACCCTGCTCAATACCCTCGGGCTGGTCGAAGGGAATGCAAAGAGACTTAGCACCCATGCTGGGGGCCTTGGCATCCTCAGCCTCACCAGAGTCTTCCTCGGCCTTGCGAGCACTCATATCCTTGATCTGGTCCTCACACTCCTCGGTCAAGCAGTGGGGAATGAGGCAGACGTTCTTGCTGTTCAGAGCAGGGGTGAAGTCATCCCACTTGGTGATCTTGATGCGGTGGGCCTTGAATTGCTCATCGGCACGCTTGTACATATCAGACTGGATAGTTTCAAGAAGAGCCGGGACACCAGTGGCCAGGTCAGGGATAGCGATGCTGCCCTTGCCCTCCTTTCCGAGGATATCACGGCGAGCGGTGGTGACGAAGTGGCCAGCGGACTCGCCGGGACCGAACTCGATGCGCAGAGGGACACCGCGCAGCTCGTAGCGGTTGAACTTCCAGCCGGGGGAGTTGGCGCTCTTGTCGCTGTCGACGCGGACACCAGCGGCTTCGAGGACGGCAACGAGACCATCGACCTCGGCCTCGAGCTTCACACGCTCCTCCTCGGTGGTCTTGGCGGTGACACCGACGGGGACAACGATGACCTGGAGTTCAGCGACGCGGGGAGGGAGAACCAGACCCTTGTCGTCACCGTGGATCATGACCATGACACCGAGGGAACGGGTGGACAGACCCCAAGAGTTCTGCCAGACGTGCAGAGGGGGCTTCACCTCACCAGGCTTGGTGTCAGGATCCTCGACTGTGATGCCGAACATCTTACTGAAGTTCTGACCCAGACCGTGGGATGTACCACCCTGGATACCACGGCCAGTGGCGGGGATGTAACCCTCGACGGTGGTAGTGTAAGCACCACCAGCAAACTTCTCCTTCTCGGTCTTCTGGCCCTTAACAACGGGAACGGCGAGAAGCTCCTCGTAGATGTTGGCGTAGTGATCGAGGATGGACAAGACTTCCTCGCGGGCAGCACCCTCAGTAAGGTGAGCAGTGTGGCCCTGTAATTAGCTATTGTTAGCAACCTATGTTAACTAGTTTTGCGGGGTTGCTGGGGGTGACCAACCTCCTGCCAGAGGAACTCTCGGGAACGGAGAAGGGGCTGGGGGTTCTTGAATTCCCATCTCACTAGTCGCGAGCCATGTTAGTAGATGTTGAGAGGAAAATAGATGGAATAGGATCGAAAGAGGGCTCGTACCGACACTGTTCCACTGGTTGAGACGCAATGGAAGATCTCTGTGACTGCGAATCCACTTGGCGTAGTAGGGGTACATGACAGTCTCAGATGTAGGGCGAATGGCGATCTTCTTCTCCAGAGCAGTGGAGCCACTGAAATAAACATGTTAGTATACCTCAGTTAGGGCTTTGGTATGTCAGTGCTTACGCATGCGTGACCCAAGCGACTTCAGCGGCGAAGCCCTCAATGTGATCCTTCTCACGCTGCAGGACATCCTCAGAGACGAACAGAGGGAAAGAGCAGTTCTTGACGCCCATCTTCTTAATAGCCTTGTTGAAGTATTCCTGGATCTCTTCCCAGATAAAGAACAGAGCAGGCTTGAGGATGAAACAACCGGAGACATCGTAGTAGTCCAGCATGTCACCCTTGGTGAGAACCTGCTGGTACCAGCCGGGGAAGTCCTCGTGCTTCAACACATCGATACCAGTCAAGTGGGCACCCTCGACCTTCTTCTTGGGGGCCTTCTTGGCCTCCTGCTTTCCAACGGGCTTCTCAGCCTTGTTGGGCTTGTCGGCCTTCTCAGCCTTCACTCCAGCCTTCTTGTTGGCCTTTTCAGCCTGCAATCTTTCGAGCTTGGCGGCCTTCTTGAGGGCGCTCTTTGTGGGACCCTCGGCGGTATCAGCGGGGTTTTGGGTGCGGTCAGGCAGAGCCTGGGTGGCCTCGGTGGCAGGGACGTCGCTGGGGTTCTGGCTAGCCATGTTGAATCACAATTGCCTAGACAAAGAAGGGAAGACCCGGATCAAAGGTTAAGCAGAGAAAGCGAAATCGGAGGTATGACTCCCCTCCGTGAAGTGGGATGCGATATCGAAAATTACTAGCACACCGCCTCGGCAGAACTTTTAGTGCCCACAGCACCCCCCCGTATCCAGACAGCTCTGCCATCGCACTCGAATAGCTTACTTTCATTCGTCTGTTACAGTTATGGCAGGCATCTTCGAGGCCCCGCGGAATGCGGACACACTTTGTGAGTTTTTCCCTGGATCGATTCCTCGGTTTTTGTTGCTGTTGACTGACCAATCTCGCACACAGTCTTGGGTGGGCAGAAAATCACCGGCGCTGATGTCCGTGAGCAGAATGGTATGTTGAATGATCCTTGAAGAGAACTTTGCTGGGGCAAGGTAGCTGATTTCTTGAAGTTCTGGCAACACAGGCTATCTCCAATGTCATCAAGAGCTCCTTCGGTCCATCCGGTCTGGACAAGATGATGGTCGACGACATAGGAGTATGAATCGATAACCCCCGCATATATCTTGCAGCTTCTCACATTAGCAGGATGTGACCGTGACGAACGATGGCGCCACCATTCTTTCTCTTTTGGATATTGAGCACCCCGCGGGCAAGATCCTTGTTGATCTCGCCCAGCAACAGGATAAGGAGGTACATTTGACAATATCTTTATCTTCAATGGATGCTGACCGTTGTTATTTTTTTTGACAGGTTGGCGATGGTACCACCTCAGTTGTCCTCATTGCCTCTGAGCTGCTCCGGAGAGGTAACGAGCTGATGAAGAACCGCATACACCCTACCACAATCATCAACGGATACCGACTTGCTCTGCGCGAAGCCGTTAAGTACATGAACGAGAACGTTACGACTAAGGTGGACAATATTGGAAAGGACAGCTTGGTCAACATTGCGAAGACCTCCATGTCCAGCAAGATTATCGGTTCCGATTCCGATTTCTTCGCTAACATGTGTGTGGACGCAATGCTGCAGGTTAAGTCGGTGAACCAGAGAGGCGAGGTCAAATACCCAGTCAAGGCTGTGAACCTGCTCAAGGCCCACGGAAAAAGTGGTACCGAGTCCGTTCTCGTGAACGGTTACGCATTGAACTGCACCGTTGCTTCCCAGGCCATGACTACCCGCGTGACCGATGCTAAGATCGCCTGTCTCGACATGAACCTGCAGAAGGAGCGCATGAAGCTTGGTGTTCAGATCACAGTGGAAGACCCCGACCAATTGGAGAAGATCCGCGAGCGGGAGTCCGGCATTGTTATGGAGCGTGTTGATATGATTCTGAAGTCTGGTGCCAATGTCGTCCTTACCACCAAGGGTATCGATGACATGGTTCTCAAGCTCTTCGTCGAGAGGGGTGCTATGGCTGTCCGCCGCTGTAAGAAGGAGGATCTGCGCCGTATCGCCAAGGCCACCGGTGCCACTCTGGTCAGCACCTTGTCTGACCTCAACGGAGATGAGAAGTTCGAGGCATCAAACCTCGGACACGCAGAGGAGGTCGCGCAGGAGCGTATCTCCGACGATGAGTGCATCCTGGTTAAGGGCACTAAGGTTCACACTGCGGCCTCTATCATTCTCCGTGGTGCCAACGAGTTCAGCTTGGACGAGATGGAGCGCTCTGTTCACGATTCACTTTGCGCTATCAAGCGGACCCTGGAGAGCGGAAGCATTGTTCCCGGTGGTGGTGCTGTTGAGACCGCACTTCACATTTACCTAGAGGAATTCGCAGTGACAGTGGTAAGTTATTGCTGGAGTACTGCTTTACTTGTACATGATTGTCTAACATTTTCTACTATAGGGCTCTCGTGAGCAACTGGCCATCGGCGAGTTCGCACAGTCTCTGCTTGTCATTCCCAAGACTCTGGCAGTCAACGCAGCAAAGGACTCATCCGAGCTCGTTGCCCAGCTCCGTGTCCGCCACGCCCTGTCACAGCGTGTGCAGGACGGCGACGCCAACGAGGAGGAGAAGGCCATCGCCAAGAAGAAGACTTACCGCAACTACGGTCTTGATCTGTCGAAGGGACGGGTCCACGATACCCTCAAGGCCGGTGTGCTGGAGCCCAGCATGAGCAAGGTCAAGCAGCTGAAGAGTGCCGTTGAAGCTTGCATAGCTATCATGCGCATTGACACGATCATCAAGCTTGACCCCGAGCAGCCGGCGGATGACGGCCACGGCCACTAAGGAGCTCGTTTAAACCCCCCAAACCCCAAAAAGGCAGTAATATGATGTGACATAGATGACCAGTAGTAGAATGTTAAAATCTGCTGCGACTGCACATGGACTATATTTTCCTTTGAGAACTAAATACATAACAGCTTCGTAGCCCTAACTCCGTATATTCAAATCCCCTCACTGCCGCTTCTCAGCCATCAACTTCCGGTATTCCTCGACAATATTCCGGCGCTCACCAGCCAACTCCTCACGTCGCCTCAAACTACCAACAGCAGAAGGCACATTGGCAACATCAACCTTAGCCCCACCACGCACCTTGAAGATCTCCCTAGGCTTAATCAACGAAGGCGGCGCCGGCGCAACCTCAAACGGATTCTTCTTCCTCTCTTGATCCCTCTTCTTCAACTTCGCCCAAGGATCAGGATCATCATCCCCGCTATCAACCTCCCCATCCCCTCCCTTGATCTTCTTATTCTTCTTCGCAGCAAGAGCCCTCTTCTTAGCCTTCCCTCCAGCCTCAATATCCCAATCCTTCCACTGCTGCAACTCAACCTCCATCTCCGCCTCCCGCTCTTCCCGCTGCTCCTCTTCCCGCTCCTTGATCTTGGCCTCTTCCTCACGCCACCCACTCTGCAGTCTCCGCAGGTGCTTCTCATGCTTCGTCCTCTTGCGTTGCTCATTCGCCTTCGCCTCACCAGACTTCGTTGTCTTAGTCATTTGCGACATTGGCATTTCGCGATCAACACGAGCTGAGAACTCCGCCAGCCTCTCACCAGGCAAAATCTTAAGTGACTGCTTATCCGCGGCTTTTGCTTGTTGCGGGGCTTCTGTCGCGGACTTCTTGTTCGAGTCTGATTTCTCTTTCTCGGCGCGCTTGCGCTTTTTGTTGCTTTCGCCGGTTTCAAGGCCGGATGGCGCTCGCTTGCCCGTTGTTTGGAATTGCATTAGGCGGACGAAGGCTTTCGGCGTGTCGTCTTCGGTGACATTCTTGCGACGGTGCGTGGGTGCTTTGTTTGCGCTTTGGTTTTGGTTTTGCGTCTGGTTCTGGTTCTTGTTGCCTCCCTTGCCTTTCTTGCCGTTATTGGTTGTCTTTGGCTTGGATGGGTCGCGGACTGGAAGTGCTTTGGCGATCTCTTCGGGGGAAGGTTGAATTGGCTAGAAGGCGTGGTTAGCTTTGGGCATTAGAGCTTGGTCGGGTTGCAGGGACTTACGATTTATCGGCTTCGCCGCGTCTCTTGTGTTTGTGAGGCATTGTGAGCTTGTGGGGTTGAGGGAATGGCGGTACAATGTAAGTTCGGAGTTGGAAGTTTTTGCTCTACTTTTTTCTCGAGGTCGGCTTATCTTATCGCACCGCTCACTTCCAAGGTTGTATCAACATCACGGCTCTCTTTCTAAGGCAAGTCTATAGTGGCCAGGGTCAATTTCAGTATTTCCGATAGAATGATCTCCCAGTGAGTATCAGGCCCACGGAGTACAGCCCTAGGTCTCTTCTTTGGCTGTCTTTTTCAATGTCTTTCCAAGTGTCTTTTCCCATACTACTCTAAACACACAGCCAATTTCGATGTGTATCATCTGCAATTCTATATCGTTGATGTGCCAGAAGAAGGATGATTTTACTTTGGAAGTATGTTTGCCAAAACCAGCCCAAAGAACCAGACACCCGTGGATTGAATTAAACATCAATTGATTGATCCGAGAAAGGTATGCTTCGCTAAAAAAAAAAAAGGACCCATGCCATTCCAAACGCCGTAACAATGCCCATGGGCAAGAAAACAAGAAAGAAGACAAAAACAAAACTCCGACACACCAAGGAAAGAAATGCACATAAACGGTAGGTAGATCACTGAAGACACAAGGGGGAAATCATTCGTCATTGTCGTCAATTGAGTCTTTCATATCAGCCCAGCCACACATCCAGCGCTTGCCCTCAGTTTCACCACCACTTCGAAGGTCTCGAGCTTCCGGTCCTTCGCGCCAGCATCGAGCAGTGTAGTCATCGCTCATGGTAACCAGTTCTCCAGCCTGCGTCCACGATACACCTGTCACTTCTTTCTGGTGACCCTCAATGAGAGCAGTGCCTGATTGATGGATGGGGATGGTATCCTCTAGGCGTCCAGACAAGCCAGTGCCGGAGTTGGTGCGGCGAAGCCCCGAGCGAGTTGAGAAAAGGGAAGTCCTGGTAGGCGGAGGGTCGACGGGAGATTTCAACGGCGTATCCAGGAATCGTTCGTCGGTGGGGAATAAGATTGGACATTGGTCAGTGCTGCCTGTGGCGAGCATTTCGGGAAGATCTGCTGTTGCTTTGCGGATGGCGAGTTTCACGTAGAAGGAGGAGACTTGTAGGCGGGGATGGCGGAAGCCATAAAGAGGACCAAGGCCATCCTTGTCGGAGCCGCCGGTTCGACGAGGACGGTTGTGGTTGAGGGACAGTTCTGGGGCGTGTCCGAGGATTAAGTGGGATGTAGAGTAGGTATACACAGTATTATCGCGGCACAGTGTGTACAGTCGGGCACCATCACCTCCGAGTGCGATGGATGTCAATCCAAAGCGTCGGTACTTCACATGACTCTCCGGTTCTTGTGTTGTGGACAGGGGGGGCAACAGGTCGACCACGGCGATTGTTATGTGCGGTGCGTATATCCCATAGTCGAACACTTGCGCTGGCCTCGGAAGCTGTGACAAACAGGTTCTCGCGGCCTGGTGGGAGGAACGCGAGTGAAGTAACAGTAATGTCGGTCCGGCCGACAGGTGGTACTTCATTCTTGTCCGGAGCTGGCTTTTGAGAGGTAGTGTAGGCATGAGCGCCTCCGATGGTGTTCAAAACGTGAGGATAGAGCATCTTTTGAATCGGCGGTGGAGGCTGTGATTCACTCTCCAAAGAGCAATGAACTTGCAAAGCGGGCCGCTCAAACCCTTTGCAGCGCAGATCCCATATGTTCACATTCCCGTCTCTGCTGCACGTTGCAAGCACTTTGTTGTTGGATGCCGGTTGAAATTGTATGCGCTTCACGGAAGAAGAGTGGTTCGACAAACAGTAAATGGGTTTCTGTGTCGTCATATCAATGACCAGAGACGTCTGATCTCCGGATGCGGTGGCAAGCAGCATGTCGTCGGGCGAGAATTCGAGGTCCATAATCGAGTTTACATGCGGACGGAATCCGAGGTACGCATCGGTAAACCCAGAGTCCTCGTCAATTGAAGAATCTAGCAGTCGAATTCCACCTTCCTCATCACCAATAGCAACCATTGAGTTTGCTAGTTGAGAGATTAGCACAAACAGAAGGTAGCCAGTCAGAACCAACATATCACTTACTGTGGCATGAAGCATTGGAAAAAGGCAGGGCTGGGGACCCTTCTGAGGCATAACTAGAACAGTGGTGAACGTCGGGTGGTTGCGAGTAGAATTCGGATGTGAGATCTTGCCAGCCTATGGAGGGATTAGTGGTTGGTGTTGAAGATATGGGGATCGACACATACCAACTCCGGAGTTTGCTCGCATAGTGACTCGATTGTGTTGCGAACCAGCGACACTCCGCATGAATAAGGCACCTGAGGTTTCCAAGGCCCGAGATCGACGCACCGGAGCTACGGCAGGAGGTTGTTTCGGCGCTACTGGGACCTCCGCGGCTTGCAGGCGGAGGTCCATGTCGGGAATTCTAACCTCATGGTCCATATCGCCGGTTGGGGAGCGGACACGAACTCTCTTTAGAGGAGAAGACTGCAGTGGAGATGCGACAGAAGAAAATGAATTCTTTCGTTTCCGGCTCGGAGTTCGGATGAAGTCTTCTGGGAGACCATCGTGAGAGCTTCGGGTGCCGGCCTTGGTTCGTGAAAAGGCGGGCCCCAGACGATTGACGGCGGGGGAGGTGAGAGCTCGTAGAGCTTGTCGACTTGTTGTGGGGGTGATGGAGTTCTCAGCCGTGGGCAGTAAAGAGCGTGGAGTGAAGAAGCGACGAAATGACCGCGGCGTCACCGAGGGTGGCTTTCGTCGGCGGCCATCAGAAGCAATGGAGGGCGGGGAAGAAGGTGGTTGAGGAAGAATTGGTTCTGAGAAAGAAACGTCTGGTACATCAAAGGGAGCCATTGTACGAAAAACACAATGGAAAGCGATGCATTTGAGGTGGTCCGAAAAGGGCTAAAGGGGATTTTGGAGGAAAGTGGTCGGTTTTTTCGTGATGCGCGACGTGACGCGCAGCATTTCATCCCTCACACCTTCTCTTCTCTACTTTACCACTCACTCTCCTCTGATTTGGAGGCTTTACGCGGTCAGGGCATATCTCTACTCCTCATCATCTCCTTTTAGCACAATTTCCAGCACTGTATGACTCTCTGCACGCTTTAAACGCGTAAAATTACGATTGCGGGGGCGGTTTTACTTGTCAACACGGCCGAATTCCAACGTCTAGTCGAGCTCACCACGATATCTAATACTTGTTTCGGGGATATATTATTGAAATTCATCATTTGGGCTTTTCTTCATACAGTCCAAGCGACCATAGTTTTAAAATTGGTTCAACAAAGGCGACTAGTGGGCTGAAAGGCTCTCGGCAGGCTACAGTGCCGTTTCATAAGTATTGGACCTCAAGTACTTTGCATGCATTCACCAGGGGATCTTTGCTGTCTTTCTTACTATCTTTCTTACTCTCTTTTTCAATATGTTTCCAAGGCTCTAAACATGATTCGGGCAGTGAGGAGTATCCAAAGTTGAGACTGAGGCTGAGGTCAAATACTTTAAGAGAGAATTCCGAAATTGCCTTTCATTTCCTGTTACTCGTGAGGTATTCATACCATAGGGCTTTGGAAGTGCTATATTGAGACAGAACCTCGGGAATATCCATGGACTCTGCCCTTCCAATGTCAACATGCCAAAGGACTGACTGTAATCTATCTTGGAGGCACTCACTTGGACTAAACAAGCTTAGAAAGGGAACAGTGTGACATGAACCTGCCCACTGCAGGTGACCATAAGTTGGTCTTTCCATGAGGATTAGACCTTTTCCTCCCTCGATTCCCCTAAGCCACCGTAAACTTGATACGATCCAAGGGCAACCCATCATGTCGCCATTCCGACTACCAACCAAGCCGTAACACTCGCTTCCAGATACTTACCGTAACATCTCTGGATGGCTACATTGCTCCGAACCAACCTGGCGCTACACAATCTACCGGACAACCTACATTCCCCAATCCCATGCTGTTTTCCCGCGTATGATCGACCTAACCATGAGATACACGAAGGACGGATTCCTCAACCGATACGAAGGATATCGTCGCTACAGCCCCAGGGCAAATGAGCTCAACATGACTCTCTGGCACGAGCTCTGGTAGCATTACAAGCCACGTGTTTTGGAAAATGCATTCCAATTCGACGGAGCATCGACAGACCAGCTCTGTGAGCATTTCAAAGCCCGGCAATTGAGCGTGATATGCTCGATGTGTTTACTGGATACCGCATGTCTGCTGTCATTGACGAAGAGAGTTTTCAGTCATTGCAGCACACTCCCTTCTCACAGAATCACTCACCAAAATTAGAGTATCAGAAATGGCCCCTGCTTCAAGTTTCATTTTGAAACTATCTAATAGATAGCTCTAATCTCTTCTAGATTACTCCATGTTGTTTTGAACATAGTCTCAAAGTCATTTAAAAGAAGTAGGGAAAAAAAGAGAATAGAGGAGAGGAAAGAAGAGATAAAGATCATGGAGGTCCCAAAACAATGATACATTGTTAGTTTATTCATAGGAGGAGCTAGGCATCTGAAGGTACGGATTACTGAGTATCTTAGATAGTTTCTGACCCTTGGGCACCATTCTCGTACGGAGTACACCAGGAACGCCCCAGAAACGTTGTGATTGGTATAAAAAACAAGGTTTCGGGGGCACTTCCGCTAAGAAAGAGGCTTGTAATGGGGACCCGCTATGCTTCTACTCCGTACTCTCGCGCTAGTCATGTCACGGTTGGAAATCCAAGACTATATCGACAATGTGAAAATCGAATTTATTGATTCCCAGGATGTGCCTACTTCTACTCCGTACTCCGTACTCTGTACTCTCTGCAAGTGATGATTTTCGACGTTCGGGTTCAGACCGGTGCAAGATAGGACGTGTCCACTGATCTACACCGTGAACCATCCGATCCCTGGAAAATCGATAGTGCACAAAGCGACATCCAGTCAAGATATCCACAATGCGACTGATCCATCCCAGATCCAATGAGATTCCTCCAACCAGCTCTGCTGTACTCCGTAGTCGACTTCATAATGGCAAGTGTACGCCCTCCCATCCACCCGATCTACTCCTGTGATACGCTAGAGGCCCACGCATGCGCGCGCGACCTTCAGCCACTCTGACGAGGTTCCCTCGAATAGTTCGTAAAATGCAGAGTTCAGCTGTTGATCATGCACTATCACCACTGATGTCGACACGTCTCGAGTCACGCAAGGGGCTATATCCCAGCAGTGGGTTTTAGGGCTTGAAAATCCTCCGCTGCCACGCGCTCCCGTATAACATCGCTGTCAGCCCCAGTTCGGGTCTTGGTTCAGCTACAGACCTGAATTTTCCAAAATTAATCTCAAGGGGTCGTGGAAAATGTCTGCTGCAGTTGACGGTCTTTCCAAGGGACATCGTCCTCTATGGAAGCATACGAATCGAGTGTATAACGTTCTGGAATACAACTACATCGTATTTCCTCTCACATTGATTTTGACATTTTATGGTAAGACGGCGTCGGTTATGTTCCAGCGACTGCAAGAGATGTCAGACTGACCAGCACAAACCAGCCTTTAAACAAGTCACCTGCGTAGGTGGATATTATCTCGAAGTCGCAGAAGATGCCTGGAGCAAATCCTCAATCTTTCACGTTTGCGTAATGACAATGTTCTTGGTGGCGCAAATGCCACCATTCGGACAGCTATTGGGCTTGTGTCTGCCCATGCGACCGAACAAGTTCGCATCTGGGCCCAAGACGCGACGACTGGAAACTCTGCGCATCTGCCTTGTAACAAAGGGCACGAACGTGCCAACAGCAGTGAACTCAGCAAGGTGTTGGGACAACCTGCCACAGCGTCATAACCCTTCGGTCAAATTTCACGTTCTTGTCGACAGTGAGAACGCCGACGAGCTAAAGCAGCAGCTCCCGTCATATGTCATTGTGGACCAAGTGCCCGGTAATTTCTCCGTGAAGAAGGCGAAATACAAGGCTCGGGCCCAAGAATGGTTCCGACTGAAGTACAAATTCTCCAAGGAAGATTGGATCCTGCATTTGGACGAGGAGTCTGAAATGGATGATCGTGCTCTACAGACGACTTTGGATTTCATTGAGAGGGGGACTGCGGAGCTTGGAATGGTACAACAACTTCCCAAAGCACATTCTTAATCACTGGCACTGACTACTTTTAAAGGGCACTATCTATTACACAGCATCTAATCACTGGACAAGCATGCTTATGTCTGCCGCCGAGGTGGTCCGAGTCGCCGAGGACTTTGGACGATTCCAACTACCTCTGCTGCTCTTCCGGCGTCCATATTTGGGCTGGACTCACGGCTCATGGCTCCTTATCAATGGTGCAGTAGAGAACGCCATTGGCTGGGATACTGACAATGTGTGTGAAGACTACTGGTTCGGATATCACGTAAGTACATCTCCAAGATTCAACTTCAACTTGAAGAGCCACTCTAACTACATATGCAAATCACAGGCTGCAAAACTTGGATATAAATCCGAATGGATCCACGGCATTTTCCGCGAACAACCACCCTGTACCCTCCAAGATTTATGCAAGCAGCGACGACGTTGGTTCACTGGAATCTTCCGCTTCGAGCAACCTCTTGCGGGTATAGCCCTAACTCTTGGAATCATCGCCGGAATTGGAAGTTTGATATAGTAAGTCCAAACCGACATATTTCTAGTAGAGCCTGAAAACTGATCATAACCACAGTCCCTTGATTGGTTATCTTGTCCAGAAGCCAGCAGTTCCTTTCTGGTTTAAGGAGCTCATGGTTTTCAACGATGCTGCAGGTCTGCATGTGCTCATTTCTGCATGTGTTCTGCAAGATCTGAGTCTCGTAGACCTATCATGGACATCGATTGTGTCTCACGTTGTCCTTGCAGTCATCCTTCAGCCGATCGTAAATTTAGTGCATATTGTGCTATTCTTTACAGTGGTTTTGTCACCGCCAACAGGATTTGATGTGATCAAAAAGACCTAGACATTCAGGAGAAATATTAGTTGTGCGACAAGAAGATGAAAAGGAAGGAATCCTGTGATCTCGTAGGGAGATATCTCAGTGGTAATCAAAATCAATGAAAGATGTGGAAGGGAACACACCCAGAGGGGCTCGGCGGGCCATGTTCAGGCTATTTCCAGCGTATTCTGTAGTCCATTTCGAAACACGGTGCCATCCTCGAGGGAGGGTTTCTTACACAGATTTTGAAACAATAGCCTGTAGATCTTTCAATAGATCTTATACTATCACGTGGCAGTTAGAGTCCATAAATACCTTGCGTTCCCACCATCTTCGGTTCTTCTAACAACTCGCTCATCCTCTAGAGGTTCCAAGGACTCCACCCCCTTCCGCCAGCATGCCCAGGTTGAAATGGGTTGATGGTCTGCGAGGAACTGCCGCGATTCTCGTAGCTTATGGTCATTATTTTAATTACGATTTTCCCATGCTCTATCGCCGCACCTACTGGACAGAACCATTCGAAGAGAACCAGCGGCTCGCTCAACTTCCTCCGTTCAACCTTCTTTGGTCCTTGGACGCCATGGTTCCTCTGTTTTATGTGATAGCTGGATACTCACTCGCAAATGGCTTACTCGAGCTCAGAGATCAGCGGTCCGAGTCTTTCGTCGATCGTCTACGGTCCTCAGCCGTTCGCCGCTTCATCCGTCTAGTCCTGCCGCTGGTAGGGTTGGGCATCCTTTGCCAACTCATTTTTTATACTGGTTGGTTTATTCATTCTCTGCCAGAGAATGCGGCCCCTGGTCTACAGCCATGGAAATCTCCATGGAGTCACCTACGCTACTTTTGTCGATACGTGGCAGACAACTTGCAACTCTTCCAGATCCAGTACAACCATGGACTGAGCCAACAGCTCTGGACAATACCGCTTGATCTGCGTAGCTCATTCTTTGTCTACTTTGTGATGTTCCTACAGGCTCCATGGCGACCTTCCGTCAGGTTATCGATTCTAAGCCTAATGCTCATGCACACTCTCTGGTACGGAGTATGGGACGCGTTCAGTACGTTGGCCGGTCTCACTCTTGCCGAGATCAGCTCTTTCCATAAGCGCACTGGTTGTCATACCAAGCTTCTCTCTGGGTGGTTCGGTTATTTCTTGCGATTTGCCCTGGCTACATACTTGTGTTCTCTCAAAAGCCAAGTAGGAGAGTATCCTCTCGATTACCGCATCCTTGAAACAATACAGCCTCCGGCATGGACGCGCTACAATTGGTCCACCGCTCGATTTTCTTGGAATGCCATTGGTGCGGTTTCGCTTTTCTCGGTTCTCATGCAGAGCCCTCGGCTTCAAGAAATCCTCAGTCTATGGCCCTTCCAATACCTAGGGAAACATTCCTTCTCCATATATCTTGTGCATACACCCATATATCAGGTCATTCGCAGCCCTCTACGTGACTGGCTCTGGAGACTCCAGGGGAACAAAGGTTGGGCTGGATTTGAGGGAGCCTCTCAAAGTTGGAATTCCTATATAACAAGCTGGGTTGGTTCAGGACTCATGTCATTCTGTGTGGTATTTATTGTGGCTTGGTCATACTCTCAATATGTGAATCCCCGTGTGGATCGACTGGCTAGGGATATAGACATGTGGTTGAGCCATGCCGATACTGATGTCAAAGCCGAGAAGAAAAAGTAGATATAGCTTTTTGTCGAGGCTATTTTGTATGGACCTGGTCAATCAGACTTGAATCTTCAGACTATCGCAAAAAGCCCTAAGCTCGGATGTTGAGATCCGTTTCATGTTATTCCTTATTACTTTTTTCGCCTCTTTCCGGCTACTAATGCATCGGCCAGACCAATATTCATCTATTTTACATAGAAATGCCAATCAGTGTGTTGGTATCATAACTTATCACACGCTTGAGATGTTGTTGTCATAGGCACAGGGAACGAGTCAGGCTTGGTAAAAGAATTGAAGTGAAGCTCTTCTCAAGATGAGAAACTATTTCGTGGGCCCTTCTGTTGCCAAAATAGTATGTAGCTTCCGATGTAGTACCTAGCTCTATGTAGTGTTTCTACTGACATGCTTCCAATAGTCGAAATAGCTTGAAGTCAATGGCCTCTTCAAAGCGCATGGCGTACATCATGTGGGTTTCCTCGCCCTGAAGCCCTCATTCTCTCCCAAAGCCTTGCCCAGGCGAGATGGTTGCTCTCTGTTTCCTTTCTCCCCTTTCTTTTCTTTTGCCCCAACCCCATCCCTCTTCTCTCTTCTTCCCTTCTTCTCTTCTCATCTCTCGTGCCCGGCATCTCAAGCAAGATCAGGCATATTGATCTGATCCCCGGCCACTCAATTCTCTCTTCATCCCCAAAGCTATCTCCGAGCATGTTCTCCTCATCCGAAGAGGTCATCATACCTCCCGAGACCGACATCGACCGGTCGAAGTGTACGCGCGTGGCGCCCATGCGTGTGCTATGCCTTGGTCTGAGTCGTACGGGAACCAATTGTAAGATACCAGCCCTTACAAAGACACCTGATCGATCAAAGATACCCTGGAAGACATTTTAACTCACCACTTTCTCAGCCCTACGCACCGCCCTTCGGATCCTGGGCTATGACGAAACCTACCATGGCTACGAAGCCTATTTCGAAAACCCACGAGACTCTTGGATGTGGCTCCAGGCTCTGAAGGCCAAACTCGACGGGGTCGGAAAGCCTTATGGAAGGAAGGAATTTGATCAACTTCTTGGACATTGCCAGGTATAATTCACAGGGCACTGAAAGACGAGACAGCATACTGATCATCACATAGGCTGTGACCGATGTCCCTGCAGCGTGCTTTGCAGAGGAGTTGATTCACGCATACCCCGAAGCAAAGGTCATCCTCACCTACCGGGACATTGACGCTTGGTACAAGTAAGTTTCCCGAAAAATCCAATTACTTTCCCCAAATTGACGAGTCCTGACATCTCCCAGCTCCGTGATGAAAGCCATCATCGCCCGAGTGAAGATTCCTTGGAGCCATTCCATGACTTTTTTCCTGATTTTCTTCCGGGATCCAGTCCGCTGGTCCAGACTCATGGCTCTGAAGATCTGGGACGGGTATTTCCGTGGCTTTGAAGCCAATGGGAAACAAGTCTACAAGGAACACTACGCATTGGTTGAGAGTCTTGTGCCGGAGGATAACCTGCTTCGCTACAAAGTGCAAGAAGGTTGGGGGCCTCTTTGTCGGTTTTTGGGTCAGCCTGTTCCGGACGTGCCATTCCCGCAAGGCAATGAGGTAGCAGAGCTTGTTGCTGTCACGAATGCCTATGTTAGGATCGAGGCTATCAAGGCTTGGTGGAACTTCTTTTACGTGGTGGCTTTTCTTGGTGTGGTTTGGGCAATGGCTTTGGCTGGTGTTCGTGCTGTGGTGTGAGGCTGGGATATTCACTTGAGGTGAATGCTAACTTGCATGTTCGCCTCGCTGTCCCGGGATGCTCATTCAGTTTCGTCTTCATGCTTCAACGCATAACTCTGGCCGTTTCTAGATCAAAATTCTAGGTGAAAATAGGCAATTTGGATTTTGCGTGCTGGCTTTCTCATTGAGATCCATGTAGATTACCTAGGGCTGGCAGGTTCCAAGGTTCCAAGGTTCAACTCCAGCCCTGACGACCTTAAATTAGAATTTCCGCTCTGTGATGTCTGTTCACCTGGGTCGTGGCTGTGTGAATAGTCAGGGATTGCAGATTTCTTACGACATGCACAATATTAGGGGTCTACCATAATACATCGAACACCACATCATAATTCTCGAAAAATAACTTGTACAATATTTGAGGAAAATAAAAGAACACAAGAGCCAAGCCCTAGAGGCACACCCGACGCATTAGTAAAAAGGAACATAGACAAGAAAACAAATAAAGGTGGTACACGCCGGCCAGACACCCAAGCACCCGGCCACTCGTTCTGTAAGTTTGCATATTGGACATCCCAATCATGCGGGTATCGATACATATCGCTCGTCAGTCAGCCGTATAAGAGACAGGCCTCATACAACAGAGCCTACTCATCACCAAACTGCCAGCTAGGCTGGTTGTGGGTCTTGGGGTTGCGCAGGGAGGTAGCAGTGCGCTTTGGCTGGGGGGTCTCATCGTAGTTATCCCAATGAGACTCCATCATCTTCACGGCCTTGTCGTGTTTAGCAGTGGGCTTAGCATTCTCCTTCGAGACAGGCGAGTCATCAACGATGTCGAACTGCGAGTTGAAGTTCTTATCGCGGTTCTTGTTATTTCCAGTGACAGCCAATGGCTCGTTCTTCTTCTCACGCGCACTCAGCTCGGGACCTTCTTCGTCATCAAAGAGACGGTTCTCATAGAGTCCTTTGCCGCGACCACCGAATGAGCTGATGATACGGCCCTCGTCTTCCTCATCATCTGTCAATTCAAAGTGGCGCTCTGCGTCACGACGCGGCTTAACGACGTGAATATCGTCTGGGCCCTCGTCTTCGCTCACATCGAAGTGGCGCACTTCTTCGCCGCGAGGGGCGCGTGTGTCCTTGGTGGGTGTAGTGAAGTCATCAAAGTCCCACTTAGGCTTGTGGTATGAGTTTGCGTGCTTAGCTTCGTTCTTTGTTTCGTGTTCTAAGTTATCACCGCCGATCTCGAAGTGATTGTACTTGCCGGGGATGGACTTGTAGAAGTGACGATCTTCGTCAACGGGTCCATGGGCAGTCTCATCTTCTTCGGGGACTCGGGGAGCGCGGCGCTGGGGCTTTGAGGGCGAGTCAGGAACATCATCGTCCTTCACAAAGATATCACTGAAGTTGCGCGTGGCAGGGCGACTAGAGCTGGGTGCGAAAGGAGCCACGGCTGCAGGCGCTTTCTTGCTGGGCGATAGGATCTCATTCAATGAACCCGCTCCGTATGGGTCTTGGGTGTAACGTTTGCCAGCAGAGGAAGGCTTGGGGGTTGCGCGCGGGCCTCCAGCTCGGCGATTTCCTTGCTAGGCGAGAGAAGCTCTGTCAAGGACTCTGCCGCGTAGGGATCCTTGGTGTAGCGCTTGTGCGGGGATGAGGAGCGTGGTGGGGGTGTGGTTTGCTGGCTCGGGGCTGGAACGGCGGCCGACGAGCGCGCCGTAACAGAGGTCTTCAGGAGACGGATCTGATCCTTTGCATCGCGAATAGGCCAGGCGCGACCACGCGCGCCAATAACCTCCACTTGTCTCAGCAGGGAAGCCTGGTCCCAATGGATGCGGATTTGCTTAATTTGGTTCTCGGAGTCGAAGTGGACGATGTGAATCTGCATGCATTAGTGTCGATCGGGGGGGGCGAGATCTCGGAGAATTTACCGTGGGGAAAGTGACGACGCGGTCGGCCAGGAAATTATCGTCCAACGAGGGGAGATACGCCCCGCCTCCCTCGCGGAATTCGAGTGTGGTTTCCATGTCCAGACACAGCGCATCAGAGCCTTCAATGGCACTGATGACGTTGTGAGAGCGCGTCTTCACGATGTGAGACTGCTTCAACACATGGGTGATCACATTATCGGGCTGATCGAACTTGGTCGTAGTAGGCACGTAGATCAGCGAGATATCGCCGGCCAATTTGGCGGCCTTGGGGTTATCCAAGAATCGCTGGTACTCGGTTCTGAAGTAAGACATCGTTGAAAGAGTGGCAGGGGGAGAAGATGTCCAAGGTTCAAAAGGGAGAGGACCTGGAAGCGGGCCGGGGAGGGTTTTACAGGAAAGATTGACAGGCTACGCTCCTGTTCATTATACACAATGTTTGTGGTCAGGTACCGGATACCTCCCACCACACAGGGGGTCCGCTAGCACCCTTTCGTACCCGGTACCTTGCATAACAAGATTGTAAATAACCGCCTCGAAGACGCGCACGGGGAACCCAAAAACACGCCAGTGTTTCACCACAGTGGCCCCCCCCGAGCCGAGGCCAAGCCTAGGCTTATCGAGTTTCGAATGTCTCTCCAGCAACTGGCATATGCACCACCGCCAATACATTGTTTAGACTTTTTACTTCATTCCGGTATGGCACAGGGGCATATACATTGTATGGTACATGGTGGTTTACGCCGATCTCTGTCCGTTTCAGCTTGGGCAATGTCCGAATATTGGATCAATTGGGCTCCTGGCTGCAAGTCTATCAGGAGATGAGAATTGGGAGAGCACATGTAGCGTGTGATCCCCACGTCCAAAAGCTCTTTTTGGTGTAGCTATGCCCTTTCCAATGCACTCGCCGGATCGTCGGTGTGGTAGATGGCAGACATTATTGTATTGGTGAAATTGGGTATGTGTTGCAATCGTGTCTCATTACAAAGGTCTGCACGAGATCGCGTTAGTCAAGACGTCGGGACAAGCATAGTTCAAAACACTTACCCAAGATAATCCTCCTTGATGGTGCCAATGGCGTTAATCGCAGCCACGTCGGGTTTAACACCGAGGATTTTCAGCCGCAGACTGGTTCCCTTCTCAATCACTTGGTCGGCATGGTCGGTATACTGCGGTGGCACGGTATTGGGCTCCCATTTGATATCGGAGGGAATGTTCTGCGTATATAGTCAGCGGTCTGGTCATCTTCAAGGTAGCACATTACGTACCTTGCGCGCAATGAAGACAGATAATGGGCCCGCCAGGGTGAAGATACCCGTAGGCTTAACGGAGGTAACAATGGCATCGACCTGAGCTCAGTTAGAAAAAGTTCGCAGATCGGCGTGCATCTCAAGCGCATACCGTCTCGCCACGGAACGGCTTCCAAATAATCGCGCGGTATCGAATGGTATATTCCGCTTGACCAATTCCAGGCATCACCCGCCCCTCGCCAATATCAACCATGTCCATGACACAGATCACGAAGTGATCACCGGTACACCGGCCTTCCTCCTCCTCGTTAAGTCGGCCGATCAGATACTCTCGCATGTTGGGTCCGAAATAGGACGGGTGCATGGCGATGACCTTCGTCTCTTCTTTGAGGAAAAACATGGTCGCGGGTGTGGGAGTATGCGCGAGCCTCACGGTGTGGATGGAGGATTTAAAGGATTGTAGTCTCTTTCAAAGAAGTGATGTCAATCGAGGTCGAGGGACGGTGTTTTCGACGAGCTCATGACCTGCAGCGGTGAGGCTCGGACAGGTTGTCGCCGTCGGGGATGAGTGAGGGAGATGCTGGTAGTGGTGGGTTTGTCAAAAATTGTATCTGCCTTGGATGTCAGGCGAGGAGGCAGATACAGTTGCTGCAGGCGCAAGCTTTCCCTTCGTAAGAGCATCTCTCGGGCGGCGGGCCAGGTTTGGATGAGTTTGATCACGTGAGGTGGTTAGATTTATAAGAAACTGACAATTGCCTGTTCGATGTGAATCCTTCTGTTTGTCAATATTTGATAGTATTTTTCTTATGAGCTTTGATATTGCGATCCATAGACCCTGTGAAGTTCCAGAGCCCCGAAGTTGGGCGCGGTTGTCGTGTCGTGTTGCAAATAGTCCGTACAGCATGGTATACTTCGTGTAGCATGACAACTGGAGGCAGTTGCACTGGAATAATTGACGGGGTAAATAGAAATCTTGTTACTCGTGCGAGACTAAGCTCGACAATGGCGATATTTTCATGGTTTGCACAATTCTCTGCTGTAGTACCTGTCAAATTTCGAGCTACATCGTATTTATAGCTACACGATATATCGTTGATGACCCAGAGCCAATGAAATATTTAGCCACTACCATATAAGCTTTCACATAGATCAACATAATTCCAAGGGTTGCCGAAGCTCTCAAGTTCAACATCTGGACAACCTGGACACAGGACTGCTAACAAGAGACTGGAATCTCATCTTTAAGATCAACATTGGAAGCTATACTTCATAGTATTTGGAAGCCGATGCAAGGTTCCCAAGGGAATAGGATACGATGGTATTGATTACACCGTCAATCTTATGCCCGAACTTGAATAGCAGCTGAGAATAATTAGATATTCAAAAATTGAAAGAAAAAGTGAAAGGAGTTAAGCTAGAGGTAAATGGTCCCCGGATTTGAAGAGGTGACGCCAAGACCGTAGTATCCTCGGCTTGCAGCACATGATTTAATATAAGTCTTGTATGATCTGATCTTGTCACCCCGCCATTACCCCCAGACTTTGACAGAGTACTCCGTACTTCGTGCAAGATGGCCCTCAATCTCGAGAAGCAATTACTTTTTGTGAGTCGTATGGCATATGATGAACCAATCAGCGCTAACCCTGGTCCAGTATGGAGCCTACCATAACAACCCGGTACAGCCGACTACCTCGACCATGCTATAGGAAGGCCACTGACAGCGCAGGTCAATGTCGCAATCCATATTACTTGCGTCCCGATTCTTCTATTCACCGGAATAGTCCTGGTATGACTTTCTCCCATCCTCCCCTAAGAATGGGAAGCTGACATCTCAGGCCTGCAACTGCCCACCTCTATTCCCGGTCCCCTCCGCGATCGAAATCGCCAACCTGCCCGCCAATGCCGGTACAATCGGCGCAATCATATATGCCACCTTTTACATACTCCTGGAGCCGATGGCCGGTGGCCTGCTCGCGCCCGCCCTGATCGCGGCCGCTTACTACGGAAACTACTTCTTGCACACCCACGGCCACATTGTCAACTACTGGGCCGGTGGTATCCACGTTGTCTCCTGGCTCGCGCAGTTCGTCGGACACGGCGCATTTGAGAAGCGTGCCCCGGCCCTCCTGGATAACCTGGTTCAAGCACTCTTACTGGCTCCGCTATTTGTGTGGATGGAAGTGCTGTTCTTCTTTGGATATCGACCGGAGCTGAAGGAGCGATTCGACAAGGGCGTGGAGGTGGAGATTGCGAAGTTCCGAAAGCAGCAGAAGGAGGGGGAGAAGGGTAAGGGCCAGGGCAAGGAGTAGGAGCTGGCGCATGGAGTAAGGGGAACGATGGCCAGATCGGTGATTGTTTCCTGGCGGTATCTTGGACATTCATTGAAATCCTGCAGCTTGAGATCTTCCAAGGTTGGATCCTTGATTTCGCTGTCTTCTTTCTCTTTCTTTTCTCTTTTCTGTTTTATTAGCAGAGCGATTGCTTTTGGCGAGGTCTATTCCATTTGCTTTTCTGATCAGGGCTGTTCATTGATATGTATGTAACTGGTAAGTGTGTAATTGACGTATACCATGGGTATATTTGAGCTCAATATACGGAGTACTCCGTACAGAGAACAAGCTTGGAAGTGTAGGGGATATCAAAAGGGAAGTATATGGTTGCCGTGACGAAGGTCATGACATAAGCGATTCAGGTGACCAGGAATTCCGCCGATCCGAGAAGAGAAAAAAACGGGACGAGGGTTGGCCCGTGGACTCCCTGTTCCGGTCGGCTATGAACACAGTATGGGACACCAGAAAGGTGTATTTTAGGGGGTTTTGAAGCAATGGAAAAATAATGTCATTTGAAAGCTATTAAAATAAAAATATAACTAAACAATAAAGAGTGGCAAGTAAAACAGAGAGGAGAGGTGGCCTCAGGCTAGGGCCACCTCGGAGGACCCAGTGTCCGAAACGGCTTAGCGCAAGTCCTGAGAATCCAATCCTCCCCCCGACGACAAAGCTCTCCCGTCCACAATCCTCTCTCCTCTCCCGTTCCCTCTCCCCAATTACATCTCTCCCTCAGAGAATTCATCCTCCCATCCTCTGAACCACCTTTCACAATGTTCAGAAACGCTCTGCGGTCTTCAAGCCGCTCCGTTGCGGCCGTCTCGGCCACTGGCCGCATCGCCTCGGTGAGTCCATCCCATCCCAGCCGACTTCGTCCATCGCCATTCCGACATCGTTCATCTCAAACTTGAGCTCGATCGGTGCTCAGATACCATCCTACCCCGACTTCGACCTTGAATACATCCCTGGGACACGTTGTCCTTCTATGTGCTGGTCATTGACAAGTTTTTCGCTCCCAGGTCCGCGCGGCTGCTGCCGGTCCTCTCAACGGCGTTCGCTCCTACGCCTCCGAGGCCAAGGCCCAGCCCACTGAGGTCTCTTCCATCCTTGAGCAGCGCATCCGTGGTGTCTCTGAGGAGGCTGGTCTCGCTGAGACCGGTCGTGTTCTCTCCGTCGGGTATGTCAACTTCACCCTGGGCGGCTAGGGGCGCGATGAAAAAATTCGGTCCCCGTCGACAATCCCATCGAATCCGCCTCCAGCTATCAAAATCCGGCACTTTTCCGAACGAGAAACTGATTGAGCTTTGAATAGTGATGGTATCGCCCGTGTTCACGGTATGACCAACGTCCAGGCTGAGGAGCTTGTCGAGTATGTGAACCCCCAAAGTCTTGGCATTCCCAACACCGGAAAACTAACCCACCCCCAGGTTCGCCTCCGGCGTTAAGGGTATGTGCATGAACCTCGAGGCCGGCCAGGTCGGTGTTGTGCTGTTCGGTTCCGACCGTCTCGTCCGTGAGGGTGAGACCGTCAAGCGTACCGGCGAGATTGTAAGCCTCATCCCCCAACCCCCCCTGGGGTCCCCAACTTTGATATTGGATCTGGACTCCACCAACTCCTCTCGAAACGCATCGCTGACCCTTTCATCTAGGTCGATGTCCCCGTCGGCCCTGAGCTGCTCGGCCGTGTTGTCGACGGTCTCGGTAACCCCATTGACGGAAAGGGTCCCCTTAACACCAAGGAGAACCGCCGTGCCCAGCTTAAGGCCCCCGGTATTCTGCCCCGTCAGTCCGTCAACCAGCCGGTGCAGACTGGTATGAAGTGTGTCGACTCCATGGTTCCCATCGGCCGTGGTCAGCGTGAGTTGATCATTGGTGACCGTCAGACCGGTAAGACCGCTGTCGCTCTCGACACCATGCTCAACCAGAAGCGTTGGAACAACGCCAACGCCTCCGAGGAGCAGAAGCTGTACTGTATCTACGTTGCCGTCGGTCAGAAGCGTTCCACCGTCGCTCAGCTCGTCAAGACCCTTGAGGAGCAGGATGCCATGAAGTACTCCGTTGTCGTCGCTGCCACCGCCTCCGAGGCCGCCCCCTGCAGTACATCGCTCCCTTCACTGGTACCGCCATGGGTGAGTGGTTCCGTGACAACGGCCGCCACGCCGTCATCATCTACGACGATCTGTCCAAGCAGGCCGTTGCCTACCGTCAGATGTCCCTCCTCCTCCGTCGTCCCCCTGGACGTGAGGCTTACCCCGGTGATGTCTTCTACCTGCACTCTCGTCTCCTCGAGCGTTCCGCCAAGATGAACAAGACCCACGGTGGTGGTTCCCTCACTGCCCTCCCCGTCATTGAGACCCAGGGTGGTGATGTGTCCGCTTACATTCCCACCAACGTCATTTCCATCACTGACGGTCAGATCTTCTTGGAGTCTGAGCTGTTCTACAAGGGTATCCGTCCCGCCATTAACGTCGGTCTCTCCGTCTCCCGTGTCGGTTCCGCCGCCCAGGTCAAGGCCATGAAGCAGGTCGCTGGTTCCCTGAAGCTCTTCCTTGCTCAGTACCGTGAGGTCGCTGCCTTCGCCCAGTTCGGTTCCGATCTTGATGCCTCCACCAAGCAGACCCTTGCCCGTGGTGAGCGTCTGACCGAGCTCCTCAAGCAGAAGCAGTACTCCCCCATGGCCGTTTCCGACATGGTTCCCCTGATTTTCGCCGGTGTTAACGGTCTCCTCGACACCATCCCCGTCGACAAGATCCTCACCTGGGAGTCTGAGCTCCTCGCTCACCTCAAGAGCTCCCACCCCGAGATCCAGTCCACCATCGAGAAGGATGGCCAGGTCACCAAGGAGTCCGAGGCCAACCTCAAGAAGGTCATCACCGCCTTCAACTCCACCTTCAACGCATAAGTGAAGAAATTACTCGGATGATCCCCCGTGGTCGGCTTTGTTTTCTTGACTATATGTGTATAGACAAGATAGCCTGTACAATTTTGAGCCCATTGTTTTTCTGTTCTATCAAGGAGCCGGTGCTTAGATGGAAGTCCTAGCAGTCTGCCTGGATGTAGCGATGTAATTGTCTGCATGATCCTGGGGCGGACCGTGGATGCCCATCCCGTAGCACTGCCTTACGTTAGAACTAAAAGACATTGCGCTGCCAAAATGTGATTATATCCTGTACGTTTAGATTTTATCCGCGCAGGGGCGCGAGATGGGAGGATACCGCTCTAATTCCGTCTGGTCTCCTATGCTCTCCATGTTGGACCGCAATTCATTTTCCTTTGTTTAATATTTTGGTTGTAGTTCATTGACGTAGTCTGTGTAGGCCTGTATCTGTAGTCTTTTGGTCGTGTCTACTATACAGAGTACTCGGTACATTGCAGCAAGTTTGAAAGGTACATAGATCGTGAGAATCGAGACAAGTTTTCCCCAGTTAATCCTCCAACGGTCAATCTGCTTTCCTTTCCTATCAATTTCTCTTACATACTTTCCCCTTGTTCGTATTCGCTCTCTTGAAGCACATCGATATTGATGGCTGAGGGTCGCACCCGTAACCCCGACCAGAAAACAAAAATAAAACAGGTTATATTCATCAATTGAACTAATCATATCTCATTCTACCCCTGCGTATACTCCTTACACTGAACTCCATGCTGTACCCCTGCAGGACGACATCGGCAGATGAGGCCGAAAGCGGCATCCGAATCTGTTATCGATAAGCGAAACAATCTTTTTCCCGCCAAAATCGGCACCCAGTCCCCCGCGCAAATAACCTCAATTCCATACTATTTACTGAATAGCATTGCCGTCATGTCTGCCCCTACCGACAAGCCCCCTTCCTCCTGCAAGGTGATGTTGAGCAAGAACGTTGCCAACCGCCTCCTCGCCGAAGTCCACGAAGGCCTCAAGACCCTCGAGAAGCCGCCTCACCTCGTCGGTTTGCTGGCCAACAATGACCCAGCCGCCCTGACCTATGCGCAGATGACACAGAAGACCTGCGAGGAGAAGTGAGTCTACACTGAATTCCCATTGTCCCTTATTCCAATGGCACCAAAGGCTTTGTTGGTGGGATGTATAGTGGGGTTACTATGATTCATACATGCCCCTCGGCCGCGTCCAAAAAACACACCAGAACCCAAAGCCATTCGTGACATGGAGTTCAATCGCATAATACTAACAGCATAATGTAGTGGATTCAAGTACTCCATGCGCGAAGTCTCCCGCGACGATATCGAAGAAGCCATCATCGCCGCAAACAACGACAACAACGTCGACGGAATCATCGTCTACTACCCGATCTTCAACAACCGTCAGGACCAATACCTGCAACAGATCGTTGACGCGACCAAGGACGTCGAGGGTCTGAGCCACCAATACATCTTCAACATGTATCAGAACATTCGGTTCCTGGACGGCGAGGCCAAGCGCCAGAAGTCGATCTTGCCTTGCACCCCGCTGGCCAACATCAAGATCCTCGAGTACCTCAACATCTACAACACCATTCTGCCTTACGGAAACCGTCTTTTCGGTCACACTATCTGCGTGGTGAACCGTTCTGAGGTCGTTGGACGGCCGTTAGCTGCCCTGCTGGCTAATGATGGTGCTTGCGTTTACAGTGTTGATGTCACTGGTGTGCAGAAGTTCACTCGTGGAGAGGGATTGCAGAAGAAGAGACATGAGATCGTTGACCTTGAGGGAAAGACTATCAAGGATGTTGTCCCTCTTTGTGATGTTGTTATCACCGGTGTGCCCGGTGAGAACTACAAGTTTGATACTAGCCTGCTGCGGGACGGTGCTGTCTGTGTCAACTTCTCCAGCGAGAAGGTATGTACCTCTTCTTCCGGGGTTTGAGACATGCTTGCTGACCTTTTTGCAGAACTTCCCCTACGAGGTCCGAGACAAGGCCTCTCTCTTCGTTCCTTCCATTGGAAAGGTCACTATTGTTGTCCTGCTGCGCAACTTGCTGGTTCGTGCTGCCACCTACTATACACTTTTGTACTCTTTGTCTAACATTTTACCCACAGAGACTCATCCAGAACAAGCGCATGGACGATGTCAAGCCTGCTGAGGCCACAGAACGCCCTGGCACCCTCGAGGCCTCCTCATAGGCTCTCACCCCCTATAGACTTGATCGATCTTCATGGCTATGTATAGTAAGCTGGCCATGCCGTAAAAAATTCCTATAGATACTCTGTTTGTTATTAGCCATTACGATATACTCTGAAACTTCACGTTCACATGTGTTCTTGTGCTTCTGTCTCTTTATAATATACCATGTTCTACATCAAGTTCGTTTGAGTTTGGTTGTTGGGATATCTTGATTTATTGTATCTTGAAGGCTATTCAACCACGACTATGTATAGCTGATCCATGGATGTCCAAACATCGCAGCCTGGGAGCTGAAATACCGAGAGAACCTTTTAAAAATTTGGAACTAGAACTATGCTATCTGCCGGGCCAGCTTACAAAAATATCCATAATGTCTTGGGCACATGATGTATGCTCTTGGATGAGAGATGGAACCTCCAAATCAGCCAGACTTCTTTTCAGTCTGCTTGGCCGCCAACCTCAAAACATCAATTTCACTAGCAACCCAGCTGCGGAAAGGCTCAGGGTGGAATATGCCTTCTGCAGAGAACCAAGTGGTGAACGGCGCTTCGTAGCGCTTATCCTGTAGAACTTTCCCAGCGGCAGATTTATAGACGACGTGCAACTTGTAAATGCTGGAGAATTTTTGAGCGGACGAAGAAACAGATATCTGCAATTGGAGTAATTAGCACGTTGCCAAAATAGTCAGAGAGTTTCCAAAGGCGCAAAGCCCAATCGACATACCGTCTCGCCTGTCTTTCTCTTGCCAGAGTATACCTCGCCAGCCTCGACGGCCCAGATCCAGTATGTAAGGAATGTGTTCAGAATAAAGTATGTCGCTACAGCAGCGATGATCCAAGGGGATGTTGTTGCTTCCCAGCCAAGGGTACGGTCTGCATAGAATGTGAAGCCTGCGATTGCGACGGCGCTGTAACCAACCACGAAGCGGATGTTTGATTTCGAGTGATCGGGAGTGAAAGCGTAGGGTGCAGGCAGATTGGTCAGATAAGGAAGAAGCGCATCGTCACTGGTGGACTTGAGATCTAATCACGGTTCAGGTTAGACGTGTTGTATAGAGTTGGAAGATCAGATCGGGATCAGATGACGGACCATTGGTCGAATAGACCGGTACCTTGTTGGAAGCCATGAGAGCAGTAGTCAAGTATATTGGTGAATATCGTCGTAAGCAGCAAAGAGTTGTGTCGTGGCTCGAGGACTTGTGTACTTTGTTTATCGGGCAAAGATGCGGCGTGGCCCTTTGGAGAAAGCTGGAGCTAGCGCGGGCCAATGACAGCCCTCTCCGCCTCAACCTCTCCTTCGCCCCTTCAACTTTCCATCCCCCACCTGCAGACACCACTATTGTTATAAGCCCACGGTTGATCTCGTCTTCAATCATGGCTATTCAAGGGGCTGAGCAGACCATCCTGAGGGATCCGGCGCTATTGTGAGAGTGTCCGATCAGTTCATTCAAAGCTGAACTAACCGCCTCTAGCTACTGGATTCTCTTTCCAATCTCAATTGTTATGGTACGTTGACGCTTGAATATGAAACTCACGCTCTTTTTCAATTTCGAGAGAACTAATTTGATTTCTCCAGATCCTGACCGGAATCCTTCGCCACTATGCGACGGTTCTGATGAACACGACCCCGAAGTCGCCAGCCACACTCGCCGAATCTCGTGAGCGCCTTGCTCTTCTCCGCGGCGTGAACCTCCGCAACAATGCATGCTCCGTGCTCGACCGCGAGTCCTTCGAGACCCGCAAGAACTACATGGTTACGGGTTTCCGGAACGGCGCATTTCTGAAGGACCCCAACAACCGTGGTCAGCCGCCCGCAAACCCTATGACTGACCCTGCAGGCATGGAGGCTATGATGGGTATGCTGAAGGGAAATATGATGATGATGATCCCGCAAACCTTGATCATGAGCTGGATCAATGCCTTCTTCTCTGGATTCGTGATTTGTATGTGAAATATCCGCTCTGCATGAGTGAGTGACGCGCTGACTGATTGTGCAGTGAAATTGCCCTTCCCTCTCACCATCCGCTTCAAGTCCATGCTGCAGTCCGGAGTCATGACCCGTGATCTTGATGTGCAATGGGTTTCCAGTCTTTCCTGGTACTTCCTCAATTTGATGGGTCTGCAGTCCGTTTTCGGATTCATTCTCGGCAGTGATAATGGTATGATTCATATGTGATTGCAAATACGAGACACATTTTCTAATACTCTTTAGCCGCCAACCAAATGGCCCAGCAAATGGGAATGGCTAATCCTGCTGCCATGGTCAACCCGCTGCAACCTGGCCAAGACCCTGACAAGTTGTACTTGAACGAAGCAGAGAATCTGGAAGTGATGGAGCACTTCTGCATTTTGGAAGGTGTCGAGGAACGAATCTTGCAGAACTTCGCCCCTGCTGGAGTCTAATATCTTCGGATTGCATATCATGACTAGTGTCGGTGTATATACCTGTTGGCACCGCTCTCTTTCAGCATCATAAAGAACAGAGTATGGCGTTTTGAAAGATAGAAACGATGTAATCTACGGAGAAGACCGATGATACTGATTGTAGAGTGTCCATGATTCGTAGCTGTATTTAATTATGATTCTTGACGAACCTATTCTTGACGATAGTTGATAACATCATTCAAGACCCAAACTTCTCCATTATGAACCTTCTCCGCAACCGAGTCAACTTCGATATTGCCAGGTTGGATCTAGATATTGCTTGTCAGTCATGCTAGCAGATGTACGCTTGCCCTAGTTCAAACTTACAAACATCTTATCACCCTCCTTAGTCCACTTCAGCTTCTCCCCCGCAAGTGTTTCCACCTCTTCACCAACTCTCCAAGGACTAACAGGAATAATATGGGCTTCGACAAACCGCTGTAGATTGCGCTTCGCCCGGTCCTGACCATCTGAGCCCTCGTACGCATTCACCTCGCCAAACTTCTCATAGTCTGCTGGATTCTCCCATGGTTTGCGAGGAAGAGCCTGAATTGCACTATTGCGAGGCGCCAAAACAGTAATGTTCTTAGAACCGTTGTTGAGACGATTGGCGATTGCATCAAAGTCACGGGTCAATCGCGCGAAGATGTTGATGGCCTTGGTCTTGGGCAGAACGTCTGAGATGACGGGAGTATCACTGCTTTTCGAGTTCACATCATCGTCCGGGGCTGTTCCCTGTGGTTGCACGATGCCAGACAAGATCTTGTCCATCATGGATTGATGTTCCTTATGGTCAAGAAGTGGCTTTTGGCGCGAAGGGTTGAATGATGATGGATCCCAGATTGCGATCGTAGAACTAACGAAGACAGAAGTATATAAAATAAACTTGGTTAGTTGGATCGCTCGCATGCTGTGTGTTAACAAGGTAATATTGTAGGCAATGACGCCTGACGAAGGTACAATCTGTTGCGTCATGGCAAGGCGTCCCCACGTGACGTGGGGAGATAACCGTGGAATCACCTGATGGTTATCGATAAGGGCATTCGGCCACAAGAAATTGGCCGACGTGACTCTTGCCCGCAATCTACACGCCTGGCTCTCCTGGTTGATTGATATCATGTCGGCTCTGCAGACCTTCATGCTGGTCGTGGACCACGACAAAGAAGAAGCCAAGCGCATTGCCGAGGGAATTGCACATGGTATACATTTCGCCCCGCACTCGAGACCACTGAAAGCATTACATTACTAAACGATGTACCACAGATGTCGAGACCAAGAAGACCACCTTGATTGACACGGTGCAATCGCTCGGTGAATACATCAACGATGAGGATCCGATCTTGCGCGGAAAAGCCATCTCCTACCTGACAGCCGTTATCTCTGCCCTTTCGCCGAAGTACCTCTCGAGACAACAGATCCAAGTTCTGACTACTTTCTTCTGTGATCGCATTGAGGATGGAGGTGCTGTTGCTGGATTGGAGGTCTTGCAGAGCCTGGATCGGTTCAACAAGTTCCTGGCTACACAGGTGGCACAAGCGTAAGTTATCCGACAAAGCTTGGCTTGATACGAAGTATACTCATTCTGATACAGGCTTTTTTCCAACTTCCAAGATCTTCAGTCTCGCTCTCAAACACAGCGATTCCATGTCTATCAATTGCTCAATGATCTGATGTCAACGCACCGCGTAGCCATGCGTGACATGGGAGACATTTCACTACTTGGCGTGGTTGATATCATGACTGGAGAGAAAGACCCAAGAAATTTGATGATTGTGTTCTCTATTCTGAAAGTTGTCATGGTCGAATGGGATATTTCGAACCATACCGAGGTAAGCACTCGATTCGTCTCGTTAAATGCATGTGCTAATTTACCGTGGACAGACACTTTTTGATTCGGTCTATAATTACTTCCCAATCACATTCCGACCCCCACCGAACGATCCCTACGGAATCACCGCACAGGATCTGAAGGGTCGTCTTCAAGAATGTATTGCTTCGACGAGGCGCTTTGCTCCCCATGCCATCCCCGCTTTGCTAGACAAGCTTGATTCTACGTCCCCCAATGTCAAGGTAAGATTATCTACTCGCAGTCCCTGAAATTCATCTAACAGATTCTTACAGAAAGATGCTCTCAACGCATTAATCGCTTGCATTCAATCATATGATCCCAACACGGTATCCAAATTTTCCATTACCGTCTGGGAAGTGCTCAAGTTCGAGATTCTAAACGCTCAAGAAGAGTTCCTCTCTGAGACTTCCCTTGAAGCATTGCAAGAAATCACACGCCGCCTCTCCGAGGGTGTTACCGAAGTGTCGCAGGACTTACCACTCGCCAAGTATCTCCACCCCATCACCAAAGAGTGCAATGAGCAACTACACGAACCCCAAAGTAAGCAGGCCAAGCCTGCACAGTCGATCCTCAGCTGCGTCTCTTCCGCTTCTCCGGTATCCTTCTCGCTGGTTGTTCAGACTATTGTCGCTCCTATTTTCACGCTATACCAAGAAGCCGATGGTATCATCAAACAAAAGGCCCTCCTGGAGACTCTTAATGTGTTGTTCGAATCCGCAACAACCATTTTTGGTCAGTGGACCACCATCGGCGGGGAGCTCGCCATTGGTAATCCATTGCTTGAATTCAAAGACCAGTTGTCGGAGATCCTCGGTCAAGTCTTGATGGGTGCGGCCAAGGAGGAGGTATCTTTCCGAGTCACTGCTTTGAAGGGATTTTTGCGCCTGTCAACACTGCGTGATTTCTTCCAAGACAACGAGATTGGGCTTTTCGTACAATACTTGGATGAGATCCTTCTCAAGGAAGAATCTGTTGGCCGCGACGACTTGAAAAAGGAGGCAATTACTGCCCTTGCTGAAATCTCCAAGCATAAGCCAAGGTTGATTATAGATATTACTTTCCCAGCCTTTGTGGCAACTCTGCCAGAGGAGGACGAAGGCTCCGACGCTATTTATCTGCCGACGCTCGAGACACTTGCGCAAATAAGTGTGGAGAGAGATATTTTCGAAACTCTGTTCCGTCGCCTGTTCAGCAAGTTCTCTATTCTGCTACAGAAGGAGCAGCCTGGCTCCGTAGCCTACCCTCGGGCTATCCTAGTTACTCTGTTGTACGTTATGCAACAGAGAGACATGAAACAAGACCAAAGCATTGATTTGTACTACGATAAAGTCGTGGTTGGTCTTTGTCGCGATGTCGCAGCGTCGGCTTCTGGTGCGGCAAAGAACCGAATTCTCAATGACCCAACCGTGCTTGATACCTTGGGCCGACTTTGCAACCTTCTTGTGCGGTCTATCTCGACCGACAAGCAGGAGCAAGTTGCCGAAAATATCTATACCCTCTTCGCCACCAGCGACGAGTTTGTGCCCATCCCATTCGCTCAACATGCAACCGCAGACCAAGAACGCACAGTCATCATTTCCACATACTTGGTTGCAGGACTACCGAAAGAGTCTGGAAGTCGACTTCCGTATACTGAACCCAACATGTCTGCTCTGCTTTTGGATCTGGTGAACCGTTCCGTCTCGAGCAACGAGCCAGCAATCCACCAAGCATACTTGCGCCACTTGGCTCTGCTTGTAAACAAATTCCTGTCCAAGCAGGATCTGACAATCGCGGAGCAGCTCTTCGACTCTCTCCTCCAGGCCCAAGGCACAGAGCCAAACACTTTCAACCACGCGACCATTCGCACCGTCTTCTGGTTAGCAAAGGCGCTAGTGCTTCGTCTTGCACCGACCACCACCCACGTCTTGACTTCCCTCCTCGCCCTCATCTCCTCCCCAGACCAGCAAACCAGCGTAACAGCAGCGCAAGCCTTTGCCATCATCCTCGGCGAGGACGACATCCTCTCCGCAACGAACGGTGCCACCATCCGACTTCTCTGCAGACAACGCCTCTTCACAACCCTCATCCCCCTGATCTCTTCCCGCATCCGCGAAGTCAACATCGCAGTAACCGACGACCCCAACGCCACCAAAGCCCCAAACCACATCAAGCCAGCCCACCTCACAGCCCTCTCCGGGATCCTCTCCACCATCCCCACCTCGCTGGTCATGCCCGAACTCCCCACATTGCTCCCCCTCCTCCTGCAATCCCTCGATCTCCAGACCGCCGGCTCCACCGCCGTGCGCACAGCCACACTCGAGACCCTCGCCGTTATCATCCGTGACAACGGCGTCGTCGTCATCGATCAGTGCGGTCACATCCAGAGCCTCGTAACCAGACTTTTGAAAACAACTGTCACAAACAATGGCCCTGGTGCTGTGAACAGCCCTCGTCTTCGCGCCGATGCGTTGAAGTGTCTCAACCTTCTGGCTGCACACCAGTCTCCCCCCGGTACCGCTTCTAATGCTCGTGTCCCGCCGGCTATCTCGCCGCTGCTGCCTGTCAAGAACCAGGTGCTGAGATCTCTGCGTGCGGTCCTCGATGACCCTAAGCGTGATGTTCGCAAGGCAGCGGTTGACGCTAGAGGTGCTTGGCTACGTGGTGTAGACGATGCACCGGAAGAAGATGACTGATTGTGTCTTGTATCTTCGAGTCCCTTGATACATAAATTTAGAATAGAGCATCCTCGTCAGTCCATGCAAGCTCACATTCATCTTATGACTAAATAAATCAACTTTCCAAACGTACTGGGTTTCTTGATGTCAGTGCTGGATTTAAGCTGGACAAGGTTAGTGCGAGGAAAAGAAAGGCTGTAGGGCTACACCTGGGCAGGGTATAGAGACAGGCGGAAATATCAAAATGACTAGGTCCTTATAGATCTCTCTGATCTGGAGTTAGATCGCTATACATATCCAAATAGTACCATGCCCAGTAACTGTCACCGCAATAGCTCAGTGGGTTTGCCCCTGTAGCAATGGTCGTCTTCCGGGGTTGAGTCCCATATGACGACTCCCTACCTGCTAGGTCGAGTGATGTGTCCTCACGAAGATGTCTTGGATTGAACTCCCAGAGCAGCAAAAGGCAGTTACTCTCTTCTCCCCCCCTACTTTTCACGTATGAAAGAGGTTTTTCGAAGATCATCATCTGTAATGCATCAATGTCAACAGCTCTAACCCTGAGACGTTTTTTTCAAAAAAAATCGCTATCCTGCACAGAAATTCCATTCAATAATTTCCAAGGTTGCCCAAAGGACTGCTGAAAAGAACTACCTGTAGACCATTCCAAACCTCAGAAGACGCTCGTGCGATATTCAACAAAAATTGTTTGTTTTCTTCAGCCCCATGGAGCTCTCAAAATAACCTTGGAATTGGCAGCAGAAAGTTTCAGTGTGTCTGTAATCAGCGAAGGGGTTCAAGCAATATTATTTCAATTTATCTGGTCTGGACTGTGTCTCTAATATCTTGGTCCTTCTAGAATATAAAGAGACTAGGGTACAAGATAACACGAATAGACAAGAAATATCACGAAGACCATCTCAGCTAAAGATAAAGGATTCACCGTCGCAAACTTCAATCCATGTTCCCCTTCCCATTTCCATTTCCATTGCCTCTGTCATTGCCTCTCACCACTTGTGCTTCTTCCGCATGATTTCAGCCGAAGGAATCCATTTGGCAACAGCCGCATTCTTCAAATCCCGACTCGGAAGAACAGAGCCAGTCTTGGATTCACCCAGAGCACTGGTGTTGCGCTTGAGATAAGCTGTAGGTCCTTTGTTGTAGTACCCAATGGCGTCGATGTTCTGCACAAGGATCCTCGCCAGGCGGAACATTGCAGGAATGCCTGACTGGCCAATGCGAGCTCCGAGAGGTGAAAGTTTGATCTCTGGATAGAGCACCTGGGCCTCCGAGCCGAGAAGATCTATCACGTTCCAAGACTCAGTGGGAGTACCGGGCTTGACGTTGGGCTTTGGCTCATAAGTCTTCTGCAGAACCGTTTCTATCACGGGGTTCATGACTGAAGCTTGCCACCAGTACTTGCCCAGTTTGACCATCTCTTCATGTGGGTCGGCCCTAGCTACGAGAACATTGGGGTCGAGAACCGAAGGTGTAATGGTGAGAACTTGGGTTTCGGTGACTTTGAGATAAACGTTCTTGCTCCGGTCGGAGATCCATCTGTGGTTTGTTCGCCTTTCGACGACAATTCCTTGAAGGGTCATTACCTCTTTGTCTGGGATGCGGAGAAGCATTTGGATCCGTTCGGAACCTGGGTCAAGCCACAGGCTGTTGGCTAGCTTTTCGACGGCTTCTTGCAGACCTTCTACCTGGTCTGGGAAAAAGTGGGTGTAGCCTTGAATGGCGGCGGATGCATCCCAAACGCGATCTGGGAAGCTAATCGACACTGAGCCCAGCTCAACCCGACCATAACGAGTTGTCGTAGTACCTCTGTGGTCAATGGAGATAATGAATGCTTGGCCCGAGCTGGTGCGGCATTGAAGGATGTATCGTATTCCTCTCTGATCGGCAAACTGCTCGAAAACCGGCTTACCGTCAATTTCGAGGGCGATAAGGTGATCGATATCTGAAGGTGTAGAAGTGAGTCGATTGACAAAGAGGGTTCGCGGCGGCTCCAGATCATGACGCGAAAAGAAGAGCCCTTGGATATCCTTGAAGGTCAATTCCTTTTCCTGCATCGAAGCTGTCAGGTTGCGCACAGAGAGTAAGCCAAGCTGAATCTCCAATGTCAGAACCCCAGGAAATGAGCGGACTTTGTCCAAGATTGGCCACAGAGAAGATACCAGGTTCCTCGTCGACTGCGCCAGCGCTGCTCTTTCAGCGGGCAATGTTGCATTTGATCCCGAGGGCAAGGCGGCATCCTGCTCTTGTTGAGCTTTCAAGTGTGCATCGAGCTTAGCCAGTGGAGCTAAATAAGTCCCAGAAGTATCAATTTTGGTTCCAGAGGGCCTCAGTCTCTCAACCGGCTTGTTCTCTTGACCAGCAGCATCCAGCCCTTGATTTGCTGGGCGCTGATGGAACATCGTCTCGTGGAACTCCCGAGTTTGGGTCTCCTCTGTGGAATCCACCTTCTCAGTGACTTCTGCCCTAGAAGCCTCATCTGACTGATGCATCCCACTGAGAGGACTAGACACCAGACCCACAGGAGAGAGATCGATAAGGTCAGGATGGAGAAAAAGATCATTCCTTGGCTTCTGGGGTGTCACTGGCTCGTCTGGAAAGAACTGGACTGGAGCTCTGGGAACATGTTCTTTCTCAATGGTTTCTTGAAGAAACTTCATCATGAGACCCCGGTTCTGATCTTTGTTGCGAGAGGAATCAATTTTATCCAAGGATTGAGAGATCTCATATCCCTGGTGGGCACTTGATTCACGATTACCAGCAAGGCCAGGATCGTCAGTGAAGCCAGAACGGCTACCCTGATCGATGCTTGGCTGAGGTTGAATATCGACCAAGTCTGGCTGCCAATGAAATAAGGTCGCTGGTTCCGACTCGATAACTGAGCGAGAACGGGCAATTCTTCTACGGTAAGTGCCACTAACACCACCAGAAGAGATATCGGCAAACCCATCAAAAGGATCTCTTCCATGCGATGCAGCCGAACGATGCCAGTAGTTTGGACGCGATTCAGTGCGGTTCATCCAGTATTCTCTCTCCGCAGAGTTCTGGTCCTGGAAATCGCTCTTGATTTCTGCTGGCAAATCTTGACTCAGGGATTCAAGGTAGGCTGCAGTGTATTGCCTATTCTCGGATGGGGGGTCCTCGCCTTGAACGCTAGTTCCAGCCCGGAGGTTTTCACTTTGGATACTAGCCTCAGGCTGGGTTTTCTCATCTTGGACTTCATTTGGAGGGGAATCGATTTCGATTAGCATGCCAACAGGGGGAGTACTGTCGCTGTCATCTTGGCGTCCCCAGAAAGGGCTTCAATTGAGGGTGAATTTGCAGCAGATGGAGTCGGGCTGGGAAACAACGCTCTGATGTTGGCTTTAATCTTGTCGGTTTCTGAGGCAAGGGGCTTCACATCGCGCTTCACATTGGGCTTCGCATCGGAGGGAACAGGTTTCACATCGTACTCAGTGACTATGTCGATGAGACTAGCTGGGAGGCCCAGAATGATTGGCTCTTTGCTAGCCCGTGACTTGCCATATGGCCCAAAGGGATTTCGCTTTTTCAACTGATTCAGGACCGGTTGTCGGTAGCGAGCGCTGACAGCTTCTCCCCCTGGAAAGATAGCAATTCTTTCTTTCTTGAGTTGACGAGCTTGCTCGGGAGTCGCCGAGAGACTAGCGGAAGATTTCCCTTTGTCGGGACGACCCTGTAGAGCATCACCCTTGGTGTCCTCGGTTTTGGCATCCTTGGCAATCCATGTATCGACATCTTTGGCTTTGGTTGCGGAGAGGAACGGATGCTTCTCCTTGTCCTTTCCCTCCAGTTTGGGAGCCATGTGCTTGTCAATATCAGCGGGATCATAGCCATCACTTTTGCCAATTTCTGGGGATTTGATGGCTTTCCAGTCCCGACTGGTGACCGCTCCCAGTTTCTTATGCAATTTTGGGGGGTCACAGATATTCATCAGGGGGTCACATGTTTTGGCAATTGGGTCAAAGTAGCAGACCACCAACGCCTTGAGTGAGATGACAAGATCAGATAGACCTGGGTCAGTTAAGAAACGCCACGAAGCGGTCGAACTAATGCTCGAATATGGCATGATACGAAAGATACTGTTTTCGCGGCCCGGGGCATGGATGATCAGCTGTCGCTCGGGCTCTGCGATCGCATCCTAGAAGAATCAGCAAAGCAAAAAGCAAGTCTTAGAAATGATGAAGACATACCCAGCATACCCCAAGATACTCAAGTATCTCAGTAGCCTGACGGATGTTGTGCTTGTCTCGCGCAAGAATTCGAAATCCATTCTCATTGCCGACAGTGATTGGCGTGATTGATGTGTGGCTGGGAATGGTGACGGAGGGGAGAAGACAATTGGTTTCACGGGTGATAGGATACAATTCAGCCCTAGAAGGGAGCCAGTCCTCATAGAAAGATCCATCGGCAGTGATTTGCTCTGGTTCAACATTCTCCACCAGAGTCGGGGCCCCTTTGGGCACCGGCGGATTGGTTGGAGCGTTGACGTCGGCAGTGATCGTGGCAAGTCTATGAGGATAGGTGACTCGAGAAATCTTTTCAACACGAAGGAAAGTCAGCAAACATCACTAACATTGTGGCAGAGTGAGTGATCGTTGGAATGTTGCAACATGACGGCCATCTCGCGCATAGGGCAAGCTCAGGTCACATGTCCATATCCAAACTTTTGTCAATACCCACCTGGAAGGGATCAGGAGCTGGCTGTTTCTTGATAAACTCTGCTACCAGTCTAGCGATGTGCAACTCATCGTCGCGTGCGAAGGGACCGCTCACGATCAACGTCTGGAAAGGTTAGTGGCGCCATGTCTAATCGCCAGCGAATCAGAGACATACATGACCGTTTGTATTGTACGTGACCTCAAATGGGACACCGGCGAACGTGTCACTAGGAAGAGGTCAGTGATGAAAAACATGCTATCAGGAATGTCTCACTGAATGATCAATTTCAATTCTTGAACCTGTCAATTCGGTCAGCCGCGCTCAATGGACTATGAGGTGACGCAGCGGAACATACCCCTTCTTCTGCTAGAGCCCAAGTTGAGCCTAGTATTAGTTTCCGGTCCTCATTCATTGTCGCGAGGACAGTGATCGAGAAATGAGCTAATAATGGTGAGGAAGTTGATGCAGGCGTGACCGAATGGAGATGACTGCGGTGGTGCGAGAGAAGTAGACGTGATGGACAGCAAACAAGGTGGATTGCGAAGAAAAGGCCACGACGTCTGGGATGAAACCAAGAGAAGGAAGAGGAGAGAGCCACTGGCGCACAGCCTGGAAGGGAAGCCGCGATGGTCACAACAGAGTCCCGATCATGAGACCTTGCGAAAGGCTCGGCGCCGAGTCTTTAGCATAGAATGCCGAGTTGGGAATATCAGTACCCTGTGTTCAGACTCGGGGTGAACGATGGCAGCAAGCAATCAATTGGAAGCATTGCTGGGACATGCGCTGTATCGCAGATCGAAGCGGCGCAAAGTTGCGCCCATGTGTTGCTGATCTTGTTATAAACGCCCAGGTAAATGGTATGATAGCATTGAGAATGTTCAGTCTTGGTCAATAAAGCTCAAAAGACAGATTCCTTAAGATCCAACGCTCGGTTCTTATCAGACACATCGGTAGGTGGTTTTTAGGTAGTCCTAGAAACGCCTGTGTCCAATTTTTTTCCTGGAACCCCAGAGGTCCACCATGGTATTTGAACGAGCAGGGATGAGGTAGTGAGCAGTGAACCAATTACCGGCCTAGGTGTGGTCAAAAGCAGAAGAATTAGCACGGAGAGCGGAGATCGGTAGTGTGTCAGAGAAGGTAATCACATTTAAATGTATAGATATGAGAAGAATAAACATAACAAGTCTACTCTCCCGACAGCGAGAGATACAGAGACCGGGGGTTCTGTCCACACGAGCAAGAGCAAGCTTGCAGAATTCATCACTGTGCAATGGTATCTTAAATATGCAGGTCATCAAACGTCGTGTCTAGCAGGGAAGAGATGGAAGGTATAGTCCGAGGGCCAGCAGACCAGAGACCAGGAACAAGGAAATGCAAATGTCAAAAAAAAAGGACAAGAATCAATCAAGAGAATCAAGACAAGGATGTGATCATCGAAAGAGAGCCAAACTGTACTCTGCCATAACGGGTATCTGCCACAAAGGAAATGAAACGCCATGCACCGACAAGGGGGAATAGTCTATGAGCTCAAGAAACAAGGGATCGGCTGGATACGTCGACATGAGGCGGGGCGAAATAATCAGAAGAAGTTGCGGGTATTGCTTTTGGTGGTATCAGCACATGGGTGGTGTGTTGGACGCAGTGGGGAATCAGATGCAAAAAGATGAAATGAATCACAGAGAGCACTTCATTCTTTGCCTTCGCGACTGGTGTGGAGACGCATAACCCATTTCATCTCCGTCTCCGTCTCTTTGAGTTTGGCAAGAGTGTCATTGATGGCCGCGTTGTTTGATCTGGCCGCATCAATCGTGTCCCGGAATTCTTTCTCCTTCATATCCTTATATTCAGTGTGCTTGGCGAGCAATTTCTCATAAGAGTCTTTGAGCGCATCAACCTCGCGGTTCTTCTGATCCGCCAAAACCTCCAGCCTCTCTGTAGAGTGTATATGGGTTGTCTCGGCACCGGCAAGCGTCTCAACCCTCGCCCAGATTGCATTGATGCGTTTCGCAGAATCGGCTTTATCGCGTTTATTCGAGCTGGACAACACTTCATATTGTGTCTCGTAGAACTTGGCTTGTTCCTGTAGCCGAGCTTGCTCCCGATTGTGAATTTCCCGCTCCTCGAACATCGTCTGATTCGTTTGATTTGACGACTCCTCAGCATCTCGGCGCTTATTCCGCTCACCCTGGAGCTCGACCCGGAGTTCCTCCAGCTTGCGGTCTTTGCGCGCGATCGAATTGAGGTTCGTGTCATTCACTTGCTCGAGATTGCGGAGCCGCTCGTTCATATTCTGTTGTTGGATCTTGTAGGCCTCGTTCGTCCTTTGGTACTCCTCTGCGCGGGACTTTTGTACCGAGCATTCGCGCGTCAATCGTGCGATCTCCTCCTGCAGGTTGTGGATGACGCGCCCTGATTTGCCAGTCGCTGCGTGCCCGACGGCGGACCATTCTGTCGCGGGAACATCGCCATTTGTCTCGGATACGGACGGGTTCGAAGCTTGGGTGGTATAGTCACCTGGGGAATGTGAGCTGGAATGGGCGGAGTGTGGGGGAGTGGGATGGCAAGTACCATTCTGCGTGTGGGCATCGGTGACCGCTTCTTCGAGATCGTTATGCTGGTGCATGTTCAATTGCGTGTCCACATGCGGGAGATAGACTTGTGGCGCTTCTGCAGTGATCAGGGGGTCAGTGGTCGGTATAGGATTGGTATTTAATGAATCTTTGCCAGGGCTGAGACGCTGGATGACCCGTCTGAAGCCCAGCATGGCCATGGAAAATCTTCATCAAGGGCAAGAGGAAAGGAAGAACAGGACGAGACCGGGGGAGCTGGGACTCATACCGATATTTTAAGGCAAATTGAGGTCCAAGCTGTCTTATTTCGCTTAATCATCTAACCATCGCAAGGGCGTTTTCAATAAGGAGACTAGTATAGTGTCTCATATGAGATCATCAAGAGCAAAGAAGCACCAGCCAAGGCTTGTTTGCAGGAGGGTCCAAAAGACGTAAGTAGCGGTAAAGGTGAAGTTGGACTTTGTTTCCACTTCTGACGTTCGGCGCCACTCCGCGCTAAGTGTGCGCCTCCACTTGGGTGTTATTGTGAAGTATACTGTGGCTTTGTCATATTTTTATATGATTCAGATGCAGTTACATAGTTCTATGTTGGTTGCTAGCTTCTGTTTGACCTTTGTCCACAAGTTCTAAATATAATTGCTTTGATTACTACCTCAACGCCTCATGCCGCCGATACACCATGGGGTATTCTATATACACGAAGCCACCAGTTTTGCTTTGAAAGGAATGACTGAAGTATCCTTAACACCAAAACACCAAGAGACAAAAAAGGAGGGACCAAGGAACGAGCGTGGGGATGACAGGACTGAAACAGAGTGAGCGCTTAAACAATGTAGGCCAACAAGCCAGCAACACCCATAACCCATTGAACAGATGACCGAGAAACAGATGCAGCACCAGTCTGCACAGCCCCAGTCGAGTCAGGCTCCTTTCCATTGACAACCTCAGTTCCGGTGGGCGCGCTTTCAGTTGTGGTAGTGGCAGTGGCAGCTGCGGAGCTGGAGGGAGTGGCAGAGCCGCTGGCAGATGAGCTGATGAGAGGCTTGCTGCTGGTAGCCATGGTGGTATCGGTTGTCTGGGTGGCAGTGGTGCTACCAGTTGTGGCACCAGTGGTGGTGTCCTTCTCTTCCTCGGGAAGGGGCTTGTCCGAGGACTTCAACAGGGCAGTGTAGTTCATCTCTTCTCCCTGCTTGACCTGGAAAGCGTAGGTGTCTCCAGGCTTCACATCCTGATCGGGGGTCCAGGTGAAGGTGCCGTCCTTGCCCTGATCGGTAATGGCCTTGACATCCTTGAGCTGGGTGGAGCTTCCCTTACGAAGGAGGATAGTCACCGGCTATGCTCGAATTAGTTCCGCTGCATCTCCAGTAAAACATCAACTCATACCTGGCTAGGGTCGCCACCAGACCATGTGAGAGTAATAGGCTTGCCGGGCTGGAGAGGCTCCTTGGGCCAAGAGTTGAAGGACAGAGGGTCGGCGGCGAGACCCAGAGTCAGAAGAGAAGCCGTGGCGGCGATGAGTGCTGGAGAAAAGTACATTTCGGTTAATGAAGGTCGATCCGGGGTTGGATTTTAAAGAAAGTATGAAATGAGTGGAAATGTATTGGCGTATTGGTCCGCGGATGGGCTGGTTGGTGACGGTTGAAGCGGATACTATTGTTTAAAAGCCGGGCACTTCGCGATTCTTATCTGGGAGCAGGAATCCTCTGAATCTCCCCAACCTCCACAGAGACAAGCTTGGAGATCGCGTGTTGGAATTCGAGTACTGAGACCAAAGGGTGGACTGGGAGAATGTTGCATTCCTATAGTCCGCTCGCCGTGGGCCATCATGATTTTACCCAACAAAGCATGTCACTCACCACAGTACAGTATGTTTGGCGGAGAATGCTTCCAGAGACATTCAGGCATTCTCAGTAGAGGAGGAATTGGACAGCCATCGGTACATTATCCACAGTCGTGGAAGGGAATCATAAGCAGCATCGCCTAACGATTTGATGTTGATGACTTGGTGGCTGCAGCATGGCTTTCCTTTCTCCTGGACAGCGGCACAAAACCACGAGAAAGAATTTCACTGTGGCATCAGATTGAGAGGATGAAGCTGCAGACCCAATAACAATGCTTGCCGGGGACGTGGTGGAATGCCATCCCTTCCCGAGTTGTTTTGGTGGAGAATCGATTTGTAGGGCTATGGCTGACAGTCAGATCAAAATTTCAAGAGCTTAAAGCATTTCTCGGGCCTTGATTGACACTGAACCCCATACCAAGGGGTGTACTGGAGTAGTGTTGGAGTTGGTTGGACGCTAGATGTCAGTTGAGGTTGCAGGATCGCCATTCAGCGCAGCGAATACTGATCCCAACCTCTCATCCAAATGAGATGGATTGGCTTGAAAACTTGAGCTCATAGTTATGGAAAGATGAAGTCTGTAGGGAATAACTGCTTACGCCAACGCAATTGAGCATGGCGAGAGAAAGATTTCAATCGTGGCTGGGTGATGAGCAAAGGTATATTTATTGAATACGGCCGACTTCCAAGGTTTCATGACTCGACTGTTCGCCACAACCGGCGGGCCCCAGAGCTCTGAAGTTTATTGAGCAGTCTTTCAACCCTATCAATAATGACCACCTCCAGGGCTGCCTTGGATAAGCCATGTAGACGGGGTTTGAGTTGACATTGATTGCCCCGTGTCTCGAGCCTCAGTGCCGGCATCTCTCTTGGCCCTTGAGATCTACCGCAAGGGGTTTGTTTACTGAAAATCATTGCTTCACAGGGTAGTGAATGTACTTATACCCCGCAACTCCTAGCCCTTGGAAATACTGTTGATGTGAAGTAAAGTTGAATTGGTATACGCTGAATTTTAAACCCTTAGAACTCCCACAACCCACGCATGAAACACCCTGCCCCGGAATCCACTCCACCATCTTCCTCTAATAGGCGATCAGTGAAGATACGCTTGGGAATCTGGTATTCGACCACGGGAAGCTTCTTCAGATTCCTCTCCTCCACACCAAGCTCGGCCTGCACCATACCCTGGTAGGTGTGGTCCAGGAAGTCTTCCAAACTGTATGACTGTTTTGTGAACTGCTCAGAGATGATGCGGGCAATGGCAGCCACGTTGGGGTGGAAGTGGGATTGGAGAGTCTCAATCTCCCACAAACTGCTCTCAATGGCGTCCGTCAGGTTAGGATCTGACTCATTGGGGTCGAATGGATCGTCCATGCCTTCTCTTTCCACCTCGGCAAGTTCTTCCTTGTCGCGAATGGATCTGTGGAGCATGAATGAAGTGGTAGGGTGGCTTTTGAAAAAGTTGTACATGAACGGCACGATAACAACGATAGCGGAGGGAGGGGCGTTGAGTGCCAAGCGAGAGAGACGCTTGATGAAACTGGCAACCAAGGTGGCGGGAAGATGGGTGGAGGACAGGAAAGTGTTCAAGAGGCGGAAGAATCGTGAGCGATGCTTCGAGTGCAGGAGGTCGGCATCCAGCAGGGAGTAGAGTTTTGTGTAAAATTGGGGGTAGTCCAGGTTCTTCTCTTGGATCAGATAGAAGAGACCGGACAGAGCCAGGAGGGAGGTGGCTCCTCCGACGTTGTAGGAATCGGTCAAGAAGTCCATAAGCAGTTCCGGCCGTTGGAACCATGGCTCAATGTTGTGCACCATCATGCGCAGGAGGCCCTTGCGCTGCGATTGTGAGAGGTTGTTTCGTAGGATGGCCAGCCATGCCTCTTGGGCCTGCTTCTTGTGCGAGTTGGCCGAGACCACTCGCTTGTTCTTGGTGTCTCGTTTCGCGTAGAAATTTTCGAACTTGTACTCTGGCCCAGGCACAGCGTCGCAGGTCTGGAGGATTGTGATGAGGGTTTCGAGGGTTTCCGAAGATCGTTTCGTAGAGGCATAATCACTAAACTCAAGTTAGCCGGGCAGATTCTTGCAAGTTAAGAAGATGAACATACCCAATCTGGGCGAAAGTGTAGTATCGCACGTCCTCAAACTCCTTCACGAACTTGATGAGGAACTCGGACTGCAGATCCTGGCCACTGTGGGCTTCAACCACCGCCGTGAAGATTTCCTTGAAAAATCCGGTTGACCAGACGTTGTTCTCTGCGCCGGGAATATGAGCGATCCGTTCCTTGAGAAGGCGCATGCTCAGCGTAAGAGCAGTGATCTAGGTTTCATTAGCAAAACGTATGAACAAGTAGCAGCGCGCACACGTACCTGGGAGGAGGGATCGGCCTGACGCATAATAGCCAGAAGTGCATTTTGATATTCGATGCAGCGCTCCTTAAGCCATGCTGCAACGATCTTCTCGTTCTCGGCGGCCCGGCTGGACTCGGTGAGATTTCCTCCGGCGATCAATCGACCGAACACACGGCAAAGAGAGACCGCCACAGCCAACTCGGGGGTTTCGGCGGACTTCTCGACATTGAGCATGGAAATCAGGGTCGCGATATTGTTGTAGTGCTTTCGCGACTCCGCAATTTGATTCTCTAGCTCTTGAATCTTTGCCAGTTTCTCTGCGAAATTGTCCTCGGCGACCGCGCGGCGCTTGGAAGACGGAGCGCTGGCAGACTTGCCACTCTTGCGCTTCTTAGAGCTCGAATCCTTAACGAGGGCCGGCATTTTGGTCGTTATGGTGTTTGGGATTGATCGGCAACTTTTTTTATCGATGGGAGCATGTCGGAAGGGAGATTTTCCGAGGCACGGCACTACCGCCCGAAACGGCTAGCGTCTTCACCTCCTAGCCATCCCGAACCTCAAGTCTCCTCAGTTCCGTTCACCCACCCCATTGACAAAGATTATTCCATCTGCAACAATGGCTTCGCGTCTTGCTAAGAGCGCCATTGGTACGAACTTTACGACGCCCGATAGTCTGATCGACTCGATGCCTTCATTTACTAACCTCCCCTAGGCGCATCCCGACTTCGACCGGTCCTTCCCGCCCGTGGTGTCCCTGCCGTCACTGCCAACCTGACCTCGTCTCGCTCGGCCTCCAACGTTCCCGCCGAGGAGCCCGCCAAGAAGGCTCAGTCCATCCTCAATGCTGTCCCCGGTAACTCCCTCATCACCAAGACCGCGACTCTCTCTGCCGCCGCTGGTCTGTCCATTGCCGCCATCAGCAACGAGCTGTACGTCATGAACGAGGAGACCGTCGCCGCTTTCTGTCTGCTGTCTGTCTTCACCGCTGTTGGCAAGTACGGTGGTCCCGCTTATCGCGAGTGGGCTGAGGGTCAGGTCCAGAAGCACAAGGACATCCTGAACGCTGCCCGTGCCGACCACACCAACGCTGTCCAGCAGCGTATCGACAACGTCTCTCAGATGTCCGGTGTCGTTGAGGTCACCAAGCAGCTCTTCGCTGTCTCCAAGGAGACCGCTCAGCTCGAGTCCCAGGCTTACGAGCTCCAGCAGCGCACCGCCCTCGCTGCCGAGGCCAAGCAGGTCCTCGACTCCTGGGTTCGCTACGAGAGCCAGGTCAAGCAGCGCCAGCAGCGCGAGCTTGCCGAGTCTGTCATTGCCAAGATCCAGAAGGAGCTTGAGAGCCCCAAGGTTCTCCAGCAGATCCTCCAGCAGAGCGTCGCTGATGTTGAGCGTGAGTATTCTACGTGTCACATGTCTCTCGGGAAACTTGCTAATTATCTCTAGGCATCATGGCTTCCAAGGCCCAGTAAATGGGTTCAGTAGCCTATAGCTCACTGCATTCGGCATTGTGTACAAAACTATAAGGGCTATTTGCATCTGCCGAGCTAGACCTTGCAATACCATTTTGATTATTTGACCACCGGCCATCGTCTCGTCTTGCAGGCCACACATTGGCCAGCTTCACGCAACACCTCTCAAGGTTTTGTTCCAGTGTATCATGGGCTGATGCAGAATATGTGGAATGGTGTGACAGATCACCTAGTAGACCTTCGGCGGCAGCACCTCGTAGTAGCCCTGAAACTGGCACCGATGGTACCGAGAACTCGAAATTCCAGAGGCATATTGAAGGGTATCAACGTAGCACGAAGTACGGAGTAACATACGGAGTATTCGGGTCAAATTTCCGACATGGCCACATTTGGGCGCACTATGGCCTGCAGGGACTAATGCAGCGCGCCACCTGGGCACCTGTGGAGAACGTTGGAAGGAGATAAGATCTCTCGATCTAGCCCTGTCACTCTGTCACTCCAATCCGATATCCAAATGTGCGTATAGTCCAATGTCACCAATTTAAGTGGCACACGAGCCGTTAGCCGCCGGCCAAGACACCCTGGCCCCATGGAACGGGATCAGCGGAAACCACCTGGGCAGCTGTGTCCATTTCGACCCTTCTAAACATTCTCTCCATACTCCATACATATTCATTCTTAGCCCTATCCACCTTCATTCCTTTGATCTATCAACAAGCCCTAAACCCACCAGCCAACTATGCCGTCATTGCGGAACATCCTCCACAAACGCGACGAGCTTACTGAACCTACTGAACCGCCCGCAACACCAGAGTTCAAGCTCATCCGCTCAGACACACATACCCAAGAGATAATCACAACCCAAGATTCCGACGCAGATCTCCTATCTTCACCCACACAGGAGACCCGCTCATCCCCGCGCCGCAGCTTCCAGCTCTTCAACCGCTCCTCCAGAGCAGGCTCCGCATCCTCACAGTCCCCGCCGCGCCGCGAGCGCCGTCTCTCAACCCTCCTCCACCTCGACTCCCGAAGTCGGAGTAACTCGCGTGACTCCGTCAATCTCCCTGCAGATCTCCCGCAGATAGAAGATGATCAGGGTGCCTCCAAGCAGGAGCGCGAAGCACAGTGGGAGAAGAGGGCGACGGTGCTTGTGCAGCGGAACCCGCAGTTCGGATATTCGGGGTCCTCGTTGCCGGGACAGGTTGAGGAGCCGGTAGGTCTTGGGGTGGAGCAGGCTAGATCGAGGAGCTCGAGTCGGAGCCGTGTGGTTTCAGATCCGGATACCGATGTGGGTTGCGTCTATTTATACTTCGAGGTTGTGGAACTAATGGCGTTTAGATCAATATTCAAGAAGCGATTCGATTACATGAAGCTGGAGGTGAGTTCTTTTAATATATATTGGGTGTTCTCGTTGACGTTTTATACCCGTGTAGACCTTGAGCGATCCACGCATATGTTTGGACAGCTTGCTGATCCGAATGGTGCAAATAACCCATTAAGCCAAGTCTTATTTGGTCTCGCGTTACGGTAAACACAAACCTTATTGTGTTCAAACGCACCTGCTAATGCAAGTCTTCAGACACGGATGGGGCTGTCCCCAAGACCTACCACGCGCAGTAACCTACCTATCTGCGGCAGCATCAAACTCGGCCGCGGTCGAAGCCGAGGCCCTGCGCGCCGGGGTGAAAAAGGGCGGCTCTGCCAAGGGTGAACTTGTCCTGGCTATGTTCGAGCTTGCCAATTGTTTCCGTAATGGGTGGGGACTGGCAAAAGACCCTGCTGCTGCTCGGCAGTATTACGAAACTGCAGCCAACCTGGGGGATACTGACGCCATGAATGAAGTGGGTTGGTGCTACCTCGAAGGATTTGGTGGGAAGAAAGATAAGGTATGTGTTGGCTTGCCTGAATTAATTTGGTTCCTGCTGATGCGTGGTTGGTTCAGTTCAAAGCGGCCAAGTATTATAGACTCGCAGAGGAAAATGGATGTCCTACGCTGGGCAACTCATGGTAACGCCACTCCCATTCGTTTGATATTAGGACCACGATACTAACTTAGCCGCAGGATTTGGAAGGACAAGTATAGCCCAAAGTGATGGAGTGGGCCTCCAACCCTCCAAATTTGTCTTTGGCTTTCTAACCTTCCGAGGTACTTTCAATTGACGATCGATATGTCTACGTCTCATGCCATGTTCATTGTTATTGGTATACCATGTCTCTCATTTCATGTCTCTCGTATATAATTTATCTCACGTCTCACGCGCCCCGATGCTATGCCCAAATTTATTGTGTAAATGAATGGTCTTATATTTTCACGACCCAATCTATATATCATACATTTCCTTTGCGTTCCACATTCTCAGTGCGCCCTTTCGCATCTATCCCCACAATAACACCAGTGACACTTGCACCATCACCATCAAAGATGACTGCAATCTCTTCAAGTGACCTCCCTCGGGTCTCGGGATACGTTGTCCACACAGTGACCAAGACAACGATCAACACAGCCAAAAAGACAAAATAGTATTTCCAAGAAATACTTTCAAACGCAATCGGATTGATAAGCTGATTAAAAACCAGCGCGAGATAGTTCGAGATCGTCGAGATGGCCACGCCCTTTGCGCGCAGTGAAAACGTCCAGATCTCAGCCGGGTAAGCCAGGAGCAGCGGCGTGAAGGCAATATCGTAACCAGCATAGTAGATGAAGAGGAACGGTATCACCGCCGTTCCTACCGCGCTGGCGCCAGTTGCCGTGAAACTGCCAGACAACGCAGTGATGAAAACATAGCTGATCAGCATGATCACCGTTGATGTGAGGAAGAGAGCGCGTCGGCCCGCGCGATCCACTAGACACGCGCCCACGACGCTCATAATTAGATTCCAGACTTGCAGGAAGGCATTGATCAAAGTTTGATCTGTTGTTGAAGTTATGCCGATTGTGTCAAGAATAAGGGTGAGATAGTATGAGACCACTCCGCTGTAACAAGGGATATGGGTTAGCAGGCCACGGAACGGAATAGCACGACACGGTACCAACATACCCTCCATTCCACTGAGCAAAAAAGCCCAGTGAGATACTCAAAAAGCATCGATACCTATTCCCAGGTGTTTTAACACAGTCGATCCAACGAGATTGTTGAATCTGCGACTCAAGCGCCAGACCCCTACCAATCTCCTCGATCTCAAAAGCAACAACCTTCGACCCCTCATCACCACCAGCATGAAACTTAACGAGAATCGCTCTCGCCTCACCCATACGATCCTGCTTCATCAGCCACCGCGGCGACTCCGGCACCCCCACAGTACCGGGCAACGCCAAGAGCGGCAGGGCGATCTGCATGAGCACGGGGATCCGCCACGCCCAATCACTTTGAACATTCCTCGTCCCGAACGCAATCCAAGCGGAGAGCGAAGACCCGAAATAATACTGGCACATGTATATAGCCGTGACGAGCGATCGATGCGATGGGTACGCTAGCTCTGTTACGAGGATGACAGCACACTGGAACCAGGCTCCGGCAATGCCGATCAGCAGGCGGGAATAGATGAAGGTGTTTGCATTCCAGGAGCCGGCTTGCAGTCCCACGCCGAGTAACATGAATATATATCCTGTTAGCACGGTTGGCTTGCGACCGAAACGATTGGCGGACCAGGCTTGGATGGGCAGAAAGACTATACTGCCGATGCTCTGGAGGGCATTGATAAAGCCTAGCCATGATCCGGTCGGGTGTGACATGAATGTTTGCCATTGCGGGAGAGATTGCAGGCCGTTCATCAGGGAGATGTCATAGCCGAAGGTGCTGGAGAAGAGGATTAGGCTGGCGAGGTGGCTGTTCAGCCATAGGAGATGTGATGTTTTCCACCATGGTTTGAAATCTGCAGGTAATGCCTGCGCGATCTTTGTTAAAGAGTTCATGGCGATTGAGCTGGGTTGATCATACCGAGGAGAGCACCGGACTGAGTGCGGTGGGATCGCCTCTCATGACGGGATTCACGCAAGGGGGTTCGCGATCTTGCGACCCCTTTGACGGCACGGGACAATCACATTCGCCTTCGACAATTCCACGGTATCCCGAGGTTCCGAGGTTCGGCACGAGAGAAGACAAGAAGACAAGACCAGAAGTTCAGGGGGCCTCGAAGCCCAGATGATCCGGGGGTTTAGAGTTTGTGGGGATTTTCCGGGGCGACATCGGCCCTTCTCCACCGATGATCGTAGCCCTGGAGCTGACTACTGCATCTACCGCACCTGGGCATCTGAGCATAGCCATTCTATGAAGCTTATGAATAAGCAAGCTATATTAGCTTGTCGCTGTGGAGCCAAATTCATCACCTACAATAAGCGTCTTATGACGTCTTAACCTCCTACGCATAATCAAGGCCAAATGCCCCATGCATCAGTCGCCTAGGTGAGCTTGTTCATGAGTGAGAGCTGCTTAAAAGAAATTAGGTACCAATTCTCTGCTGTAACTCATGCAAATACATCACCGCTATCAAGCATCAAGTTAAGCTGTGTGATATCCATGAAAACTTGACTGTGTTGCAAAAGATGCAATCAAAAGCTTCGAAATATCCCATAACAACAAAGAAAAACAAACGGCCTCAAACATGGGCAAAAATAAACAATGGCAGTTATTGCGCCTCAAACGCCCTCTCTACTCGCTCGGGAGGATAGATCTTGTTTGTGAACACAATTAATCATTGCGGCGACGAGGCCAACCCGGAATTTGGCGATTGGGGCTAGAGGGACTGAAAGTGAACTTGCCGAATTGGAAGGAGGGGCGGCCGAACGTATGAGTGGACGAAGTGGGCCGAGCAAACTCAGTCTGGGTAAAGTCAAAATGCGACTGGGACTGGGACTGCGATTGGGACACAAAGCTTTGACTCGTGGTATGCTGGAAAGTGTCTGGTCGAGAGGTTGGGTGAGTTGGGTGGGTGGGTCGTGGGACTCGAGTGGCACGTTGAACACGGTCAAGGAGAGAGGAATCCGCGGCAGGGGCTTGGTCTGCAACACCACGAGTGATCAGGTTGGTTGATATGTTGACATTTGACATGATGACACGTGCTGGCATGGGGACGCCCTGGTATTCCAACTCACGAAGTGCAACCCGCATCTGGGCCAATATCGCGTCATTCAGGGCCTCCGGAGAGGTAATTGGCCTCTCGTTGACGACGGGAACGTTGACCATCACCCGGCCGATGTAGGTATTTGGTCTCCGGTTTCTGCGCCTGTTTCTTCTTGGTCGCTTTGGAATGGGAGGGTAGGAGGGGCAATGCAGCCATTTATGACCTATTCCGGCGCATCGACGACAGAAGGCTGTGCACTTCCCGCGGTGTCGTCTGTCGCAGTTTGGGCATGTCTCGCTGCAGTCACCCTCATGCGGCTCACGTTCACAACTGACACAGATCAGCGCCTCCTGTTGATACGGTGGATGGTTACGGTCGTCGTCGCCCTGATCTTCATCAAGTCGTCTGCGTTTGAGAGAGCTGAAAAGAAAGCATCAGTTAATTTGCTGATTTGAGATGCTCAATGAGATCTGGCTCTCAAGGCAAACTCACGAAGACATTGCAGCAGTAGGTGATGGAGAATAGAAGAAATCAAGAGGAGTGTGGGTTTGCTTTTGTGGATGTTCACAGAGAGGGAAGGAACTCTTCCACCGTGAAGCTTCACTTTGAAATCTTCACTCTTCCAGCAATCTGAGTATCTCCCACTTCATTTTATTATCTATGTAAAACAGAAAGACAAAGGTATCCTTTTCTTATGCTTCGAGGTGAGTTGCAAGAAGTGCCTGGGAGCAAACAGCCGCCATACAAACAATTTGAATCCTTCCGCAGATGGTTTGTTGCTTGATGACCACAAAGCAACTTACCTAAAATACGATTTCTTTCATTATGACATGAGGGATAGACTGAGTATAGCCTCACAAGCTCCATGGCTTGAACAGAGCAAAAATTTGGAAAGGTCAGAGAAGGCTTGGGGTTTGTGGTGGTATTCACTTTTCTTTCAGAGAGAATTCGTACTTGGAGGATAGGATCAATCATTATTGGGCAACATCTCAGTAGAATGGTGTGAGAACAGAGCTTCTAGGCTTAGCTGTATAATCCTAGTATCATGACAAGTAGATGACCGTTCAGGCCCGACCATGGCCAAAGTATCCAGGCTTGTTTGATAATGTCTGTTAACAAGGCGAACTTGGTGATCCTATCAAAGCCGGTACCAAATACCATTTGTATAATCTCAAACTTATCAAGCGAAAATTTCTTCTGGCCATCTTTACTCCCAAGCCCCGTTTATCTTTCAGTAGGGTAAGGTGGACAACTTTTCTATAGTCCTTCATTCTATCTCAAGCTTAGGTTTTTGATATGGACAATAATCATAGCCAGCTTAAGAGCCTTATACTCCATTTAAACGGCAACACATAATCAATCTTGGAAGGGTTACATGCATCTATGGATGCAAGTGAGGAACGAGAAGACTTGTAATGTGTGACGGGTATGATGATTATTCACACAAAAGATTGAGATCAGAACACCACGAAAGAACTAACTGTTCAAGTCAAAGGAAAACTCTCTAATATTATTGTTTCATATCTTGTGATTACTTCATGAAGGAAGAAAGGCCTTTTCAATGCCCAATTCAATGAGCTTATATTTGCGGAGTGAAACAAACAAACAAACAACACCACCGGGGCCATAATCGACACTTGGATACATCACATTGATTGATACAGATAATTTTCAGCTTTGGGCCATGATACACCTAATAGTTACATGATGCAAGATCGAATTGTGGTCAAAACACAGTTCTGAGCTGGCTTACGACAAGCTTGCTCGCTTCCAAGGTTCTACAAGTTCTAGACAATGAGGAATTGAAATAAGGTATCATTGGTGTACTGATTTATGATTTCTCTTCTTGATTTCAAAGATCCCCTTTTATCAAATCGGGTCTTAGTTTCAACGCTGCACGCGTGTTTAGGTTGGGGAATACAGGCTAGAAGCGCATGTTGACAAGTAATTGTACGCAATTGCTATTTTGATGACATCGGCATGTCCGAAATTGATACAATTCTCAGCACATCATTTCGTAGATCATGCACTCTATACGTAACTTCAGCTCTCAATTTTTAGAACCCTTCGTGGCTCTGTTGATTTTCGATCGGCATCGACTCAAAAGTGGAACTCGATGCAATATTTGACGTCAGTTATAGGCGATCGCCAGCGCAGATGACCACCATTCTCCACAATTTATGAGATCGGGGCTAAGAAGGAAAATCCCGATTCTTTGATTGAAGATCTCTTGTGGCTCCCGCATTGTGATTAGTTCACTTGGTTCCAACAACAGCCGCGTCTGATGCTGCTGTGAAGCCTGCTGCATGTTCAAGCCACTGACATTGCAGTGATCTGCAAGGAGGTAGCTCTCAACAAATACAGAGCTTTTTTAAGTAGTACTTGAGTCTGATCCTATAAAATACTCAAAGGAGTCTTGTATTTTTCTGCGCTCCAACTCCCTACATCTCATAATCCCCGATTCAACCTCATTTCGATTCGAGGTAAGTACATTCCAAGTGGCTAATCTAGTCCCCACGTCTCCCTGAAAGTATACTGATTGTGAAATAGAGAATATCTGTCAATATGAAGCTTTCAATGATCTCCCTTGCGATGTCAGTTACCATGGCTATTGCTGCACCTACTTTGAACACACGTGCCCTAGCTGGTGATGATGTCTCTAATGTGCGCGGACGGGCCCTCGCTGGCGAAGATGCGGCCCTCGTGAACAAGCGTGCCCTCGCTGGCGAAGATGCGGCCCTCGTGAACAAGCGTGCTCTTGCTGGCGAAGATGCGGCCCTCGTGAACAAGCGTGCCCTCGCTGGCGAAGATGCGGCCCTCGTGAACAAGCGTGCCCTCGCTGGCGAAGATGCGGCCCTCGTGAACAAGCGTGCCCTCGCTGGCGAAGATGCGGCTCTCGTGAACAAGCGTGCCCTCGCTGGCGAAGATGCGGCTCTCGTGAACAAGCGTGCCCTAGCTGGCGAGAACTCCGGTGCCGTCATCGATGCTTCCACTAAGCGCGCTATTGATGGCGAGGATATTGCCGCTATCAACTAAGCGCGCCCTGGCTGACAAGAACCTCAATATTGACGTGGATATGAAATAGAGACCACACGTATCTCATTTTTTGCATATGTTGCTTGGACTGTATGTAATATTTATCGAATTTTCTCTGAAAGTTCCGGGACTACACCGGATCTCTCAATAGTGAAACCTCTCGACAATGAAAGTGATGAAATGCCAATAACCCAGAAAGTTGAATGCGGTCCTGTGAATTTACCTATCCGTTCCTAAGTCTGACCTCAGCCTTCTGCCCATCGTTACCATGACGAAATGCATAGATCAATAGAGAATACGACAGCAATAAGAATCTGAGAAGCTCTTGACGTCCCAAGGTTTGACATGCTACATTTGCATCAACTCGCTAAAAGTATAATAAATTCCAAGGTTTAATTAAAGATTTGGAGGGTTTGCAGCTTTATTTATCAAGGTACGCACAGGAGTCTAATATTCAAACAAGCTCGCCGAAATCAGTGATCAACGCAGTCTTCACCCAGCAGTATCTTTTTTTGGGCCAAGATCTACTGAAGGGAAATTTCAAGATTCACGGGCTCTTTGGGATCCAACGAAAATTAGGAAGATACAAACTGCCTTTCGAGATCGAATTTCTGTGGTGACAAATAATTGTTCAATTGAATCACACATCATCACCTTTTCAGGTGTGGAATATCTTTATCCAAACTCTGACTGATGCTGGCGATTTAATGGTAAACCCCAATTTGTGATCGGGCGATACAGTCAAAGTTGGGCGTCGGAGCTGTTGGATCGTTGGATCCATGGTCAAGTCTCGCCTCTCCTTCCTTCCCTCTTCTCCACCCCATCTCCAATCACCGCCCTGGTATACCACCAAGCAAAATGAACCAAGATCGCTCCCGAGAGGAGTCCAAACCTACACCCCTTGCCCAACTCGGCCAATTTTCGAAGCTACCGCCAGAGCTACGCTTCCAGATCTGGAACTATCTCTTCGACGACTTCAAAAGCACGTCCAGCTCATCCGGCCCTATATCAATTCTTTTTTGCAATCGAGGTCTCTACGAGGAGACATCTCGTATTCTCTATGAACATCGTGTCTTCAGTCTTACGATCAACATTGATTCCTGGATCGAAGACTCGTTAGAATTCACGGCGATTGTGGAGGTGATAAAAGGTGCTAGAACGCCAGTCGCGGTCAAATGTATACAATTGAGATGCCTTGATGATGTTCTTCGGCTACTCCAACAGTCTCCGAGCTGGAGACTCCATAGATGTGGACCCTGCATTCGCGTCAGATACTTCTACTTGCTGTCGCCTAGCAAGGAGCTATGGCTCTGGGAGTGTGTCCACAGCATCGTCAAGACTCTGAAACTCTTACCAAACGGCAAACATATTAGATTCACGACTTTCCATCCCCGCCCCCAAAGACCACGGTATACTATGGAACTCACGAAGAGTGGAGTGCTGAAGGACTGGTTCGATGAAAGATTCCCAGGGGAGCCATTACCATTTCCGGACTGCCCATTTACAGGAACTCATAATCACAATGATCCCCCCGGTCCATGTCTCAACATACCGGTCTACCACTATGCCATATTGAAGGCCATTGATTCTTTCGAACTCGGACAACATGAGCAAAACAGGCTCCATACCGAGTCACGATCTTCGAGAGTCGAATTCCAGCCTATGAAGAATGAGTACATGGACCTGTCAAGACTGCACCCTGAATCGTTGCCTCCCACCACCCAGTTCTTTCACACCTCACTAACACCCCGTTTATTGGCTAACACTGCTCTTGCCTGACGTCCTTTCACAAACAGCTTGACCTTATGGTGGCTTACTCTCTGCTTCTTTCAGTGATCAAACTTATGTGAATATAGATCCATTAATCGACAAGCTACGGCACGATTTGAGACTCATATCATCGCCCAGTCCCAAAACTCAATTGTTGCTATCAGTGACGAAGAGGGTGGAATTTGAGGTCCATGATCGAGTTTACCGATGAGTACGTCAGATTCCGTCCCCATGTGAGCTCGATCATGGACCTCGAATTCTCGTCCGACGATATGCTACTGGCCATTGCATCTTAAGACCAGACGTCTCTTGTCATAGATATGACGACACAACAACCCATCTGCTGCTTGTCGAATCACTCTTCTCCCGTGAAACACGTCCAATTTCAACGGACATCCAACAACAAGGTGCTTGCAACATACAGCAGAGACGGGAACGTCAACAAACGGGGCCTGGGGTGCAATTCATTAATATGACGTGACTTCTATCCTGCTCTACGTCTCTGGGACAACATGCTCCTGGTACGAGTGAACTCCCAGGAGCCCGCAAACTCATACCGGTTCATCTTTACACTGTCAGAATGGAGAACTCTGGCACACCTTCCACAAATTATCTAAGATTTCTTGTTTCAATTCAGTGCGGCGCCCTCCACACCCGGTGCAATGAGGACCCGCTCCTCAAAACCCTACCACCACCCCATCCTCGACCGCCTCCTCACCCGTTCTCCAGTTGCCCAAGAAGCCCGATGTCTGGCAAAAATACGACGCGAAGGCGTGGAAGCTCCCGATCTTCTCACTATGCGCTGGGAGGGCCGCGGCGGAGAACACAGCGAATAGGGCGGAGCATGGTCGATGATGGAGTGGATTGACGGTAACACTGTGCGCGTCGCTCTTGAAATCTGGGAGTGCGAATGAAGAAGACCACGGTAAATGATGAGAAAACACAGGCGCAGGCGTGGTTTTCCTCTTGATGGATATAGCTGGCCAGTCTGAAGTGGGCGGTGGTTAGTAACAAAGCTGAACTGATGCTTTGGGTTGCGATGCAAGCCGCAGTGGTTTAAATGGCCTCTGGCTTGCAAGCGGCGGATCATTGATTGAAAGGGATCACCGCTGATCAGGCACCTTGAGGTTCATTGCTAGGTCAGAGATATGTGTTTTGCAAAGGAAATGCTCTTCGAGACTGCGATGTCAACGTTGAAACTTTTGTGTTCAATGCAGTAGCAGGAGAGTTTCACGGTTCCCAATTAGGAAGATGGCAATGGAAGATCTCAGCAAGCTCAAACCGAGTGTGTAGAGAGAATGGTTAATTCTCCAACCTTGGGAAGTAGACATACGCATGCAAGAGCCACCAAAGCCCGAGACTGATTCCGTGATCAGGCACCCAGGCAGAGATTCAGGCATTCAGACAGAACCCCTGGAATACTTTCAAGGTTAGGTCAGGGCGCGAGATTCATCTTCTATTTACCTACTGTACTCCGTATATGCTCACGGAGTACACAACATACATACGCAAAATTTATTTGGGGTAAGGATCGGCTTTCGCTTTACATGGTGGAGTCTGACATCGAAACCTTGACCCAGCCGAGAGCATCGCGCGTCAATACCCCAACACCAAAATATGGCGTCTATCACGATCGGACTTCCTCAAGTATACGCGACCGATGGAGCAAAATGCCCTCCTCCATCCAATGACTTCATCACAGGGTGCTGGCACGTCACTCATTCAAGCCTCCCACTCTGGAAAGGGAAGCGCAATGTCAACATCACCTACACGCTCCTCCCCGCCCAGTCAGGGGTTCAAAAAATCGATGATATGGTTCGGTACCAAGCCATCGACTCGGACAAGGTCAAATCCGTCCACGGTGTCGATACCCCGACGCCAGGCAATCCTGGCGCTTGGGATTGGCGCGGAAAAGGTTGGCTGATCATCGCCAGCTCGCACTGGGAGTGTCTTGGGTATGGCGATACCGAAGACGGTAATCAGTGGATTGTGACTTACTTTGCCAAAACGCCCTTCACGCCTGCTGGGATTGATATTTACTCTCGCAACAAGGAGGGCCTTCCTCAAACTACTGTGGATGGGATTCTTGAAGCTCTCAGGGGCCAGGGGGTGAAGAATATCTCTGACCTTGCCGACGCGGCTTTCTCTATCCCTCACAATTAGCCAGTCTTGCCAATCGCCTTCTCGCCGTTCCATCTGCACCTTACTCCATACTTCAAAACAAAACGACCATTGCGATGACGTCATCGCGCGTGCCTTGAGGATTCGCCGAGTTGATTCTCAGAAAGCCGTGCATCATGTCTCTTTTCACTGCGCAAAATACATGCCCAACTAGACATGTGGCAAAACTGCGGCTCAAACGCCGAAGTTTCTGCGAGTGCCGATGCAGTCGCTTGGATCAACTTTCTCATACTTTTCGTCTCTAACCTACAATCTCCTATTTCATCTCTACCTGACACTTGTCCGGCTGTTTTCGAACGACAAACTACATTCTCAATATCCTTCGTTCGACTGAAAGCGGACTCGAAGACTCGACAACTATCAACATTCACGAGCTTCACACAGATGCTCTTCGTGACTCTTTTCTGCTTGTCGGTATTAGAGCCGGAACCGGTAAAACTCAATCTGTATCCTCGATATCCGTCTCAAAGCTATTACCCGAAGCCAGATGCCAAGTGGAATGTCCGATATTCGAGGTATCAATGTCGCTCTCCCCTCTCAGGTCGGACCGCAGAGCCCAGATAGACTATACATCATAGTTGATGAGGACAACTTGCTTTGATTGAAATCCGAATGTTGTTGGTATTCGCATTCTGGGTCTGTTGCTTCCAGTATGGCTTGCTCTGGCTTGGCAATGTACAGGCAAATGCCATCGTGCATTCCAGTATGGCCGTCGTAAAATGAGCGGAGATGCCATCCCATACGTGCGTTCGCGACTATCATTTCATTAGCCAACAGTTCAAAAGATTTAGTGGCTGTGATGGTTGACTCGTGGGCGGGATCGGAGCTGGCAAGTGCGGTTTTTGGCGCTCCGCGGCGCGGCTCTCTGATGTGGGGCCGGCAGAGCCTCAGGTACTGCGGGTTTAACCGAGGAGTGGGCTTTTGCAAAGAAACCCCGGAAGAGCCCAGGCCAATAAGAAGCGCGGAGAGAGAGAGAGAGTAACGAGTCTAAAGAAACCAGCTATTCAGAAAGAGATGTGGTGTGGCTCAAAGTGCAAAGTAACACATTACCGCCCCCCCCATCACCTCTTGGACGGTCGACCGTGCATATCATATTTTAAGATGCTTTAATTTGATCCGTTTTGATATCAAGGTTTGAGTATCGGATGTGGCAAGCTTCCATGGACTGTGGTTTTGTTTGCGTCAGTAGACTGGTTGCTATCGCCGAACTACTGGTCATGACTACGACACATTCCCCAAATGAGCCTCGGCAGGCATGCAATTATCACGTATCTCAATCTTCTGAAGGTTTTCCAATGACTCAATCCCCAAAGTCTCTGAGATTTACTTGATACAACTGATACAATCTTGCCAATATCTTCCAAATCTACCCTCTTTCTCCACAAACCAAACAGATCAGATCACGACTTGGCATCAGTATGACCGTGAACGAGGACTCACTAATCGGCTGGATCTTCTGTGGAATTACTCTCGTATTCTGCGCCGTTTTTCTCTTGCCATTATCTTACAGTGGGTACGTCCATACTTCAGGCGGTTGATCGCACGGAGACGTGCATCCAAAGCTCGAAAGGCCGCAGAGAATCGCAAATGGCCTGCTAGCCCGCATCAAATATCTCCAGGGTTCATCAACACCGCTGCTCCCCCGTATTCCGGGTCTGTCTCAAACCAAACCATCCCTGATACGGTCCGATATACCCAGTACAACATGAAAGGTTCTCACGAGCTTCAGGACCTCGAAGCGGCGAGAATCACGGAGACGAGCCATTAATCTCTCTGGCTGGATTTTGATCAAAGATTTGAAACAGCAAAATCGAATATCAAGGGCATGTTGAAGTGTCATGACAAATTTGGGAAATGGGACTGGAGCTTTGGGGGATTTCGCTGCTCTTGCTGTTACTGGACCCGGGCCCCCAGCAGGAAAGGTCAGGCACCTCGGTTTGCTGTGTGATAGCGTTTTTGGGACGAAGAAACTTCCTGCTCGATTACCTTCATGCCATGTCCCCGAATATGCTTTGCTATATGAGCTGAAAAGTTGCCAAGGAGAGACCGTTATATGCCCAGATGAGAAAGGCAACTTTGTATATGGCCTGAGCCTTGGGACCCAGATAATTACTGAATCAGAGCCAGCTCACCTTCTAATTTATGACAAATATTTAATCCAAGTATTTCAATGAGATCAGGACACAGATGAAGAGAGGGATATGATGTACTTTCTGTTGAGCAAGTAATCGCTGCTACTGATTCTTCATGCAACAATATTCGTTTGCGCGATCGGGACTGCTTGTCGGTTACGCGCCCTATTTTGAGTCATTTTAGGATCTTGCTAAAGGCGTATAGATCAAGATCTTTGTATTGTTTTACTCGCTATGTAAATCTGAAGCCTTGATAGGATAGACGAAAATTCAATTTAAAACAAACGACAGGGTAAATACATGAGCGAGATTATTGAGATTGAGCAGGGAAAACCAAGCCCTCTGGTTGAGTGACCAAGTGAGCTACCGTCTCTCGGAAAAGTGAGACTAGCTCATCCGCGACCTGTTGACCAATGGTTGGACTAGAAAGCGACATACCCAGCATGGGTTGGCCGTCTTCTCCCGCGGGAAGTGGAACACACATTAGCATGGGGTAAGTATGTCCCATCTTGGCATCGATGATTTCGTTCCGGGCTGGTATTTCTCCAGCAAATTCATAATCATGGTTCCAAAGTGGAGGTGCAGCCAAGTAGTGAACTCCAGTCCCAACCGGCGTGTTCTCAGGCCAAGAGGTGCTTTGAGCCACGAGTTCATCCCAATCCGCCGTGTCATGCGACATTGCACGGATATGTTGCCCCTGGACGCATTGGAAAAGATCATTTGCAGTCCAGTCTGACTGCAAAGTAACTCGAACAGGGACGTAGTTTACACCCGGGCCTATCATGCAGTCAACTCCTTCGATGTCCATCGCGCGGTTCGTGGACAGCTGGCCGAAAACCACATCTTCGGAGTGTGCATATTGCGCGAGACACAGTGACCAAGCGGCTTTGACGATAGTGGCGACGGTGATACCATTCTGAACATCAGGCAAAGGCATTACACCCGAGCTAGTCACCAGAAGGTCCACGCGCGATCGATCGGGACGATCCATGCCGTCATCTTGACCAAGATATGTCATCGAAGAGCCCTGGAGCATATCGCGCCAGAATTGGAAAGTCCCCGGAGTGGTCCGTTGAACACGATGAGCAATGAAGTCGGAGTAGTCTAACCTGTAAGGGAAAGCACACTTCGGATTGGTGTAGAGTGCAGCGGCCTCATTGAGAAGATGATATATCGACATTCCATCGAAGTGAGCATGGTGCAACCTCAACGAGATAGAAACACGACCTCTTCCCTCGACCATGAGTAGATGCAGACCGGGCTTCCCGAAAGGAATCGGGTGACTAGAGTTCGCACGGCTGATTGCTTGTACAACTTCCATGGGATCATCCTCAGTGGTGGTCTCTTCGGTCGTCAGATCGAGGTGGCGAAGAACGACTTGTACAAATGTGTCTTTGAATGGAACAAAGGCCGTTCGCAGCACTGAATGCCTCTCTAATGTGGCAATGAAAGCACCCTTTAGCCTCACCAGATCGGGTGATTTGAAAAAGTGCACGGTTACATGACCAATATATTGCGTCTGTACCGCGTTCCGCTGGAAGTAAGTGGCGGGGACGATGTTAGCCACATCATTTCGATCGAAGTCCCACTCCGCGCAAATCTCATCTGCAAACTCTAGTAAAGGACTTGGCTGGACTGGGGTTCGAACAACATCTTGCTTCTCCTCAAGTGCAACAGCCAGCTCGGATAAGCGCGGGTGCTGGAAAAGCATCTGCACCGAGAAATAGACAGTAGCTCGACGGGCTGCTGCTACCAGAGTCATCGCCTTCATAGAGTCCATTCCGATCTGGAACAAATCTTCCTCCAAAGGAATATCAGAGGGAGATCTGTTTAGCGTGTGCGCTACAAGCTCTTGGAGACGGGCTTCCAGAGGTGTTGAAGGAGTTCGTCTCGACATGGCGATCACGCTGTAGGCGTCAAGCTCGGTTTGCGACATGGAAGCGGCATGTTCTCGCAGACGCTTGCGATCTGTCTTGCCTGTTGGGCCCTTTGGCAACATGGCCAAGGGAAGGAAGGCGCTAGGAATCATGTATGATGGCATGGCCTTTTGTAGCAGAGACACTGCAGTGCGCGTGCGGTCATAAAAGGCCTTTGAAGGTGGCTGGAGGAGAGCACCATGGAGCTCGCTTGAAGACCCTTCGTTGTCGCTTTGCACCACATATGCAACCAAGACGGCGGAGTCTGAGTTCTTCACGAACTCGACAAGGACGTGGTCCCCAGAGAATGCGCGAGTGACTTGCACTTCAACTTCACCGAGTTCCAGCCGCTGGCCGCGAATCTTGACCTGATCATCACCGCGACCGATGAAAACGAGTGAGCCATCCTCGGCATATCGCACCAAGTCCCCTGTTCTATACAGTCGCACAGGAGGCCCACCCTCCCGAAGAGCAGCCAGCCAAGCCGGAGGCTTGACAAAAGATGTCGAGGACTTTTGCGGATTGTTTAGATATCCGCGAGCAACGATCGGTCCCTCTAACAAGAGCTCCCCTACCACCCCATCGGGAGCCAGACGACAGGAATTGTTGCGGTCCATGACCCATGGAACTGCGCCGCTACCGGTTCCAATGTTTCGAGGATTGCTATTCATGGTCAGGCGCTCGGTCAAGGTGCTGATAATAGTCGATTCAGCAGGACCGTAAGCAACGAAAACCTGTGCCTTTCCATGCCAAGCCGTTAAGTCTGCGACAGAGATAGCTTCACCTCCGAGAATTAGAGATTCAAAGCCAGGCAGCTCGTTGAAATCATACAACCGGGCAACAGTAGGAGTGACAACCGAGCAATTCACTCTCATTCGTTTCATTGCGCTGGTAATACCGCCAGTACGTTCCTCGTCCGAAGGGATGCAGACACATCCGCCGGCTGCCAAGGCAATGAGCAAATCACACACAGAGACATCAAAAGCATGTGATGCGAACTGGAGCATGCGGGATGTTGAAGTGATGTTGCAGCGTGACATCGTATTTTGAAGGGAGGTGGAGAGCGAGGAGTGTTCGACAACGATACCCTTGGGCTTTCCAGTCGAGCCGGAGGTAAAGACAATGTATGCCGCATGACTCTCATTCACCGCGACGGTTGGCGTGCGAACGGTATGGGCCCTAGCTGCGAGCAGTCGGTCCCCGATCTCAATTACGCAAGGAGAGAGATCACCTGCTTTGGAAATCAAAGATGACGATGCCAGAACAAGAGGAGACTGAGTGTCTTCACAGATGGCGCGAAGTCTGGCAGAGGGATGAGAGGTATCCAAGAGAACGAATGTGCCACCAGCCTTCATTACTCCCAGAACTGCCACAGGCGTCCAACGAGTTTTCTCCATATAAAGAGGAACCGGTGTTTCAACACCAACGCCCTGATTGATCAATTCCTCTGCAAGGGCGGAGGACAGCTGATCCAGCTCCTCATACGTGAAGTCACCATCCCAGGCACAAACGGCTTGAGCAGTGGGCTGCTCGAGAGACCGCTGTTCGATTGTCTGATGAACAAGGGTTGTCACAGTCTTTGGAACAAAACCGTTACGATTCTCAATGCTGGTCCTCTGCGAGTCGTTGAGTGCCTCGATCTCACAGATAGGTCGACACGGCTGAGAAAGCACTTGCAACATAACATGCGCAAAGGTCTCTCCGATTGCCATCGCGTACTTCGGGGCGAGGAATGATTTGTGATAGGAAAAGAGGGCTTTTGTGGTCTCCTCAAAGACTGCAACATTTAGAGTCAGAGGGTACTGTGCAGAAATGAATAGTTAGCAAAAGAAATGGAGCTTTCCACTAGCCAAAAGGGATTCTTACCTCTGAACGATCTTCCGTGCCAGCGTCAACCACATTGATAGTTGATAAGGGGTTACTTTCTGCATGGCGACTGCGCCGATCCTGAACGGAGATGGCAGTGTTAAACAGCTCGCTGCTCGAAGCACCAATTCCATTGAGTGTATCTCCCAGGGAATGATGCTGGTGAACGAGGCTGTTGAGCTGATCGTCGTTATATTCCTGGAGCACTGACAACAAGGGAGCGTCTGGCTGCAGATGCAATCTCCCTATGAGCGTGTTGATGACAGGACCAAACATATCTTGGATCCCAGGGACAGGAGCGCTTCGCGCGCTGACCGAGTACCCAAAACATACATCTGCTGTGCCAGTATAGCATGACAACACAATTGCCCAGACAATATGGTACACGGTAGTTAGTGCAATCCCATGCTTCTCGCAGAACTCATCCACAGTGGCGGTTGAGCTCAGATCGATCTTGAAGGACTCAAACTCCTCGTTTGCCTCATGAGTCTGATCAGTCTCTGCATCACCTAGAAGCCGAGGGAACAGGCAAGGCGATAAGGAATTCAAGTAGCTGCACCAGTAGGCTTCGTCATTGTTGGCAGACGACATTCGTCCATGCAAATATGCAATGTAATCTTGATAGGACGGTGCGGGGGCGAGTGGTAGATCATTCCCGTATGCCAGAGCCAGATCACGCCTCAGGAGTCGCTCGGAGTGTCCATCAAAGAGGGCATGGGTGATTTTGAGATTCAGCATAATGTGTCCTTCTGCTGAAGTCTCCAGGTGAAGTGCCGATGCAGGAGGAGTTAAAACGCCATCGCGCTGGGGCAGTTCAGTACCGTGCCATATCGCTGCCGAGACACCTTTCAACACAACCTGATGGGCGGTTCCTTCATCCGATATCTCCAAGAAGACTGTTCGAAGACCAGGATGGCGATCAACCACCCGCTGCCATGCTCGACCAAGCTCCTCAATATCAATGGAGACGCCGGCAGCCGAGTCGGTAGGAAGTAATTTCCACCTGACTACATGCTGGTAATGCTGCGGGTTGCGTGCCTGGCTCATGAGCATTCCACGCTGAATCGGAGAGGTCGGATAAATGGCCTCAACCGTCTGGTTGTCAATCTTGGGGGTCAAGTCCGTCATAAACTGATCTACCTGATCGGAGTGAAGACCGGAAAGTAGAGGGAAATCAGAAGCAGTTCGGTAGCAGCCTTGCATTGTGGAGAGTTGGAGACATGCCTCGCGCAAGGATTCCGCACATTTCCCTGCCCACTGCTGAAGACGATCTTGATGCTTCATACGGCGGTTAACGTGGAACTGCAGATGCAGACATTCATCAATTACTTGCGCGGACACATCCAGCAGCGAAAACCGAGGCATATCCTCAACTTCACTCCCTTCGCCAAAGCGATTGGTTGTGTCGAGTTGCAGCAATGCATCAGAGCGTTCCAGCTGCTGATATCGACCTTGATAATTCAGAATGATCTCCATTGCTCTCTTCTTCTTTGGGCCGTGTGGATGAAGGAAGCATGAGGTGAAGTACTCCCACCCGTTAGCTGGGGTACTGCGACGGGCATCCTTGGTTCGCCGAAGAGCAGTTACCATCCCCTCGGATGCTTCCAAGGCTACCAAAGTGGGCCATATGGTGGTAAACCAGCCGACAGTTCGGGTGATATCGATTGTGGGTTCCCATGGCTCACGACCGTGCCCCTCAGAGAAGATCATAGGGGCTGACCGGTCCGGAAAGAGTTGAACAAATGAATGCAACACGGCAGCTTGAATGATATCCACTGGCTGTGTAGCCAAAGGATCATTGGCAATGCTCAGCAAAAGTCGGCTGGTCTCCTTATCGACGATGGCCATGTAAGTGTCAGCATCCTGATGAGTGTTGTGGTTAATCACATCATCTCCCCAGTATGCTATGGTGCTCTGGTCATCTTCCTCCTGAATGACAGGGAGAGAGCGAGTTGCATAATCGGCCTGGAGTTCACACCAATTCAGGAATGATATAGCGGGTACTGTCGGCGCCGAGCCTGTGGTCAATATCTGCTCGAGGTCGGCTAGAATGACTCTCCAAGATACAAGATCGATGATAAGATGATGAGCCATGAGATTCAGCCAGTGGGTTCCATCATCATGCCGTTCGAATTTATTTACAATGAACAAAGGCCCATGTTGGATATCCAAGGTCTGCTGTTTACCACGACAAAGAGATTCCATCTCTTTTTGGGAATGGATACCAAAGTCGTGGTAGTGGTAGTGCGCGCCATTTGTGTTTCTTGGAATGCTCTGGGTCCATTTGCCGTCAGGTGATTGTTTGAAACGGGCCCGGAGCATCGAATGGGTCTCTACCACGGCATCGAAAGCCCGAGTGATAGTCTGACCATCGAGATCGGCCCTTCCCAGTCGCAGCATGAGGCTCTGAACAAAGAGATTTGGGTTCTCGGGGGCAAAGTCAAAATACATCTGCTGAATAGGAGACAGATCGACGGCCTTATCAAAGATCTCCAATTGTTCCGGCCGATTCACCTCAGCGCCGCCTTGGGGAGTCATTTGGCTGATATGGCCCGCAAGTTGCCCAATTGTCCGGTACTTGAAAAGATCTTGCATATTCATGAAGAGTCCTGCGTTCTTCGCTTGAGCAACCACCTGCATGCTGGTGATTGAGTCACCACCTATTTGGAAGAAGCTGTGATCAATGCTAATCTCCTCAGGATCGATGCTGAGAACAACGGCCCAGATGGCACGAATATCACGCTGAAGGTCGTTCTCTGGGGGGTTGAGGACAGCGGAGGAAGAATTGTAGGCGTCAAGCTCTTGTCGGGTAAGAGAAGCTAGGCGTGAATTTATCTGACGCCGATCAAGCTTTCCGTTGACATTTCTCGGAACTCGAGACAAGGGGAGGAAAATAGTAGGCACCATATATGAAGGGACTCGTTCTTGAAGGGCAGATTCAGCGGTTTGTGCGTCTTTGAAGAAGCTGGAGTTGCTGGTCGCCGGTAGGAGGACGTCGGTATCAGCCGATTGCTGAGCTGAAGCAGATGAGGTCAAGACTAGGGCAACCAGAGCGGCGTTGGATTTGAGAGAAGTCACAGCTGCCACAACCTGGAGGGCATCTGGGAAACACCGCTGAACTTGATGCTCCACATCTGTGAGTTCCAATCGCTGCCCCCGGAGCTTAATCTGAAGGTCTTTGCGTCGGACATAGCAAATGGATCCATCTGCTGTGTATTTCACCAGATCGCCTGTGCGATAGACTGGTTTATCGCTGACATTTGCTCTGAGATGGCTTAGCCATCTGGGTCTGGGAACAAAGGCGGCTGCGGTTTTTTCTGGATCGTTCATATAGCCACGGCCGACGATTTCACCCTCGACGATCAATTCTCCCACGGAACCGATAGGGACGAGATCCATAGTCTCCGGATCAACGATCCAAGTCGCAGAACTTTTGGCGCGGCCGATGATGTTAGGGCTGGTGTTTGTGCCATCATCCTTGTTGCTACAAGTGATGATGGTGCATTCGGCTGGACCATACCCGTTTATCAAACGCACATGAGACGCCCATCGGTCAACGATTCCCTGGTTCATGGGCTCTCCGGCCTGCACCATGGTCTTTATTGTGGGCACAGTGTTGGGTGAGAGTGATTGAACGACCGATGTAGTCAACATTACCCAGTTGGCATTCATCTTGGTAATTGTCTCGTCCAAGGAATTATCGCGATCAAATTTGGAGGGAATGCAGATACATCCACCTACCATCAGGGTAGATATGTGCTCTGCCACCATGAGATCGAAGCTGTATCCTGCAAATTGGAAAACCCGAGAGTCCGAAGCCAGACCCAGCATGTCGATCATCGGTTCATTGTTGGCGAGGAAACATCGATGTTCAACCACCGCCACTTTGGGTTTGCCAGTAGTGCCGGAGGTGGTAATGGCATACATTGCATTACTGGGCTTGACACAACTCTTGTGGCAATCGAGACATGGTGATCCTTCTTTCAAAAGACCATGACCAACTCCCACAACTGGTACGTCGAAGACACCAGAGGCATAACCTTGCTGGTTTTCTGAGGCCAAGATTAGGGGGGGCTGAACAGAACCGCAAACTTCCCGGAGGCGATCGATCGGGTGAGAGGGATCAAACATAATGAAAGCCCCTCCAGCCTTGAGAACAGCCAGTTGGGCCACCACGGTCCATCGTGACTTTTCGAAGTAGAGGGCGACAAATGTATCCGGACGCACGACATCAAAGGCTTGAATGTGACTGGCCAGTTGTGAGACATGGCGATCCAGCTCATTGTAGGTGAAATCTCCATCCCACGCGTGGATGGCTTGGACATCGGGTTGGCTTTGGCATTTTTCGTGAACCAAGTCGTGGACGCACGGGCCAACATCATCATTTGCCGGTGATGGCAAGTGGTTCCAGCCTACCATGTCTTCCAAGTCCTGCGAGCTGATGACTTTCAAGTCTCTCACCGTGGTTGCTTGGGTATCCTCAATATCCTGAATCTGCATCAAGAAATATTCAAATTGCACGAGGGCTCGCTGCATTTGAGCCTGTGGTAGGACATCAGGGTCAAATGTAGCAGTGACTTCAAGGGCGGACCCTCCTGGGGAAGACAGGAATTGAAGCATCAGCGCATGGCTGCTGAACTGGTTGATATCAGAAAGGATCTCCTCGTGGCGGTACCAAGCCTCCTTTCCGATAGAATCCTGGTCGCCGGGCTGCTTTGATTGTACCGTGATCAAGGTTTGGAACTGGCATGCCGCAGCTGCGTTTGCACCCTGCTGGCTTATGAGCTGCAAGCCAAAGTGTTCAAATGCCGTCTGCTTTGCAAAATTCGCTTGAACCATCTCCAAGGCTTCAAACACCCTCTGACCGGGATCCACCCGAATGCGCAGGGGCACGGTTGCGATCGTAGGCCCCAGTAGGCCCTCGATCCCTGCGACTGGGGCTGTTCGCCCTGACGAGACCACCCCGACGATTACATCGTTGTTATTGGTGTATGTTCTACTCACCAATGCCCAAGCCAAATTGATCTTGGATGCCGCTGTTGCGTTGTGCAGCGTCGAGGCTTCAGGGAAAGTGATGGTCTTTTCAATTGAGCATTTGGGCTTAGGTCGGTAGTCCAGGGAGGGTAAAATTGGGAAGTGGAGTGGATCAGCATCTTGTAGCTCCTTCCTCCAAAACGAGGCTGCTGATTCCATTGTGCCCTCGACATGTGCCATGAATTGGTTAAATTGCACTGGTGGCTGGACATGGTGGCCACTATACGCCTTTTGAACTTCGCTGGCCAGCAATGGCAAGGACCACCCATCGTATAGTGTGTGGTGAATGGAAAGAAGCAATTGGTTTGGAGATAGTGTCAGTCTGATGAGAGGTGTACCCAAGCCTACAATAGGCTGAGAATCAGTTGAATTGTCCGTATCCAATTGTGACCACTCCAGTCCACTCCCCAAAACAGCTTGATAGGCGGCACCGTTTGAGGTCTGGAAAATGCGTGTTCGAAGAATAGTATGAGCTTCTGCGATGGTTTCCCACGCATTTCTCAAACGCTCAATGTCAATGCCGTCCGCCAGAGTATAAGACTGCAGCAAAAGATAAGCGTCACGGTGGTGGAAGGTGGACGCAATCAGCGAAGCCTGAAGGGGAGTGCATGGATATATATCCCGGATGCTGTCGACAGGAACACCGCATTGCTCGCTCGCCGTTTGCATCAATGTGTCGACATCCTTGATCAGAGCAAATGGTTCTGGCCCTGAGTTGTCCTGGATGGAAGTTGGGACCGCGGTGGAGACAGTAGATACTGCGGCAATATCCCTCAGACGAGGATGTTTGAAGACATCCTGGAATGTGATATGGGCCAATCCTTCCCGGTGCGCGAAAGCCACCAGCTTGATCGCCGCGATAGAATCACCGCCCATGCGGAACAGATGATCGTCCCGCCCAATGGAGTCCGCTGGGATTGACAGAACTTCTGCCCACAGTCCTTGCCACATCACCTCAGAAGGGGTTTCAGGGGACTGTTTCGGGGCGTTGCTTCTGTGTCCTCCCACTGTATAGCACTGGAGCTGATCAGGAGTCAGCTTCTCAGCCTGCTCTCTCAACTGGCGGCGATCTATTTTCAATGTCGTGCTGTGAGGAACACGTTGGATCGGGAACATGGCCATGGGGATCATGTGGACAGGGAGTGCATCTTGAAGTGTTGAAATCACCGACGCACTGTGTTGGAGGAAGAGCTCATCTGGATCTTGAAGGAGCCGATGTTGATCCTCATTGCTCTCGCTGGGGCCTTGGTAAATGAACGCGACAAGCAAAGCTGAGGCCGAATGCCGGGGGTGGATGACTTCAGCCACGACCTGCTGGGCCGAGGTAAAGTGAAGCTGAACTTGGTGTTCGATGTCACCCAAAACAATACGCTGTCCTCGAAGCTTCACTTGAGTATCTTTTCTGCCCGCATAATGCAGGGATCCAGTTTCATCGAAGCGTGCTAAGTCTCCAGTGCGATAGACGCGCCCAGTAGCACCGTCGGGTCGAAGGGCTTTCAGCCATTCTGGAGCTTCGATGAACGCCTCAAGAGTCTTCTTCGCCTCGTTGAAGTACCCGCGACTGACCATTGGGCCCTCGAGAAGCAACTCTCCGATGGATCCAAGCGGGGCCAGGCGACTCACATCATTTGGGAGTGTAATCCATCCCGCTGTTCCTACCATCGATCCGATACGACCCAGACAATGCATACTGGGCTCAATTTGACCGGCAGCACATGTGAAAGCTTCCGCCGGACCATATCCATTGATCATGCGTAGACGAGACGACCAAGTCTCCATCAACTCGATGGGGACATTCTCACCGGCCACGAGCATTGTAGTCAGACCGGGTACCTCGTCGGGGGCGAGAATCGACAAAGCCGAAGGGGTCATAGTAGCCCAATTGACCCGGTGCTCTCGGATGAAGCCAGCCAGATTAGACATCCGTTGCGTTTCAGATGGGATGCAGAGACAACCTCCATAGACCCAGGTGAAGAAGACCTCTTGGAGACTCATGTCCCAAGCATAGCTGCAGAAATGCAAGGATCGCATGCCAGCATATGCACCCAGTGGTTCGCGATGGTGGTAAAAGGCTGTGGCAAAATGGCGATGCTCAAGCACGATTCCTTTGGGCGTTCCAGTCGTTCCCGATGTGAAGATCATGAAAGCCACGTCTTCAGGCTTTACGGACGGCCATTGTGTCCGCTTGATTATATCGGCTGTCGGGGTCATGGCTGGTGTTTGAGAAGGAACCTCAATGAGTGGAAGCCTGCCCTGCACAGACTGAACTGTGGGTTGCGATGAAGCCGATGTGAGAACCAGAGAAGGTTCTGCTACCTCGAGAATTGCCGTAATTCGCGCTTGAGGGAGTGATGGATCAATATTGACTCCAACTGCGCCGGCACGTAGCACTGCCAGCATACTCACAACCGACCTAACAGACTTCTCGAAGCACAAAGCTACGCGATCACCCGGCTTCACCCCGGCTTGAATGAGCTGGTGACCGACGTCACTGGAAAGTGCTTCCAGGCCTTGATATGTGAGACTTTGATCCCAAGAGGACACAGCAGGCGCCAAAGGCTCTTTTTGCGCGTTTTGCAAGATCAGCCCATGTAGTGTGTGAGGATGCTCCGCTGGCAGGACAGTCCCATTCCATGTCTTCATGACGTCCAAGTCCTGGGGACTGACGAGACTAAGCTGTTCCAAGCGTTGGTTTTGATCAGCACACAGTTGTTGCAGAGTGATTGCGAACAGGTTCACTAGGCGATTTGCCATAGGCTCCGGGACAATACTGCGATCGAAATGAACGTTGAGATGGAGAGACTTGTTTCCGGCGGATGGTGTGCATATCAACCCAATAGCGTAGTTGATGAATACGCTAAAGTCCTCCAATCCATAATTGGCTGTCTTGCCATTCATGATAGAGGCTTTCTGGTCAGTGTGTATCTGCTCCGGCTGTTGGAATATCAACTGGCTCTGGAAATCGCACGCTGAAGCTGTCTCGGGGCTCATTTGACGAATGTTTTGCAGCCCTGTTTGCTCGAAAGGTATCATACGGATTGCGAGGGCTTGTATGGCTGAGAGAGCATCTGCGACCGTGTCGGTCTGGTGGCAACGTGCTCGGAACGGAACAGTTGCGATGGTAGGCCCAGCCATCTCTTCAACACCAGGTGTTGGTGTGGCTCGTCCAGCAACAGTCACTCCAAACACAACATCCTCGGAGTCTGTGTAATTTGACACAACGATTGCCCATGCCAGGCGGGCAATATTCGACAGTGTGATGTTAGATCCTGTTTGAGGGGGAGCGTGACTGTCTGTTCCAAGTGCGCGGTTGCCACGGGCACGGCCTGATCGTGGGGAAGTGATGGGAATGCAGGCGCCTGAAGGTCGGCGAAAGTAGTCTTCCAGAACTCATCCTTGGCTGAAATATCTTGTTTCTGGATTGTTTGAATAAAAGGGCTGAAGGTGTTTGATTCAAGCGCCTCTCCGAAATACGCTCTCCGTGTCTGTGCTAGCAAAAGGCCGAGCGAGTAAAAGTCAAAGATAGCATGGTGTAATGTAACACCAAGGGAAAGCTCGGACGAAGGGTCCCTGATCAAGCTAAATCTGACCAATGGGTCACCTGGTCCCATAGATAAAGCCTTGTCTTCTTTGTGGAAGGCCTCGACCGATGCAAAGCTCGCCCACTTGATGATCGATTGATCCTGGGAGAGGACAGCCTGAATCATTCCTTCTGATGGGCTCTGCACAATCCTGGTTCTAAGCATCACATTGGCATCCACTGTTGCCTGCCAGGCAGCTTTGAGCTTTTCAACGTCGATTCCACCGGTCAGATCGAAGATGCAACGCGCAATGTACATGTCCCGTGCCTTGATGGTCGAAATCATCAAACCCTCTTGAAGCGCCGTGCAAGGGTATATATCTTGTATGGCTTCGGTGGGAACCTTGCATTGCCCGGCTGTGAATGAGATGAGGTTTTTCGTCTCATTTTGATCCACCCCAGGAAGAAGAGAGAAGGGTGGCGGAGGGATCGTGGAAGACGACTGCGTTTCGATCGGTCTTTCCAGGATTAGTGCCAGCTTTTGGATGGTTTGGTGACGCAAAACCTCTTCCACGGTCAACTCGGGGTATCCCTTGGTTTGGCACAAGCTCACAACTTTCATTGCTGACAAGGAGTCACCTCCAAGGCTGATGAAACTGTGATGAACCCCAAAACTTGAGTCATTGATCCCAAGAACTTGAGCAAATATACCATGCAGACACTTCTCAATCTCAGTGACAGGTTCAACCATTTCAGCTGCCGCGGCTGGCCGATAGGCCTCCAACTCGTGGCGAGTGGCCTTCTGCAAACTGTTGCGGAGCACCCTCATGTCGACCTTCCCTGTGACGGTCATTGGAATAGAGCCGAGTGGGATGTATAAGGCTGGCCACATATGATCTGGCACTACTTCAACCAGTTTTGCGCAAATAACCTGCACCTCGGAACGGAAGGGATCGGAGAGAGAAGCGAAAAGATCGAGAGACTCTTGTTTTTGGTCGAGGATATAACGTGGAGAATGGAGGAAAACGGCCAAAACGATATTCTTTGCATCTGCTAGGGTCACAGCTACCGCAATCACTCGTACGGCATCCGGACAGCATTGTCGCACATGATATTCAACCTCCTTGAGGTCGACTCGTTTCCCTCGAATCTTGACATCAAGTGCTTTCCGCGCAACATAAGTAACACTACCGTCATCATTTTGGCGGAAGAGATCTCCTGTTCTGTAGAGGGATCTGGGAGGAGGGACAAGTTGGGATTTGGACAATCGCCAGGAGGGAGCATCGATGAAGGCGGAGGAGGTGGTGATAGGATCATTCAGGTATTCATGCGCGAGCGATGGCCCTTCAATAATCAACTCACCAACAACTCCAACTGGTGCAAGCTCGTGATGGTCAACGGCGTCCGCAACCCAGAATCGCAAGTTGGGAAGTGGGCGGAAGGCCACCGCGTCGGGTTGGGGGATCATGAAGCCGAGGGGTCCACAGCCTTCACTTGCACCATACACCTGAACCAAGTCCACAACGGCAGCCCAGCCCTCAAACTCCTCTTTGAAAACTGGCTCGCCACTCAGTAGAACGGTTTTCAATGTGGGAGGCTTTAGACTCGGGTCGAGGTTTCGTAATAAAGATGGGGTCATGATCGACCAAGTGATCTTCATCTCCTCCATAGCACCGACTAGCCTATTGATGCGATCATGATCGGATGGAATGCAGATAGTGGCTCCCAAACACAAGGAATGGTAGATTTCAAATATGGAGATGGCGAATCCATACGATGTAAACTGCAGTACACGAGAGCTGGCCGACAGACCGAGAGACTGGACCCCGATTTGGTTGGGTATTTGCGCCATTGCTCGATGTTGCATGACACAACCCTTTGGCTCACCAGTGCTCCCGGAGGTAAAGAGCACATATGCTGGGGTGTCTAGGTATGGCGGGGGCAGCAGGTTGTGACCAATATTTTCATCGTGAGGCAAGTCCGAGACGAGACTGTGGCTCACGCATATCACGTTATCAGCTATCATCGACCCTCGGTCTGCATAGACCTCTGATGTAAGCAGAAATTTGCACTCGGTACGGCCGATGATGTTCTTTAGACGAGCATCTGGATGAACAGGGTCTAAAGGCACAAATGCGCCGCCAGCTTTGAGAACTGCCAGCTGGGCGACGATGACCCACTGACACCGATGAAACAAGAGCGGTACCATCACGTTTGGGCCAACTCCTAGACCACGCAAGTGAAATGCCAATTGAGTGCTTGTCGCGTCCAGCTTAGCATACGTCAATTCTCCATCAGCCGCACAGATTGCTGTAGCATCTGGCTGCTCAATGGTCTTTGCCCTGATAGCTTCAAGAACAGACGGAACATGACTGTGAGTTTGCAGTGAGTTCTCACTGTCGTTGCTGTCAGAAACATCTGGGCTGGGAGTTCGCAGTGACCCTTGACTACCATGCCAGTCAGAATCAGAGCCAGCGTTGGACGAACTTGATAGGCGTATCCGGCGAACGGTCTGACTGTGACCTTGCAAGAGTTCCAATATTATTTGGGAAATTTCCGACACAACCTTCGCAGCCTGGTAGCTGGATAACAGAGATGTGTTGTAGATGAGAACCAGACGGTGAGACTGAGAGTCTCCGACCAAAGAGAGCAAAGCTTGACACTAGTAAGTAGAATAGTCAGTTAACAATCCCTCTTACCAGAACTTTAACACTTACATCTTTCTGAAGCTTTCTGAACTCGTTCAACAAAGCGGCAGGATCCGATGTAGAAGCCGCCCCTGAGATCAGGAGGCCGGTGTTTTGCTTTGTCTGGTCCGCTGACGAATCGTCAGGGTAATCCAGCAGCTCAACCTTTTTCCAAAGATCTTCGATCAGATCCTCGGGGGTGACAGACACCTGAGATATCTTGAGAGCAAGTTCAGTCCCTTCAGTTTGACCGAGCGCAAATGAGAAGAGCTCGGTGTCGATATATTGTTTGAGAGTGAGGGCCCAGACAACTTGTAGAAACACAACGAGGTCATAGCCTTTGATAGACACATAGTTTTTGGCTTTTTCCAGTAGCTCACTGGGAATCTCTTCAGCAGTGGTGCTGGTGTCTCCTTTGTCCTCATTCAGCACAGGAAAAATTCCCGTATACTCCGTTGAAATGGCGACCATCGGGACAAGTGGCGATGAAGATATCGCGGTCGGTTTTGGTAATAATGGAAAGAAAGATTGTGATGATCTTTTGCCTTGAGTAATGGTTCCAGTAGCCTGAACTTATACCTGAGCCAGACAATTGATCTAGCTTCTTCCAAGGTTTTTCCCACCGAGCGACTCTAAGTTCATACTTCCATGCTGTGTAGCGACACCGCCAGGTACGGAGTACTCCACACGGAGCTGCATACATAGATTGACGTTCAGCTCGTCAGATCCAACGCTAAGATCAATGGCGCGATGCGGCCCGAAAGAACATCTGCGCTCTCCTTGCATATGCTGAATTGTTGAGCGATGTGTGCGGCCCTCTGGTGGCGCAGAGCATACAAGCTAGATCTAGGATCGAGACGCCATGTGGATCCCCATCTGCAGATAAATCACATACATAAGACTTTTGGGCTTACGAACGAGGGGCTGTTATTGCCACACCACTGAACCGCCGGATACAATAGTTTTGTTCCCCTGTCAATAAAAACAGAGGTATCAACTCTAAAACCCTCAGCTGCACTTTTTGAGGCACGAATGCATCATTTATTGTTGACATGCAATAAATGCATGCAGAATTGCTCGATTGCAGGTCACGCTGCAGAAGAGTGGAGTCGAAAAGGCACGTCTACACGCAGGTCACAGGTCAACTAGTGTAATGGGGAAACCGCGCCAGTACTCAGGTGTGCCTCAGGCATCCCAGGGGTATTTCTAGGCCCAATCCCCTAGCATAGCAATTCAAGGATTCGATATCTCTCGCAAGAACAGCATCTTTTTCCTATTCCGGTAGTCCTGGGGGCCTGCGTAGCTCCCTGATCCCGCCGAGCACTGAGCACCCCCGTCGTCTTGTCTGCGATGTCAGACCGCCAGCGCGCTCTTCCCACTTTACTAGGTAGTACCCCGATTCAGGCCCGCCGCCGTGCTACCCGACCTATGTGGTTGACGTACTTTATGCCTTGGCCACCATCCATGGATTTCTTCTCGTTTGATTTCTTCTACCTTTTTCTTCCCTCATTCGACTTCAGGACTAGACACCACACCACCAAAAGATCAAGAAATACGCTTAGAGAAATACAAGAGAAAAGGCCATATATCGCCGAAGAGCTCGCGCAAAGCAGTAGTCGTCAATTTTCGGATTGGGTGGTCTAAATACGCCATATGCAGTTTGAAAACTTGGCTGGACCTGTGAGTCGCGCGACTTGGGTGATTCTCAGCCCGATTCTCACCCTGTCCATAGCGCACTCACCCTTGTCAACCCCGGTCTACGGCAGCAGCTAACGACCCTGCTGCAACATCAGCATTTTGCCGCTTTTCTACATAGCGATTCTGCCACTTTGCGCATTCAACTATGTAAAAATACGAATAAATCTCTAGTAATTCTATTAAATTAAGGTATCAGCTCCCTCATCATCTAACTAGTGTAAGAGGGAAACCACGCCACATCTCATATGCGCTACTATGGCTCGTTTTGGTAGTTTTTGTTCGCGATCTTGTAGCTTAGCAATCCAAGCATTCTACACCTTTCTGAAGAACAGCATCTATTTCCTATTCCAGTAGTCCTGGAAGCCTGCTCAGCTCTCATGATCCCTGGATTACTGAGTATCTTCATCGTCTTGTCTACAATGTTAGACCGCCAACGCACTCTTCCCACTTCACTAATTGCCATATCAGGTTATTTATTTTCTTTAAACTATGGAAAGATAAATTTGAACCTTTTATTATAAAGATTCCAATAAATAGCATCATCTTTTGATCTTACTTAAAAAATTAAATCAAAGATTCGTCATTAAGTAGTTAGATTTATGATTATATATTAAAATACACAATTTGTATAGAAAACTCCTCATTCTTTAAGTCTACTATTATACAGTAACTAATTTGAATATCTATTTAGATAGTATAATTGGTTTATAGATTTATATAAAGTTGTAAAATTGTAATACTATCTTAAAATTCAGAGATAATCTCCTCGTTGTAAAGCTCAATATCAATTGTATATGCAGGCATGATTGTAGGCCTCGAAGCCCCCGGGGCCCTTAGGGAGGTAGGGTGATTAGTAATGGAGAGAGATAGCCCGGGCCCCGGGGCCCTGGGGGTGATTAATAAACCTTGGGAAGACTCGGTAAATTACAGGGTAATAATGGTAAAAAAAGAGTAATTGACAAAATGGTTAAATTGGCGGCGAGTAAAGCGGTAAACGCACAGATGGCATAAGCGGTAAAGGGGCGATGTGGCAGCAGAATCATTAGCTGCTGCCGTACCCGGTCGCGCGACCGTAAAGCGGCGCTCACCCATTTCTCACCCCGGCGACACCCACCGGACTACTGACTACACATAAGTCACACGCCGGTGAGTTAGTAGTTGGGTGGGTGACCACCTTGTTTCTTTTCTGCATTCTACCTACTATTTTCGAGACATCGGTCCTGGTTGGGCTTCAGCCCAAATCACAACTTCATTGGGGTAGGAAGGCGGCCATAATACAGATCAAGAAGTTTTTGATGCATGCTCCGTACAGGGTAGAGATTGTGTGCTACATAATTGTGAACTTGTAGCGTGTTACTCCGTACCCCGAGACTTGGCCGGGAAGCCCTGGACCCACTCAGTGCTAGCAATAGCTTAAGAGATGGTGGATGTGCAGAAGACGATCGATCCCTTGATATGTGTACGGAATCCACTTCAGGGTTCGGAAATACTCCGCAATACCAGGTTTTACTTGACGGAATGACGGAATGTTCAAGGTATGATCGCGTATTCCGTGACAGGAGCCATAGTAAATCCATACGATCATCATTTGTGTAGTATCTAAATGATCGGCGGTAGATCGCGTCGCGTCAGCTTGGTGAACACTTTTCTTCCACACTTGGATGCCGGCTTCGGTGATCATTGAGAATACTTCCCCTCAACCCTTGGAAGCAGGGCTTCACATTGAAGCATTTCCGGATTTCATTCTTTGATGACACCCGAGATATCTGGCCTGAAATACTCCATACAACATGGATGATCGAAGACAGGCTTCTTTAGAGACCTCGCCGTCCACTCCAAATTATGACGTTGATTGGGATGGCCATGATGATCCCGCCAAACCAATCAATTGGCCGAAATGGAGGAAACGAGGCATTATTTATGCATTGTGCGCAATGCGATTTACAACGTGAGTGTGTACTTGTCTCCAGGGTTCTCAGCCGATGGAGGGTCGCTAATGGTACAGGCCATTCGCTTCATCAATGATGACTCCGTCACTTTTGAGCATTCAAGAAGACTTTCCAGCAGCTTCCAAATCCCTGCTCAGCTTCTCGGTCTCAATTTACATCATTGGATTTGGGTTGGGGCCGCTCATCCTGGCCCCTCTTTCAGAGATACATGGGCGAAATGTGGTATATCACGTTTCGAATATCCTATTCACAATTTTCACTGCTCTATGTGGCCTATCACCTAGTATTGGAGCGTTATTGGCGTTCCGGCTAATGGCTGGATTCTTCGGCGGTGCGCCCCTGACAAATGGTGGAGGAACAATTGCTGATATTGTGCCCGTTGAGAAGCGAGGCTTGTGAGTGCCGTGAAGCTTCTTTCGTGAAGATCTAAATGCTGATCGACTCAGGATCATGAGCGTATTCTCTGCTAGCATGCTGGCCGGCCCCACCCTTGGACCGGTGGCTGGTGGCTTTCTCGCCGAGGCCAAAGGTTGGCGCTGGATATTCTGGATCCTCACAATTCTTGTAGGCTGAAAATCCTTGTTTTCTTTTCTGCATAGGGTGAATGCTGACCTAAATAGAGCGGATGTACCACCATCTTCAGTTTTGCTGTGCTGCGTGAGACCTACGGCCCCTTTTTGCTGCAACAAAAAGCCAATCAGATTCGCAAACAGTCAGGGGATTCCCTCTACCATGTCAAAGGACAGACATATAAGACCTTGGGGCAGCTTCTGATAATTGCAACTACCCGACCGATACGAATGCTGATAAACCCGATCATCATGGGAATGTCCTTGTACATGGCTGTCATGTACGGTGTTCTCTATGTTCTCTTCACAACATTCTCTGTTGTCTTCCAAACTCACTATGGGTTCAAAGAAGGCGTTGCCGGACTCTCTTACCTAGGGATTGGAGTTGGAAGCGTTCTCGGAATGATTTTCTATGGTTACTATGGCGATAGAATCCAGTTGAAGCTTGCTGAGAAGCACAAGGAGTCGAAGCCGGAGTAAGTGTTTTTCTACTTCCTTTGAGCATCGTTTTAACATAACAATTCAGGTTTCGATTACCACCATTAATACCAAGTTTCTTTGCTATGCCAATTGGCCTGATCATATATGGCTGGACGGCGCAGTATCACTGTCACTGGATCCTACCTATCATTGGGACAGGATTCTGCGGCTTCAGCTTGATGGGTTGCTTTGTGGGTAGCGGTTCACCCTTCCAACGTCGGACATGCTAACTGCAAACAGGCTGCCATTCAATCGTACTTGGTGGATGCCTTCACTATTTATGCCGCTAGTGCATTGGCAGCCAACAGTCTTATTCGAAGTCTTGCTGGCGGTTTAGTACCCCTCGGGGGACTGGGACTCTATGATAAGATTGGACTGGGTTGGGGAAATACTCTACTCGCATTTCTTTCCTTGATATTCGGACTCTTCCCTTGGGTGTTTTATAGATATGGAGAGCGGCTGAGGCAGGTTAAGATTGGTTTGGAATGAAAATATAGGGAGAAATATCTGTAAGCCAATGGCGATTCGATAAATAAAATAGCAACTCATTTGCCTTGTTGACAATAAAGTGCAAAAAGAAAAGGAAGGAAGGAAGAAGTGGAGAAAGAGGAAGAAGAGGAAGAAGAGAGAGAGAAGGGGGAAGAGAGCGAACATCTGGTGAAGCCTGCCCTCCCTTTCTCCCCACCAACCTCTGTCACAATCCACAATTCCCGACTCGCTATCTCATGAAATGCTGTCACAAGCTCCGATTCCTGTCATTTGGCCAAACAGCCTGAATTTTCCAAGACAGACCCGCTTTCAACACAGTCTCACAATGACCGGTGCAACTCACAGATCACTGCAACTCAAATCCCAAAGCTCGACAGTGTGAGGTAACCCTTTACCTTCGGTATAAGGGAAAAACTCCTCGATCAGTTTATTTTTGGCCACTTTGTCACTGGGTGTTCGTGGGACCTGCTCCTCATCCAACATCAGTCGGAATGCATTGGAGAGCATGAAATTGGGTAAGCGGGAAGCAAGATCCCCCCGGAGGCTTTCCAAGCTGACAACCCCTTTCCGAGGCTTGACGAGAACACCCAAACGCGTGCCAATTGTTCTGTCTTTCACAGGCACTACATATGCCTCCTTCAAATAGTTGAGTTTTCGAATCACCTCTTCTAATTCAATAACCGGAACCCGCCCTCCAGCGGTCTTGATAACTGCACGACATTAGCAACGGGCAAAGGAACAAGAACCCGGAAATTGCAAAGCTTACAGTCAAGGGCTCCACGGCCATCGAAAAAATAGTAAATACCCTCCTGATGAGCAATATCACCAGTTTGAAAGTATCCCTCGTCAAAGAGACCATCAATCGAAGGCTCATTGTTCAGATATCTGGTCTGGTTAGCTGGTATCTTTGACATCGTGCTTCATGCTCATACCCAAGAAAAGTCTTCATACCACCGACAAGAGTTTCTCCTTCTTTGCCATTAGAGAGCTTAACAGGCATATCAGGGGACCACAGTCTCCCAAGGCATCGCTGCTCATCATGTCAGACTCTTCGAAACTTTGGCATCGCCCCCACATTTTATACTCACATCACCTTTCACGATCTCCTGAGTAGAGGTCCCCAGAACCATGCTACCAATCTCAGATGAACCGTAGCATATTTGCAATGGCAATTTGAACTCCTCACGCAGAATCTTCAACAGAGATGGCACCGGCACACTTGCGCCAATATGCGCGGCGCGCACTTTCGATATGGCATGCAAATACTCCTCCTTTCGCGGATGCGCCTCAATATTCTCTTTGTAATAGCGCGCTAATTGTTCATACCAGCCACAGCCTGACATGATGTATGTCAGTCCATGCAATCGAATCCGCTCCCACGTCTCTTTCGCAGTGGAATTGGGGTCCATGATCTCCGAACGTGATGCAGTAAGAGCTGCTCTCATAAGTGGGAACGAACCCCCCATTCAGCTAGCAGGCCGAGCAACGTGTATGGCTTCATCATCTGGGGCCTGTGGCTCTCTCGCGATTTTGCCATACCATTCCCTACTGTGGATAACTCCTTTGGGGTTCCCAGTGGTGCCGGAGGTGAACACGACAAGACCGGGTCGTGACCTCGGGATCGAGATATCCTTGTTGATTTCAAGCCCACTTATAGTCCATAATGAAGAAGGACACTGATTTAGGGGCTCGATCGGAAGCAAGTTGATGTGGGGCAAAGAGTTGGTGGTGGCAAATGCCTGGGCTTCTTCAGCTTGATCGAAGCATTTCTTGCTTGTTAAAAGGCACCTGACGGGCGATTTTCGCAGGATATGCGAGACAAATTCGGGGCTTGCGGCCGTCGCTGATGAGATTGCGTGAGTGACATTTCTTTCGGGTACTCGATTCAGATCCTTGCGACTCACGTAAAGGAACTACCAACCCTTTTTCAATCGATGGCGCAAATGAACGATATCGGCCACAAATTGATTGAAGGTCGGACTACCCACGGAATCAGGGTCATGAGAAGCAATACGCGTGCCAGCATTGCGGGCTCGTGACAAAAAACTTATGAAGATATCATCATTGGGGAAACCACCATCTTCGGCTAGAAACGATGCAATTCGAGCCTCCTCTGGCGTGGGTTGCACTGTTAATCCCATTTTTGGTCTGATTTATGCCGGTTGCGAGGTGAAGATCTATGTAGAATCTTAAAGTGAGATCTCTGAAAGTCAATGAGGCTCTGAGATCGTTGATTTTGCGATCTTTGTGATGGCTCCCACTTGGGAATGTTGTACTGTACAACCACGAGCCACGAGTAGCTACCTTCTGGGCGATCATGGTCTTGGGGCTCAATAATCCCAAAGCTTTGCATAGAAACCAATTTGTCAGAAATGCATTGAATGGCCAAGTGCAATGATCTACAGCCACAAGTGGGGCTCTCTCCGATCATTGACGATCCTAATTTCAGCGCAAGCAAGGGGGTGTGATGTTTCATTGCCTCCATGACCGTACAGAATATACTCCGTACGGAGTGCGGAGTGCTCGACCGCTGTTCCTCATGCGGAGTATTATTTATGTACGGAGTACCCCGTCGCAAAGGTTGAGCTATTTTGGTCCTCTGAGTGGATATGACAGCACCATCGCAGGGTCACGAGATATTGACTTCAGAATAGTACCAATTCTACCATAATCTACTACGAGATCATACTGTATACCCAGTAACCTTGGAAAGAGCACTGTACAAGTTTGGGGATAATCCAAAACTGATATTATACTCAATTCCATTATTCATAGATTATACAAAAGGAAACTCTTGTACATACGACCACAGGGTGTGGAGAACAGGGCTTCCCGTCCGCTCAGCCGTACTTAAGCCACACGCCGGTGAGTTAGTAGTTGGGTGGGTGACCACCAGCGAATCCTCACTGTTGTATGTTTTTGTTTTCTTGATTTGGATTTATTTTCTATCTCCGTTTCATTCTTTTCCTTTTTGGGTCGTGGACTGGAATTTGCCGCGATAAGTGACGTGTCTCTCCGGCGACCTTGGACATGGATCAATGTCTCCAATTCGTTCTCAGTAAAATATACAAGTACAAACAAATTTTCGTTCTGCCCTGAGGTAGGAACATGAAATTTTTAGCTTTGAACGACTGTTCTGATCAAGTTCGGTCAGTGAATCTAACATTAGAAAAGCCCCATACCCATGTCTGCATCGGAATCATCCGAGTCCTGCAACCCCTGTGCCGCTTCTAATGCCTCGCGATATTCTCCTTGCTCAAGAGACGGATCCACATTTGCCCCGGCAGCCAAGTGACATCGCAAGAATCTTCTCTTCGCCTGCGGCTGCGGCTGTAGCTGCAGCTACAAGACTTGGGTATTCAGCACGACGTAGAGGTTGGTTGACGTCCGCACTCGCATCCACGAGGGCTTTCACGATTTTGATTGTCCCTGAGCCCATGATAGCTGCCCGGGCGGCAAGAGGACTCGTATTTGCCATGCTCCATCACCATGTTCACGTTGACACCTGCTTGAATCAGACATTCCACGATCGCAATGTCTTCTGATAGCCCACGCGCTGCTATCAGAGGGCTGCAATAAATCACCGGCCTCGGAAATGCCGTCTATATTCGCGCCGCAGTCCACCAAGAATTCAACTAGATCCACACGACAGTGTGGTGTTACCTCAAGCAAGTCGCCACCAGGTCCACCAAGAACTAGTTTTTTCATGATCAGTGCAGCAGATGACAGCCGGTGATTCCCACTTAGCTTATCACCCTATTTATGCTCTATACGGAGTACTCCGTACGGAAAAGTATGCGCACTCACCTTTGTCACCTCCAGTAGCGCGACCGTAAAGTGGTGCTTGCCCATTTCTCACCCGGGCGACACCCACCCGACCACTCCGTAGTACTTGAGCCACACACCAGTGAGTTTAGTAATTGGGTGACAACCAGCGAATCCTCACTTCTGTACGGAATATCCATTGATGTTTTCCCTTTTTTGTTTTTTTTTCCACATTAAATTGACATGTTTGATAATTTTACACAACTTGAATATCGAGATGCACAGCATCTTCACTGTGTTGTGTGCTCGTGGTGCCTTAACGAAATATTCGTCTGTATCGTAACCGTAGATGAAAACAAAAAACAAACCAAATCTGGAAGAACTAGGGAATTTGGGGGTAAATTATCAATACGGTCGCCCACAGGAGTTGACTTGTCTCCGCCGAGGTCCCATCAAGCGGACAAGATCTAGACAAGCAAGCCCTTTGTGGTCTGACTAACTGTGCTGAAGATCCGATCTTTGAGATACCTGGTGGGCAGCATATTCCATATACTTTTGCGCAGTGTGTATCCTGGCACGCTTGCCATAGAGCATAAGAAGAGCAGGCATGACCATAGTAACAAGGGAGAGGACACCAATCAGAATGAACGCGTTCTGAACACCCATCCCGGTGATCCAGGGCGTAAGTGCGAACCTGATGACCATTGCAAGGGCATTACGAATAAACACGACGGAGATAAGAGTATCATTAAGGATCTGGATCTGTTGAGCGGGCTGATTTTCTCATATCATTTAAGACCTGGGTAAACTCACCAAGGGATAGCAATCTGTGAGGTATGTCAGAGCCATATCTCCAGTGATCATAAATCCAAACCCAAAAATCGCGTTTCCAGCAGCGAGGATGATCCAGTGCCAGCCCTATAACGAGAATTTAGAAATCTTGGTTCTGAATTGACCAAAAAAGGAATCCATACCTGTTCAAGTCCGATACCAAAAACCCAGGAGCCTATGGATGTGCATATGATGGCAGGGAAAAGCAACCACAAACGCATCTCTGGCTCAAAGATACCCTTATTTCGGCGAGACTGCCAAACAACAAGCCAATCACTCAGAAACGCAACGGTGAATGTAGCAAGGAAAGCACCAATAAATCCTCCAAGATTGAACAGACCAATTGCATTCGGTTTGAAACTGTAAGGCGGTAATTTCAACCTATCGTTTCCGGTCGAGGTAGTTGCAGAGAACCATGCTTGAATCACGCCGTATTGAATTGCAGCGAATGAGACTGCTGGAAATAGAAAAGGGGCCACTAGAGGCCGGTACAATTTTTGGAGGATTGGGACGTCGGTCTTTGTCACCAGTGCAAGACGTTGAAAGTATGTTTTGCGAGGGTAAGTCTGGGCTTCCACAAGATATGAGTCAGATGGCAGGTAGCCGCTGTTGTTGGATTGATCTCCATTGTCAGATGAGGCACCATTGGTATCTGCCACCTCGCTTTTCTTGGGTATCTTGTGCCCAGTTGACATTGATCGGGGAACATATTTGGATTCTTCAAAGAAGAAAAGAACAAGTAGAAGATTGGCGCCGAGCACGATTGCGGTAATCCACCACATCCACCGCCATTGGATGGAGACTATGATGTACCCCGCGGCGATGGGACCACCCAGTGTACCTAGACTCTGCATGAAGAGGAAGATGCCGTTCATACGAGCGCGCTGATGCACGAAAAACAAGTCAACGACGGTGATCATCACGATGGCCTCGCTGACTGAGCCCCCGAGACCGGCCAGCAAACCGATGACTATCATTTCACCGGCAGATTTGAACTTTGCGTACCAAATCGCACATGCAAACTGAATCAATGCACTGATGAGGTAGAGAGGTCTTCGACCGAACTTATGCACGCAGGGAATAAAGAACAGGCATCCTATCGCAAGACCAGCATATGAGGCACCGCCGGCTTGATTCAAGGTTGACCAGGACAAATGCAGAACATCGGTATATATCGACCACGCCACGACACCGATATCAAGCAAGACGAAAGTAAATAGAACATATGTGCAAGTGAGTCCGAAGTTCACCGTTTTTCTCAATGTGGTCCAGTTCTAGATTCATGTTAAGCTCGGGAAACCTTCAACGCTGCGGTCTAAATCGATTTTACTCACCAATGGGTCTTCTGGGTCATTTGAAGGTGTAGGATTGAGAATAATTCCCTTTTTGCCATTCCTGCCGGTGTCCCCTATATCAAAATCAAATTTAAAATCCATCGATAAAACTTGAATTGTATGAAGGACGAACGATCATCTAGAATATGCGTCCCTGGTGGAAAGTTGAGATACTCGTTGGCGGACATCGTGAGTAGTTCTTGGAGCGAAACGTAGTTAAAAGCCTCTCAATACTCAGACTTGTGCTACTGAGAATTGGATGTGTTTCCCTCTTATATAACCAGTGTATCAAAGGAGCAACGTCCATTCGAGGTTACTCGTGTCCAATCAATGCGAACATTTGGGTTGCCACGCACAGCCCGCAACGTCATTGTGTTTTGGTATGCACCTGGGCGAGCGAGCTTTGACTGGGGGCCAGGCATGCGTTGGTATATGTGAGCAGTGAGTTGTATAGACCAACGAACGCGAAGGTCAGCAAAAAATATGCAGCTGATCCTTGTCACTGTGTGCGTCATGGTAGCCACAAGCATTCGTCAATGCACCTTTTCAAGGCTACCCAGATGTTATCAAATGACAGTGTTCATGGATAGGCAATACCCCGTGGGAGTTTGCCCTAAATGGATATGTGCCTAGATTGTGCCTTGGGGTGGAGAGGGGGCCAGTGATGTGGGGGGCGGGGGAAGACCGGGACGAGAATTGAGGTCGAACACACGCATCGAAGACTCAACATGCAAGGATAAGATTCATACTTCGAGGCCGACGTTCAACGAGTAATTCTCTGGCCCCCTCGTCACCCATATTCCCTTCTAGAGCACAAGCTCTTGCAACTGGCATACCATATCGGGGGCTAGCTCCGACAAAGCAAGCGCACGGGGCGGTCGATGATTCCATCACGCATAAGCTTAAGCCCAAAGCAGTAATTCAGTTGTAGAAAGCCGGGATAAAAATTGACTGCAGGAGACGAACGTCTTGGACAAGTGTGAGTCTTCGCGGTGCTGGATTTTGGATATACTATGTATGGAAGGTTGATTTGATAGGCACCCCGAGGAATGTATTGACTTTGGGATATCATATGGCCTTGGAAGAGAACACTGTTGGTCACTTGATGTCTGTCAGGATTGCAATGTGCAGAATTTTCCCTGATCGGCCTGCAAAAGGAAGCAAAAATCTCAGAAACGGAACATTTTGCACTTCCGATGTGAATGTGGACTATTGCCATTGACAGCTAACTGGTTATTGCTGTCTGCGGTGATCGAAAGAAATCACCTGTTTCCGATGAATCCTTCCCTGGAAACGGTGCCATTGCTCTAATCGAACTTCTTAATTCCCCTCGTCGATTTTGGCAGTGAGACAAGCATTCGTATTCGAATCATTACGGAACAACCAAAATTGAACATCAGATTGGAGTTTTGCCTCTGCTTTTGTGTAGGCAGTTTCGAGCACTACTGATGGTTCTCTGGGTTGGTCTCGGGGGCGGCGTTTTGGTCCCCACCCAAAATCCGGCCCATCCAGTGCTCGGGCACGGCAATCAATCAACTTGGACTGTCGTCGGCGGGTGTTCAGCGTGGTCTCAAGGCAATAGATCGGTGATTTTGGGCTCGGGTCTCGGGCCGGGTGCCCGCCCGCCATGATCGAGGTCAAGGACGCAATTGAAGATCAATCATTCTTCAGCCTCGGTCGGATTATGGCTTTTGAGGTGCAATTTCAAGCGGGATAAGGTGCCGTCGATGCGCATGTGGAGACTTGTTGTTGGGAGGTCAGATGACTCCTTTTGCTTAGATAGTTCTCTTTCTCTCTGTCTCTCTCTCTCTCTCTCTCTCTTTTCTTTTCCCCGGTCGGTCTTTTTTGCTTCACAGCCAGAATCTACTGTTTTGAAGCGATTCGTGCTTCTCCTCCTTAAATCAGCCTGTTCTCACTTGTTCTCGGGGCTTTGAAACATCGTGCCCGCTTGATGAGTTGGGGTGATTTGCTTTCTCTCAGGCCTGCGTCTCAAGATCATATTGGAATTTCACGGTAGTGGATATGGTGGATTCAGTCACCTATCATCTTCCTCGCATCTTCGTCGATCAGTTGCCTCGTTTAGCAACATCGGGACATTAGCGTACAGTAGGCGGACCAGCAGACGGGAGGTCACAACCAAGCTTTGGCGGTTGAGGCCACACTGGAGCCAAGCTGGAAGGTGATACCCAGAATGATTGGTCGGAAGTGGGAAGGAGTGAAATTGAAAGGTCAAGCGCGACCTGGGAGGTTGGGTGCACTGCCATGGGGCTGTGGCTGTTCCACCTGGGACAAATTGAATTTGATCCACAACCTTCCTGGATCATCCTAGCTCAGGTGCATTTTAAGCATAGTACGGATGAAAGCCAGTGAAGTCTCCGTCTGTACTCCCAACATGCATTCGGCTCAGTTGGCCCCCAAACGACATCCCCGTGCGCAAGACCGCCTTGCAAAGAGCCTCCACCGAGCGGCTCTGCTAGAATTTAGGGTGGGCTTTTCTTTCACTTTCTTTGCTGCTTTGGTGTGGTACCAAACCTCAAGCTCAATACCTCACGGTGCAACAATAATATTTCTTCAGAACGAGCAGCAACAGGAGCGCGTTTTCAACCTCCAACTTCAGATCGCATGAAGACATAGGCGCTCCACGGGAGTGGTAGACGCCCTACTAGTGACAGGAGCTCCTCTATTGACAGTCTTTGAGTCTGTTTTAGATCTTCGATCATGATCACAAACAATCATTCCAGTGCCTGCAAGTACGATGCCGTCTCCAGCGAGGAGACAGCGGTCGCTGATCCCGCCTCAACAGCTCTTCCGACAAGGAAGAAGCGATGGATCAAAGGCTTGCTATTTTGCGCGCTTGGTGTTGCGCTAGCATTCATAGCCCATCTTGTTCTTATGTTGCAACTAGCCGCCAAAGCCTTCTCACGAGGCTATGGGTGGGGCTCATCGTCGGCCGTCATTTACGACGGCGAGTGTGATACAGCCAATCGAACCGCAACAGGACTGCATGTCCTTATCAACGTCATCGTCCTCACTCTCACTGCAACCAGTAGTTACTGCTGTCAGGTCCTATCAGCTCCATCACGAGGTCGAATCGATGTTGCGCATTCTCAGAGGGTCTGGGTGTCGATTGGATCTTCCAGTTTCACCAATATCTGGTATGCGCCTCGATGGCGGAAGATGTTGTGGTTTTTGGTGTTTGGGACCTCGCTCCCTGTCCAGATGATGTGAGCAACTAAGTGATCTATTGATAATTTTTCCTATCTCGTGCTAACCTCAGGATGATGCTAGATATAACTCCTTCGTCTATGTATCAATTGGCGCAAATGACTTTGGTCTTCTTCATGCACCGAAGTGGCTTAACCAAGGCCCTGCATCCTTCGATGGATCGACGGGTGCATCATTCAATGTGTCGAGTGATTTCCAGGACGCCATGGGGATGAGCTTGAAGGGGTTGAACAAAGAGATCGCCTCCGGAAGTTTGCAACAGCTGGATGCTGCCTCATGTACGCAGGCATACAGCCAGGGCTATCAAATCTCACGGAGTACTTTGGTTGTTTTCACCGAATGGTGGGACGACGAGTCCAATCTTGAGCCGTGGACGTGCCAAACCTCCCAGAACCACGGTCAAGTAAATGTTACTGGCTCAAACAGCAAGGGCAATAATCATCCGTGTGTGCTTTTTGCCCAGGAGCAAAGAAAACCCAATGGCACCTACGTCACCGCGGGTTTCTTTCCAGATTATGCATACATATTCGATTACCGCAATTCGGAGCAGGTTTATACTTGCTATAGTCGAACTGTTGATGTGTCTTGCGAACTAAGCTGCTCTTTACCCATTGGGCTAGCTGTTTTGACCTGCATTGGATTAAAGTTGCTCTGCATAATAATCGCAGCTCTGGACCGCCGACAGGAGATCATCTTGACCGTGGGAGACGCCATCGCATCGTTTTTAGGACGATCCGATCCCTATACCTTGAACAATTGCCTAATGACTCGATCAAACAAAGGTCATCCTAAATCTGTACCCACTGCATTCAGGAACGATTATCCTTGGGTCTCGGTCTTTTCCCAAGCTGTCCCTTTTCGTCAGGGCCACACTCCGCCGCCGCAGCCAAAGAGAATCCACAGTGCCCGTCAAAGATGGTACTATGCTTTGCCTGAGCGACTATTCAGGTTCCTTCTTCTTTTCAAAGTTAGCATCATGGTTCTGGCGGTCCTGGCCTTTGTGTTACCCAATTACATCAGCGGAGTAGATGTCAATGAGGGCGGCATGTCCTCTTCAGAACAGAGGATCAACTCGATATATCATTCGAAAGTGTCCCTACTTAACGGAGGCTTCATTGCGACGGTGCTGTGCGTGAACACTCCACAGGCAGTAATTTCGATCATCTACTCCGTCTACAATAACACTCTCACTCGACTGCTCCTGGCCTCCGAATACAACAACTATGCCGTCGAGCGGAGACCCCTCCGTGTTTCCTTTCCCACAGGCAAGCAGCGTTCAACATACTGGCTGTCTATTCCATACCGGTACACTATCCCTTTGCTCACTCTTTTCACTCTGGCCCACTGGCTTTCCTCCCAGGCATTTTCCTTGGTCCAGATCGTCCCCATAACTATCCAAGGGGAACATGACCGCAGTCGAGTGATGGTTGGTGTGGCTACTTCGTCACTAGGGATGAAGCTAATGGCAATTCCTGTGCTTGTCGCGCTGGTAGCAATATTTGTCCTAATGTTCCGCAAATTCCAGTCGGCAGCCATGCCTATTGCGATGAATTGCAGTGCAGCCATCAGCGCCGCCTGTCATCCTCCAGTGGGTGATACGGATGCTGCAGAAAAGCCGGTAGTGTGGGGAGAGGTTGAGGTGAACGTGGCGAGTCTGTCGACAGCTTTGGGGCCGGGCGTGGAGGATTTCCAAACGGAGTGCCGCCACTGTAGTTTCACATCTCAGGGTGTCAAAGAGCCTGACTCGAGGATTTTGTATTATTGAATTGAGCTACAGAACTACCTCGTTCGGGTGAAGGACAAGCAAGAAATGAAAAATTTCTCCATGAAGGCGGTCAACATCATAGGAGAGAGCCTGAGGTAGCCGAGTAGAAATAAGTCTCACCAGAGCCCTGGAGATACATGGCATACAAATAGGGACTGACAAACCTCAATCATGGTAGACCAACGTTTATTACCTACCCCAATAAAGATCCATGATTGCCTCTTCACCTCAGTCCGATCAAGACCCATATCTCAACAATGGTGGCGAAAAAGCAAAAAATAAAAACATACAACAGTGAGGATTCGCTGGTGGTCACCCACCCAACTACTAACTCACCGGCGTGTGGCTTAAGTACGGCTGAGCGGACGGGAAGCCCTGTTCTCCACACCCTGTGGTCGTATGTACTGTTTATGAACTGAGATAAATCTATACGTTAAACATCACCGTCTAGGAATTGCTGCGGAAAAATTTAGGAAACTCGGAAATTTGGGAAATCTTAGACATCTCTGCTACAAGGCCAAAAGTAGTGTTCGCCCAGCTTAGGAGGCTCTCATTCCATGGATCTAGTTCAGGGCTGCACCTGGGCAGTCTTCTTAATGTCCGTCAGTTCGCCCAGAACTAACCAATGTTTCCGACCTTCACCCTGGGTCGTGGACATTTCTGTGAGCTTATACTGATTTGTAGACAAGCTTCCGATATGATTGCGTAATGATCTTGGAAAATCCTGGGAGAAAGTTCTATTTCACGCAATAGTCAAGTATAGAGAAGGGTGAACAAAAGGGCTTGTCTGATGGAAATAGTAGACATTGGTGTTACAGGCCCGGGGCATTTAATATGGTGTAGATCTACATGGCATCCATGGATCCATGGATCGCACTCTGTATTACATGGACAACTTAAAACCATCCATGGATGGATATGGGTAGCTCCCGAGCCACTGCCGACCCAAAGGTTAATCGCCATTGTATGGTCGTATATGTCAAAAATGAAATCCATTTTCCAACCAGCCCCATGCCCCGGATCCATAGATGGAAACCAAAAAAGGAATTGTCCTCTCACGCGGGATCGAACCGCGAACCTTCAGATATACTTCAAGAATCAATTACAGTCTGACGCTCTTCCAGTTGAGCTATGAAAGGAATGGGATGATCGGCGCCCTGGATTATGCCGTCATCAGTCAACGATGATCTCAAGTACAGTATACATGTTGACGAAACTAGCTTTTCAAAAGTCCCACGACAATAGCAACAGAGAAAGTGTATGAAGGAGAGAGAAAGTGTGTGCGAGTGTGAGAAAGCCTGTATGCATAGACAGTAGACTTGTCTTTTTTTAGAGCGCCATGGACGTTATAATCTACAGCACCACTCGAAGCGCTTCCAGTTGATCAATTCAATTGCTGCAAATTATATGAAATTCAGGGCGAGCAGAGAAACGTCTCGCCTAAAATTCCCCTTTCGCGGCCTCTCTGGCAGAAATCGGCCTGGATTCGTCCATCGCTGAGAGGATAGTAACAACCAACATCTTTCCATCCGCAAAGTCTGACTTGATTTGATCCCCTAGGTCGCCATTTGGAACAGGAATATCGTTCCTCGGTGTGCCTTCGTTATCAAGCAGGTTCAACATGCCCTCGTCAACTTCGACATTCACCTCAGAGTAGAACACCCGGGTATTAGTCAAATACTCACATTTCGAAACCAAGTTTGGGAGGGGTACCAGTTCGTAGTCCTTTCGCGATACCGTCGGAACATCCACGCGGGCATCGCTTGGTAGCGATGCCTCGATCTCTTGGTCTATGAAAAGGTCTTCTCCCACAAGATCGCTCCCCTCGGTGGTTGTTGAAACCTGAAGCAGGCGGCAAGGGCGGCCGTCGATGACCACATGTCCATTCTTTCTCAGGGCGGAGACAAGTACAGAGTACGTGGTACCTTGACCCTCTCCAGTCTGGGCGACGTTATTCTCGAATTCCTCATTATCGGACATTTTGGCTTGTTTTGTGATGCTGCTTGTTTTGCGATACTGGAAATATGCTGGGGAATCGATATAAACAGATTGGAAAAAAAAATCACTTTGCCAATATTTGTGGATGCTCAGCAGAAACTCGGAATAAGAAAAGGTACATGGTTCCGTGCCAACGGATGTGGGCTCTAGTTTTCAGCTTTGCTCGTCACCCAGATCGGCAATGGCTTGAAGGTCCACCAATCTCGCGTTCAGTTCATCCCATTGTGGGGTTGCAGCCGTACTCCCATTCTATCGGGACTCCAATGATCAAGTTCGTTGCCGATCTCATCGCCCGTAGTGGGGTTGGGATAATGAAATCCCACCATCTCTCGGCTGATTGACCGCAACCGGTCACATTATCAGGACTCTTCGACTGCAAGTGAATACGAATCCAATCACGGAAATATGGAGAGAATTCTAGCTCGGTGCCGTGAAAGTGAGGGGAGGTACGGAGTATCGAGAGCAAACTGACGATGAGGGGGAAAGATCGTGCCCCACTTACGAAATTAACAACCGGAGCTGAACTCAAGGGAACCTGCACATACCAAATACGCCCAAATTGATGCCCGCAATAGTGGGACATATGGCATTGGCCAAATGAAAGGATGCTGAAACCAGAGAATCAGATTAGAACTGCGTGAGCCACAACTGAAGCTTTTTCTCAATCTGCGGGTAGCTTATAGGAAACCAGACAATATTGGTTACTAGCTGTGTATCATTTACAGAGTAGCTCTTCCAGGGTTAGAGGGAGGTGCATTCTGGTTGTGCCGCTTTAGGATGCTGAGAATGTTTTGACTATTGGCCAGAATCGAAGGTTGAGCGGCAACTAATGAGATCACAAGTGAGGGCATGGGAGCTGAGCATGCGCATGTGATATAGGATGGTTGAGAGGAAAGAGGGCAGGCTTCATATACTTGCTCTCTCTTTCTGTCTCTCTCTCTCTCTCTCTCTCTCTCTCGTAAGCTTGGAATGCGACCTGATTGTTTGGCCCTCGCTGCGCTGCTCTTAATTTTTACTTCTCCCCTGGACCGGTTGGGCTAGGGCAATGCATACAAGCTGCAGGACAAACACAGCAGATCGCAAGCATTAGATCCTGGACCATTCTTAGGATATCGCGAATGAATATCTCTTCGTCGGGAACATCCAAAACGCCCAGTTGCCAGTTCAAGGTGATAACCATATCGCCTCCTTTCCGTGTTACAAGCTGGAAGTTCAATGCACTTCCGGTTGCATTCGCCGGTTGTGAAAACAGCATTCTCTCAATATCACAGTTCATTTGCCCTGTGTTAGAGATAGTCTGGAATGAGTCCAGTGGTTGCGGATCAAAAACCACAGCGTTGCTGATTTCGTAGGACGAATCTCGAGGCTTTCCCAACTGCGCTAAGAACCAAGGACGGAACTGACTTAGGTATCGCAAGAGGCCTATTGGTTGATCAGCGAGCGTGCTCGCACAATCACCGAGTTGCATCGTCGTCCTTCGCGCAGCAGCCCAGAACATGTCATCGTGTTTCAAAGGAACCGCGCCGCCTCTTTTCGGTTTCGGATATGATCCGGTTGATGACACATGGAGCGCCGAAACACTGTTGCCCATTTGGTTCTCGGCATACGCAGGAATTAGTGGTCTCAGGTCAACGACTATCTGACCGATGAGGTGTCGAGAGGGGATATCTGGTGGGAGGACGGTGTCAAGTACACGCGCGACAAGTTGATTGAAAAATCCGGTGAACTTCACATCATGTTCCCTGCAGATCTCCAGCACGGCACCAAGAAGAGATTTCTCGACCAAAAGAGCCTGCGAGCCTGTGCGAAAGTTGGATGGCTCGTGGCACATAGGTTTTCCAGTCCAAGCACTGGTGACCTTCGAAGACGGGAAACCGAGAAGCCTCGAGACGGAGCTCGGCATCAAACTGGGCAAAACATTGGAAAGAAAATAGGACCAGCTAATCGTCAAGTCGCAGACTTCCTCCAGAGGGGGTGGAAGGAGCGATGTAGATGATTGACAAATGTACTTCCGGTCGTACAGATCATGCCCAACCTGGAGACCCTCCAGGAAGCTTTTGTGAAAAGCTAGGCCTGATCTTCCATCCCCGTGAGTGTGGGAATAAGCAAAAATGATATACATCTTTTGTGCTCCTGTACTGCCTGGCTGATTGAAAACAGGGACAATGCAAACCTTCCAAGGGGGGTGCTGATCTACCTCAAGAAAGGGTTGGTCATGTATTTCCTTGGTCACCTGTGAGATCAAATTCAAATCCTCTTGGGGAGTGAGGGAGACCGAAGGCGAGAATGCAGGCACAACGTGTAAATGACGTCGAAGATCCAGGTAGGCAGGTCGGGTAAAACTTGGAGTTTCAGTTGCCTGACCTTGAATTGCAGCGCTCAGGATCGGGTGAGCGGCAATACAATGCTTCAAAGCCGGGACGAAGTGCTCGAAGTTACTCGGGTCAAATGTGTTGACAGAGTCGGAGATTGAGTACAAGCCAGTCAGCGTCAATGCGCCATAGAACCCGAGAGCATGCCGCATTATGTAGCGTCTTTCATTTTTGCCTTCATAATCATCAGTCTCACACTCAGCCGTAAGGGGAAGTCGCAAGTCTATCCGTACTTGCCGAGCGAATAAATTCGAGGCTGTTTTGATCAGTCATGACGTTCAGTGGCTCGGCTCAAGAGAGTAGTGCTTAACAGCTGGTCATCTTTCAAAAGTCTCTGGACATTCATTCTTGGCCGTTCCTTCGGGTCGAATTTATAGTTTAGAGTTGGTCCGAGAGGTAGTGGTCGAGAAATGTTGACCGAGCCATGTTACATATACTCGGTCAATTCGGTCAAATATCAAGTGCCAAGGTAAACCAATGACATTCGAGAAATCAGAGGGCAGTTCCACAGAGACGTTTGGTAGACATTCTTCGGACCGGGCGAGAGTGGGTTCCAACTACATAGTGTCCAATCAACGCTGTGAATATTTCGCTTATCCTCGCTCTTTCGTTCTTTTCGCTCGCTCATTCCCCATCCCCTCTCGTTCCTATCGTTCTCTCGCTCGCTCGTTCCCCTCGCCTCCGTGACAACACTCATTGCCGATCAAGCTGCAAAAAGCGTGTTTTTATCAAAGGCTACGTCTTTCCACGGATGCCGCAGTCTAGTAGAGCTGCAGGCAGCCGCCGTAAATGGCACAGTAAATCCCGAACAGGTTGTCAAACTTGCCGCTCTCGAAAAATCAAGGTAAGCATCTCTTACAATTCTCAATTGGTGGTAAAACTGAAATCAACGTCCTCAATACTCAAGTGCGATGAGCGACGTCCGTCATGCCTCAATTGCACCAGGAAGGGCCTGCGTTGCGACTTTCAGACGTCGGAAAGCCTGACTACGACAGTTCAGGCCCCAGAGACGCTGACGCTCGAGCTTCTTCACCACTTCACAATTTCCACATCTGTCACACTCTCCCCTGATCCCAGAGTCCGAGACGTTTGGCGAGTTGTAGTTCCTCAGATGGCATTTACCACAGACTACATCCTTGACGGAATTCTTGCCCTTGCTGCCCTTCACATTGCTCGTTATGACAGCGGGCGGAGACACGTTCTCCTGCCTTATGCCATAGACCGACATTCAGCATCTCTATCGAAAGCCCTACCGCAGATTCCGGGGGTGACGGCCCACAATTGTACGCCTCTTTTTGTTTTTGGGGTGTTAACGCTCTTCTTCAGCCTGGCACAGCCTGCCCTGGAGGTCCCAACAGAGCCATCTAGCAAGGACATCATTCCCGAATGGCTACATCTCCTGCGAGGTATTGATGCCGTGGTGATGGCTGAGAACTCCCTATTTTCCTCGCCCGTGTCATTAATATTTCGAAGTTCCTGGGGAAGCTTGAATTACTGGAAATCGCATGTCCCGGAGCAACACCAGGTCCTCGCAGACTTGGAAGAGAAAATATGCACAGAAACCTCGGAAGATCCAGAAAGGCTCATTGCACTACGAGAAGCTGTCGTAACCTTGAATCGAAGCTTCTCGTTTTTGTATGGCGGAAATTTCAAGGATCAGGATAAATTGCGTGGATTTTACGAATGGCTCTTCGAGATTACTGACTCATATCTGCACCTCTTGAAGAACGGCGATAATGGAGCGCTATGTGTGCTCGCTTTTTACGCGGTACTGGTGAGAGATTTAGAGAAATACTGGTGGATAGAAGGGTGGGCGATTCGTCTGATCAAGGGAATTTACATGCTTCTAGATGGAGAGCATCGGTTGTGGATCAGATGGGCTATAGAGGAGATTGGATGGGTCCCCGAAATTAGGTGATAACCTCGGGAGTTGATTTTTGTCGATTCCTGGGTTGGTACATCCATGGATCCATGTCAAATATGCCAAGCTAGTAGCCGCAGGCCTTCGGGTCATGTGTACTTAATCAACCTGCCGTACGGAGTATATAATATAGGTTATAAAAGGTTACCTGTGTACGGCCTTTATGGCACTAGGGTCAGCCCTCGGAGAGGCAGGTGGAGGGTCTGAGGCCATAGACCACTCGGAGGATCACTGCTAGGTCCAGACTCAACTCTTTAATAGAAGTCTATCTTTCGACATCAGAATGTCACTACCTGAGCGAAGGGTACTTGTTACTAGCGAGAGCCAGACAATGAATGTTAAGTTGCTTCGTACTTGTTGCTGCCAGGCGCCAGGCAGCAGTGGCAACATAGGGCGGCGTTCACCTCGTCTCGGACCTTTTCCCCTTCTCCACACTCGCTTTCTCCTTCTGATAGTACTGCAAGACCACCCAACCTTGAACCTCTATATTGCCAATCGAAATTTGAATTTGTCCTCCGCCACAATTCTTTCCTTCTGGCTCTCTAGCTCAGCAACGTCCCATCCCGAGACTAGAAAGCGGCCCGATAGCCAGGCACGCTTTGTCTTTGTAAGCCACACACAGAATCCACCAGGCAGGCTGATGTCGTCGAGGAATACTTTTTGGGAAAGTAAAAGAATTAGGTCATTGCATAAGGGTAGGTCATATCAAAACTTACTATCATCCCACGGTAGAGTATCGTCAGAAGTTTTGATAGCTCCCGGGTGGACAGCGATGCAAACCACGTCTGATTTGAATTCTGCATCAACATATTCTGCAAGACGGTTCAATGCAAGTTTGCTCATGTTATACGACGGTGAGCTCAGGGCTGAATAGGGATAGTTTGACGCTAATGAAGACAATATAATCATCGTTTGAGGCCCATCGGTAGATTGTTGAATCAGAGGAAGCAATTTTCTGATGACAGAATAGGTACCATGATAATTAGTAGCCCAAGCTTTCATTATCTCTTCTTGAGTCTCATCGCTGATTCCGGAGGGGGTGACGAAGTTCCCATCCGTATTCTTTTCGAATCGCATTGGTTCGCATTGGTTGAAGATCGCGACATCCAGTCGGCCAAACGACGTTCTGCAGCGAGAGGCCAATCGAGTCACATCTTCCTCTTTAGATACATCACAAGCTTCATATTCCACTTGACAACTTGGATTGATGGCTTTGACCTGCTCTGCAACACTCTTCGCGCTCGCTTCAGAGCGTGAACTCAGAAGAATCCCAGACGCACCAGCCTGTGCATAAGAAAGCGCGATTGAAACCCCAATTCCTCTAGTACCTGTCCCCGTGATAGCCACGACAAAAGGTGTAGGCAGCTTCACGTTGACTGGATCAAGTTGACCACCCTTTGCAGAACGAAAGTATCGTTTTGTGACGTACGCAGTTGATCCTAGAACCTCATCGCGAAAAAAGGCGGGAGATCAGAGGCATTGATCCATTCGGCCTTTTGGAGGTCCATTGTGATTTTGGGTGGAATTTAGAATAGATCTAAGCTCTCTTATTGGAAAATAAAAGGCAACCTGAGTTTGAGAGAGATAGCTCTGGGTGTGCTTAGGGTTTGAAATGTGTGGATTCAGTGCAAGGTTCAGTGTTGTGAATTTCTGGATCTTTTCGTTCCTTCTGTGTTTATAAAGATGTGAGTTTTGGCCTATGCCATTAGTCAATTCTCCAGATCTAGACAGGTCTATATGTGCTGATGACGAACATACCTGTAGGGTATATGCAACTATAAAATAGTCCACGCTTACAGCGGCCCGGCTCGTTAATTAGTTATCAGGCATTTTCAGGCATATATACTAGTTACTAAATTGTAATTTAATCTTTACCGTCTCCTAAATTGCTATACGATGTATTGTAATATGAGCTCCTTCCCCGATGGAGTATGCTTCCTCCCGGGCGGCCATGCCTACCTTCGAATAGCCTTTGGAGAACTGCGTCTCGGTTCTTGCATCACCGTGTACACGTGTGCCTATATCTGGGGGCCTCTTGGGGCACTGCACCCGGCATCTTCTCTCTTTTTATCACTATATATAGTGTATTGGGAAGAGCGCGCTAGCGGTCTGACGTCGCAGACAAGACGACGGGGGTGCTCAGTGCTCGACAGCAACAGGGAGGCAAGCGAGGCCCCATGAGCTACCGGAATAGGAAATAGATGCTGTTTCTCAGAGAGGTGTAGGATGCTTGGATTGCTAAATATGGGATCGCGAGCAAAAGCTGCGAAAACTAGCCACAGTGGCCGACCTGGGATGCGGCGCGGTTTCCCCATTACAATAGTTACCTATTTCTCGAGGATCTATAGGGTGCTGTTTACCGAGAGTCCTCTTTGTATGCTACTATATAATCCGACCTTCAAAAGAAGCTTTAAATAAGTGATACCTTCAGGGCTACTATTTTCTGAAAGATAGAAAGATGGTGAGAGGAAGAGAAAGGGAGGCTGGGAGGGGGGAGAGAAAGAGGGGCGGAGGGAAAAGAGGGGAAGAGGGGTCGCTTTACCCCAGGCTACACGTACGAAGGTGTACTCCATATAGCGCCCAAGGGTCGGATACAGGTTTTCATGTCCGATGATGTCTGGTTTTAGTCTAACAGAAAATGTGACGCCTGAGTTACAATTAAGTGCAGAATCCTACGAACAGGGTGTTCAAAAAACCGGCTAGCAGTACAGGGTACAAAGCACAGACAGTATATCCCTTTCTGGTAGATTTATTGGAGTCACCTGCAGTGGGCTAATCAAATGAGATATCTCGAAGTGCACTCTATAAATAGCGTCAAAGAATTCAATCTCCAACATGGAAATTTTGACAAGCGATATTCAAATCTCACGGATACGTCTAAAAGATAAAATATCTTCCCTCCAGCTCATAGGTTCTAACTTATCCAGGTTCTCACAGAACCTCTCCTGTCGGGATCCGGAACCGAAACGACTATTACCAGACATAACATATTTTCCAGCGTGCCGAAATTCGGCCAATTTTGCACTCTTCCAGAAATGTGGCCACAACAGCAACTGAGCCTCCTGACCATCCACGGATTCTATGTGGTTGGCCCACATCTTGATAGGATAAAGATAGTCACGACTCTTTTCAAGATCATTGGTGAAGTTTTTCAATATAGCCACCCCACGAATGGATTTTATCTTCGAAATTTGGACAAGCTGGGCTTCTGTGACAGGTGCGGCAAAGTAAATCCAAAACAATTGGAGGTATGAACACATAAGAGGGTCGAAGAATATGAATCTCGAAGAGCGTGTCTCATGGGAGGATACATGTACTATTCCTCTACTCTTGAGATCCTCATGGTAGAGCTGGGCGGAAGGCGAGGCTATGAACCCTCTCTGGTCCAAAGCCCTCTTCCATTCTTGAGATGAATTAGCTTAGTTTTGTGCGCTTGGTGCATAACTGACCTGTTACCAGAAGAATTGTGTCCGAGTTCTCAAATCTGGCCCATCCAGACCCCGAGTGTCCAGGGGCCTGAATTAGTGGCAGAAATAATCCATCCCATTCGATATTCAGCTCCAGATCCTTGGGAACTTGGAGCTTGGTCCACATGAGAATTGCTCCTTCGGGGTCCTGTAACCCAACCGCCATAGTAGCCGACATGGATGATTTGAGATGTGCAAAGAATCCTGGACTCTGATTTCGGAACGTAATATGTAGCTGACAGCCAGGTGAAAAACGGAAAAGTCTAGGTTATGGCCCCCTACGACCGTTGGAGGGGGTCTAGCGGCATGTCTAACTAGATGTTACCTAGATTGATGCCTGAGTGCCTTATCCAAACATAATCCCCATGTCTTATGTTCTATTCTCATGAATCACGCTTAGAGGGCGCGTTTGGATTGGGACAAGACTTGCGCGACGACTGTTGAACACAAGACATTCCGAGGTCACCCAATCCGTGCCGAAAGAAAAAAAAGGCAACAAGCTTAAGTAACATTATCAAACTGAATGCCGCGCGTTGGCGGGGCTCTCAGCTTTGTATTAATTATATACGGAGTACCTTACTATCTATTAGAGAACCAATATCTATATCGAAAATAAACAAGCCCACAAACAGACCTATGAAGAAGACTGAGCATAGTCCTTGATAGCCGGTTCCACACTAGGCCCCATATACCCATACTCAAGCTGATCAACAACACTTTCAAGGTCGACCGCGAGCTCAGAACCCAGCATATCAGTCAAACCCAGGCCGTGCGTAATCAACCGAGCACAAATAGAATCAAGGTCAATTCTCGACAAATCCGCCGGTCCCTCATGAGTGATGGCGTCAACAAACAGTGCCCAAGTAATCGGGTTCACAATGAGACTACCATGGAAATAAAAGCCACCAGCCGGCAACCCAGGACAAGCTAGCTGAATTTGAGTATTCGTACTCCCAACACCATGAGCATCACTCAGCTCACCGGACGCATCAGGATCCGTCTGTGGTGTAACGACTTCATCAGGACCAGAGTAGACACTTGTGGTAGGAACATAGGCGGAATCACCACCGTCCGAGCGAAGAGTCTTGATAAACTCCGAATCATAAGCCTGTTGCAAAACAGCAGGCGTGCAGAAAGAGTTCGGTATCAGGCACGCCTCTATCAAGTACGATCCATGGAAGTCAGCGCTGATCGCCATGAAATCTTCCACGGATTCCCGTGACGAAGGCCAGTATTTCAGGGCCCATTGAACGCCAACGTTTCCTTGAGATGCGGCAACGACTCCAATCGTGGTATTGGATACTGCAGCAACGTAATTGATCGCGTATGCAATGTACTCCGAGTTTACCTGGATATCGCCAAGCGAGTAGTCGGGAACATTGACCCAAATGGGGTCCGCAAAGTCGGTTTCCCGGAGCAATTTCTCGAAGTTGAAGTAATACGAGCTACCAGCGGAACCGGCGGTACCAGGGACGAGAAGCACGGGGCGCTTGCCGTTGGCGCCGTACTGAAAGTCGTCGGGAATGTAAATTGCCGAGCGCAGATCTTCCTCGCGTTGACTGTAAGGTGCGTCGGAGGAGCTTTTGGGGAAGATGGAGGTCTGGGGATTTCTGGGATTCGTGTTGTTCACTGAATTGATTTCGTTATCGCTCAACCCTTCGAGTAGGTCGATGATATTCTTCGGGGCAAGACCCTTTGTGACGAGGTCGACAGCGACACCGACGACACCTGCTTCGCTAGCGTTGCGAACGTCCGATAGAGAGCCCAGGGCGTCTTCGAGGGTGGTGACAGGGTCAATTTTGCCTTCTGCGACATCTTGCAAGGCGCCGACGAGCAGGTCAACTTCTTGGAGCACGCCTTTGGTCAATGCACCGAGTCCTTTCAGAGTATTCTCCAGCCTGGAAACAAAAGTCGAGGCTTCGCGTGTCGCTAAAGAGACATCAGGGACGGGTGTCGCTAATGCCGATAGGAAAAAAGGACATAGCAAGGCAATTTTGAGATGCATTTCGCTGCAGTTTCACTCAACCAGGGCTTCTCTTTGCGGAGGTTCGAGAAAAAGAAGAGGAGCTTTCACTACCTGCAGGTTTGGATATATCAGATCTTACATAACCCCTGGGTCATGCATGATCTTGACGATCCCATCCACATGATCAAAGAAGTCGCGCAGAAAGAACAAGGCGGCATAAAACGCAAATGTAGCTCCATCGCAAACCCACATACCCAAACCACTTCTGTGAATTATCGACATGGTGGATCGGCACTAAAGATCGAACCGTTGTCGCGGAGCGGTTCGCGTAAATGCGAAAAGAACGCCTGGTGGGTTTTGAAGAGACTCCGCCATTCATGCTCAAAGCATACTCCGTACGGAGTACAAACTACATCGTTAATGCAGTCCTAGCTCTTAGTCACGAGCCAATCGACCCGCCGCCCTGATGACGATCTGTGGGTTCACTCAGCTGAGATTTCTTGTTTGAGGCGTACCCGATTCATCGGAGCTGTGTTCCGTACACCGACCGGGTAATCCGTACATGCAGTGAGATGTTCCCACTGTGGAAACTTACGCACGCTTAAAGATCAAGGTAAGCAAGGGAACATGCCAATGCAAGATCGGTTCTGACCTTGGGACCGGAGGCGTTCAAGCTCTTTGATGTTGAATCTCATCCGCGAGACGGGCCGTGGCACTCGGCAGATACTCAAACTTTCAAACAGGATTTGATATCAGGACCCACGGTCACGGCCTGAAAGGGGTAAGGGCCAACTGAAGGTGGGACCCGTAGACCTCTCGACCGTGGAGCGACGCCTCACAGACTGTACTTGTTTTTCTCACCAGAGGCCGACCCTGCCATGGGGCCAAAGACTATCAAAGATGATAGCGGATGGAGAAGATGTTTCAACGGAGAAAAGTAGGGATGGGGAAGAGATACGGAGAAGGAAGCACAGACCACCAAACAATTGGCGCCGAACCCCGGTGTGGGTCCCGAGGTCTGTCTTGACAATTATGTCAGCGATGTTTTGATCTTGTTTACGTTGAGGAAAAACGAGCAGCACAGTCCTCCTTGTATGCCTTCAATTGCTCCATTTTGATCCGCGTGAATGCCTCCATCTCTGCATGTGCCTCTTCACTAAGCAGTTCAACACCCGCGCCATCGGTATGTAATGCAGCCCAATATATGCTGTCCACATCAAAGCTCTTTCTTGCCGCATAGTCGAACCAAAATCGGCCACTGTTCCATGACTCTCACATCCGGGTAGAGAGAGAAGGCCCACCAGTTTGGCTGACAAATGATGTTTTTTCAAATTCGACTCGCTCCAAAGCTTGCAAGAATTGTTCCATTCTAGGCTCATAAAGAGACAAAAACTCTTCCATCTCGCAGCGCTCGAGCCACATCTCTGGACCAGAGAGCAAGAGCCACCACGGCGGGTCATATGTGAACCTAGCTGGCATGGCATTGGTGTATTCAAAATCGATGATGGCGGTGATCTGGAGTGTTTCCGGGCCTATGAGCATATTTGAGGGTCGCATATCATCGCAGAAGGGTATAAATGGCCCGTAGTCCTCAGGAGAATCCTCAGGGTAGTATTTTGAGACCAGCTGTGCAAATCGATGACGGGCAATGTACCGCTGCTGAGCGATTTCTGCATCGTCGGCAAGGTTGCGCTGGGTCTGAAGGTGGATCAAATGCACATTTGCGATTGGCCTCGAATAATCGCTTGCGCGGTCAAACGGCGCTTTCGGAAATTGGGTATCGGGGTAGCCGGCGACAGAGACCGACTCATTCATGTTGTACGTCAAGGGCCTTCCGGCAACGTGCCATGCACCTGAAGCATGTTCTCTCGAGATGGCTCCGATGCTGGAAAATGAAAGTTGAGAAAGTTGGAACATATAATGAGCGATGATGATAGATCTTGTCTAGCATTGCATGGTCAATGTTCGGGTTTGGAATCATATATTCTTGATCGGGTTGTTTCAATAGAGTCGATAAAGGTATACCATCGACATAATCCATAATGATGAATAGACCAAGGTCCTGTGGACTGTCGGCAGTTAAGCCCCAGCTGTGAACATGAGGGATAGGTATATTGGTGTTTTGGCGGAGGTACTTCATTATCTGGACCTCGTTCGCGACCTTCTCCTCCTTGTCAGCTGTCGCTGTGTGTCCGGGCTTCGGAAACCGAATAATGACATCCGACTGTCCATCGCCGAAGCTGAAATGGAGGCTGACGTTGAAGGATCCCTTGAGAAAAGCAACAAATTCTCCGGTCCCCCCTCCTTCCCGGCGCCCAGCGACAAAATGTGCCAGTTCGGCCTTTAAGTCATAAACTCTACTGAACCAGGCCTTGCATTCGTCATCACCGTTTGTTTCTTCAAGCTCGTCAAACCAAGTCTTGAGCGAAGACGTCTTCTGCTGAGACATCTCAGTGATTGAGATGCGGGGTGGTGGGAAATAATGCAGGCTAGGCGGAGCAAACACGCGAAGAGAACTCGAAAAGATTTTTGCGTTAGAAGATTCAAATTTCACTAGCGACAGTGCTCCGACCGCATCAAATAACATGAAGTGGGTGAAATCAGATGAAAGCCAGCTGGGTTGAAAGAAAGGCTGTTGGGTGATCAGATGACCGTCCAGGGTAGATAGCTCTCGCTCTCACCCACCAACTCTCTCTCTCTCTCTCTCTCTCTCTCTCTTCTTTCTTCCTTCTTCCACAGTATGTCCTGATTATCCATTCTGCTTTTCATGCTCAGGCTAGGAGCTCTTCCTGCTATCATTCCATCAATATTTCGAACATTGTAAAGACTGGGACCAAGAATATATTATAATTCTATTCAAAGTGATATCAAAGATTTATCCCAAAAGTTGCAGCGTAACTATGCACATTTCCAGGCACTGTGGCCCAGGAGGCTAGGGGCTCTATTTTGGGAGCTCTCCTCTCCTCCCCACTTCCATCTCCCATTTCATATAGACCAGCCAATAAATCTTGTTGGCTCAACAGCCCCCCCAAGATAACAGCAGACAAAAAGCCACAAGAGGAAATGATGCAAATGCTCAAGGGCTACAAAATCAATACCCAGGATACATTACCTTGACAACCGGGCTTTTGAAAATGAGTATGAGTGACTCCCCGTGCGAAGATCTTGGGGCCGCCTACTCAGTCCCATTCCAGGAACCTCTCTCCTTGATCAAACCGCCCTGAGATAAACTCAAATCACCAGACAACGCACTGCTCTTCTTATTCGGGCTTGGCGGCCTCAACATGCCTTGAACCCTGATTGTTCAGTTGATCCATCTGTCTGATGTATGCCAAATAAAAGGATTTGCAGACTCGCGCTTTGGCGGATGTGAACAAAAGTTGAAGGGAGCAAATTATTGTTCTCTGGAGGACGGACAACTGCTGCCAGTTCTCCAAACTTAAGTAGACAATGGCTACAATTTCGATAAGCGTAAACAGTGCAGCAGCGTTGAAACAGACATAGAACAGTTTTCGTATGTTTGTGCGCCCTTGGATGAAGGTTGAACGGAGGACGGTAGCAATGTAGGCAAGCACAACCAAGGGTGCATCCAACAGTGCTAAAAGTTGTTAGGTCGGACACATCGTCAGGAGCAAATAACTTCTTGTAAACGTACCCCAGTATAGAGCAACATTCATCATTGCAAGAGCACCATTCAATTCCAAGTATTTTGTTTTTGGGAGACCTATGGCCACCGGTAGGAAGCCTTGAATGATGAAGATCGACCCGAGATGATGAACGACCATCAAAGGCTTGAGGGATTGGTCGAAAATGAGTTCATAAAGATGGAATGCGGATGTGATCATGACTGAGATGAATGCCATGTCACCCAGTGAGAATTCTGAGCCCTGTGACCATGGATCAAACCAATTTTTGTTTGCAAAAGCCACCATGAGAGTTGGCTTCAAAATCAGAAGGAAAGAGGTCACTCGGGCGAATATTCCCACATGTCGAAGTCCAAAGGTATGCTTTTCAACTTCTTTCATAGAAGAGTACTTGGTGCCGTATATGAAGTCGAGAAGAAACGATCCAAGCACACAGCGATTGAATAGCACGTATGAGATACAAATCGCACAGAAAATGAGAGCATCGTAGCTGCTGGATTTGGTTATAAAGAGGCAGAAACCTGGCAGAATGGGACTTTCTAGTGTGTTGGCCGACAAGAAATCCTTGCAACCCACACTACTAAGCCTTTCCATTTTGAACTCTGGCAAAGGAACCCAGACAAACAAAACCGTACCACGGAAGGAAAGTCCACCGACTAATTATAGGGTTACCCAGAAGGATGAACTGGATGAGATCGCCAGTGCTTACGAAATTCATGATGGATAAACAAATCCATGGATTGACACAGGGAGTATGTAATTTTCTACCTTAGATAAGGTTTCCGATGATCCAATTCATCCATGCAAGGGCGCCGAAAAGGATGTCCCAAGTATAGGGTTTGTCCACCAGTTAAATGCGGAGACTAAGGAGAATTTTACCTCGTGCATGATGCAGTTACCTTGTACCTGCGAGGACACATAGTTTGGATCTGAACACCCGAGTCGCTAGATTAAGGCAAGGGCTGAACCTTGAACCTGGCTTTTGCAACAGCTTTACTCCATAATATTCTAAATGTTGGGTATACACGTAAGTCAAACATTATGTGAATCGTGCTCAAGCCCTTGAAATTATTTCAACAAATTCAACATTGATAAATAGTAGGTAACCAGTTGTGGAGGTTGAAAGCTGAAAAAGGGGCACTTGCCTACCTCGGCGCCGGAATGTATATTTGTTTGGGGCCAGATGACCCCCTTGGCTAGTTAGCTCTCTCTCTCCTTTCCAAGGTTCTTTTCCCCGGTCGGTCTTTTCGCTTTGAAAGCCAGAATCTACTGCTTTGGAGCTATTTGTGCTTCTCCTCCGTAGATCACTCAGTTATCAATGTCATTCTCCTTTGCTACATTGATCTATGGATATTCGAGCACTGATCGATTGAATCTTTCTTTTATGACACCTTAAATAGAAATTATCAGTCGAAATCCAAGTACGGAGCAATTGCATTACTGCTAAAACATTGAAAAGCATCCTCAGCTTTGAAAGCTCTCACCTCACTATGTTCTTCTCTACTCCGTACCACATTGTCAAGTTTTTAGGATTGCTTGGAATTTGAATGTTAACTTGGAAGTGCCGTTTGAGGTTAATGGTCCTTTGTGGTTCTGCTTTTCGCACTATACTTAAGTCAACTAGTATAGATATTTCTATTGGCATCGAGCTTGGGAATTGGAGCAAATAAACAGCTGTAAATTTCCTAATTTAGACACTGTACAATTGTTTTCCATTCTCCCATCTCATAATCCAAAGAACGCATGATAGCGAGCATTTATGGGATCAACTCCTCAGTGTCCATATTAGTCTTTTTCTGAAGTCCATGTTGGGTTTCCAACTTCTTATTCATGTTGACCGACTTGAGAAAGAGTGTAGCTAGCAAACCAACCCCAGCAAGGGCAACCAAAACCTCGAACAAATTTTGGAGACTCTGCACATAGGCTGTATTGGCCGAGTGAATAAATGCTGGTGTGTAGGATGACTTGCTGTTTCTGAGGCTTGCAACGAACCCTTCAACATTATCTGCTATGTCCAAGGGTAGCTGGCGAATTTGCAAATGATGGCGGAGTCGATTTTGCATCACGGTACTGCTAACAGCAACTCCGAGACACATACCAAAGGATCGCAGGAAGGTGTACATTGCTGCCGCTTGCGCTGAGTCTTTTGCGTCTGCCAGTGCTTGAACACACATACTACTGGACACAATAACACATCCGTGGCCCATGCCCACCGAGAGGAATATGAGCACCCAGGCGTAAGTTTTGATATTAATGTCGAGTAATACCAATAGGCCGGTTGAGGTAGTAATCAGAACCCAGCCGGCCCACAAGGCCCACCTAATATGACCTGACTTCGTTATAACGATGCCAACCACAAGACTGACCGGCATCAGAGATCCGGTTATGGTCATCAAAGAAACACCAGTCAAAGTGAGGGACATGTCCTTGGGGCCCTCAAGATATAGTGGAAGAGAGTAGAGCTCGCAGAACATCTGGTTGACCCAAACAATTAGTATCAGCTCCTAGCAATGTGCCAATCTTTGGAGGAAAGAAGAAGACCATCAAGATTTGGATCAAGGAACACTCACCAGCAATCCCTGAAGAATAGCGCAAATGTACATTGCCCGCGAGGAAGTATTTCGGAACAGTGCGAGACAAAGAAATGGATTCTTGGGCACTTTCCTCAGCCAAAGAATAGCAGCCAGCACTCCTACCAAGCCAAGACAAATTGGAAACAGAGTGCGCCAACTGGACCATGCGAACTGGCCCCCGCCCCAAGTAATGCCCATCAGAAAGCTCGACACACTTCCCATAAACAGAAGAGTGCCTACCCAATCGATAGATTTGAGCTGCTTCGCAACGCTTCCATTCCGAGGCCTTTGCAATCTCACAACCCACGGGACCACCACGAGGCCCACAGCCATAAAAGGGAAATTGAGATAGAAAACCCAGCGCCAGGTGCTGTGGTCAACAAGTAGCCCTCCAATGAGCGGACCGGTGACCGTCCCGACCACGAAGGCTACTTGAATGATAGAGGAGTATGCCGGGCGCTGTCGAAGAGGAATGATATCCGTCGTGATGACAAACGTTTGACAAAGGATACCACCCCCTCCAACTCCCTGGATAGTTCGACCGGCGAGAAGCACAGCCATGTCTTCGGCGAGGCAGCATATCAGGGTACCAATGGTAAATAGCACAATGGAGGTAAACAACACGATCTGCCGGCCTAGGACATTCGAAAGTGCCACAAAAAGAGGTTGAAACACGGCGGATGATAGGAGGTATGCTGTTCCAACCCAATACGTTTCATTTGTATCCCCGTGCAGTTCCGAAGCAATTGTCTACAGCTTCATATCAGCGACAAGATCAGATGAGATATTGGTGAATGCGACTCACTGGGAGAACTGGAACAAGGACCGTCCCGTCAAGAGCTACAACCAACGACACGATTGCCAGGCAACCCAAAATCATCAATTCCTGTCTCCCAGGTTTCCAACTGACATGGTCATCATCTTCTTCGCCTTTGAAAGGTAGTTCTTGCGTTGCATGGGCGTTTTTCTCCGCTTTCTCGCCCAAATATACCGACATGGTGGAGATTATCCCGCGGAATTGGGACTGCTTGCAATGAAAACCTCCGGGATTCGACTAGGAATCGCGTCACCGTCAAGATGTAAGAGCATGGCTGAAGACATTATTTGTTTTGTCTTTCTCTCTCTGTCTGCTAGGCACTCCTGCTGTCGATCGGTTCGACCTGGGTAGTTATGTCTCTCCCCTTGCTTCCAGTCGAGTGTTGTGATAGATTCTCTTGTTGAATCTTGTTCAAAACTTTGAACAAAATTGAAGTTTCTTTTCTGCATAAACTTTGTGACACCTCGCTTTCATGTCTTAGGGCGGAAATTAGATTGTGCACCGCGTGTGGGGCTGCAGTGCACATTGTAAACCCCTTGTTGCGTAAGGCTAATCCCGGGGGCTCGAGGGTCGTGTAGTTGCCAGATGTTTTTGTCGGAAGCGCCGAAATGCCCAAAGTAAGGATACTGGTAGCTAGCACTTGTTAACCTGTAGAACCAAAAAGACATCATAGTTTGTTTCAAAGGTTGACCACTCTTGGAAGAAACCAGGGCTCTCACAATGCAAGATGCAAACATCTTGTACGGAGTCGAAACGTCAACACAATCAATCACTTTACAAGTGAAAAAAAAAAAAAAAGGTAACAAAAAACAAAAACATACAACAGTGAGGATTCGCTGGTGGTCACCCACCCAACTACTAACTCACCGGCGTGTGGCTTAAGTACGGCTGAGCGGACGGGAAGCCCTGTTCTCCACACCCTGTGGTCGTATGTGAAAGATTGATGATTGAATATACTCATATTGTCAGTTGGCTGAGCTTCTAAGGCTTATTCTGCGACCAGTCTCATTCGGACTAGACTAGCCGAACCAAATTGGAAACCCTTTGTGTTCAATATTTTGCGATCGCATGTGGTTGAAATGTCAGTGGACCATCTCGATCACTATTTGGCACCCCCGAGCAGGCAGTCTGTTCGGGAGTTCTCAAATTACACCCTACGAAGTGCTGTGAAATCCCTTTCATCTTTCCTCTCTTCTTTCAGTCTTAATCTCCTTCGATACCATCATTTTTGAATGCTCTTGGTAGTTTCTACAGCCTCCGTAAAGGAGTGGAAAGTCAAGATTGCTGGACACAGTCCTTGCGCGTTTCAATAACTACTCTCCTTCGTTCAGCAAAGCGCGGTTGCTCTTCATCCGTTGCCCACTTGTCATCTCCGCAACAAGCCTAGACCGTCGGGTTATCCCGCCCAGTCCCGGCAGCGGGAGAGAGAGATGCGCCCTCGGAGCGCTTAAAGCCCCCACAACCTGGGGTTGCACGCTCGGAACTCCGCATATAACTCTCGATACATTTGGCCTTACAGATCTTCCCCGCACATAGGGTAAGGAATGCACCTGTTCCAGGGAAGCCTAACCGTGGTTTAGCCTCCAAAACCTGCCAATCTCATCACCGAAAAGCATTTGCTCGACATTCAGGTTGTCCTCTCGATGGTCTCAGTCACGTAGAATTAACGCTTGGGCTTCGAAAGCGAGTTTGAAAGTTTCTCCCGCGTGATCGATTTGACACTCCGGCATCATCCTCCGCGTTCCTTTGTTTGTCACAGCTCTATGGGTGAACATGCCTCTCAATCACCCTAGCCCTGGCCCACTGCCGGCTGGTCGGACTGGCCATGCATGTATGCAATGCAGACATAGGTACGTGCACTTCACGTTCTGTCGATCGGAATGACGGGAGCAATATCGAGCCGCCGTCGGCGGTTCGCGACGGCGGCTCGATGCAACAATCCCGGCCGCATCGTTGTCCGTTTGCTGATAACAGGGCTAGAAAGCAGAGATGTGGAGGCTTCACTGATGAGATCAAGTGCCGACCATGCACAACTCGCAAGGTAAGATGCAGCTTTCAAGATGAGGTCAAGGATCTGCGGTACAACCCCTACCTGCAAGTCAGACCTTCAAGGTCTTCAATCAATAGCGATAACAGACCCCCGATACCCTATCCGCAAACCCATCTTCTGCAACATTGCTCCCTACATTGGCAGAGTTTGGCGAAGGCATACAGCCACAGCTTGTGAGCTTCTCAGCCGGAGAGTTGAATATTACAAAGGCAGATGACGCACTACCCAGAGAGATCAATTCGCTCAAATCACGGTTCGTGCTCAACTTCCGACTTCAGAATAAACATAGTACTCTAACAAGCAATCTAGAATCGCTGATCTGGAAAGGAGACTCGTAACTTCTCCAGGCGACCGTAGAGAATGCATACAAACTCCACGATCCGAAGCAGGGGGCCTCGTTCCGTCTTACGAGCGTGCACCATCACATCTTAGCTACCAATCCCCTGTCGCCTCGTGTGTCTCCCTAGATACCTGACGTCAAATTTTACTTGGGCAATTTATACTGACAGAAAATTTAGTACTGGGCCTCTTTCCAGCCATGAATCTCAGGGACTATCCAGCCCTCATATCGCCGAAGGCCCCCTCAAAGCTTTGAACAGCTTTCGGGCAGAACACCTTTTTGAGTCTGAAAGAAACGACCCTGTGGCTGGGTCAATCATCACCGAAGGAGAAGCTTATGTCATGTTCCGACTGTGAGTATCGACACTTCTCGCTAGATGAAGCTAACGATAAATGCAGATATTTCGCGAATTGCCACCCAAACGCGCCATTTCTGGATAAGGAGCATGACAACAACATTGATCGCATCCGGTCCAGCAGTGCTTTATTGTTCCTCTCTATTCTCTCCGTCGGTGCTCGCTTCTGGGGAGCGTCATCAAAGTAAGGGACTTGACCCTAAAATCTTGTGATCATCTGACATATTTCCAGAAGCTCTTGTTGGCTCCACCATCGGTACCCCGAGCTGGTTAAAATGCTAGATGCTGAGCTGATGCGAATAACTCTTCGCCCCAGACATGATGATCAAAAACTGGAAACAGTCCAAGCACTCCTAATATGCACACATTGGATGCCTTTTGATCTTGCTAACCACAAAGAGAAGTTTCGGTCCCGCTTCTCGGAATCTGCAGCTTGGCAATGCTTAGGCTTAGCCATTAGATGGGCTGTGTACATGGGGTTTGATCAAACCTGCCATATCAAGTTTCATAACCTTGAAACGGTAACACAAGAGGATATGTGTCAGTTTCGCACTATGTTATACCTTGTTGAAAGTGATCATTAGTACGAAGCTCTACCTTTAAACTTTCGAGATCATTCGCTTACATCTGCTCAGTCTTGCCTTATCCGCCCGACGCCCTTCCTCCCTCAAACCTGAACCATTACATGATGTCTTGGAGAATTTCACACGTTGCAAATACACCCAGAGCTCAGATATTAGATTGGCATCTCTATTCCGAGTTGCATATACTGCAAACTTCTCAGGATGCCGACCGACAACAATCGAAAGTGTTGAGGCATTCGATAGGGACGTTGATTCAATCGAGCGCAGCTTTCTTCAAAGTCTCAACAGCCCACCAGCAGATGGATTTAATCAGCATTTCCCCGTAATTTCGTTGAAATGGTATAGATTGTCATATGCATGCGTGTTTCTCAATGTCACAAATCAGCCTCAGCGAATGGGGAAAGTTTTGACTTGGGCGATCGAGTGGTCAAGTAATATATTGATTCACCTAGCAGGGCGAAATTTGTCCAAGGAAGTGAACATCAACTCTATTCCAACGAGACTGGAGCCTGACCCAAGTGTGGTGCAAATGATGTCGTTCGCAATCGACCATTACCACGTTGTTATCGCTTATGCCGCTTTCATTCTTGTTAAAAGCTGGTTGAGTAACCTCACGGATAGTATGACACCCCCAATCTCACCCGGACAAGTGACATTGACTGATATGGTATGGCAGTGGACCTTCGTCCTCATCTCCAGTACTCGGGGGAAAACCTCAACCGACAGGCTTCGCACTCATTGCTCTTCCGATTAGTTGATCTTGCGGCGCGCACCCTAGACGCAGCCAGTCCACCAATAGGTCACCTCGCACGCCGATATGTACCATTGCTCAACGGAATGGCGGGCTTGGTATCGGCAGGGAATAGACAGAATGCACAATTTCACGCCGGGGGTAGTGATGCAGGGGTTGCCATTGCGGAAGCAAACCCCGTTCACACTGGACAGGCACAGAATGCTCTCGGTGACGACTTGTGGGAGATGTGGCAGGAAGCGGGCCTAGAGCCTATGGTATGGCCGAGTTTGCTGGATGAGATATTTGGAGAGCTTTGACATGGAATTGCATTGTGCTATACGCGTAGACTATGCATGATCAAAGTTCAATCATTTTTCTGTCATTGATCGGCATGCCTCCGAAGGGTCCCCGAGTCACCCGCCACAACGGAGCATGGTCGGCTTCCATGCCGAGACATCCGAGATGGGTGGTTTTTGAACGATCATTTGGTTGATTTGGAAGAAGGGTTTCAAGGAGCTTGTAATGCGAATTGAGATATGTCTAGCCAAAGAATCAAAAATAAGAAAAAAACCATCATTATCGAGTAACTCCTCCGGTCACAGTCGAGATAAATACATCACATCTAACTATTTTCTCGCTTCTTGAACCATCTGGCCCAGCTTAATCTGGGTAAGCAGTGACAGCTCATCATAAACATTCCACTCATCAACAATGCGATCATTCTTGTAGTGGTAATGAGTAGCACCCATGACCTGAAGACGCAAGCCGGTAGGCTTGCCAAGTTCAGACAGAATACCAAACCCTAGATGGTGACCCTCCATCACCCATCGCACAGCCACCTTGACTCCACCTTCCTCACAAGGGGTGGACAAGATATGTTGTGGCATGAAGGCAAGATCGGGAATAGAGCCTAGAAGAGCGAGATGCTGGTGCAAGACAGCAGCCGGGCCGTACAGTTCGGTCATCTTGGGTCCATGGTATTGTGCATTCGGAGCATAGTGCTTTTCAACGCGCCCAAACATGCGGCAGTTCCACATATCGTGAAGCCACTCCAGAGTCTGTACCTCGATTTCATTGTTGGCGATAGAAGTGTCGGCTTTCCACTCGGGGAGCCTCTGGCCAATTATCCGGCGGTTTTCGCCGATGTCGATGGATTCTATGCCCTTATCAAAAAGCGCCTTGGCCGCGTCATGGGCAAAGGGGTTGGGATCAACACCTAGTTGCTTCAGAATCGCCATGGTATCGGCGACCACCCACTCCCGATAGATTTTGTTTTTGTAAACCATGCAGTCGGCGATGGTACGTGAAACGAAAGTTTTGCCAGTTGCAGGACCCCAGTGACCATTCTGGGTGTGGCGTCCTGCACCGGTCACCAAATGGGAAGTATAAAATCCCTCCTTGTCATCGCCGTTCCATAGGACCTGGGTGGCCATTCCACGGCGCTCGGGAAGAGATACAAGACGCTGAATTGTATCACGAACGATAGATTCGCGGTCGTATATTGTCTCCATGGTCCCATAAAGGACACAATTGTGGGTGTAGTGAGTATAAATCAAGCCGATGTCGCGCTCGTCCCAGATCCGATGGGTGCATCGCACAATGTAGTCGACGATGTCGGTGTAGACATCCTCGAAACCCTCCATTGAGTGAGCACGCTTGCGGTTTGAGGGAGCCACGTCAGCGTAGTCGTGTCGCTCGATTTGCAAAGCAGCGGTCGTGCTTTCGGGGTACTTAGGCTCGGTGAAATGATAACCATTCTTCAAAGGCGCATCAATGGCCGCCATATTTTCAGCATAGGTTGTAGAGGGGGACATTGTGATTTAGGGAAGTAAAGAGAGTGTTCAAACTGTCGATACGGTGAGACTATGCCCTGGGGAAGCTTGGCTTTATCAACGTCGAAACCCATGAAGTATTTCCCCACGGCCGCGCAAATGCTTCTGTGTATCGAGCTTGTAGTTCATAGATCCGCGGTCATGGCTCCGTTGCTTCATCGGAAATACCGATCAACTGGACGGTTGCATCAGGCACGGGTACATTCCAAAGACCCCAATCCAAAAAAAACGCACCTTCCAAGGTTCCAGTACATCGTACCGCTCACGCGGAGATAGAAGTAAAGTTTGAGGTTTCGGAGACCATCGGGATTCCCGACGGTCAAAGCGTATTGCCGACGTATATTGTCGGCTCCTAGCGCTATCCGGGGGCGCAAATGGATCTCGATACGACGTACTCTGTGGCGCGGGGCAAGACAGGGAGGTTAAAGGTTCACAACCTTGGAAATCGTTTGAAGTAGAGAGAAGCAGAGAGAAGTAGAGAGACATGGAGATTGGTCACGAGTGACAAGGTATTGGATGTAAGTGCGGACAGTCGTACCCAGGTGGAACGTCAGTGATGTCTCTTCACTTCGGTCTCGAATAATGATACAGCTCTAATACCTACTTCGTTACTTCTTGATCCCCGTAGGCGGAGGATAAGAGTATTTAACTGTCCAGTGGATACATCAAAACCCGACCGAAATTCCATACCAACGTTTTCCAAACCCAAGCTTTAGCATTATCCCAAATAGCTGAAGTCTACCAGCGAAAGATTATAAAACGCACCTGGGATGCCATGACTTCCATACATCGGATACAAACTCCTTTTCTGAAAGCCTTCCTTGCATGTTAGATATCTAAACATACGGCGGTGCTATTAAGATTAGAAAGTCCAAGATAGAAAATTAATCAGAAAACATAAGAATCTGCCTTAACGTGCTGGTATCTGATAGGTATGGTATGATCTCAACATAAATCTCATGATACATCAAACACCCCAGCCTTTCCCAGGTGGAGGGGCCGATTTTCAATTGAAGCCGTTCCTAATTGTTGCGGAATTGACTTCAGTACATTTGCTTATTCCTCATCTCAATGGGAAGGAAGCACATAAGAAGAGCTGAGACCCAAATACCACCAGCGCCGAGCCAAAGCACACCTGCCCGGCCCTCAGCAATGTACTTCTGACCAGCAAACGGAGCCACAATACCAGCGATCCGACCGAGACAAGACAGCATACCACTAGCACTAGCACGATAAGTTGTATCAAACATCTCAGGGGAAGCCGAATATAGGACTGCGTTGAAATACTAGAGATTATGAGCTCGGGAAAAACAAAAGAAACACAACCTTGGGAAGGTTCCTCAAGGAGCTTTGACTCACACTTTGCATAATATACTCAAGGGCATTGAGACCCACGTACCCGGCAGTGCTCTCAACCTGGGTGTACATTGCCATGGAGACACCTTGTAGGGCAGCCGATATGACAAGCGACCATTTCCTACCAAAAAGAGGCATCTGTATGGAGACCAGGGCAAAAACGGCACCAATTATACCTGGTAGATAAATATAAACGTACTCTCGGTATGTCTCAGTGACGTTGTTGGCACCACTATCCACGTTATTGTTCAGGAGGACAATTGGTAGAAAGTAGCCTGCCAGGTTAAAAGACCAGTAGTTGCCCTATAAAGATCAGCTTGTCATAAACCTTTTAATCCAGAGCTCAGGTCACCATTACATACCATGTACGCGACTCCGAGAAGGACGAAACTGAAGCATTGAAGCTTATCCGTGAAAAGGCCATGGAGGAAACTCAGACTTTTGAACATACCAACAACAAAGCCTTTCCCGCTTGGTTCGGTAACGTGCTCCGTTGTATTCACGCTAGCTGCTCGGTCAACTCGACGAAAATCTTCAATAGTCAATGTGGGCGGCTCAGCACCATTGAATTTGGCGATTTTGTGCAGAACATCGATTGCATCTTGCTCACGACCCTTACTGAGAAGGAACTTGGGGGACTCATGAAACCTGAAGATGAGGTACCGAGTGCAGAAAATTGTAAGTGTCATGGCACCAATGATGATTACCATGTATCTCCAGCCCATGTTGCTGGAGACGGTACAGCATGCCTCACCAGACTTGACAGCTGAACAAGACGGCAGATTTACATCACACCGATACCTTGCCGCTGTAGCATATGCAATGGCCGATGCAACGACCACTCCAATTGGCTGCCACATTCCCAGCAGAGCTACTAGATAGCGACGATTCTGCGGCAAAAACTCGAGGGCAATAGTCGCGTCAATGGGGACATTTCCCCCTAGCCCAATTGAAGACAAGAAGTAAACCCCACAGATTGCACCGTAGTTGAATTTGCATGCGGCCTAGTGCTGTAAGCCAGGGTATATGAAGTAGGCCAAAAGAAGACGTACCAGCAACATGCCAAATACTGAGGTTATCAAACATGTAATTTGAAAAGCCCATTTGCGTCCGATGATGTCGGTGATTACACCAAATCCGAAGGCACCAATACTATTCAGCAATTAGCGAGATTCTGCCACCCTTCAAAGGACAGATACTCACGCAAGACCGGCGTTGGAACAAGTATAGATCAGGCCCTGCTTGTCAGCTGGGACCCCCATCTCCTGGCTATGCTAGATGAGTAACTGGGGCTAAGTATACCTCGATGGGAGATAACATCATGACTTACAACACTGCCGTGGCCATCAAGCCCACACCCTGGGCCCAAGCCAAATCGACAAAATAGCCCAAGCCGCATAACATCCAAATGCACCATTGGTATTTGCCAAAACCAAACTTGTCGATCTCAACATTTACCAAAGCAGCTTTGCGCTCGAAAATGGCCCGATTGTCGACTAGAGTAGTGTCTTCCATCACACCAGTTGACTCATCCTGCTTCTCAGAGTGGGCACGCTCCGCCTCAGAAGAAACTCTAGCTGGAAGCCGTTCATTTGTGGACATTGCGTAGATATTCGATGTTTCATAAGAGATTATACCAAGTTTAGACAGGCTTTGGTAAATTCCAGTGTCGACTGGTGAGGAACTTTGTCAAATAGATCATGGGAAGCCTACTGCTTTCCCTCTCAGATCACCGTCATGATGGAATCCGATCCATCGGGTTTTCCGATAGCCGATCCGGGGGTCCATCGGGACGCGGGGTCCGATTCCAATCTTTTTGCCTGTTATGGTATTTGGATGGCATGCTCCGCGTGGTGGGGCCCTGGTCCACGGGTGGACATGCGGGGGGCACGTGGCGTATGCGGGGAGAGCACTTAGGTAACAAACTCTGCCGATAAGCCGCTTTTGGTATGCCCGGCCGCCTGGTGTGAGATATGAGGTCAATTGCTCCTTCTTTTCTCAGATTGGTTTGGTTGTTACTATCAGTCTTTCGCAAGTGCGTCCTGCGTGCGGGCATCAGTTGACTCAACATTGTTTTGCAAGGTCGGATCGGACTCCCCGTGTTTCTGGAAGCAAGAAGCGTGTCTTTCGATTGACTCTTAATTCCGCGAGACTCACCAGTACGGTCGGAACTATGGCTCCTACATGGCAAGGGATTGCCGAGGAGAAACATGCCAGTCGCGACAAGGCCATCCCAACCGAGTGGCGACTCCCACCAGGCTACGTACCAGACGGCCAGCTCAATGTGATGGATATACCCGCGGAGTGTGGTCTTTTGACGGAGAGAGAATTGAGAATCACGGAGACGGATCCTGTTGTGTTGGTTGAAAAAATGATCAACCGCGACTTCAGTTCTCACGAAGTATGTTGCCAGCGAATGCGGGTCGTTGAGTCAGTTGCTAAGTTCAATTTTAGGTCACATTGGCATTCTGCAAGCGAGCAGCTGTTGCCCAACAGCTCGTGAATTGCCTCAGTGAGATCTTTTTTAATCAAGCGCTCGACGCTGCGCAACGTCTTGACGCCGAATACGAAGCTCACCGCGCGCCACGCGGTTTACTCCACGGTCTTCCTGTTTCACTCAAAGATTGCTTCAAAGTCGAAGGTACAGACGCAACTATCGGATGCACTGCATATGCCCACCTACCTACGAGACTAGACGAAGAGACGGAAATCACAAGAATCATGCGAGAAAGTGGTGCGATCTTGTTCTGCAAGACAAATGTCCCAACAGCTATGATGGCTGGCGAGGTACGCTCTGCAGAATAAAGCCCCTGGCGGTGGAGTGCTGAGAAAACAACAGACGTACAACGCCATATACGGCTATACCACGAATCCCTATAATCGTGATCTTTCAAGTGGTGGTTCGTCGGGGGCGAAAGCGCATTGCTGGCTCTTCGTGGATCTCCTCTCGGCGTCGGTACAGATGTCGGGGGATCTATCCGAATTCCGGCGTCGTTCTGTGGATTGTACTCTTTGAAGCCGTCCTCTGGCCGTTTTCCCACTTCAGGGCTCAGAGATAGCATGGTGGGCCAGAAAGCAGTACCCAACACTGTGGGACCAATGTCTTGCTCCCTTGCTGGCCTTGAATTGTGGAGCAGAGCAGTGCTGAATAGTGAGGCATGGATGAGAGCTGATCCCGATTGCTTTCCGATTCCATACCGTGAAGTAGAGGCCCCGAAGAAACTTTGCTTTGGTTAGTGCTCCTGCTGCCGAAACTTGATATAAGCTTACCTATTAGGACTTCTTCTCGATGATGGGATCGTCAAACCACTTCCGCCTGTGACTCGTGCTCTTTTGATCACCAAGGCAGCACTTGAGGCAGCTGGGCATACCGTTATCGAATTCAGGATGTATGCGCCACACCCCTTCTGAAAAGACAAATGACTCATGCTTGCCAGCGATGATCCTTTATACATAGACCACCTCAAGTTTGCCTTGTACCGCTCTGCCGCGGCGGATGGGTTGGACAAGATTTTTTCTCAAACCCAAGAGCCTTGGCCCCGTGGCATGGAAATGCTGGAAAGGATGGTCGATCAATCAAAAAAAGAACAGGGTGCAATATGTGCCCGCCCCACGGTTTCTGATCTCTGGGGCGCGCAAGATAAGACTACACATTACGCCAAGCGGATTCTTCAGTCATGGGTGGCAACCCAAACACGCACAAATACTGGTAGAGAGATGGACGCTTTACTGATGCCATGTACTGTGTGGCCAGCCTCTGAAAAGTGAGTCTAACATCTCTCAACTATTTTTACTTTTTCTAACACGCACAGGTATGGATTTATGTACGATAATTATACGAGTTTATGGAACGTGCTTGATTACTGTGCGTCCACCATTCCGGTGACATTCGTTTCTGAGGTCCGCGATATGAAACAAGATTATGAAGGACGCAATGAGATCGAGACCAAGATCTGGAATGAATGCAAGTGCCTTCCTTTGATCATGAGGTCGTCGTATCACAAACATTAACTCTGTATAAAGATTCACCCGCCGCCCTGGCTGGGGCTCCTGCTGGTGTGCAACTGGTTGGACGCCGGTGGAATGAGGAATACCTTTTGAAGGTCACAAGGGTATGTGACGCTGCTTTGGTATCTTACAGAGATCAGGGAAAATAGATCGTCCGCGCGATACGGCCTGCTTTTACGCTGCATTCCGGACGTATCGTGCAGATGAATGTTTGGAAATCCGGAGGTCCGCAAGTGCCGATCTTGAAGGCCGCGGATACCGAGCTTTTGGTCGCGATTACCGAGTCTGTGTGAAAGATCTTCTGATTGGCTTCAAGGACTGTTTGTTGCCGATTCAATTTATACCCTGCATTTGGGCCTAACTAGTTGACTTACGAAGCCAAAATCAATATGTTTATTTCTAGTTATCTTCAACAGGCTTCAAAACTGTCTCCAATTATACTATGAGCCCTTCATCCTCAATCGTCTTACTGTGATACTCGTGTGACGCCCAACCAGGAAGAATTCATAGGTGATGAGGAGAAACAACAGAGTGAGGTGGCTATGAAGAACCATTTGTCACTATCCCTGGCATTGTCAATACTACTTTGAGGGTGCCATGCTTGGAAGGTGCCTCGAAAGCTTCATATGCCTTCTGAACTTCATCGAACGTGAATTCTATATAGCAGTCAGCATAGTCCAGCAAAACAGACTTCCAAGGTCTCTGATACGTACTATGCGAGATCAAAAATTGAGGTTCGATGCCCCCAGTCTCGACCATCTTGAGTAGATCTGGAGTACTGACTGCGTCAATGAGGCGAGTTCTCAAGCCTATCCAGAGTTTATCAGTTATCAATAACCTCACAGTAGGGTTGTAGCAGGCGTACAGATATTGCGATTCCAAAGCTTCTCCAGGTGCAACTCGCACGACTGCCCGAAGACACCCAGACTGGCTATGGTTCCACCAGGGCCTACTAGTGCTTGCGAAAGTTCGAAAGACTCAGGTGTTCCCACCGCCTCGATGACCACATCAAATCCTCGCTCCTTGGTGGCTGATAAAGCGGATGAGATTGCAACTTCTTGTCCATCAAGAACACTGAACGCGTGATCAGCACCCATGGATGTTGCTGTATTGAGTCTTGAGTGACCCCTTCCGATCACCGCTGTCATTGAAGGACTGTACAGCTTCTTCGCCATCTGAAGAATCATCAGTCCGATCGGACCTGTTCCTATAATCGCCACAGTGGAGCCTGGCTGAATGCTGCCGTTCAAGATTCCACATTCGTATGAAGTTGGAACAGTATCAGATAGGGTGACCGCGACCTTCTGGTCGATACTTTCCGGAAGCACGTGCAGTGAGAATGATGCATGAGGAATGCGAACATACTCCGCTTGTGTCCCATCAATCTTATTTCCAAGAATCCATCCTCCAGTCTCACATTGAGATGGCATCTTCCGGTCGCAGTAATAGCAGGCGCCACAGCTGGTTATGCACGAGATGACCACCACCTGGCCGACAGTGAAATTCGTGACATCGGCACCAAGGGTTTCAATAACCCCAACTCCTTCATGACCAAGAATTCTACCTGGTGTGCAAGTTGGCACATGTCCTTGTAGAATGTGCAAGTCTGTTCCGCAGATGGTCGTGTGGAGGACTCGGACAATAGCGTCGGTCGCTTCCAAGATCACTGGCTTTGGATGAACCTCGATCGAGATGTCGCTTCCTCCGGTGTAAACAATGGCTTTCATGTTGTTGGGTGTGCTGAGAATAGGTATCCAACCAGTCCCGAGGTCAATGCTCAAAACTTCCAAGGCTTGAGGAGATCTGGAGTTACAGTATGCAGGGCAAGAAAAATGAAAAAGCCAATGCTCAGAGGTCTGTTTATATACTTCTCACAAAATTGTCCAGCTGAGCCCTGACAAAAGGCCAGAGACATCCATGAATACCCGTGGACATGATAAATTTTGTACGCTGAAAAGGACTTCCACTCAGACATTATGCAAGTGATTGACTAGTTGCAAGGTTGGTGACAAGTAATCTTGCAGAAGGGAGTTTTTAACCGATCAAGCAGATCTGCAAAAGTCGAAGATGTCTAAACAAAGCCAACGAGGCTAGCTGTCATGGTGTTTTGAAAGAATCTACTGGAAGAAAGTGACAGCTGAGCACCACCCCTGCATGCATGTAACTGCATTGGTAAGAGGTGTTTTTTGCCGAAGCGCTTCTGTGGATCGTATACTCCGTATTCCATCTAAAATTACGGCGTACTCCGTACCTTATTTTGTTTGCTATCGGTACCCCACTCTGGCTCCCCTGCAATCCACTGACATGGGCATGTCACGAGAATATACTCCGTAGGCTAGATGTGCTGGACCCGGCGGGGATGTGAAACCAGTCAAATGCCCAGCGTATACTCCGTACGGAGTACGGAGTAATAGGTCGCCCGTTAGTCTTGATTGCCGGGGTGCTCAGAGTCTAGCAGTTCGCCTGTGACGGCTGATTTGATGAAAATCAATTGCTGAGTGTCCTAACGCTGTTGTCACGGAGTGCCCACTTCTGGATCGGGAAAAGCGACAGAGATTGGAATGGGGAAGGGTCTGATAAGCACATTGGTTGAACCCCTCGCCCGCCCAGGTTAATTTCACCGGATCAACTATTGACCGACGATTTCAGTCGGGCATGTGTGCCTTGTGGATAAGGCTAAAGTTACGTCATACCAGCCAACGGGCAACCATGGCCGAGACACTTTAAATTCCCGATCAGAAACTCGAGACTGCTGTGTATCGGAGCCCATGGCTGCCTGGCTTGTCATGCTTCTCGCAGGTAGATGAAGAGCGTAGATCGAGAGCTTCTTCTCTCTCTCTCTCCATCCTTTCTTTTCCCTGCTTGGTCTTTTTGCTTTGGCGGTCTGAATCTACCATTTCGCAGCGTTTCTTGCTTCTTCGAGAGTCGGAAGTCGCTTTGGTTTCAACGGATGAGTACGGCCTTGATTGGAAGATTGCATTTCTGCCGCAATGCTGGGATGGCACAAAAAGTATCACACGGGATTTCCGATCGCAGAGCGAAGTCTTCGTATCGCTAGATCTAGATGATTGCCATCATCCGTTTCTGTATCTGGTCAAGAAGAGTACCGACGAATTCTTCTGGGAGGCTGCCCTCTTCATGACTGACATGGATGACTGTGGCAGAATCTTGGACACCAATGGTATTGAAGGTCAGATCAGGACCTATGCCAGCTTTAATGGCGCCGGCCGAAAATTCCATGCTCGAAATAGCCCACGGTCCATGGGACCTCGAATGGGTAGAGGGGAAAGCGCCCAAATTAGATACTGCAAACGCGTTGTTTTGGAGAAGCTTATAACCGGGCAAAAGAGTAGTAACATAGTCTTCCTCGTCTTCTCCAATCATGCGGATGGTGAGCCAGGCTTGCATCCATGACATTTTGTGTTTCAGGTCGTTCAAGATATGTGCTTTATGCTTTTGCGATAAGTCCCATATTAGCTCGGCGTTCACGATGGAGTTGCCTGTTTCATCTGGGCTCTGGCCTGCTCGACGAAACTTTGAAATCCAGTCAAAACTCGATATCATTGAGACGGCAGTGCTTATGATTCTTCCTCGGTCCTGAGTAGGCAGGTAAGGCCGGACATCGATAACGGTCTCGGAATGGCTGAACTTGGCTTTTGGGTAGAAGTCCGTTGCCAGACTAACCTTGATGAGCGTGTGTAGAAGGCTTGTAAATGAGGTTTGATGTTCGCGGCATGCACTGAGGCATTTGCTCATTGTCTGAGCGTCCAGGCGAAGAGTATCAAGCTTGGTGATCACTGCATTATCTTCTTTTCTCGGATCATCGAACGAAAACTTCCGTTCCTTGTAGTTTGCGTCGTGAAAGAAAAGATCAGTCCCCCTGTAAAAGAGGGAAATACACAAAAAGCGCAAATAAGTCAGGATGGCCAATAACACGGATGGTTTTTTCCCCAACAGTTCGACTGGATCTACCTCAGGGAACCCTTTTGGCATCGAAGTCAGATGGACAATAGATGAACTGTCTTCGTCTCGGGCCGGGCAATTCAGTGCTTCAAGGAGGCTATCTAGGATGAGAGTAGCCCCACGCCCGTCTGTTAGGTAGTGGTCAAATACGAGCAAAGTTTGTCTCCCGTTGATCACGACAAATTGCCAAGGTGGTCGCGCTGATTGATCAAACCAGACCCGGTGGTATTGCTCGATCAGACCAGTCATATCAATTTCCTTTTCATCTTCGGAGATTTCGAGGAACTTCACATGATCCTCAAGGTTGACACTGCGCAAGAAACCAGACCAGCACCGATGATTCGATTTCTTTGTCTCAGATGGACCGTCAAAATATATCATAGCAAGCTCTGGGTATTGCCGTATAACCCGTCGAAAGGCCGGGTAAACCACTTCTTTAGAAAGCACCGTATTCTTGGCTTCAACATTTGTGTATGCTGCCGCGATGATTATATTTGATTGAAGGCCGAATCGATTTAGAAGGCTGAATTGTCGCTGGTATCGATCTTCAAAGGGGTGTCAGTCTTTCCAGTTCCGAAGGTGCCAAAAATTGTCTTGAGCTTGACTTTACCAGCTGGTTGTGTGTGTATGAAGTCAAACTCGAAGTCTGCTGGCAGCCCACTGTGTCTGTTCCTTTCAGTCGCCATTTCAGCCAGTGGATTGCTGGAGAAACTCCGAGTCCATTGAGTTCACGGAATAATTCACTGACGTTGCGTTATATATTGGAGCCGCGAATCTTGGAAAACCGTCGCGAAAACTCCCGTCAACGCTAGTGCTTACTGTCAGGATGCTCGATGGGCCGGTCGGTTCAACGGTATCTGGTCTGATTGGCTGTGTATGACTAGCTGAAACCTTCCTACTTCCGAGGTCTATTCTTGCTGAAAGCCATTTTTGGAAGTGATGCCTAGTCCCCACGACAGCCCTGGAGTGGATGAAAGATGACTGACGTCCTTTTCGGATAGAAATCGTGGGGCTGGGACCTCCCCAATATTGTAATAGGAGGTGCCGTGCAGATAAAGCCTCAAATGAATGCATATGCAACGGTAAAGATATATTTGACTGGTGAAAATTGACTGGGTTAAGAAAGAAGAAGCCCTGGAGAGAGAAGGGTGTCGCAGCGCGTGACTGCCAGATTGATCAGGCTCACCGCAGCCAAATACTCATAGATTTAGACCTTCTTCTCTTCTTCTCCCTCCTTCTCCCCTTAGCTCTCCCATAATGCATGATGACAATGCGATTCATTCATGTTCTTCTGTCCTATTTGAAGGGAGGAAATTCATAGGTCTAGTCTGCTTCTGCCGCCCGAGGCATCGATTGTTTCCCGTCGAATCTTCCCATTGCTAGTTCTAACGTGTCCCACATGTCCCCACAGGGAACATCACATGCCCATGCGATATTGCACAAACTGACAATCAGCCATCGTATCATACAGCCGACGAGCATTCAGATTGTCGTGCCTTGTCAGCCACTGAAGACGCAGGCAGCCCGTCTCTTTCGCAATATCCGCAACGGCTTGAATCATTCTGCGACCTTGGCCTTTTCCTCTCAATTCAGGATCAACGAAAAGGTCTATCGAGGAATCACAATAAGCAATCCACCTTCACGAGGATTTTACCACAGACCAGAAGGAAGCCTACCATTCAAAAGCATAATCTTCTTCTCGCTCCAGGGAGTCTGTTCGGGGAAGAAATGGGCAAGCGCAATTATTTTGCTGTTTCCCGATTCTCCCTGCTGTCGCATGACCAAAGCATCTAGATCAGATTTGGAATCCAAAATCCGCTCGAAGGTCTTTCGATACTGGTCATCGGTAATGGAAGTCTCATAGAAGTTGATATAACCTCGGAATAAAGCGGCCCATTCATCAAAGTCATTTCGATCGAGCTTTGTGATACTAAATTGCTCTGGGAAAGCCATTTTCGACAGTCGAGCTTTTGGCGAGTGGATATGATGACTCAACCGAAATTTGCCTGGGTGGATTGTGAGATTACTTTGGCGACTGAAGGGTAACATGCGGAGTCTATTGATCAGATAGGAATATTTATACCACTGACAAAAGATTAGTGAGGGGAGTAGGTAGAACTGCCGTTGGGGATTGGTCAATCGAAGGATCATTCGGCGATTTGAATGTATCGGTGGTGAGGACCAATCACCCGGCATTAGCCCTTCACCAAGTGATCGGACTGCCCATTATATTTTGTTGCCGACATCACAACTCTGGTATACTTAGAAAGCAATCCCGATTTACCGCAGATGGTCGCCAGCAAGACCCCTATTTCAATTGGTTCTTGTGGTCTGGTCGAAGCCGCTGGTTCCAAGGTTCTAAATTAATTGTGGACCGACCTGAGGACCTAATGCCTTTGGTTACCTTGGACTTACGTCCAAAATGCTTCTATTAATCATCTAGAGATATTCAAATCAGCTCTAAGCCCACGGTCTCCAGAAAATGCCCAGAGGATCCCAAACCCCAACTATTCTCTTGTATTCTTCAATCCTCTCTTTTGAAAAGAATTCTTCTAGTTTGGTGTCAGGGGTCATGTTGTTCACAAGGGATCTTGGGGGCTCTAAAGCAACACTTTCTTGTCGACACAAGCTCTTCATCTCTTTTGCAAAATTGGTCGCAGCTAGCTCGGTGCTTTTCGTGGTGGACCAGCTGATGATCAGTGCCTGGAAACCTCTTTCGCGATGATCGAAGTATCGAGATTTGCCTCCTTGGGTCTCGCTGATCTCGATTTGCTTTCGTGTGTTGAAACTGCTAAAAACCAAGGTGGTGCGCTTTGCATCTTGGTACTGCGTGGTGAAATCAAGCCATTTGTTGAAGGCGTCCATAATACTCTTAGGATGAATTTTCTTCATCGCAGCAGACTGAATATCTTTGAACCCGCCGTGCACGTCAAAGTGGGAAAGCGGCTCGTTCATCTTTGAAAGTGGCGTCGGTGCCGTAGCGGCGATGATAGCTTTGGCTACGATCTCTTTTTCAAACACGATCGGCAAGGCCGCTTGTGCCTCGTCATGTGGACCGTAATAGGTGGCTGTTAGAACGATCATGGCCGCACCTGGGTTGGGGGCCGTGGGCGGTGCTCTTGCGAAGACCAGCGATATGACCATTTCCGAGCTTGGAGGCTGGAGCCTATCAAAGACATCGACTGCTACCTCAATCTCCGACGCGGGAAATATGAGCTTGCGGACCCAGACACATCCCATGGACAAGCGAAGGTTTTCGATCGGGAAAACTTTCAATTCCAAGGATGCAATGACTCCGAGGCCAAAGCCTGCTCCACAAATCGCATGAAACAAGGCGAGCTCATCACCAATCGAGGAAGAGCTGAGTTCCAGAATTCTTCCATTGGCGGTAATCAGGCGGACAGAGAGTACTTGATCAATCATCATTCCGTGCAGCCCGCACATGGTCGGCTGTATTATCCAGTTAGCTTGTTGACTCTTCGCTCTCATGGAGTTACTTACGTTGCCTCCGCCCAGAATACTACTGACAACACCAACTGCATCACTGTTGGTCCACGTGGTATAGAAGCCTTTATCAGTGAGGGTTTTGATTAAATCTCCTGTAACAACACCACCTCCCACTCTGGCTGTTTGAGCAGCCTCGTTGACTTTGATTTGATTGAAATATTTCAAATCAAGGTACAAAGTCTTGGATCCTATTTCAACAAATGAGCCATGACCGCCGCCAGCTGGTAGAACCTGAAGCGCATTTTCCCGAGCGTAGCTTATAGCAGCTAGAATATCCTGTTCCGATTCTGGAACAGTGACAAGTGCAGGGTGTCCATTGATTCCCTTGTCAGACCACCTTGAGATAGAATGAGAGGGGGAAGCAGTGGAATTGACTATCGTCGCCTCGTTTGTCAAACTAGCAAGATCACTCATGTTGCCAAAATTTGCGATTGGAAATAAAATCACTGAATCCGACTAAACAGAGCCTGGCATCATGTTCACCATTAAATAGACTGGCTTGCTTGGCTGATCTTATATAAGCCTTACATTCGGTCTCGGGGGTCCTGCAACTCCGGCGGGGTTTGGGCGAGGCCGAAAAACTGCACTAGTTCATCCAGGGCTGAGGGCTCTGGTTGATTTCAAAGCAAGGCTGAGTCTAAGCCAATATGCGCCTTTCTGTCATACGAAGCCTTGAAGTTGGAGACAGATCATTGACCAAGGCGCTGACAGGAGTGAAAGCAATTTTTCATATTATCCCCAATCATTTGATCCGGCAAGAATAGATTAAAGTACCTCTGCTACAAAAAAGTCTTACATTTCTCTCTTCCTGTACCTTCGATTCATTTAACAAAGGGAAGCCTCGATTAGTATTTCCTGGTAGCGCTCGTCCACTTCCTCATAAATGGCTTCTGCCTCAACAATCTCCCGGCTGATGCGGATATTTTTGCCAGTGCGGCGCTTGTGAAGACATGAGGCTTTGTGGGCTGATCTTAGACGAACGGCTAGACTGCGGTCTTTGCGTCTCGAGGCAGCTATAAAAGACCTGTATGTTTCAACAATGAGATTTTGATAACATATTGGAGGAGTCGATTGTACCGTTCTTGATTTGCCTCGCAAGTGCGAGGTCCCTCCATATCAGCCGACGGGGGGGATCATCTGAATGAAGTATGGACAGGAAAACTGTTGGGAAATACGCTCATAGATGTAGTGATGAATTGAGATGAAGAAGTAGGAGAGTCAGTACATTGCAATGAGGTTATGGTTGTGGGAGGAGATAAGGGCAAAGCGAACTTATGTTGAATACATCATGTTGTACAGCACTGTCCAGGAGTTATCCATAGACATACCAAGCTAAGCTTTCCACGTTTTATTTTATACGGGCCAGGGCAAAGGCAACCTGATGACGCCTGTGGTTGAAAAGCTTAGCTTAAACGTGGTCCGACTCTCAGCCACCTCCCCCAAAGTGGGAACTCAGGGTTTGCGAGAAATCCCGATCACTCAGCCGCGATAGTCACACCATCGGTTGGTAAAAGCTCAACCATGTATTTACAGGCTTCCAAAGAAAGGCCCAAGCTATGTCGATCGATAAGTACAATATCCCAAAGAGGTTTTTAATCCGCGGAAGAGGCGAAAGCGATATGGCTTTTTCCGATCTGCGCACCATTTTTAATCCACTTTGCCAATTTGTTTAAGATGCCGTCAAACCAGAGCCTCCGGTCATGGCTCTCACTTATAAACAACGATCTATCCAAGATTCTGGGCTAACTGTTGGAGCTCCCTAGGTCTGGGAATCTTGTTCTGTCATTTTGATACGCAATATCCATTGGGTTTGGCCTGTACTCCGTATTGGTATTACCGTTCATTATCCCCACATTGTCCCACACTGCCCCACAGCAATACAGCCAACTTACTCGAGGCGTTTTGATGCCTGGAAGATACATTCGAGTAATGACAGTTCAAATGACAATTAGCTTCCTCACATTGTCCACTGTTAATATGTCATCATAACCAGAGCACGGTACAGAATGCGGAGTACCAGTGAATGATCTAGCCATGCCCCACAAATCACGATCGAACGTTCCCATTCCGGTGTGGACATTGGAAGCACCTGGCGCCAAAGGAAATCGGTGAGGGCTTCATTTGGAAGAAGCTATTCTCAGAAGAGTCGAAATTGACAACCGCTAATATGATCATCCATGGATGGCATATGGATTTCTTCCTCTGTTTCTTTTCATCTCATGGATGATGCTGATGTCTTAATTTTCTAGTACGGAGTACCACTGTTCTTCCCAAGGCAGCAGAGGTGTCACATTACCATTTCCCGCAAACTCCGTACAGACAGATTTTGTAGGGGTCTAGATGCCCGACACCACCCAAAAACAATTGGCCGCAAAAGGTTCTAGGTGGCTATGACCTATTCGACTTTGCCACGGTCTGGCATTTTGTTATTTTTGGACCATACCTAGCGCGACGACACGAGCCCCCACTTATATCATGCGGCAGTACTTTGTACGAAATCAACCTTGTATGAAGAGCAAAGGAACCGAATGTAACAATACTATCTGTTATCTCAACTCGGGGAGAGGCCTCATTCTAAACCCCAGGATCTTAGGAAACTCGGTAAAGTTCTTAGAGGAGTGTTCACGGGTGGGATCGTGGAAGCTCTCGTCAAAGTTGGTCTCCTCAATTGCATCCACTGCGAGGCCCGCCTTGAAGAAGGGCGCAAAAAGCTGGCATAGAGGTCGGTAGAACATGTACTATAGCCCATTGGTTAGAGATTGTCTTGTGTGAGGATTGAAAGGTGTTATTCCATACTGGTGATCCGGTTTCTCCCTCCAGTACCAATTGCCTAGCAGAGGAAGCGCTTGAATATTTGCTCATTACTAGAGAGCGATCGACGATACGCTGACCGGTATTCGGATCCTCGCGTATCGATATCTGGCGAGCTGCTCCAGATGTGAAGAACAGTGGGTGAAGCATTGTAGCGACGAAACTAGAAAGAAAAGAGCATATTGCATTGGCATTCGATCCTCCAGAGAAAACAGGGACAGATGTCAGTACTCACCAGCCTGTTTGCTTTAGTAAGAGTTTCAATGACCTCGCCAACGGATATAGATCTTCGATATCCATAAGAGCCATGTTCATAGTGATGACATCGAACCCGTTATCCTACTGGGCGCATCAGAAAATTTCGTGCAATTCGATTCATGCTCGTCGGTCGTTGGGTGTGAACTAACAGTGTAGTATGGCTCCATCGCCATGAAGGCATTCCAAGACAACTCGCTCGTGACATCAAGGTGATGGAATGATATCTTGTCCGCATGCTGAGTGGTCTCTGTTCGCGCCTTGGCATATTCGATCATAGCGACAGCGCCGTCGGTTGCAATGACATAATCGGACTTCTCAGCTAACCAGCGTGCTACAAGACCATTCCCTGTTGCAAGATCTAGCGCGCGGGATCCCTGAGATTTGTCCACGAGCTTTTCGAGTATAGGAAGCTCCAAGAAACGGAAATAATCGTTACCCTCATCACCCATTCCTTTGTCCCAAGAGGGTGCAAAGGTCTCCCAAGAGGCAAGCGGGGCTTGAGAAGAAACCATCTTGATGACTCAAAATGGGAGGAAAGCTACAGCAGAAAAAGATGATATGGATCTGGCACAGGGACACGCGTGGGATAGGAGAAAGGAAAGTAAGTAGGCGACCAAGCTAAGATGAACAATCAAGCCCGCTTGCCGAGAGAGTGACTATTTTTCTCTATCGGTCCAATGGATGTATGAATGTTGGAGTCGCAATTGAATGGATTGTGGGTTGAAGCAATACGAGGATCGTGTTTTGCAAGATCTTGGCACTGATGACTCGTATTTCCTCCGAGGCACACACCGCCCCGGGCAGCAAGAGCTCTCGGGGCACGATATTTTCAAGGTATTGAGACACTAATTTACACGGTCATCAACATGCTAGCATTCTTATACCAGCTCAGCAGCGGGTTTTCTCCACTTCGGGTTTCCGTGTCCTCAATGTATGCCCAGCGGTGCACGAACTCTTCATGGCTGGTGACTTGTGTCAACTTTCCTGTGATAGCTCGGTACATGTCTTCAACGACGTTGAAGTCCGTGGGGAAGAAGATATCAAAGTATCCTTGGTGAACCTGGGGGCACTTGTTAGCAAATATTTCGAGTGATGCAAAGTCTGACCACTTACGAAAGGTGTGGTCACGGGCACAGTGGTCCGCTGGTACCGGGTCTGCACGACCGGTGCGTTGATTCCAGGAACAGCATCAGGCAAAGAGCTGAAATCACTGGAGATCAAACGGTGTGCCGGGAAATACTGATTCAAAACGTCGAAGAATTGCATCAGTCGAGTGGGGATGTACTCAGGCAGAGTGTACTCCTTCTGGAAAGGAGCCGCAGAGCGAAGACCTCGGAGTAGGGGAGGGCCGAGAGGGCTTGGGAAAGGTCTGCGGGCAGCGGCCTGTCGCACACGCATGAAGCGAGCAGCGACTGGATCAAGCTGGTTGTTGAAGTACTCGTGGAACTCGCCCTCTGCATCGATCAGTACACCTCCCTGCTGTGGGGCTTCGGTGCCGTTCTGGTAGCGGATGGTGTCATGGCCGAAGTTATCAAACACCTCAAGAGCAAGGAAGAAGCATGGAGAATGCACATATGTGTCCCAGTCAAAGATTGATCGGTTGACAATTTCGACTCGGTCACGGTGACCCTTCGCGGTGAGTTTGTCGGTCAAGTTCTTGAACTGCAGATCGGCTAAGGCGGGCGAGATTTCAATGATCTTGAATTTGGTGCGCTGGTACACCTCATGGTCGGTGTCGCGGATGAAATCCAGGATGTTCAACATCATTGTGCCGTTTCCTGCACCCATCTCGTAGATGATCAGGTCATGGTAGGGGTACAGCGTAAGCTTGTAGTTCGACACCAGGTATCGCGCGATGGTTTCTCCGTAGTATGGTCGGAACAGCTCCGTGGGTGTATGCCACAATTGACGCGCAATGTCTGGATTGGTAGCGTCGAGCTTGTCTTCAAATTCGGTGTATCGATCTCCAAGAAGTTTGTGGAATGCTGGACCATCTTCGATGGAGTTGAATTGGAACGGTTCGCCCGGGCTGAAAATTGTCGCGTGTTTAGAGAAATACCCATAGTGCGGGTTGTAAAGGCTGTCTGTATCACGCAGAGTCAGAATGTGTCAAAGTCAATCATAGGTTCGCGACACTCACCATCGATAAACTCGCGTGTGAGCATCTTGACCTGGCGCGGTCGTTCGCGGCGGTTTCGCAGTTCTTTCGCGGTCACAGTGGGATATTTCCGATATTCCTCGTCGATATCTTTGGGGTAGTCTCCCCGTTTTGTCCACATCTGGACATCATCTTGCTGTTTGCGCTTTACGGGTCCGCGCCGAGTGAGGAATGAGCGGGACTGGGGCCGAGAGAGTAAAGACGGTGGTCGGCGTATTGATTGACATGCTGGATGGCGGAAGAGCTGTCGGAACAGCTGGGTGAGAGCCGGAGAGTCCATCGTTGCTAAACAGCTAAGCTCGAGGTTGCTCCGGGGAAGAAGAACGGAGAAACTGCAATGCGGGCCTGAGGCCGGAAATCATGCCTGAGGCCGAAAGGTGCTCCAATTTGAGCTCGTTTCCAAGGTATTTAATTATGATCGTTTCATATGATTCCCAACTAATATTACTTCGAGCGAGCGGGCCATTTTTTATTGATCTTTGTCTTCAAATTGATTGAATTGATATATCCGTGGAGTCGAATGCCAATTGAACCTCTCATTCTCACGCAACCTTGGGTGGTCCGTGCTTTATATCTCTGTTCCGTCAGGGTGCATCACGTCAACGTCGACGACTCCTAATCACAATGCCGGACCACTCAACGGCTTATATAGGAACTGCCTTTGTGGCTGGTGTATGCTTGGCTCTCACATATCAGGAGCTATCACGTCCAAAATGTGAAGAAACATCGAAAGAGCAACCATCACGGACAAAGGACCTGGAAGCCCGAGCCGGTCCGCCAGCTATTGTTGAAGGAATTGAAGGATGTATCGGAAACACGCCTCTCTTCCGGATAAAGTCGCTATCAGATGAAACCGGATGTGAAATACTCGGTAAAGCAGAGGTACATACGCTGACATACTAGCAAGGCCATGTCTAACATTGTCTCTAGTTTCTCAATGGAGCTGGCCAGAGTTCAAAAGACCGAGTAGCATTGAGCATGATCCAGATTGTGCGTTGATACCCGAAAGACTCAAACACATCATACGTCGGTCCAGCTACTAATCAAGCCTAGGCCGAAGAACAAGGTATCCTAACGCCCCATGCAGGCGATACCATCTACGAAGGAACATCTGGATCAACTGGTATATCACTAGCAACACTTGCCCGCGCAAAGGGCTACCTGGCCCATATGTACGCCACCGCCCCCACAAAATAACAACTCACTAATGCATGCAACCCAGTTGCCTCCCTTCAGACCAGGCAATAGAAAAGTCCAATCTGCTTCTCAAGCTCGGAGCCATTGTGGACCGGGTACCACCGGCACCAATCGTTGAGAAAGACAACTTTGTCAATCGCGCTCGGGCACTGGCAAAGACGCACACAGCCTCTTCCGGACTTGAGCCCACGTCAGAAGACGATCTTCCCACCGATGAGAGCATGACTCGTGGCCGCGGCTTTTTCGCCGATCAGTTCGAGAACGAAGCTAACTGGCGCGCGCATTATGATGGTACTGGTCCGGAACTGTATGCTCAATGCGATGGTCGGATCGATGCTTTCGTGGCCGGGGCGGGGACTGGCGGGACGATTTCCGGCGTGGCACGGTTCCTGAAGCCTTTGTTGCCTAAGCTTGAAGTTGTCTTGGCTGATCCCCAAGGAAGTGGATTGTTCAATCGTGTGGTTTATGGCGTTATGTTCGACGTGAAAGAGAGAGAGGGCACGAGGCGTCGTCGTCAAGTTGACACAATTGTTGAAGGAATCGGAATCAACCGTGTTACCGCTAATTTCGAGGCTGGCAAGGAGCTGGTTGATGACGCAGTACGCGTGACTGATTCCCAGGCTTTGGCTATGGCTCGCTGGCTTGTTGAGAAGGACGGCATCTTTATTGGTAGTAGCAGTGCGGTGAATTGTGAGTTTTTCCGCCCATCTATATCTGACATCTCCAGCTGACAGAAAACTACAGGCATTGCTGCTGTCAAGACAGCAAGGCGGCTGGGCCCTGGACATAGAATCGTCACAGTACTTTCCGACTCTGGGTCACGGCATCTGTCTCGATTCTGGGCCAAGGCTGGAGACGTCGGTGGGGCCACAGACACAAAACTCGAGGATGTAATGAATGCTAGGGATGAAGACTTCGAATAGTTGGTATAAATGAATACATAAAGGGGAAAGACCACCTGCGTATCAAGTCGCCGTCGTTTCGAAATTCCGAAGGATCTCCGTAATGACCTCAATCTCCAGCCAACCTGGGGCCTTGAATCACCAGCAGGACTTTTGTTATCGACATTCCACTCCGGCGGTCGAGAACTCTCTGTGCTTATTCGGGGCTTCCCATATCCATGAAAGTTCTACTACTTCTTTTTCCCGTTTCAATGTCATTTTCGACATAATTACGGTAATATTCCGCCAGGGTCCACCAGGTGCACATCGACAAGAACAGGTTTACCCCAATACCCGGTGCTGAATTTGGTGATTCGTGTCACTGCCAAGGTATACACAAGTGTTATGACATCCATATCCCTCAGATCACTGTATGTTCGTCTCACTGTTACATGGATGACAAGACTGAGGGTCCAAAATGTATGCATCGCAGTCAGCAATATCTGAGTGGAACCCTAGACTCCACGCAACTAGAAATGGAAAGGTACATACTCCGTACATCTATATGATGTTAGCTGTCGTGCATGTAAGTGCGAAACTCCAATCAATAATCCAAAATTGGAACGGACCAGAAGGGTTTCCGAAGTATCCAGAGCTTCATCCAATCCAGGGCTGATATTTCCTCGGTTGGATATATTCCCAGGTGCACCCTGGGGTCTAATTGTACAAGCATGCATCCATGGATGTGATTGCAAGGGAGTACAATCGAGGTTGTCTATGGATTGCTTTATTCGTGAGCCAGGTAACAGCCGAGGTACCACCGCAACTCTCTGATGGGCAACTCCCACCTGAGCACCTGAGCAGGCTGAAGTGAAATGACCAGGAGTGAATGTCTGACCTATAGAAGGAGATCCCAAAGTCCCGATATGACAGGTACGACATTCCGCATCGGTGCCCGGGTGTTCTCCTACATATCCTTACACTATGCAGGTGAACACGGGTCTAAATGACACCGTCGAGTCTACCACCGTGCCATACAATCTACGTTTTGTGTATAGTGAAGATCTTCGGGTAAGATATATGACCACATTTTGGAATTGCCCAGGTGTGGCGCACCTGAGCAGAAGAGGGGGTGAGAGACACCGTTGAACAAGCGGTACTTTTTTTCTTCTCTTTTTAGCTCGCCACTATCTCAGCCGCGGTGGGTTTCGAAAGTTTCGAAATTACGAATATATTTAGCTTATGCGGAGTGGCGGAGATAGTATTTCATGGAATGCATAAAGATGTTTTCATCCGGGATCAACCCTTGAACCATCGTAAGAATACGCAGGCTGCACGTATTATTTGAAGAGCTCCAGCAGAGCATTGGAAACATATGAATTCTCCACGTGCCCCGCCTTGCCCGGACGCCCCTCAGTGGTCGATGGCGAAGGAGGACTATCGCTGTGCGCATACTGATCAGCCCGCTCGACCGAATGGAGGGCACCATCGGTAGATTCTGACTCGATCTTCATCTCCTCTGCCTGCACCCAGACTTCTTGGGATGAATCCGACAGCTGCTCGCTGGCCGGATGACTCGGCCGGTGCGTCGGGTGCTCTGCCGCAGAGGATGCTCGACCATCGACAAAAGCACGAAGTAGCTCGAATTCGACTTCAGCCCGCGATCGACCCGAAAACTCACGTTGGATCTTAGCCCAACAGAGACCCGATTGGCTGCTCAGCCGAGTGAAGGTTGCCAGCTCAGAGTGTGACCAGGGAGTTGAAAGATGAGGCGGGTGTGCGAGGCGGCGGGTCCAATGGTTGAAGTACCAGTGCCAAACGGTTTGGTAGTCGAGCGTTGGCATTAATTTGACTACGTCGATGGCTTTTTTGTTTTCTTGGTGCATCACACGCAGGATTATTCTAGCCTCGTCGGGTGTCATGATTCGCCTTTTGCTCGGGCTATTTTGTGGGGGCTCGGCGGATGGGACTTTAGTGCTGGCGACTGGCGTTGATTCGGGGCCCAATGTAGAGTCGAGCGTTGTATCAGCTTGGAACTGTGTGTTAGGCGGTCCATTTCCTTGGGCAGACTTCCTTTCGTCTACCTCTATCCTATCGCTCTCAATGGAAGCACTGGGGGCAGAGTCAAAGATGTCCTCGTGTTGACTTCTTTGCGGTGATTTGTTTTCCCGAGCCTTTGCTTCCTCTTCCCAGGCTCGGTCACCCTCAAGATCCGCAAAAGTTGAAACGAGTGTATGATCATCTTGCGTTTCTATCTCAAGCGAGGTCTCCTCACAAGGGTTTGTGTTGGACTGCTCCAAGTCACCAACTGATTTCGGTTGAGCAACATAAATCCCCTTTTGCGGAGACTTTGTTGGCGAGACAAGATGGGGTTGGGTGGACTGGGCGTTAGGCGTAGGAGCCCTAGAATGCCGCCGATATTTTTCATGGTTGACCTGCGCCTTGGACGGAGTAGTTACTGCTGAACGGGAGGGTGTTCCCGGATATTTGGTAGGCACCTGGCGCTTTCCACGAATAATGCGCATCTTCGATGGCGTTGGGGATGGCTCATAGTCTTGCAAAGGATCATCCGACTCGTTACCATCAGGGACTGATGCGAATGACCAGTCTCGGGCTACAGGGCTCGAGTGATACTTGCGCTTCGCAGATGGCTTGCGCCGGCTCGGCGTAACCTTGGGTTTTGATTCCGTTCGTGGCCGACCGGGTCCCCTGACAGCCCAAACAGAGCCGCTACCAGGGGGAGAGGGAGATCTCGCAGATGGAATGAGTTCCACGTTGACCTTTCTGGTTTGGGTAGTCGGCGTTGCGAAGGACTGGGGCAGATCAGGGACCGCCCAGATGGGATCTTGTGGCTTTGAAGCCGCGACAGGATCGACGGTCCTGGGGTGATTCAGGGAATTCGTAGGATGATGGTTGGAGTTCGTAGGACGAGATACATGTTGCGTTTTGGTGACTGGACTGAGCCCTGTAGCTCCAGACGCCTTGAAAGTAAACACAAAATCCAGCGAGTCGTCGTCATCCCCCTGCGGTTGAGCAGGCGGCGGCGCATGGACTGGAGGCGATGGAGCTGAGACATTCGGCATCAGATCACCAGGAGCTGATCCAGCGCATTCTGCATCGTCGTTCTCTTCCTCTTCTTGGCCCTCGTCAAGGTCTGTATCAGGCCCTTCCGGCTCTTCCAGACCAGCCTGGAAGAGCCACGATCGCGGTTGACCACCGTCAGCCCCTTCCTCTTGCAAGCCTAGCAAGTGCCCATTGTCCACCACTATGTTCCCGGTCTCCAAATCGATCTCGTCACCAACATCAGTGAAGTCGTGGCTGTATTTCGCAAAAATCCCTTCAAACAGAGACTTGAGTTTGGAGTCATTCTGTGCGCGCGCAGCTGGGAGATCAAAATCATCGGGGATTTCTTCTGAGGCGTTTGCGGTCGCGTGTTCAGCTCCGAGGGTGGATGAGAGACGCTGTCGCTTGGCGGGTGGTTCAATGTCCTGAGCAGGAAGGATCATGCTGTCGTGGTTGTGCATGGCTGTAGCCGGGTGAACTTCAAGAGTTGACCACAAGAGTTGACCAAACACTTAGGGTGTATTTAGAAGAATCATGTTTGAAGAGTTGAACAGTAGAACATAATCAAACGGCACAGGAAATGTGAGGGAGCAAAAATGCGGGATCCAAAACAAAGCAAAATGACGTTCCCGAGTTCTCCAACTTTCCTCTCCCCACAATGTATTGCCAGAAGTGCCGCACGCCTCTCAAGCTTGATGGCTCAATAGAGTCACTAAATCCAGCAGCTTTCGAGTTACTCTCCAGTTCGTCCCCCTTACTCTGCTTTGATCCCAAGCTAAATCGGTCCAGACTCTACAGGAAGGACGCTGTCGGATGGAGCTCTCTCGTCGCCGTCATCACATCCCGGAAACCGCGACCACTACGACCGAGCCTCAAAACACGCCGCTAAAAATGCTACTCCGCCCGTTTACAGACGGTCCATACCTGCCCCTCGTGGCAGTCAGCCAAACCCGGTTTCACGAGGCGATAGCGGGAACATGTCATTCGTGATGCTGACCGAATCGCAAGTTGCGCCGCCGCCCAGCGATGTCCCCTCGGCCACTCGGGGAAAGCAGAATCGCACACAAGTCCAAAAGCTCGGTCAAGAGGATGGATCCTTCGTGGATCAAGTGGAGAGAATGACCCGGTTGTTCGAAATTGTCTCTGCGCGGTCGGACATTGACCACCCGATTTGCGTGGAATGTACGGAGCTACTGATTGAAGGCTTGCAGAAGCGTTTGACGGGCTCCACGAAGGAGCGAGATGCATACATCTCGTTTCTACGTGGCCTGAATGGGTCGCTCCCGACCGCGGAGGAGCTACAGGCCGCAGAGAAGTCATTGAATGAAAGCCTCGAAGCGGAGCGGGTCGCCTTCGCGGAGCTACAGGCGCTAGAGAAGGAAAAGAACGCTCTAGATGCGGAGATTGCAGCTTTGGAGATTGACTCGCTCCAGCTTGATGCCGACGAGGAGAGCTTCTGGCGGTCGCGTAACGCCTTTTCACTGACGCTCAACGAGTTTCAAAATGAGCGCGATGCGCTTAATATGCGATACGATCACGACTCCCAGCAACTTGAGAGGTTGCAGCGAACAAATGTTTACAATGACGCGTTTTGCATTGGACACGATGGCTATTTCGGGACTATCAATGGGCTCCGGCTGGGCCGCCTCGCCAATCCCTCTGTTGACTGGCCCGAGATCAACGCGGCGTGGGGACAGACAGCTCTTTTGCTGGCCACGATGGCAGAGAAACTCGGTTTTCATTTCCAGGGGTATCGCCTGAGGGCCTTAGGGTCCAACTCACGGATCGACAAGATTGAGTATCCAGTGCAGCCATCCGGCCAGCCCATCGAAGGAGCGGCGCCCAAAGCAACCCAACTAGACCTATTCTCATCGGGCGATCTACCGCTGAACATTCCATGGCTCCACCGGCGCTTTGACGCAGGCATGGTGGCGTTTCTTGAATGTCTGCGGCAGCTGGGAAAGTTCGTCGAGAACACCCCTGCACCCGTTGCATCGCCACGTCGGGGCCAGACGGGCGCCACAGCACCGGGACTCAAATTACCCTACGAGATCAAGCGAGACCGTATAGGCGATGCTAGCATCAAACTGGGCTTCAATCAGAACGATGAAACGTGGACGCGAGCCTGCAAGTACACGCTGACTTGCTGCAAGTTCCTCCTTGCGCACGCTAGCAATCTAGCTAGTACAGGGTCTAGCAACTCAGCTGCTGTCGCGGCTGCGGCCGTCGCAGCCGCCGAACAAGCCCGACAGACGACGGTCAGCCCCAGGAATCGCCCTTGAAACAAAGATACCAGAGGTCAGCGGCCCAACCAAAAAATAAGGCCGAAAAAAGAAAAAAGAAAAAAAGGAAAGGAAACAACTATTAATTAAGAAAAGGTGAGGCTGCAGCAGGATCCAGATGTCAGTCATGTAGCCAGCGAATGCAGGATCGACTCCATGCACCAGCGCATCAAACCGTACTTTGTCAATAAGCTCTGATCAAAGGGGCGATGACGATGACGTGCGGGCGACGAATGTTTCAAGCACCAATCTAAGCTCGAATTTTCATTCGCCAGTCACAACCAAAATGGATCGACTCTCCATCCAGCCAATACAGTCCCTGGTCCCTATCGGCTGGGTGCAGGACTGGCGCGTGGACCGGAATCAGACCTCTCCCAAGTCCTTCCAGATTCCTATCTCACCTAACCAGAACACGACGGGGAACAAAGCCGTTCCCGAGGATGCAGTGTCGTTGCGCCGCCACGATTTGGGGACTCTCGGGCTTTTGCGCTTCGTCCTAGTACCTGCATGCGATCCGAGCCGGTGAACGATGGTCCGTGGACCTATAATAGGCAGTCCGGCAGATATCTCCGGGTCGAAAGTCCACGCGCCGTTGTCCTTCCCAGCACAGTCCAATTTCGCAAGGCTTGGCCGGTCTAGGTTGGTTCTTTCTGCTGCATGCTGGTTGGAGCGGCTGGATTGGAATTTAGCGGGACAAAGTACACCCCGCACTTTTTTCCACCGAACTGTCAGATCATACCCGTTGAGGTACTAGTTGTTTAGCGTCCGTGTACCCGATTTAAGGAGAACTGTTCTTTTTTTTTTTTTTTTTCTTTATAGTGTTTAAGCACGGAGTACATTGCGTCTCCTATTTCGCCCCAAGTACCTAGTAATGCGGCGAAAAACGGTACATATGTACGAGTACCTTCCTTTCGGGGACTAAGCAGGTTGCTCCCCGGTGGTAGATCCCCCTAAACTTGCAAGGTTTACATCTGACAGTTGATCTTGAGTTTCAAGGTTTGGGATCCCGTTCTAGCCCTTGCGATATCAACCGTCCAAAGCGGTGGGGTGGTATATAAGAGTGGCATTGCGTCGAGTCTCACGACCTTCAAATCCAAAAAGGGGGGACCGGGGGGGGGTCAGAATGGGGGCCAAAAACAGGAACAAAAGAGGGAGAGAAAAGAGAAAGGGAAAAAAACCCAGAAGAAAAGAAAAGAAAAAGAAACAGTCGCGCAAAAAAGAAAGAATAGCGAAGTTCGCCGGGATATGCCCAGATCAAAGGGATTATAATTGAAATACTCGGAAAGACAAGACAAGAAAAGACAAGAAAATTGTGTCAAACGTAGCACGGACCTTGCATCGTATGACTCGAGAGGTCTGTGTCTCGTCTCTTACCGTACGGAGTACTAGTATCGAATACGTGGGCCTCAGCCGTTTGAGATCTGGCACGTTGAGGTGTCATCCGTACTTGTATCCATGGATCAATAGTACGTACTCTTACCCTCCTACTCTAAACGATATAAAAGTGACAGAAAATGTATAAAATAACGAATGCCCTCTATAAATACATACAAAAGCAGTAGGAGATAAATGGAGGATCCACGGAACTGGGATTTTAGCCTCGGGGAAGACAAAGAGGAAGTTTCGGCCCGCTCCCGGTGGTTTTTTTGTTTCGATCGACTGGAACTAGACGAGGCTAGTGCTGCCGTTACTGGGATATGGAAAGATATCAATAATTATCAGTGGTGATAAGTACTTATATACCCTGGAGAGAGAGAAGAATAAATCTGAATACTCCTGTCCAGGTGAGAAATGAGGAACAGGCAGCGGAAAATGCATCCAATTTGCAGCCAGTGCGCTGCATGTAATAGTTCGTCTAGGCTGTACAGTAGGGCCAAAAGTACCTCCACTTGGGCACGTTCAATCAGAACGAGGCTTAAACAAAGATGGAAATCGTATTTCAGACACGACCAGCATACCCCTAAAAAAAATACAACAATAAATCAAGAAAAAACAAACCCCCCAAACCTCGTCAAAAGAGAAAAAGAGAAAAAGAGAAAGAAACAAAACAAAATAAAAGTGGCCAAAGTCCCAAAAAAAGCATGAGACAGACTCCTACCACAACAAGAACCAGCACCGAACGGAAATATTCTCCCGTGCAGAGACTGGTAGGCCGTTGACGATCATGACAGTGACAAGTTGCCTGCACCCCCGATGGATCCCGGCAACGACGCTGATTTGGCCGGGGAAGCAGGGGGTCGTGCATCCGCGCGCACGTCGCCGTAAAGAGAAGAGAGAGATTCCTTGGCCCCCTCTCTTGACCCTGATCTCTCTTCTTATTTAATTGGATTTTCGGTTTTGGTGTAATATCCTCGGGGGCGCATTGAAGTGCTTTTATTGGACTTGCATTTGATTTTATTATTTTATATGATTTGCATTCCTCAATGGAACTTATTATGGGCACCTGTTTTGCATATTATCTCAACCTTTTGACCTTTGAGACCAGTATGATATGAGTCCATAACTCTATATTCCCTCTTTCTTCTTCAATCATGAATACCTATCAACCGTTGTCGCCGCCAACTCATGCCCACCCGCCGCCGCCGCAACCTCAAGCTCAATCCGTCTTCCGCCCCCGCCGATCCGATGATTGGCACGAATATCGCGAAATTATTGAGCAGCTCTACCGAAATGATCAGTTGAAGCTTCGGGATGTCAAACGAATCATGGAAAGAGATTATAAGTTCTTCGCATCGTACTGCTGTCCTTTTTTCTTTCATTCTCCCTCTCTCTCTCTCTCTCTCTCTCCTTGTAGAGACCTTATTGCGCATCGCCTAACCCAGATCCCATCAGAGAAAAGCAGTACAAAGATCGCCTCGCCGCATGGCATGTTCGCAAAAACATCAAGGCAAAGGAAGTCCATTTGATGCTTCGCAAGCAGCAGAAGCGCGCCGCCCAAGGCAAACAGACGGCTTTCCGCGTCAATGGCCAGAATGTCGACCCCAAGCGAATCGCCCGCTTCGTGCGTCGCTATGGCACTTCTTGGGATAGCACGCGAGGAAAGGAGCAGGAGACTGAGCCCCAGAGTCCTGAGCCCCGTAAGTGACAGCCTCTCCCGCCATACATGCATAATGTCCGATATTATATCCATGGATACTACATAGTATATGGGCATAGGGCATGTATACTATATGCTCCATGCTTCCATGCTCGATGCCCCTCGCTACCCACATCACACACATCATCACCAAGTATCAATAACCCTTATGCTAACACCATCCAGAAACCCCCTCCGACATGACCTGCTACACCCCAGAACCAGCAGACGAAAACAGCGTGACAACACCCATCTCCCCACTAGAGATCCATTCGCCCCGCGAGATGTCGTCCTTCCCCCTCAATCCTTACGGTAAATCCACGGGTTCGATGAGTATGCGTATCCCTGATATTGATGGTCGCTATCTCACTCTAGACCCAAACCACCTCGAAAGCCTCCCGGACCTCATCATAGACGAGGACCCGAATATGCCTCTGGCCATGCACTCTAACCGCAACAACTACCACTCATTAGGGAATGGCGGCCATTCCCATGCTCATGCGCATTCTCACGCTCAACCTCTTCCAAACCCAGTCCAAGCTAATGCTACGGTCCATGCCATCTCGCATGCTGTCCCGCAACCGCATCCTCACGCTCATGCTCATGCTCATCATGCTTATGTTAATCATGCTCATGCACATGCCCATGCGCATACAGGGCACACACAGAGGGAGCTGGATGCGTCGGCGGATGGTGACGTTCACCCGCCTGATTGGAATACTGTCGAGTCGTTCCAACATAGACTGCGTGGGCTGGATGATACTCTGGCACAGTCGATGTCGAAGTGGGCGAGAGAACATGATCCTACTCAGGGGGATCCTCGCCATGAAGGATTGGGAATGTGATTACTATGGAGAATGATTTGATTTTCTTTTTTGATGCTTGTGTTCTCTCCAGCGTTAATGATGTTTTTTTTTTCCCTCCCCCTTCCCCATCTCTTTTCTTTCTTTGGTCCCCCTTCTTGTCTTTCTATGTACATGGTTCTTCTGTCTGGAGTTCGCATTTTGCCCCAGAAATAGGCGCGACTCATAGCAAGGGCGTTTTTTCTTCGCATTTTAGATTGGTGATCCATGTTTTTTTCCTCCCCCCCTCTGCTTCCTTTGTTCACGCTCTGTTGTATATCCTACTTTTTCTGTATGGGTAGCACCGAGAACAACACGCCTAACGCCAACCATCGACCTTTCGATCGATCAGTCTATTCCGCTCACCCGATACTCAAATCACCGAACGTTTCATTCGTGTCTCACCCATCTGCGCCAGCTTCCGAAACACACCTCTTCCACCCCCACCCGTCATGCTTGATTTAACCTCCCCCGGTCTTTGTTTCGGCTCGTCACCAGACTCGCAATCAGACCCCCCAATATACCCCCACGATCATGCGGCACTCTTCAAGACTCCGGTCGCCCCCACGCCAACCTTCATATTCACTTTCCGGGATCGCTCGATGGAACGCCGGGAAGTAAAAGGCACTGCAACCCACGGCATCAGAGATTCTCCGGGAGATAAAGCAACTGCCGATAGCAAAGTACTGAAGCTCCGCAAACAGCCAGCTTAAGCTTATCCTTTAAGAAATATAGAAATTGTAGACGTAGGGTTCAACCTCGACCTCGACGTCGACCCGGACCAAAGGATCCACAAGCCTTAGCCATAGTCGTAGTCCACGGGTTGCAGGCCAAATGTGCTCCGTACCAATTTACCAATTTAACAATTTAACCTCTTTCAAAGCAAGCATAATCTCCAAGACCATCTACTCCGTACCCCTCGGTTCCAATCTAGGCAGCTTCCAGATTTCAGATTTCAGATTCCAGCTCTCTGCAGTTCACCCGAGGTCAGGCTGAGGCTGGGACTTTTGAAAAGACTTTGGGCAGATGGGGGGACTTGGCATTAGCCACGTATCAATGAAAACCAGGAATTCAATGCTGCAGGGGACCGGGTTTGTACGGCAGGCTGCATAATTAAGATGACATCGGATATCTGCATTGAGCTTCATACTGGGATTTTGATATTCGATGTATCGATTTTTCTTGGTCGGGCAGTGGGCCCGGGTAGAGCGGGAGGTTCCATGGCCCACTGTGGATATACGGTGGTGTCTCGGGAGTGTGAGGATAGTGCGAAGTACGAAGTACGGAGTACGGAGTGCTCCGTATAGCCCTCTAGGGCTGGAGTTACACGGTGGTTACTATGACGTGGGTCGTTGATTGGATCCGTGGATTGAGGATAACCATTGCAATAAATACTAGATACAGAAAATAAGACCGTCGCTAAATTGAATCCAAGCCCAAGAGAAGAAAAAGAGTAAAAGAAGATGGAAGAAAGAGGAAAAGGGTGAGAAGAGCCCAGGCTGTCGCTTGAGACGGTGGAAGGGGAGAAGGAATTCGTCAACCGCGATTACGGCCTGCAAATGACATGCGTGTCGGGATATATAGAGCGCGAAGGCTCGGACAGCTTTTGGCCAATGAAATCAAGAAGCCCCCGTCTACTCCTGCAAATTAAAACAAAGCACCAGGCAAGTCTATGCGCTCATGAGTAGAAGGCGCTCTTCTGGAAACTATCGGGAGAGATGTCGCCGATCTTGCCCTTGATCTCGGGCTTTTGATCAGGCTTCAGAGCCGACAGACTCTGTGTGCGACCTGCGGACTCGCCGTTCATCGTAGAAGTGCGGCTGGCAGGTTCAGTGCCTGCGGTGATGGCTTGGGTCGGACGACGCTGGATAGTCTCCAAGTAAGGACCGGGAAGGTATCCGACACGGCCGTCGCGGGCACGGCAGCGCCACCACTCGGAGGCATTGCCCATGGGGTCAGACTTGCTGAGGACGGCGACGATGTCGCCCTTCTTGACGGCCAGATCGATGCCGTTGGACTCTTGGGTCTCGGGTGTGTAGTCGTAGAGGAGGCGGCAGAAGTCCAGCTTGGCTGGGTCGAGGGCAGCGGCACCGGGCTCGCCGTTGGGACCGACGAGCTGCTGGCGACGCTTGGCCTCTTCTTCTTGAGAGCGCGCCATTGTCTTGATCAGCTTGCCCATCAGATAGGGGAGACCGAATAGGGCGATCAAGAACATGAAGAAGGGCTTCTTGGATGGCTTGGCGGGAGCGGGGGAGCCATCGGGAAGAGTGACGGGGCCCGATCGGCCCATGAACGAAGCAAAGGCAGCGGGCGTCAGAGATGTGGCATCGGCCGGGGGAGGACGGCCCGTCAATTTGGCGATCAATGTGCGGAACCACCGAATGATTGTGAAGATTCCCAGGGCTGAGCCGAGGGTGTTGCGCAGGTTTCCAAACTGTTCTGCGACCGAGACCATTGCTATAAGACAGGTTAGCAGGGGTTCGAGTCATCCGCAAGACGAAGCACTTACCAAAGAATGAGCTGTGGGTGGCCATGTAAGTGCTCTCCAGCATCTGGGCAAAGCCTCCAAAGGCGCCCACGATGCTTTCGATCATGTGAAAGGTGGCCTGGGTGCTCTGACCGAACGAGTTGGTCAGACTGTTAGGGTCATTGGGATCCTGTCCCGGCATGCCACCACCGTACATGCCGCCCATACCACCCATGCCACCCATTCCATACATGCCACCTCCGTAGCCACCATAGCCGCCACCGTACATGGAGCCCATGCCGCCCATGGAGCCGAAGCGGGAGTACGGCGATGAATAACTACCCATACCGCCCATGGTGCCGTAGCCTCCCATGCCAGTTCCGTACGCGCTTGTGCCGAGTCGCGAGGCGCCGTAGGGCGAGTAGTTTGAGGCGGTGCTGTTGACCACGGAGTTGAGGGTATTGGGGCGGTCTGGGAGGTCGGGGGCGCCACCCGATGTTGCGGGGTTGGTGGTAGTCATGGCGGTCGAGGCAACCGGGGTACCGGCGACTGCTGTTGATGATAGTGCGTTTCCTGCGAGAGACTTTGAGTCAGATGGATGCTTTGATGGAGAACTGAATCGACCGCTTCGTCCCATCGGTCGGGGCCGAACCAAGCGGAGGTCCCCCAACTTACCAGCTGCGCCTGCTCTTTCCCAGGGTTTTGGAGGCGAAGGCGTCGCCATGGATAACGATATTAGCGAGCTTGCATTGAGACACTAGATGTAGACGTAGATCGAGTGAGAGACGCTGTGAGAGAGACGGGGTGAGAAGGAAAGCGGAGAGGCGGAAAACGAAACCTTCCCAAGTCGGCAAACTAACCGATCCCGGGGCCTCGGTATCTCCACTCGCCACATGAGACTTGGACTGTGATTCTCTTTACTCCGTACTATTTGAACAGTTGAATATATCTCTAGCATTTACTACAATACCACTTGATGCTGTACTTTGAGGATTTGTTTTTTTTTTCCCCCAACCAACATTGACTCACTCGGAAATCAGAATCCCGAGAAACGCATGGACTTGCCACACTGGGACCGAGGCAAAGAGATCGGACCCTGAGACAGTGTCCAGGTGGAGTATGGGGTAGTACGATTATCTCAATATGGAGCTGCTAATATTTAGAACGTATGCATGTCTATATCGATGTGTGTAACCCACTGTGCCTTACTCCAGGTTTCGGTGCTGTCCCCTGTTGCCTGAGCCTGCATGACTTCCGAGGTACAGCCCTGGAGGTGGCGAACGGCGGATTGAGAACAATGAACAAAGTCAGTATTCAGAACAACATTCAAGTGTAGCAAATGCGATGAATTTATCCAATCACTCCGAAAGTAAACCAAAACCCAGTCTATGAAACGCCCGTAGTGCAGCGCCGTATATGTACAGATGCCAATGAAATGGTGATGGAATAACAGAAAATCACAACTCATCCCGACGAGGATGATTATTCGGCAGAGTGTGAGGGCGCGGCTCGGGCGCCTTCAACTTCCAAGCGCGAGGTGGCACCGGCAAACCGAGCCAGTAGTTATACAGTCGGATGGACTCCCACGTGCCAATTTGGAATCTAGTCGAGTTAGTACCTTTGACTACCTTGAAAACAACGTCAGGCGGGAATCAACTTACAGTGTCCGTGGAATATCCATCCACGCTTGCCAGATGTATCCGACTGTGCCCCAGACCATATCCCACTCTTGCTTGATATCGTCCCAGACTCCGGCGTCCGGGCCCAGAGGCTTCCGCTCCCAGGGATAGTGCTCCACCTGTTCGCGACCGTAGATATAATCTTCTTCACCCTCATCTTCATAGTAGAAGTTGTTGTTTCCATCCTTAAACACACGCTTTCCGCCCTGTCCACTGAGAGCGTTGGCATGGTGCGAGGAGGGCACCGCGCCATGGACCGGGAACATGTGAGTGGTGCCGGTCAGAAGGGCGCGCTGCATACTGCGCGAAGCAGCAATGCTGTGAGAGATGCGACCGAGGGTGTTGATGAGGGCGACCAGCTCGGTGCGGCGAAGGGGTGGGTTTTCGCCGTTCTTGGTTTCATCGTAGTCAAACAGCACCTTCAAGGCAGTTCCGTATCCGTTGACCTGGAGCTTGCCCCAGAGTCGGCACTTATCGCAACCCACGCAGTCCATCAGGCGGCTGACGTTGCGGAAGCGGTTGCGGAAGTCCTCCTTCAGGCCTAGGGCACCTGGGTCTTGGAACATGATCTTCTCGTCGAAAATCTGAGGAACCTCGCTCAAAGTCGAGGTCAGCTTGTTGACACGCTTCTTGGTCTCGCGGTCTTGTGCGGGATCGCTCGTACAGAACGTGTAACCGTTCAGGTGTTTGCGGAGCTTGGTGACAGCGCGGGAGACGAGCGCGTAATTGAAATACATGTTGGAGATGCGCTCGGGGTGGTCCAGGAGTCTCTCCTTGAAACACTGCACATTGGGATGCCACTGACCGGTGGTCTGGTTCAGGTAATCCCAGCACAGATGAGTGGAAATGGAAGCGTGCATTCCGCTGATCAAACGGTGGAATACTCGCTTCTCCAAACACTCATTGTCCAAAGGAAGACCCTCTGGACGCTGTGTTTTCTTGTGAAGCACGTCGCGGAAGTCCGAAGCAGCCTGGAGGCCACCCAGCGGAACGTTCAGAGTCTGATCCTCCAACTCATCGGCCATGGGCTTCATGAAGCAATTCTCGCTGTAGATGGCATTCCAAACCTGATGCGCGCCCTCTCCCATGTATCCTGTAAACCGCTCTGGGTTGTCCACTAAGCTCACATAATCTCCCTTGCCGGTCGAACCCTCGTCCTCCGGAACACAGTAGTCGCGGTCGTCACATTCGTCGTCGTATTCAACCACACAACTCTCTCCGACATCTTCACCCAACTCGCCCTGGAGAGGACGTTCTTTCGGACGCTGGGCTTGGATCTTGCGAGGTGGGTGGTTTGCCTTCGGGCCTTCTAGCTTGCTCAGCTCCTCGGCGCGCCAGGTAAGAGGAATGTCGTCTTCGGATTCAATGGTGTTAACCGAGCATGCGATATTACCGCACATGCTGTTGGCATCGGACCAAAAAGGGCATTCTGTGTTGAAAAGGTTGAGACGATAGAAGGAGAAGAAATCGGTTTCTTGAGTGATTGAGTTGAGGGTCGTAAAGATGAGGTCGTTGATTCCGTTGATTTCACCGTATGAGACGCAGGCATCGGATACCATCGCTGAGGGCTCGAGCTGCATGTATCACGGGTCAGTCACGTCGCCTGGAGATCCGGGGTCCTTGTCATACCGCGCATTTGGTTGGGTCTAATGAGGCATCGTGGTTGCTAGTGCTGGCGCTGGCCAGACCGGCCAGACCAAGCACTGCCACGTGGAAGAACTTCGCTGTGGGCTGCATCTTATGTCCAATTTTCTGTGATTGAGGGAAAGACGAGCAGCGTTGCTTCTGTGTATGCAAGGTGGCGCAAAGGCCAAAATTTCGAGAACAGGGTCAACCCGGTATTTGTAGGGGTAACAGTCGACGTTGCTTGTAATATTAGGTATCGTTCAAAGTAAACGCAGAATCCGGATGAAAAAGAAAGAATTCTAGAGGAATGTGGTTTAAAAACAAGAAGTAGTGGCCATGCTGGCCTGGACATGCGCGGAGGATCGGCCGATCGCCAAGAAATGACAATGGCCTGATTCTGCCGGACCCCGGCGTCGCTGATTGGCTGTGGCCATTTGGGGGCGGTGTGGAAAGGGCGGAAGTGGTGAGATGAGATCGTCCCACAACTCAATGCTGACCAATGCTATACTTCCTACAGAGTACGGAGTACGAAAAACATCCATGGATCATGTTGTCCTACGTCGTAAATGCACGACATAATATCTACGGGAGTACTGCTTTTGCAAATACAATCCATGGATGTTACATTCTCCTCCAATCTTGAAGTTGTCTTACAACTATCCCCGGGGGGCCCTTGGATGCACCTACACAGCGCGGTTATGCTGAAATCTTGACCTCGGGAAACATACCTAATGAGTGAATCACTTGATTATAATTTCAGAAAACAACATTTCAAATTCGATAGCCTCTTGAACTAGGTGTTGGGAATGCCCTTTCAATGCCTTTAAAATGATCATTACTCCGTATGAAGGTCCGAGTTCACATCCAGCACCTAGCCCAAGATATATTTTCATACCTAACTATCTATTCTCGGCTGTCGACGATTCCTAAACATGCAATTATCAAGCTCGAAAAAGTCCCTGGCGAAAAATCAATCAATGACATCGAAGAGATCTCAAAAAGGTTCCAAGGTTAGCCACTTATTCTTGCCCGGGATGGGTTTCATGAGGAGTAAAGAACGGTTGTTCAACCCCTTGCATACTTCCCGGACCCGTGGGTAGACTCAGATGTTGGGCCTCAATATCCTCACGAGGAGAAGGTGGAGGGTGTGAAAGGGGCATCATGCTAGAAGCGCGCCGTGTCGAAAAGCGCTTCCAAAGTTCACCATTTCCAGGGTAAGGGCTTGGACGACGCCAGTTCTTGACTAGTGGAGGGCTCTGGCTGGTTCCATTTGGGGTTGTCATACGGATTTGTGGTGCTCTGCCTCTTTCTTCTGTCTCGGGTGTCGAACTGCCATAATTTCTGTATCTCCCAAGCGCAATAGGTGACCTGAGGCGACGAGAATGCCGAGGCGCATGTCTCATGCCTTGGGGTCTTGCAGTGTCACGGCTGAGTGAGGAAGCGAGATTATGAGCACGATCTGCCAGCTCTGCAAAAATTGATGCATCTTCGGAAATAGACCGTCCCAAATTGTGCCCGGTGGCGAGATACATCGACGTCGCTGGGGTATTGTCAGGTACACGTAGATCATAACTCTCCGAAGATGCTGATGTGTGGGGTGATTCATCGGCGTCAGAAAAGCTTGTTGTCAGATAATCCTCTGGGCCGTAGATTGCTGAAGAGGCTGGAGTATTGTTGGGTACCTTCAAGTCATAGCTCATGAACGATGGTGAGGACCTAACGGAATCCTCATCATCGGAAACAGCCGAGGTCTCAAGAGTGACTGGAGATTGCGAGGCAGAGCTTAGGAGTGGGAATTGGTTCTCCCCAAACTCAAACGGAAGTGACCGGGGGAAGAAACCCATCTTTCGAATGTCAAAATCAGCCAATATAGTTTCCAGGAAGTCAGCAATGGGCTTCGCGCTACCGCCGCTCTCCAAACGACCCAGTGAGTAACCCATACTTGCCTTGATGTACCAACAAGAGTATCCAAACTCGGTTCCATAAAAGCCTCGATGCTGCTGAGCGCGAGTGACAAAGTATCCGGGAGGTGCGTTCCGGACGATCTCATCGGGTGCATCCATCCTGCCCATGATCTCGCCGTAATGCCGAAGCTCAGACAATCGAAGGAAGAGTTCATCGGTCTGCTGTGCGATTGATCTGTAAGGAGCTGAAGATCTGAGGCTATAGAGGAGGTTGTGCATGCTCTTCCGGAACCTGCCATAGCTGGTCCTGAAGATCGTGGTGAACTCGCGTTGCAACATGGTGGCGGTACAACTGAACTAACCTTGGAGCTTCTTCAATTCTAGGAATATTGCTTGCAAGAAATTTGGGTCGGGTGATTTTCAATCGTAGTCAAGACCAAGTTGAGATTTCAAGCACACTTTGTTGAGGCTTCCTGAAGGATGGTTATTCGAACACTCTATATGATCGAGTGGTTTTATATTGTCGAGGTCAATTATTCGTCCTATAAGAGCAACTTCCGGCAACAAAGGGGACTTGTAAGACAGCGAGGCTGTGAAAGAATCCATTCAACAGAGATATCAATGGTATTGTTGATCACGTCATTGTTGCAGTCTGTGAGCACAGTCGTGTCAATTTCCGCCAGTTTTGGGGCTTTTTCGTTGGTCCCAGGTACATCATGGAATGAAGATTCGATCCCAAAAGAGTATCATCAAAGAGAGCCTGTATAACATGAGTCAGCAGCATGGCTGTTTCCAGGTGCTGGTGGCACATCCTTTCCCCCCACTCAGCTCAGACGGTTGCCTGACCAGGGTCTAAGCCGCCCTTCACCGACCGTTTGATACATAGAGCCGGCGTTGGTACCCGAGGGAATATGCGCGAGCCGGGGCTATGGTCGGGAGCTCGGCGAGAGTCCGCTGGGACAGGCCTCAAATGGGGGCGGTCCACAATGGAATCGGATCGAGGGTAACGTTTTGACACCCGGGGAATATCGAAATAGAAAGTTTGTTATGTAACAAAGAGTCTCCGAGAAAGGGACCAAAAGGCAAAGAAAGTGAGGAATAATGGAGGAGAGCAGTGGAAGCTTTGTTGTTGACTTTGTCGGAATGCGGCACCAATGACTCGCCGATGCGGCTCAAAGCCTGGTCGATTTGACAACATATGCAGTCACCCGCCATTTGAATTATGTCAACAACGTGCGATATCAACCTAAAATTTCCGAGTGTTAATATTAGTCTCCAAGGCTCTTACATGTCCCGGGAAACACACTCGTTCATGTCTACACTTCGATCAGAATGGAAGAATGGATTTCCGTCCGCTCTCCGACATCCCCAGGAGAAATTGTTGTCACTGGTCAATATAAAAACAGGAGGAGAAAATGAGAAACCCCAACTCTTTCCTAATGTGGAAACTTCTGAAATCTCGGGAGTATGCAAGCAATTGCATCGGGCGTCTGTGGGTGCGGTCTGCTGTGTAACAATTTGCGTTTTAGTTTCATCTACTAAGGTACGTGGCTTCGGTCAACTTCAGAGCTATAGTTGAGAGTCAGCGAGCTCCACGTTATTGGCTTACGTCTAACTTGAAATAATCATGTACTGTTGTATGAGGGCCATGGTTCCAAGCTTCCAAAGTTATATTTTGAACTGACCTCGGGAGCGAACAGGCACTCGAGGCTTCTGAAGATCGTTCATTCCGAAGATTTGACACGAGTTGCCCCATCGCAGAACAATCCCAAAGCATGAATTACTCGATCGCTGTAGCTCAAACCTGAATCTAATTAACTCTAAGAAAATTCGAGGGAATCATACGCCAGGATCACTGCCCATGTGTGATTATGCGTACCCAGGTTCAAAAGATTCGTGCTTGGCACTCCAGAGCTACCTACCCATGGATCTGGCAAACATGTTAAAGTCGTCCAGAAGGATCGCAACCTTGGATGCAATGACGAAGCGCTGCATAGATCCCAGCTCTGCTTGTGATGATTTGACAGGTATCAAACAAAAATCTGGAATCTGCCGGGGTGGTTGAGACATATAAGATCGAGGCAATTCATTGATGAAAAGAACAGCAAAAATTTCAACCTTGGAATTCCGAGTTCAATCTTGCCATCTCACCCCTGAACATTGAAACTTGACCTCAATTTCACAATGAAGCTTTCCTTCCAGGCCGCCACAATAATTTCTCTCCTCCTAGCAGGAGCCTCAGCCGAGAAAAGTGGCATGTTCATGGCGAACGGCATGGAGCTCGAAATGCATCAATTTGGTGAAGACATCATCTATACGGAACCGGTAGGCTTTCAAGTATCTTCAAAAATTAATCGAGAACAAAGCTGACCATTGAAAAGCCCAACTTGTTTGAAGTATGTCCTCAGTATAGAGAATACTACCCGGAGAAGAAAGCCTAACATCAATTTGTAGGGACGGAGTCTTGAAGGCCGAGACACCAACAAGTGCACCAGCTGTGTGGGCCATCACGGAAGCTGTGTTGTCGGTGATGGAAACTGCTATGCGCCGGATGAATGTGGCTTCTGTGGGGGCTGCAGTGTCAGAGAGGCGCGTTGCCAGAACCCTAAGAAGGAAGGATGTGTCTGCTACAAATGATTGGGAGGTTTGGACTGCTGGATGATTGTTACCTTGGTACCCACATCAAATTTGTTCAGATAGAACTCTCACCTGAAATACCAGGTATAGATGGAAAATCAAAGCACATTTCTTTCATGAGTGTTCTGGAAACCAGATGAATGATTTCCCTTCCAAACCTCGAGATGACCTGAAATCAACCCGAAATATATTTGTAGGAATGTCGTTCAGGTGGAGGCTTTGAAGATTTCTTTGTCAATTGTGCGAATATGATGACCAATACTACAATTCTGGCCCCGAGAAAACTAACTGAAAAGACCGAAATGATTATCCAAATATGTACTCCCACCAGCCCTTCTTCCATGTGCGACCGAAACGATGATTTATGCAGGCGTCAAAATCATTGAACCCTCCAGCCTTGCTATGCCGCTGTCCGTTGCCCCACACACTGATTGGTAGCACGCAAAGCCCGCCATTCGATGCACCATAGAGGCCTTCGCTGTCTCGAACACAGACAGGATCTTGAAGTCTGTGGAACGGGGCCCAGGAGACCCGTTCTTCAACATCTCCTGTTATCGAAGACACAAGGTCATTGATGCCGGAATCTGCAGCAACTGACTGCTGGATGAAAGGGTGGTTTGAGGGCAAAGAGGAGGAAAGAGTCTCCAGAATAGCATCTGTGAAAACATCTGGCCCCGTGACACCAAGGATTGCCTTTTCATCGTAGCGTGCGCTATGGAAAATCCCCCGTATCTTTCATTATGCTGTTTGGTATGTGAAAGTACACGGACGATAACTTCTCGCAAAAGTGGACTGAAGCGACGAGGCGCGTACATTGTGTACTGAATCAACCCGTAGCTTCTCGTCCAATGCCAGTCACGCATAAATTGCGGTAAAGCATATGGCTCATCGACCTCGACACCGACGACAAGAGACACATTTGGGGTAATGTCTTCCGCTCTCGGCAAAAACGGTTGGAGTGCTGGGCATGTCTTGATGGAGCGGGCCGGAAAGACATCGATGTCTGCATAGAAGCCTCCGTAGTACCAGAGAAGCAAATATCTGAGCAAGTCTGCCCGCAGCACGTTGTGGGGATACGATTTAAAAACAGCGGCGATATCTGGGATGGCAGATAACTCGGTCGTCACAAATGCCGTGGCTTTCTTATCATCGACCAACTTGATTTGTTTAGTTGATAGCTATCAGAGCGCTTGATATAATCTCACAGTATATTTCCACTCGCTATTCCTCGCTTCAAACTCTCGGGAATCTGCGCCCCGCATCGTATCATCGCTCGCTATCTGCCAGATTCTTTCCTCGGATTTGTCGTTTCCCCGACTCTGGGCTAGTACATTCTCGGCGAGACTTTCCAAGGCATCTGAGATTTCGCTCTCGTATTGAAGATCTGGAGATTCTCGAAAGGATGACTGGTAGAGGAAATGGGGTTGATCCTCCACTCGATACCTCGGAGGTGGTCGATCTGCGCGGGTATTGTTTTGGGTGACCGGTGGACTTGGCAGGTGATGCCAAAGAAACCAAACGAGGAACACGAAGACACAGCTCGATATGCGAGGGGTGAAAAAAGAGCGGCGGCCTCTGGCTTTGGATGGATTCATTCTAGCTTCATATCCCGCATGGACAATGACATCTATGCGCGGGAGAAAGGTCGACACAGAATATGCAGCCCAGTCGATATGGCACGGTCAAGATATTGTTGAAAGAGAGCAAACAGAGGCAAGATCAGAAATCAAATTGAAAGGAATGAGCAGACAGTCGGTAGCAAAAAAGAAAAGAGAAAAGAGTAGCAAACAAACGGATGTCCCACGAGGGTACCGAAGTGCAATTGGAGCACAAGCAACGGACATGACTCAAGTATACCCTGTCGGAATTTTGAGATCGTCTGTTGAAACTGAAATGGGACACGGAGTACAAGGAGAGGCGGAGGGTTATGTTAGTTTTTTTCTCTCTATCTTCCATCTCAACCCAAGGGGAGATTAGCTGCTCACTGATTCTTTGTTTGATAGCCCCACTTGCAATATCAGCCAACCAGCCTAAGCCAGGGTGCCCTGTCGTGAGAGCCAATAGTCTATGCCCCTGGACGGAGCTTGCTAGATTGTTTGCTTTGCAATTTGCGACGGATGCGGCTAGCTATCGAGTGACGTGGTCAAGGTATCTCATGGAAATTGGGGTGGACAACAGAGAATTTATAGAAGGCATCGTGGCGACCGTCTCAAAATACTTTGTGAGCAGTAAGAATATACTCCGTAGTTGACTGCAATGGACATGTCGATGAAGGTTCTTATTTCTAGCGGTCAAAGAGAAGCACTGGCCCAGGGTGGGGCGTCCTCCGAGGGCCTTGGACGGCGCATTTGTGGGTCAAGCCCCTCCGCCCTGCCATCTTTCCGCCTCAACCACACCCAAGCTTCAAAACTTCAACTTTCACTCCGTATATGCTGGGAAGCCTATACACCGTTTGCTTAATGGCTTGGGTAGAGCAATCTCATATATCCATATCTCTTACTCACGGAGGAGGTCTCCTTGACCTCTCTTGAATATGAGCTCCGTTTGCCCAGAATATTTTTGTCGTCTTTCTCTGTGACTTGAGCCATCACATGAACCAGCTATCAACCTGAATCTGAGCTTGAGGCTAGGGTTCCACTTTTTGGTGGCTTTACGTGCCTGCTGTGCCTCGGCGGATCTTGGCGCGGGCTGCTACTATCGCAAAGCCACAGCCTACAAGCCGGTCCGGCACGATCTACTCCGTAGAGTACCTGAATTAGCCACCCAGGTCAATATAAACGCAAATGCATGTGGCCAAAATTATCTGGCACTTTTTCACAATCAACAAGAATTAAAAAAATGTATATATTACCTGGAAAGCTGAGTCACGCAGAGAAACCGAGTGAAGCAAGGGGCCAAGATGCTGCAGCCGGGCGTCGGTCGGATATCAGATCTACTACTCCGTACTCCGTACTCCGTTCGTATAGGGAACCTAGTGTAATGGGGAAACCGCGCCACATCCTGAGGTCTCACGTGCGCCACAGTGTCCAATTTAGCAGTTTTGGCTCGCGAACGCATAGTTTAGCAACGAGCTCGACGGAATCTTTCATTATCTTGATACATGCCAGGTGCCTACATGGAAGAAAGGTGGTCTCTATTACCCGAGAAGTGACACGCCGAGGGACGAAGATGGTAGCTTTGCTCAAGTGGGCCACTGATGGGAAATTCATGCGTGGCCTATGCGCGACTGAACGTCCCCAACGGACAAATGATCATGTGGGAAAAGCCCTGGACATCTTCCTATCTAAAGAAGCGCCCATGGATTGATGGCGAGCACCTTTCCTAGGGAATTGATTGCTTGCGAGGAACGTGGGATGAGGAAGAAATGGCATTGATACTTACGGTAAAGGCGTGGGAAAACAAGCGCATAAAGTTTCAACCAATTGCTCAGAATCTGCCCGCAGGTCTTTTGGCTATTTGTGTCAATGGAGCACTGTCCGAGTCTAGAATAGTTGAGTCAGGGGGTAATATCGCTGTCGACGTGGAGGTCGACATGGAGGAGTTGGATGTTGTGTTCAAGAGAATTTGTCAGAGTTTGTAAAGAGCATGGACTAGAGCCAAACTGTAAATTGTAGTATGGTATCTCTGTTTTTTTTTTTTTTAATTCTGCATTCAACTAACGTATAGTAACCGAGGAAAAGAAAGGAGGATACGGAAGGGGTTGGTATTTAGTATACCTCTTCAATGGGCCGGGTTGGGTTGGGTTGGGTTTGGCCCTGGGCTTTTTCGGTCGGCGCGTAAAAGTCCTAATTTGTAATTTTTTTCACAAGTCCAGCTGTCACATCTAGAGCCTTTGCATGCGGCGTCCAGCGCAGACGACCACATGGTGTGGAATGCTTGAAGGATCAAAGATCGTCGAGAAATAGTTTCAGACTGTCAAAACAAAAAGACTGACTGGGGACAAAAAGGAAGATAGAACCTTGGAAGTAAGAGAGTTATCTACCCTGACCTCGGGAGGGTCAGCTGGCCTTCCAACAGCACTTGGCACCACATCAGGCCCCTGTCGAAATACAAAACCAGCTAGCCACCCCCACTCTTTTTGCCATGGCCGACTATCTATCCTGATGATTCAAGGGAGGGGGAGGGGTGGTCACTCCAGTCCCGCGAAACAGCCTCATTCACCTTTGAATATCCATTTCCCTCAGTGCTCGGAGTCAGGTTCGTGCTAGTCTCGACATATGCTCCGCTCGCCAAAAATTTGAAAGGCATTATATTTACACCCTGGTGGAATGGAAAAACACAACGCACCGCCCACTGGGCATGGAAGAGGCGACCAAAAGGCTGAAGCAGGAAGAGACATCAACGGCTTCAGAGTCGCCAGGCGAGACCGATATGATTCGAACCGATACAGTGAGAGTTGGAAGCGCCACAACGTCGAGGACGACTTATCGTGGGGCCGAATGATGGTGGGTAATGCTGATTGGCGATACTGGGGAGTTTACGACGGTCACTCGTGAGTACTGGATCCTGTGTGGATTTGAAACGATGTCTGGTTTGACACCTGTTTTCGTAGAGGTTGGGCAACCTCATCAATTCTTAAAGAATTTCTCCACAAGTATGTTAGGAGAAAACTCGACAAATTATCCGCTAAGGATTTGAATGACTCCGAGGCGATTGAGGTGGCCATGAAGTCTGCATTCATTGAGCTGGATGACGAGATCGTCTCCGACGGTCTGGCTGCCATCTATGAACCAATTACCCACGCAGAGGCCATGTGTCGCATTGCACCCTCCAGCTGTGGGTCCTGTGCGCTTCTAGCACTGTATGATCCGGAGAGGTCCATCGTCCATATTGCTGGTGCTGGCGACTCACGTGCCGTTCTCGGTCGGCAACAAGATGGTGACAACGGGGATTGGGTCTCCATTCCACTCTCGGTTGACCACAGTGGTAGTAACCCAGACGAAATGGCCCGAATTAATGCCGAACATCCCGGCGAAGACCGCTTGTTTTCCGCCGCTGGTCGTTTTCTCGGATCAGAGGTGACTCGAAGCTTCGGAGACAATCGGCGGAAGTGGCCGAAGGAGGCACTGGAGGACTGGAAGAATGGCTTCTTTGGCCGAGTTTACAACACGGACATACAAACACCGCCATATGCCACCGCGTTGCCAGATGTGAAGAACATAAAGGTTGAGCCAGGCGACTTTCTCATCCTCGGGACAGATGGGTTTTGGAACCATGTGTCCAATGAGGATGCGGTGTACTGTGTGAGGCTATGGATTGAAGCACAGGCCAAGGACATTTCAGAGCAAAAGAGAAATATTCAGATTGCTGCCCAGGTGACGATGTCCAAACACCAGGGAAGGAGCCGGAACGGCATATGTATCCGTATAACTGGGTGATGGAACGAGATGACTTCATCGTCAAAGATGATAATGTAGCCACGCACTTGGTTCGCAACGCATTTGGAGGCAAGGAACGGGATTTGTTTTGCAGTGTCATGAGCCTTTTGCCACCAGATTCTAAGGAGGCCAGAGACGATGTAACCGTAGTTTTTATTCTCTTCTAGATTATTTTTCAAAATATATCTAGCAGTTCAATGGGTTTCGCACCTGAGCAGCACCCGTGGACTCGTACTCACCCATTCCCAGGTGGTGGGAGTGAAAATTAGAGATATATCTCACATTTATGGTCAACGAACCTTGGAACTACTGAGGTCTAATTTTTTCAAGGTTACCTTTCTCATTCCTAGATGTCCTATATGTTCCCTTCTCCGCAATGTATTAGTACATACGACCACAGGGTGTGGAAAACAGGGCTTCCCGTCCGCTCAGCCGTACTTAAGCCACACGCCGGTGAGTTAGTAGTTGGGTGGGTGACCACCAGCGAATCCTCACTGTTGTATGTTTTTACTTCCGTAAACAAAGATTGTTCGATTTTTGCATCAAATGATTGATTGTATCTTGTTCTAACTCAAATACACCTTCTCTGACCTAGTACCGAGTAGCAAGGGTTACCCACCCTACTTATACTTTAATCCCACAGGGCTGACCCTACTGTTTTAAGCACTGAAGAACTAGATACCCTATCAATTGGCTCCCAGATACGCGAGAAGTGACTATGGATCTTGGAGGATCATGATATTCGATCCAATCACAAACACGAAATATAAGCGAATTGGTCTTGAAAATGGGAACAGCATTGACCTTCTTTGCTGGCGGATCGGAAAAAAGCACCCAAAGTGGGTCATTGGGGGCCAAGCTTCAGGCCTTCGGAAGCCTCTACTCTTCAACTCTTCTCAGACTACAATCCGTTTTGCACTTTCCGAATTACAAAATGGCCATATCTTCTTTTTCTGGTGTGGTAGAAGAGAAACCAAGGCCTAGCCTCACCTTTTTGTTTCTCCTCCAGATCCTTCTATCAGGTGCACTGGCCCTTCTTGTTCTCTATACTCATTCACACTACCCGGAAGAGCTATCAGGATGGTTTCTCATCAAGTTTATACTGCTAGTTTTCTCGCTGCTATTATTGATTTCGCAATCATTGGCCTGAGCAATGCCACTACCCGTGACTTAGATTGCTGCTCTCGATGTTCAATGCCCTGACGTCACAGGTGTCGCGGAGTACTTCCATCAAGGCCATCTCGTGAAACGATTGAATATTAGTATCTTCGCTACCATTATCGCCGCTCTGGGTGGTGCTTCCTATATCGCGTGGGCAGCTGATTCAGATCCTGCCACCAAGGTAGATATCTGCATATGTTACCCAATTCCACGTCTCTCTTGACCTTCTTCTACCAATCCGACCAGGCGATTGCTGTCGTGGGAACTATCACCAGTGCCGTCTCCGGTGATATGCGAAGTCTCATCGCTCGCGATAACCTCGGCTTTTAGCTCGTCTGCTTTCCTAACTCTTCTACTACTCCCCTCACCAAAAAGGATCAAGCACCTTGAAGCAACTGTACTCTAAATACAAGAACGTTCCAGTGCTCATTGCTCACAGCAATTTCTTTGGGCCAGGATGCTACCAGGTGCACTACTCTTCCAAGCGGAGTACAAATGGTAACCACCTGATCCACAGCCTCGTTGCCAGTACTCGGTATAACACCACAAATAAACCCCCGCGACTTGGGTGGTGATGATACGGGCGTTGTTGATGATGGTGAACTTTAGGGTGTATGTAATTTCATCAACAACGCCTGAATTGATCAGTATCAGTGTGACGGTTCCCACTTTGTTGACTGAGCTGTGATATGGGCCTTCAACAGGCCATCAAACACCTGGGTAGAGTTGGAATTCAACATCACTTCAAACCTGGGTCGAAGAAAAAACATATATTCCAAGATCTGGTGAGGAGTGTTTCCTGAATAGTGTGTATCGTTCAATGTCACATAATTTGCATTTTTCCCTACAATGACAACCTTGGAAATACTATAAACTGGTTAGATTCTTTTTCTTTTTGTCTGTGTTCTTTCGAGTATCCCTGGTGTTCCTCGGAGTTCAGCAATATCTGATCAATCATGATCTAGCTGCTCCTCACTACACTGCGATACGAACGCATCATATAGCACATCGATCTAAAACATTCTTTCTGATGGGGTGCGATGCTGGTGCTGGGTGGTCAGGTGACGTAGATGATAGGCCCGATCTCTCTCCCCCTTTCCCCTCTGCTCTACAGTCTGAATCCTACTGTTTCATGGCAATCTTTCCTTCTCCCAGCAGGTCTGTTAAGAGCTCAGCACCCAAGGGTGTTAATAACAAGGCCAAAAAGCATAATATGATAGGACATTGTGTTCCGTTATCCTTGGACCGCTATATATACCACGACATGCTACACCGTAACAGGGTCAGCCTATTGTCACTTTTTTCTCATTTCACTTTGATCCAAACACATCATATAGCACAAGTAGCTATAACATTCCTTGTTCTCACTTCGAGTCTTTATCACAACACTTGAAAAACCCTGTCACCGAGATTTGCCATCTGCACCCTCAAAGGCGAGTGTCCCGAAGCTGACAGATCTATGCGGTCTGAGTTGAATTGATCGCGGACAGTGTCATAGCATCGCAACACATAGCCCCGGGTACAAGTCAGCCAGCCGAGAATGGGATGGAACTTGAATATAGCCCGAAATCAGAGCACATCCCAACCGGTGATCAGATCCAAGACCACTATATCGCGAAGATGTCCAAGAGGACGGGATGCCAGCCTTTGGACCACTAGAGCCAAGTCGTGTGTCTGGCCAAAGAGTCTATCTTAGTTACGAGAAATACCGTTACTCGGAAAACTGTTTCTCCAGTATATTCACCAACGAGGGTCCAGAAAAATGGTCAATGCAATGCTCAGGTAGCCCATGACCGCGCAAACGTGGAGGCCCTGGTCGCATACTGAATTGGAAAGAAGATGGCCCTAGGAACAGAACGTAAATCTTGCTGCCGAGGGAGGAGGAAGTTGATTGGATCTGTTGTGTGCCCCGACATGACATACTGTGCTCCTTGCTGGTGGAGGGGGCAAGAAAAACGCTGCAGTTTCAAGTTTGAGGTATCAAAAACTCCAATGGACTTGGAAGAGCCTCCTAATTCTCAATCTCACCAGAAAATCAGCTATTCAAGACCTTGCTGGTGTCATTCAAACCGGCCAATCATAAAAGTCCTACCTCCCTGTACTGTCTTTGGTCGTTCGCGTTCTAAGGCAAGAATCCTCGCAAAGAGCCAGCTTTATCAAAAGAAAAAAATGCAGCTCAGACCAACGCGTTGTTATATTAATTTGCCGCTCTCGCTAGAACAGGCGCAAGATAAAAATTATACAGTCATATGACAAAAGCCATAAAATCGAATCTACTACTCATGATTTACCTGATATATTAACTTCCTTTGAGTAATAAACATGGCCGCAAGCAAATGAGAGGCGAGTCCACCAAGTGGCGACCGAGGGACAATCACGCTATTACTTGAAGCAGTGAATTACATTAGGCCTAGATCTGGGTTCTTCTTTGCGGAATGAAATCATAATACGTAGACCGACCCCGCTTCTCTCAACCGGCAAAATATGCCACTTACAATATCCGCTACTGTAAAACCTTGCTACGTAACAAGTTTTTCCCCTGTGCTCGAAACACATCCCTGCTTGGGTTGCCATGGTTCAGCACCTACACACTTATCTAATATTTGCTGGACGGGGTATGAAGTCGCACTGTATTTATATTCCCCTAATTCCTCTGGGTATATCTTGTGGTCACGAAATGGGAGGAAGATTGAGGGTTCAAGCAAGAACCGGCATTGCTTAGGGATGTTGTATATGGGTATCCAAACTGTAATCCAGAGTTTGATATACAAAACTAAGTCCAGTTGTCATCTCCTTTTTCTACTACCTAACACGTAGCATGCGATAGTTTATACAGAAAACGAGGACATAGCACAAGGCTAAATATTGTGGCTGTGCCAGAAAGCCTTACTTACCCCTCTTTTTCAAAGAAAGGGACATCAATAATAAAAAACTCGACAGATAAAGAACATCAGTTCCGCGAAGGAATATAGTCAATCTCACAAGTAGGAAGCCCCGATCGTCAATATCATCAGCAGATATGGAAGCAGTTAGCCTAGCTGGCACTATTGTTCAATTCACGCAAGTTGGGCTAGAATTTTTCAGCCGCTTCCTCGCTTTATATCGATCAGCAAATGGGACACTCGAGGAGATGGCCGACAAGGAGAAACACATTCAAGCCCTTTTGAGAGATATTGCATGTCTTGAGGCTATTCCTCTTACCCATATTGATAACGAACACGTCAGGGCTTGCCGTAAAGTTCTCGAACAGCTGTCGCATATCATAAACTCAACGAAGGGACACGGAAAGCGGCGTGTTATCTCGAATTTCAAGGCTGCAGCCCGGGCAGTAAGAATCAAACAGCGCTTTGAACAACTGGATCAGCAGCTAGTTTGCGCGGTACAAAACCTTCAACTGTGAGTAGGTTTTCTCATTTCACTTTTATCACTAGAACGTTTCGGAATTTGGTGAGCCGAGCAATTTTCTGCATTCTGTTTGGTGCGGTCTGTACAGCGGAGGCTAACATGATTAAGGAGCGCGGATGTTCAACATGCACAAGGGCTGGCGTCGATAAACAAACAGTTAGAAACCTTGGTACTACTATTGAAAACGACGTTAGAAGCTTCATGTTCCCAGAAACCAAAGGATCTGGGATATCCGTGGGAAAGGGGAGCACCTGAGGAATATGTCCTTATTGATGACGGCCTTGATCAAAGTTACTATCTGCCTTCGAATTTTTGCTGCTCGCAAAAGGTACTAACAGCTCTCTTAAATATTAACAAGACTAACTCTTACCTTTAGATGTTCTTAAAGCTCCTCTTACACAAGTTTGAAGAGAGAGACCTCCCTGGGTTGGACCTAGTACGAAATACTCATTTGGAGCTATGGAGTTGGGACGAACAAACAAAACTCGATAACGATACTTGGAATATGCATGTTACATCAGGACGAGGTCTCAAAGTCTCATTTGTGATGAGCACCTGGACAGGATTCGACCATCTCAAATGTGTGCGCTGTGGGGAGAAGCAGGTGGAGACTATATACCGTCGGAAATATAGCACATGGTATGTTATTATAAGGCATTTCACAGAATACCAAAGCCGATTAACATGTACACAGCCCCCAATGCCAATTGGAACTACGTTGGGTAGAGCCTGATGACATCCCCTACGAAGCTAAGGACACGGCGCTCATACCATTTAACGGTGATGTACCGCAAGGCCTAATGTCCGGAGAGTCTTCACAGCAAAGTCAAAGCCAATCCATACGAGCAAGTTGTAAGGATGATACACAAGCTATCGAGAAAGTGTGTCGCCGACTTACCATGAAATGGGAGCCTATATTCAATATCACCCACCGATATCTCTACTGCCGTTGCATCTTGCGCAGTTCCACGCCATCGTCACTCTGCCCGGAGATTACCACGCTCATCAACTCTAGATGTCCCCGACACAGTAGTGAAAGAACTACACACACCGACTACGGAGATATGAATTACCATCAAGATCCGTATTTTGATCAATTCGGCGGGTATAACGCATTCCGTGCCATGGTATTCTCGATATTTCCAGGGGTATATATCGATATTCTTGGCCGATATGATTTCATAGCCGAGGAAGAGCTGCAAGGCGTTGTCGACGATTTAAAATCTGCAACTGATCGACTGGGAGAAACACTTGAGGATGCAGTTCATGAATATATGAACGATGTCTTTAAAGACGCCAATCGAGCGGGAATCCCGCTACCTAGTGATGTCATTGAATTTTTGCGTTTGAGGGAAGAAAGGGAACAGGAAAACAAGATACAAGGCTCCCATATCCACCCCGATAGTATCAAAGACTTCTCGGAGTCCCCAATGTCGCAAGAGGTTATAGATATTCAACTTGGCCGATGGTCAGGGAAACCACATTGGGCAGTTGAAAATTGCTAAACAGCTTGTCGATATTTTACTCGCAAGACTTTGTCCTTCCAGAGATGCCTCAGGAATGTTTCCATATCTTTGATCCCTGTATATTATTTGCGAGCAATATGTCCTTATTTTCGGTTTATCTCATCATCATTTCAAGTTAGTATTGATTTTTATCAAAATGTTTGAACATCGTAGGTATATCCTAGACTAGGCGCAACAGCTACAAAATCAACTAGTAGTAACGCATCGCGGGTTAGGGGACACCAGAATGGTATCGAGGAACTTCAAGTAAAAGAAAATCATAGCCGATAGACTCAGTAAAGTTATAAGTAGGGCTATAAATAGTGTAATAGTATGTGTATTTGCAAATCTTGCAGTCAGGTTCCGAATCAGCGCTCAATTTACCCTGGGACACAAGGTTGTGGTATAAAAAAGTGACATATTGCCACTTAACGAATCCTCCCGGCCCTCTTAACGTTTATATTTATTGTAATTTGGTTCCACTAACCATTACGTTCATCATGCTGCTTTTGAGTGATATTCAAAATTTCAAGAAATCTACCACTATACCTTCCTACCGCTTTTCTTCACCGTTCCAGGGCCGTTGCGTGCGGTGCGCGCTTCTTCCGTTACAGGGCCACTGGCAGGGATATCCCGGAGTAATTCCCAATATAGACTTGTTGGAAGGGAGTTCCTGTCGTTGGTGGATCACGTGACCGTGATCCTCCTGCCTATTAGTTCTCGCTCCTCCATAGCTTCTCTCTTCTTCTTTCTTCTCTCTTCAGACGCACAATACTATTCTTCGAATAGCCTCCTTTTCTTCCTGCCTACGTTCTAGTAGACCTTCCAAAAGATTATAAGTCCTTTAGCACGCTATTGATTAACCATCAACCGCTAAAGCTTTACCCCAGCTCTATACGCCAAGCCAACCAATCAACCCCACCGAAACTTCCCCACTTCAACAACCATCCCAACGAATCAAAAGGGATCGCCTATCTACAGCAGTCATCCCAAGAGATCATCTCATCGCCAGATCTACCTTCCTAATCCAATAATCTAACAGCCTCATCATCATCAATCCCAGATCCTCGCCAAATCCATCATTACCAATTCCTCCCATTTTAACAACATCTCCATCATCGTCGATCCCCGCAATCCCCACCAATACCTCGTTGCCCCACCAATTCCTCCCATTTCACCATAACAACATTTCCATCACTTCTCCATCGAATCCTCCAATTCCACCATACCAACAATCCCTACACAAATCGAAAGTTAATACAATAACTACATTCCCCACATATTATAACCACAAACTCTTCTTCCAACAAACAGCTTTTACCAACAGACAACAACTAGATTTCCATTGCAACAATCTAGCACAACAGCGACACCACAACACATTTACCAATCCTCACACATATACCACATAGCCATCCAAGACTACATCCAATCCTAACACTATAACATCATCATACAAACCACCTCGCATTTCAATAACCCATTCCCTCATCTCAACCCCCAATTTCAATCCAATTACACAGTCTACATCTATTAAAGATACATTCCTATCACTCAACATATCTAAAATCGCACCCTCTCCTTTCATTAAGTTACCCACCAACAATCACGAGCTCTACATCAACCTAACAAATAAAAAACTCAAATCCATCAAAACGTAAACCATACAATTCAAATCAAACCTTCCTATTTCCTCCACTAATATCCATTACTTCAAGAACATCCCTAAACTTCAAAAAGAGCCTAATTAAGTAAACTAATAGATTAAATTCCTAGATACTTTAAATACACAAAACAACATATTTAAAGATATCACATTAGATATTATTAATCCTCCTATACAATCGCACTTCATATCTATCAACAACGATATCGTTAAACACAAATACTTCTTTAAAAAGATAACTAAGCCCCAACTTATCAATTTCAACAATTCCAAGAAGAATATTAATATTCTGACTATATCTAATCTTAATAAAGTTCAAGAATCCCTAAATAAAATTAATGACAAGCTCTAAAGCGGTTTCTAATAAAACTAGAACATTTAGATTATCACTTATTCCTAAATTATAAATTACCTCAATATCTATATAGACACCAATATTAAATTAGCGATTTCGACATATAATATATCTTTTAAAGCTTTTATTACCTTTAAGAAACTCTATAGATGTGAGGATGATGGATGATAGTAGTTCCATAAACGCGAAGATAATAAAGCTAAAGAAGGAAGAAGCTAGAAGCTATGGAATAGGAAGCATAAATAGCAAAGCAAAGCGAGCAAACGAAGCAAAGCGAGCAAACGGGGCGCAGGGCAGCAGGCAAGCAAACAACCGAACATATAATGCTTGCAGAGCATGACACTACCCCCCTGCAAAACAAAGGCATCAGCCCCTTGATGCCAATCCCTCAATAATAGTATGAATCATCAGAATCGGTCCCTTCCAAATCCACCAATTCAGGATCAGGGACAATAGCAGTAACATTGATAGCGGTTGCACCAAGAGAGGTATCCATCGCGTCGGATCCGCCAGAGTTGCCAGTTTTACCGTTTTTGCCGTTTTTGTCAAACTGACCACTATTTCCTGTTTAGGAATGTGTTACAAGCTACTAAACAACCTTGACAAAGTCAAGATAAGCTTGGGGAAGGTTCAACTGCTAAGAAAGACGGTTTTTGATAGATGATATCAAACCCTTGCGCAGGATGGAAATCTTGGTGACGTCAGACCAGTTTTGGCCCTTTGCTTCGTACAGCAATCGTTCAAAACGGGAGATATATGCAATGACGGAGTCGGAGGAGTCTTGTCGAATGGATAATAAACGATCCTCTACCTCATAAACCTTATTGAGATTATCATAAACGCGAGTAAGCTGATCCAGAATAACTTCGAAATTGTATTCTCCGGATTCGCGTGCTGCAACCAGCTGGGGGAAGACCATCACTTGAACTTGGCTGGTTAAGTTCATATAGACGTAGTAGAATTGGGCAATCGGGTCTCCAATAGCAGCTCCATCAATAGCAAGCTTAGCACGAATAACAGTACTCCATGTGTCAAACTTGTACGCAGTTCCGATGAACTTCTCAGGGTCCGGAAGGGAGGGCTTCGATCGTTTGGTAATCGAGGAAGGTTTGGAAGGACGAGGGGGCTTAGCCTCAGCAGTTTCGACACGCGTACGCAAGTTCTGGATCTCATTAGTAAGGTTTTGAATAGTCTGAGAGAACTGCGCGTTTAGTTCATCGCGTAACTGGGTAAGTGGGTCCATTTCGATGGGGGAGATAGATCCGGGGAGATCTGGGGTCTTGGAGGAAGGAGTTCTGGTTCTGGGGTCTTGAGGAAGAAGCTGGCCAAACGGTCTTAGGAATCCACGGTTCCACCAGAATGACAGCGAAGCAGCGAGGTCTTGGAGATCCACGGTCTCACCAAGCTATCCGAAAAAGGAAAGAAGGGCTGAATATCGAAAGCTTCAAAAACGAGCTCTTTGCAACGAAACAGCAAAAGAAGATACCTGTTTCTCGTACGCAGGGCTTTTGCGAAGAGGAGCTTTATTATAGTATGAGGATGATGGATGATAGTAGTTCCGTAAACGCGAAGATAATAAAGCTAAAGAAGGAAGAAGCTAGAAGCTATGGAATAGGAAGCATAAATAGCAAAGCAAAGCGAGCAAACGAAGCAAAGCGAGCAAACGGGGCGCGGGGCAGCAGGCAAGCAAACAACCGAACATGTAATGCTTGCAGAGCATGACAATAGATAGAGATCGTCCTAGACAATTATATAAAGATTTAGGATATAAAATAAACTTTGTTATAAAAGTAATAATACTATTAGCTTTATAAATAAATTCTAAAAAGCACTTTATAACTATAAAAAAACTATTATACTAAATAAGATCTTCTTTAAATAAAAGTATATAGCTTTTATAATCACAATTATATTAAATCCCCGCTACAATACTTTTATCCAAATATTCAAACCAACAAACGCATATACTATATATCAAGAATTCTATACTTTCAAAACAACTAATAAATCAATCTAATATATTTATTCTAACAACAATAAGTTAACAAATCTTCCTTTTATAAACTTGATAACTACTAAGATCTCTCTAGAAAATATTCTACTATCTTCAGATACTTTTTTATCTAAAGACAATAAAAAAGATACTAAAAATAAAGACAAAAAATCAATTTTCCCAAAGTCTAAAAAGTACAAAAATAACAAGAATACTTATTATTGTTAATATTACAAATCTTAAAAAATTTATAAGTCTAAAGACTACTATCTAAAAAAAAAGGAATCTAGTAATTCTAACAATTCAATGAATATAATAACCACCATACCTATAAAAACCCTTTCTGTATACAGTATATAGGCTAATATAGTAATTATCAATCCAGTATTCGCTTATTACAATAACTTTTAGATATAGCAAATTAGTATTTAGATATTAAAAAACGCTGCTATTTCTCTATCATCGTCTACTAAATTCAATTAAATAATTGATTCTAGTATTTCCAAACATATAACACCTTTCCAATCAATTTTTACTAATTTCAAGCCTTACCATATACCTATTATTACTGTAACAAATTAGCATTTCTTTACTAAAAGCTTTAATAATATTATTCTATCCATTTAGGATTTTATAACTCAGGATCTCGAAGAACTACTTCTTTAAAAGGTCTAGCTTGCCCTAGAATTAAACAATAATCTAATCTCTATCTCTATATTTGACAAGTAGAGTTACCAAATCAGCTTTGATATTAAAAAGGCTATTTTTTTACACAAAAATAGATCTAAAATCATAGATCTATATACTATTAATCTTGTTAAAGACCACTATTAGCTTAAATATCTAGAAGGTTTATTAAACTCAATAAAATACTTTATTTGCATTATACAAATAATCTATTCGCTCTTAATCAACCTATTTTTATCCAAGAACCTTATTAATAATCTAGAAGACAGTTTTTAGACCTAAAATAATCAAGATATTGCAAATATAACAAATATAGTTACTTTTATAGATATCAATATCACCAAGAAATACAAGAATAACCCTATTTCTATTAATTTAACCCATCGTCATATCTATCACGCTAGTAAGAACTAAGTTCACAAAATAAAGTATAATATTATTAATATAATCTTTAAAAAAGATAAAGATATTACCTACCCCTACATTCCCTACATTAATACTAAAAACTATTAACTTCCATATAATAAAGAGTACTAAATTCACACCAAACTAGGTGATTTATTATATTTTGACACCTAGAGACCCTACTCCTATACAAACTATAAACATGAGACCTACTTTATAACAGTTTCTAATAATACCTCTTACTATATATAGGTTTTTATAATAAAATTAATAACTAAAATCCTTCCAAATTTATAAAAAGTAGTTAGCTTCTTAGACTAGTAATTTAGGATTAAGATTAAATAGATTTAAAGAGATAATATCCCTATTCATAAACTTATTTAAATCTTTTATAAATATCATGATATTATTATATCTCCAATACCCCTATATATAAAATAGCTAAATAGTATTATCAAATAGTCTAATAGACGTTTAGTAAAATCTATAATCGCTATAATAGTTAAAAATTAATTTCTAAAACACCTTTAATTACTTATTCTATAAGAAGTAAACTATACAATCAATCAATTATACTATTCACGAATTAATATAACCTTATATAAAGCCTTCTATAGTCATAAGCTAGATATCTCTTATCTCTAGATATTAGGCTACTAGATTTAATATCATATTAACAAAAAATAGTATACTAATAAACTTGATTCCTATATAAATAAGGGCCATTTAGTTGATTATAACACTAAGAATTACTATATAATCTATAATATCTATACAAAAAAAACAACTCGCTCTCGCAATATCGTTTTCAATAAAATCAAGAAAGCTAGCTTACCTAAGCTCTAATATAACATTAAATTAGGAGAATAGATATATAAAGATCAATTTATTTTAATTCTATCTAAACACTTCTTTACAAAGATTACAAGATTTATTCCTATCAATTTTCTAATAGATAATTAGCCATCTATTAATTCTACGATTCTTGGACCTCCTTCGATTCCTACAAGACCTAAATCGCCTCTAATTCCTCCATATCCTCAATCCTCGCCAATTCTTGCATACCCGCTCCCTCTACTAGTTTAAATAGTTTCGAAGCCTTAAATTTATCCTTCTTATCTAACGATTACAAACAAAAAGATTTTAAAAGAGATATAAATAGATAGTAGAAGTGACGCTTATCTAGTTTCTTAATTATATCGATCTAAATAGATTACTAAAATATAATAAGGACAATACTAAGGGAGTACTATAATAGCCACTCTATCTACTTTAACTACATCTGCAAATACTAAAACTATATTAAATCGCCTATCTATAATACCTTTATCTAGTCATATTCCTCCATAGATCATTATCAACATCTCTAATAAAAAACCGACATATAATACGCAGTATCTATCTAAAAAAAAAGTAGTATCTATTTTATCAAGACATCACTATTTAACTACTCTCGTTTCAACCCCTTTACATAGAATTCACTATACAACAATTAATCCACTATCTCTTATGATTTTACAATATCTAAAGGAGCATACAAAAATAGATATTAATATTATCTCTATATTAGCAAATAATCTTAATACCACTAAAGAACTCTACATTTCTATAATTCTTAACAAAGATAAACCCTCTAAACTAGAGCCCAAAAACCCCAGTTATATCCCATACACCTAGAAATAGGCTATGATCTATCTTGAGTATGATAAATAGCTTATCGCTACAAAAAAGGAGCTAAAACACCACAATAAGAATGACACCTAACGCGTCGTTAGTTATAAAAAAGATCAAAAACAGCCTCTTATCCTTCACTAGATTTAGATAATTAAATACGATAAAATCTACAAAGCTCACTTAATCTACCACAGCTTTAATCAGATTAAAAACGTCGACTTTCATAAACTTTACACTATCGTTTCAAAACCTATATCGTTCAAAATCTTCATAGCTATTATAGCTAAAAATAGATAGCCCCTTTATCATATTAATATCATTACTATATTTTTAAACATAGAAATAAAAGAGTCTATCTATATTAAGCTTCTTAAAAAAAAACGTAAACAATTTCCTAAGATAATAGACCTATGTCAGGCAGGCAAAGCACAAAAGAAAAAGATCGCTTTTATGGTCCAAGAAACGACGATAATAGAACTGAGGAAGAAAGGAGAGGGAGAGAGAGAGAGCTAGCAGGATCTATGTAAATGGGGGTGCTGCCTGAGGCAGACATGTCAGGCTCCCGTCTCTTCCTGTGCAGGGATCTGGTCCCAAGGTCATGGGTTCGAGTCACAGTCCTGTCACTTCCTGACAACCTACTTCTTCAAAACATAAATAGTCTAAAATAGACACCCCATAAATAGTATCTACTTCTTCGTAACATTCTAATCAAAATAAGATTCACTATACTAGAATTAGATCAATCTATCTTCATTAAATTTACTAAAAATAGCCCCATTTACATCCTAATCTACATTAATAACCTACTTATCACTTCCCCAGCCAAAAAACTCATTACACAATTCAAAACTAAGCTCACAAAACACTTTAACCTCACTAACAAAGAAAAAGTCAAGCAATTTCTAGAAACAGACATCATTCATCGTCCAGAAGAGATTTATCTCTCTCAAAAAGACTACATCGTCAAAACCCTAATAAAATTCGATCTTACTAACCTAAATAACACCCCCACTCCCATAAATGAAAGGCTGATTCTCGTCACGAATCTAGCTAAAGTTTTTATATCCAAAATCGACATTAAACAGTTCTAGAAATAAATTAAAACTCTCATTTAACTAATAGTATCTATCCACTCCAACATCTCATTCCTTATTATCAAATTAGCTTATTTTATAACCAATCTAGACGAACAGCATTAGACTACCCTCAAACAGGTCTTCCACTACTTACAAAATTTAAAGAACCTATATATTTTCTTTATAGATAAACAACATTATTTAGCCAAAGGCCTTATTATCTACAACACTAAAAATCAAGTATATAATATACTCAATCCTAAACTAGTTAATCCCATCCCTAAATATCACGATTTAAGATTAATCAACTACTCCAACGTTAATTAGTCTAGCCCTTATTCCAAGAGTACCCTTTCTACGTCCAATTTCATCTTTATATTCAACAGAGAACCTATTTCCTAGACCTCT